CAAATTCAATCATTTCCCAACGTTATCAGTGAGTCTTCCTTCGAATTCTTTAATGATCTACACTTACTTTAGCTTTCTTTCCTCCTCCTCCCCTGGCTTTTTTCGCTGGCATCCACTTTGTCGACTGGGTGACAAGGTATGGCAATGTGTTGGTAGCTGAACTAATGATAGATTTTAATCGATAATCGGCTCGCTGATTTTTCTACTCCCCCTTGCCCTTCCGCGCCCTCCCTTGCCTCATGGCTGATTATTCATGTCCGCGAGCATCACATGTGTAGACCACGTGACAAGGTCTAGTGTGTCATCGACCGTCCGCCGTTGCTCATCCGCACATCCGCAGACCTATGCAAAGTATGTCTGTTTATCAATACATATTATGTTGATGTGTTATTGTAGTTCAAATCCTTTGTGGTCCGCCGTTGCTCATGTGTATATGCGCGGCCCTCTATGCAAATCAATCAATGTAGATACCATGTATATATCGGTATATACTATATTTGCAATATAATTCATGTAATGTCCGCCCTCGCTACATGGTCTATCCGCGGACCTGCATACAAATCAATGTAGATATCAAATCTTAGGTGTAGAAATCACTCTTTTATAGGGTTGTTTTACCATTTATGTAGGTAAATTTAAATAGAACACCTGACCATTTTGTGTTTGGGGGCCTTGGGGCTAACATAACCATAGATATAACCAAACCCCTGTACAGTTTCTATATATAATACCAGACAAAGCACCATATTGCGTGATCATACAACCATTTCGTATAGTTCTACATCCTGAATCTACCTTGACGGACCATTCAAGCAAACTGCATTCACAGCCGAAACGCCTCAGCTTCCATCCGAACCAGAACATCATTGATGTTGGGTTGCATTGCCCAACATTAAGGTCTTTCTGAAGACAAGCGGATCAGTGGGATTGCTGTCACAACATGACGGTGAAACATACGCAGCCGATGATTTAAAGTGATTTCAAGAATAGTCTTGGTTAACTCCACCTTCGCCTGTGAACACAAAGCTTCTTTCTCCTTCCCCCGAGAGCGTTCGAAAGCTTCTTTTGCCTTCTTGAAACGTCCAAACGGTAACTTCACCCTCCAAGCAGGCAAGCTCCCGACATCTTCTTTATATGCGTGGGCAGCAGTTGTCATAGCGTCTTCATATGCGCGGGAAGCAGCAGTCACGCCTTCTTCATATGCGTGGGCAGCAGCTGTCACACCTTCCCTGACAACAGCTGCATGCGGAGACGCAATGTACTGCTCGAGAGCGATACGAAAAGAGGGAACAGACTCCCGCTTGTCCTGAAGATAGCGCTGCTTGTCGAAAACGTAGAAAGAATGTTCGAAGATAATGACAACAGCTAAATGATCGATAATAAGCAGGTTCATCGTAACATAGCCTCAAAATTCACCAGAAATGAGCTGAGCAACGTTCTCCAAGGGTGATGGGCCAGAGGCCTGGCACATTCGCAACATCAGAAATGTGTGTAAAATGTGTGACCATTTGGACATACCACAGAGAGTAACTTAGACCGCATCTCTTCACGATGACTCCGATCAAGCTGGTCAAATCATGGTGGAAGGTTGAACATCGACCACCTCTGAGGATCGATACACTCACATTCTGCCAATGTGTAACATCTTCGGTCAGCATGGCCCGAAGTCAAAAAAGATTGAAGAAATTAACTTCCTATTGATGGATCAGCGATGTCGTCGATCACCAACGCTCGGGATCAACAGCAGATGAACACACTCACATACTGTGAACAGGGATCGGTAATTTAATTGGTCAGTGATGCTCAAATCCAACCGCGGATCGATGCGCTTACACCCTGTGAACGGATGAGCGATATATTCAGCAAGTATGGCTCGATCTCGATGGTGGTTCGACAAACTCACAATCTGGCAACGGAGCAGCAATGAATTCGGTCAGTATGGTGCGAGGGCGACAGAGAATCAATATACTCGCATTCTGACAATGGATCAGCGATTGCATCGGTGAGGAATGCAGGAGGTTGACAGAGAATGATCACACTCACCACCTGCGAACAATGGCCAACGACTTCGATCAGCATGGCTTGAGCTCGAAGGAGGATCGAGACACTCACCACCTGCGAACAGTGGCCAACGACTTCGATCAGCATAGCTCGATCCCGAAGGAGGATCGAGACACTCACATCCTGCGAACAGTGGCCAACGACTTCGATCAGCATGGCTCGAGCTCGAAGGAGGATCGAGACACTCACATCCTGCGAACAGTGGCCAACGACTTCGATCAGCATGGCTTGAGCTCGAGGGAGGGTCGAGACACTCACCACCTGCGAACAATGGCCAACGACTTCGATCAGCATGGCTCGAGCTCGAAGGAGGATCGAGACACTCACCACCTGCGAACAATGGCCAACGACTTCGATCAGCATGGCTCGAGCTCGAAGGAGGATCGAGACACTCACCACCTGCGAACAGTGGCCAACGACTTCGATCAGCATGGCTTGAGCTCGAGGGAGGGTCGAGACACTCACGAGCTGCGAACAGTGGCCAACGACTTCGATCAGCATGGCTCGAGCTCGAAGGAGGATCAAGACACTCACATCCTGCGAACAGTGGCCAACGACTTCGATCAGCATGGCTCGAGCTCGAAGGAGGATCGAGACACTCACCACCTGCGAACAGTGGCCAACGACTTCGATCAGCATGGCTCGAGCTCGAAGGAGGATCGAGACACTCACATCCTGCGAACAGTGGCCAACGACTTCGATCAGCATGGCTCGATCTCGAAGGAGGGTCGAGACACTCACATCCTGCGAACAGTGGCCAACGACTTCGATCAGCATGGCTTGATCTCGAAGGAGGATCAACAAACTTACTACCTGCAAGTAAACGCTCATTGTAAATAAGAGCAACCTTTGGACTTTCCGATAATCTCACCAGCATATGCGGAAACCAGTGACCCAATGCCCCTATTATCCGCACATGATCGTCACCAGAGTCACAAAATCTCCCCAGCGTTCTGGGCAATATCAGTCGCTAACGCTCATGGCGAGTAAATGAGACTATGTATAGGTACCTCTTAACTGCATACGTCATGCAGAACTCTAAGTTCGTCTGCTGGGTCGAGACGAATAATTGCTCCACCACTTCATCATCCAGAGTTCCGGCCGTGCGTTTGATGAGTTGCCCGCAATCTGCATCATCCTTGTCCATGTCTAATGGATCAGTGTCATCATGTATCAAAATCGTAAGTCGACTATCAATGACTTACTAGGGAGGCATACATGACATCTTGGAGGGTGTCGAATGTCCTTGGAGTGGTATAGAAACTTCAATTGTGACCCAACTGCAAATGACTCTTCAGCGTGCTTTGGCGCCTGTTCTTCAGCCTCCTCCATCGATACTCTCTTCGATCTCAGCTCTGCATATGCTACGTCGTAGAGGGCATCGAATTTGGTAAACAATACCATCACTGGAACTGAGGATTGTGATTCTGCGCATTAGTCGAACATCGATGATGGTCGGATGCGAACGCTTACTGATTCCTGTGTCGCACTGAGAGAAAAATTTGATTTCTCCTTTGGTGAACGACCTGCTTGCCTCGTCCATCGGGATGCAGTACCTATATCGAAACCGTGAGATAGCGCCTGTTGTGATTGATCAGTTGCAATTACCAGATAGCATGGAGTTTATTCCTTAATCTAGTTTCCTTGGAACGGCCTACGATGAACGCCTTCACCTTGTCGAATTCGGATTCGCCGCCTGCTTCAAACCCGCGTGAATCGTGGAAGACAAATCCTGGGTTGCTCCGAAACACCATTTCGTTCTCGATATCGTGCTCTCCACGCTGAGAACGCGTCGGTTCATGTTACCAACTATTGAAAGTACACGCCACCTCTGTTGAAGCCATCAACACTGTAGCATCGATCTGATATCCATCGCTCAGTTATCACCACCATCCTTCTGCTAGCATTGTGATGCCCACCTTTTCCCCGGCGCTGTTGTATATTTCTGGATTTTCCCGCGTATTGCAAACTCTCTGGAGGATGGTAGTTTTTCCAGCATTCGCTCTTCCTATAACGAGGATTCGAAAGCGACCGATTTTCTTTCTTATCTTTGAGGGATCCATGAGGGAAGGTAAATGTGACGGAGACTGATGAGCGTTGGCGTGGCCTTATAATGATTGCAGTATGTGAACTCGGTGAATGCCCGAGTTGAAATCAGCCCATCTAGATTCAGTGGGCAAAGGGTATATCGTGATGGAGTTAATTATATACCGCATGAGGCATACACGAGGAGTTGGCGTCGATTTAATGTGGGTTTGAAGTGATGGAATATCTGTGTTGGGTCACATTAATAGGGATCCGTGCGAGTAAGCAATGCGGAAACCATCAGCTAAGCTTGAGCTAAGCACCCGAGTGCTAGTCGTCGAATGCACCAATCAATCGAGGCAGTCAGTATACCTGGATCTTACTCTCTGGACGTTCGAACACCAATCCCCAATGCTTATGCTACACATCATGAATCATGATGCAATGCAGCACCAGCGCCCCGAAGAATCATACCATTTACGCCAGTGCCATCCTGCACACTTACTAATGCCCGAGCAGGAGGACTGGAGCCATGTCTTCTGGGGGTCTTTTCATTGTGAATGCCGCGAGGGCGTCCGGACTTTTTCTGCTCAGGGTTCGAAGTTGCTTGAAGGAACCAAGCAAAGTCCGAATGATGATAACAGGGTATCAAACCTATCTAACTAAGAATGGCTAGCCTTGATGCTACACGAGGGATGGGCCTCTCTTCGGCGTAGCTGACTCATGGCCTACATTCGGCCTCCAGATAAATCCACCATGGCGAAGGAGAGTCTTCCTTAGACTAACTCCAATCAGGATTCAGCATGGCGACTAGTTCCCTCGACGCTTCCACGCCGGTCTACCCTCTCTACATCTCTGGTACAAGTTGCTTCATCAACGAAATTATCAATATACCACTGAATATATCGAATAGGTGTCATCGTCGATTTCAGCAAGTCGAAAAAGAATGTAGAGTCTGCTGAAGTACGGATCAGCCTCAAGTTGCCTATGTCAATCAAACGCGGGGCAGGAAAGGCTTTGCGGCAGACCTTTTCTCCACCCATGTAGGGACTTGACCCAAACGAATGTACCTGCCTGATTGCTCTTGTGTTTTTTTATTATAGAAAGCTTTCTCTTGGGGATACATTTTCCTTACATATACGATACAAGACATGGCATGGAACAGGGCATGAAGACATTATTTTCGAACCAGAAGACATGTTTCGCGAACGTAGCGCAATAGAAAGACGAGGTGAAACAAAAATAATCGCACTCTCGCTTAGATCGCTCACGGATTCAACCTCACATGCACAGAGTACAACAAGGTTCATAAAAAGTTCACGATCGTCGTCGAACTTTCCAAGAATCCAACAACCGAAGTAAGGTTCCGTGTCTCGTATTGGAACACATCTAAGTCGCATGTTAGCAGATCGAGCAGTTTGTCTTTTCCGATGAATCCCTGGAGCTCCGGCCTACCACTGATGGCATCTTTCGGAAGTGTCCTCAGTAAGTCCGGATCATCATGAAAGTGGCATCCTTTAGGCTGATGCTGGGGACTTTCTAAGATTCCGAATTCTGGTGATAGGAAAGGTACCAGGCTTTCGCTGATCTCAGGCCAGTATTGACGCGGTATTCCAATAGACCGGTGTTGGCAAGTCTTCACTGATCAACCACGCATTTGGAGTGCAAAACGCGGTGGGTTGAACGCGCCACTTCAACGAACACAGCTACTCACAATATCAGTAGACCACTTCGCACAATATGCCAGGCGAGGTCAGCATCGACCATGAATTCATCTCGCCACAGAACAACAAGTTTGTTCTCCACGATAGCAAAGGTTTTGAACCAGGGGAAAAAGACAACCTCAAAATAGTCCGAGATTTCATTAACTATCGGAGAGCAAAGCCCGATTTGAAAGATCAGCTGCACGCCGTTTGGTGGGACCTCCGTCTTGATGCGTTTGTACGGCGAACTGACGACATACAAGGCTCTGCTTTGAAATACCCCGCGCAAACGGGCGTTTACTAGAGACCGGCGTGGAGCAATTTCTCACATCGAAGCGAGAAGGAGAGCTAGGAGACAGTACGTTGATGGATTGCTACTGCTCCGCACAGGTCATAGCTAACACAGGTCGAAGTTCCCATTGTTGCTGTCTTCACTAAATACGACACCCTCCTCGACCGCGTGGAGCGAACCCTGGACAAGTCCTCTATCAAGGGTCTGAGCCAGGCGGCGATCCAGGACATCATCAAGAAAAACGCAGAAGACAAGCTACAGGAAGTCTGTGTCGCACCCCTAGAGAAGTTCGCAAAATCGGCTATCCCGCATGTTACGGTCTCCAGTGAGCGTTACTATTGTGATTGTCATTCACGTTCTCAATGAAATTTCGAGCGCAGCAAACGGAAACCATGAGGGGACGCTAGCCCGACTGATCCAAACCACCGAAGAACTCGTTCGTAACCATGTTGGGACCGACGCGTCGGTGATGACATCCGTCGCTCAACGAGTGGATCCTAGACTCAAAATAAAAGCATCGATAGAGTGAGCCTCGCTTGTTTCATTCTTCTTATCTTGTGATTTACGCAGCGTCAGAGTTGGCAAGAGAAGTCTGTCTCGATTTTGTATACAAAATTACTGAACGTAACCCGAGCCTTCACTTCTGTCTTTCAGAATACTGGAAGGCGCTCGCATCAAGCGTACCATTCAAGAACCGTTCGATGTGGGACTGTCTGCACGTGCTTCACACTGACATCGTCAATGTTTGGAACTTCCAAGACCCTCATGGTGTAATAGCTCTCTTCTTTGTTGTCGCGCATGTTCTGATGTGGCTTACATGCAGTACTTGTGCAGCCCAGAGTTCAGGACATTGATGACGAACATGGTCAATGAGCTGGACGTTGGACCCCCTACTGATCCCAACAAGACCCTGTAGGGCAGTCTTTCATGCGATGGATGAATTTCATCTCATCCAATGTTTGCAGTTCATTTGGGCTCACTATTGTGGGTACTATTGCGACCATCGTGTCTGCCCTGTCCGGACCTGCAGCCCCTATCGTAGTGCCGATAGCGGCAAGCGTTGTGATCGCAAGCTGGGTTTACGAGTTGTATGAGCAGACGTATGTCCTGCTATTTATCCTTCATTGAGAGAATAATGACAGGTCTCTCCTCAGTCGCCCTGCCCTCCAGCGCTTTATGAAATACATCATCGACTTGACTCTTGTGTTGCAGACACTGGTTCTTGTGGCGGGAAATCAAGAACTGTCTCGTAAGGCCATCAAACTTGCGGCCAAGTCCTACCACGAGTCACCAATGAATGGAGAAGTCCATAATCGGATTCAGGAGTATGAGAGGCAATTGACCTTGCGGCAACGTGCGAACCGTGATTCGTTGGATCAAATCATCGAGCTACTACAACCATACAACACTAGCGCAGAAGAAATGTCGGATCTTCGGGGAAAATTGCCCGTTGTGGATTTATCATCGGATGAACCATGGGACAGTTAGCACTCGATTCTTTCTTTTGTGTATAATATTGCGCGTTTGCTAGCGTCTGACTTCTGGAGTACCTACGGGATTGTATTACACGGGTCCTCACTCGTACTATGTAATTGGAATTATGGCTGGTCCAATCACCCTGCACCCTGTTGCATCGCTGCTACCTCCCAACTGCTCTCCCTCGTCGCAACCCGCACTCTTGGCGCATTCAGATATTCTGCAACGGTCCGCTCGTGTAACCCCTGCCATTTTTTTCAGTCTCAAGGCACACCAGAATCGTTTACCATGTCCTCGGCCAAAATGCTATCGTTCACCATCACCTTCAAGGTTTCCTGATTAGCCTACTGACCTATTCATGCAGTTCATGCAGCGCTACCTATAGCGGACATTCCTCTCCCATAAGTCGACTAGCTTGGTTTGATATCTTGGCGCAATTTTAGAGTGAGTGCATCCGACGGCGATCATAACTTCCTGAATACTTTGATTATCGATCATCCTTCAGCGATCGAGCACACAATTCCTTGCGTCGTCGCTTCTGAAGTCGGTATACTTTTGATTCTTGTTCCTGGGTGCAGGGAAGATTCAAGTGTTGTCCTATCGACATGGACTTGCAGCTCGTGTCTTCGATTTCTGCCATTGCATCTCTGGTATTGTCCATCGTTCTATCGCTGACACGCTGGCTAACTATACATCTTATGCTCTCCATCAGTGTTACAAATGTGAGCGCCACCAGTGAGTTGGGTCTCATAATACGTGTCTTTTTGATCAGTTTGGATTTGTGTGTCACAGCATTGTTGTATTATGCAGTGTTCTGCCGGTCAGTGACCACAGTGTTCGTTCAGTGAACGCAAAGGGTGAGAAAGTCGGTGACCGTCGGCAACATTCACTTGACTGTGAATTTGTGGGGTGCCATGAGTCCTTGTATTCTTTATATAGAAACATAATGATCACAGATAATAGTAAGCGGTGAGCGCAGCGCTAAGCGCTTACTATCGCGCATTGTAATAATCCATGCAGAATCCTCATGCTCTCGCCTATACAATCAGTGTCATGAACTCGTATTTTTGGCAGTGTATGATGGTTATATTGCAATAAGAGCGGAGCAAACATTCAGATCCCCAAATATCCGCAGGGCCTGAATGACGAGCACTATCTGCCGGACCTGTACTCCTCTTGGGTGAGGCGAATGCTGCCCCGAACACCATCAACACAATGTCATAGTCCCCTACGCGCTAATCATCCGATGCAAGGCCAAACGTTTATCTTGATTTCTCTGTTCTTAGTGTCGTCCGCTCCTGCGACATCATCGTCCCGCCATACAATACCACAACTCGGAAGACCCAGCAGCTCCGGAAGCATAACGCGAGTCTGCTACAAGACGTACAATTATGGTCAGCTAAGCTACAACGCAAGGTCAAGGGCATTTGCAAGGACAGTAGGAGTAGATACGCACCTCTTTGATGAGCTTGCGAACCTTGGGATACCGTATCTCCACCTCTACAGCATCAAATGGGATAACTTGCTCGTCCACTCCACCCACCAATGTCAAATCATCAGAATCAGCGTGTGGTAGAGGAGATATGCGACTGCTCTCTTGTGGCGGCTGATCACCTGGCATGGATCCAGGGGAGAGCGCATCGTCATCGGCGACGCGGTGTTCTTCGATCTGGAGCAGATTTTCCATTTGTGCTGCGGTGCGCTGTGGTAGTGGTGGTGGGAGGTACGTAACAACACGTCTCTTTGTCCGAGTGTCAAGTTTCTTCTTTGTCCGTGTCACGCCCGTACTCCGGTCCTTTGAATTTCCGACGGCAATACCAGGAAGACGGAGACTGAATGGTCCTGACGACGGCATGTTACCGGGCTTGAACTTGTTAATCTTTTTCCTCTCGGGTTTCATGACCGTGCTCCAGTTAGCGTCAGGGTCATCATCGAACGCGTATACAGAAATTTGGCGATCACCACGTAAAACTGACGAGGCCGCGATATTACGTTTCAGAGTATACTTTTTAGCACGCTTGTGGCGGTGGGGACGGCGTCGGCGATTGGCTGGGACGCTTCCCGGACTCGGGAGATATAAGATGGTTATGGTTTTGCACCGGGCTTGAAGCTCTTTCGAAAAATTCTGCCCGAGCCAGTGGAGGTTTGAGGGAACTATGAATGGTAGAGGCCAGCCACTGCGACATTGACGGAGGCTCTCCCTTAGCCATCGCAGGTGGTACTGTGCGGTAGGACCCCACCGCCGGAACTTGGGGAACGCGCGATACAGACAACGCTTGAAAACGCTCTGCGGAGTGCAGAAAACGTGGATCATATACTACGCAAGCGCACCAAGGTACTCACGATTACTAGTAAGACGTATTCCATGACGAAAATGCGAAGAGGGTTGATTACACGGAAATGATCTCGGAGGAGTATTGATATCGATATTTCTATGAAAAGGCCTTGGAGGGGAAGATTGGTAACCTCCTGGTCGAAGGTGTGAACCATTCGCTGGATAGTCGCGGCTGGTAAGCGGGGACGACATAGACATGAATGGCACATTATATTGTGATTGCGGCATCAGACTCATGTCGGGGGTGGATATATGCGCCACGCTTTGTTGCAAGAGAACTTCATGACTCATTTGAATGTTGCCGTGCTTTCTATCTGGGGTGCAAGATAGCGTCTGAACGCCTGGATGAGGCTGAAGTCTGGAATCATGGAGATCACGCTGGGAAGCGTTGGACGACAAGATAGCCAGCGTGTCCGAAGATCCGGTTTGGGACCCCCTGGCGAGAAACGGTGCATTATCGTGTTGCAGGTAATCCCATGGTTCAGCGCTACTCATTCCCTGGATTTGTGAACAAACTTGGTCTTCTCGAGAAACCCGGGGCGTATTCGACTTGGGCTTTGTAACCTTAGGTGCCTTCAAAAGAGGGGGTGCGCGAGACAGCTTGCGCTCTGCCTGTACTTTGAAGGCATCCACGATTCGACCCTGTGGCGCCTGTGGTTGTGATTTCCGCCGTGTATCCTCTGAGATCGCTTTGCCGGGGGGTTCCTTATTCGGTGGACGACTAGCAGCATTAATACGTGCAATACTCCACGGGTTGGGCTTGTATTCCACAGTCTCGTGTCGTGAGGAGATATCGAGCTCTTGAATGAGTCTAGTGTCGTCGGAGGGAAGATTAACTTTAACTTTAGAGTTAGTTTCGACCTCTGATTCAGGGTCAGAGTCAAATGCATCATGCGCTCGAGTACGGTGGTTGAACGACCACGGGTTCTGTTTGTCTGGTGGATTCATGCGAACAATAATTGGAGGTCTATAAGTTAGAATAGTGGAGCACTGGTTATAGTGGCCTGGACGAAAGCACGAAATGTAACAAAGTGTGGGCGATTGTTTGGCAGCACCCTCTGGCCCAAACAACGTTTGCTACCCAAAATGTAATGCCCTGAACCACTGATCCAGTCAATCTGCGCGCTTGAGCCAGTCACACGATGGTTTGCTCCCTCTTCTTTCCTTTTATTTCACTGACTGACCTGCATTTAGGCAGTACAAACCATAACAGCTACGACGAGCACAAACATCACAGGTGCTACACACAATTCTACACTCAGCATTATGCCGCCAGAGCTCGAGCAGACGCTCGCGCTTCTATCATCACATCGTTCAGTCCTCGGATACCTGCTGCTCTCGCGTGGAGACCATGTTAGTATCATACGCCATTCGGGCTGTCGTCTTCGAGGGAGAACAGGGGAAGAAGTATGCGAGCGTCATAGGCAAGATGGTGGAGAGCGTGCAGGCAGGTTTGGAGGAAGTGAGCGGGTCAGAAAATGATGGAGTGCGTAGTAACTATATCATGTTTTTCGCCTGGCTCACATGTTGTTCTAGGACCAGATTCGCTTCATGAGGATACGGACCAAACGTCATGAAATCATGATTTCGCCTGGTCGGTGAGGATCTGCGTTTGATGGACATCTATACTCACTATGCATTGACAGATGAAAGATATCTCCTCGCGGTGTTGCATGATCCCGCTTCGTAAATTTACCTTTCTATCACATTTCTTACATCTTTATGTTTATCTTACGACTGTATCGGTAGGATCTCTTGGCAATGCAGGCCTTTGAGACCGCTATAGTCATTCTCCACTCAGTGCATTGCGGTGATAGTGACAAAGTGCTACAGATTTTGGCTAACATCCAGGTTTGTCACGATCATCTAAAGGTGGCCACGGATGGCCTTGGGTTCATACCTGCAAAAGTGTCGTCAGTGTTATGTCGAATGTCCAAGCAAGTAGAATACGCACGGCTCCTCCAGGTACTTTATCTCCTCCGGTGTGAGCTCGATTTCCTCGATGATACTCTCCTGCAATCTCTGCACAGAGCTGATACCCACGATAGGGCTCGACACCTTTGATGCAACCCAGGCCAGCGCAATCTGGCTCATCTTGCAATTCTTCTTTTTCGCAAGCTCCTCGACGCGGTTGATGATAGTTGCGTCTGCACTGGACAACTTTTTCTCCCAAGTAGATCCCTTGACAGAATTGAGACGCGTCGTCTCTGTGCCAATTGGACGGGCGAGGACACCAGAAGCTAGAGGAGCCCAGGGGATGACACCTATACCGTTGTGTTTGCAATAACCGAGCATCTCGCGTTCCTAAACGTAATGTTATGCCGGTGAGCAAACGGGATTTTTAGAGACACACCTCCTCGCGGTAGAGTAGCGAGTACTCATCCTGCATGCTAACGAACGTTGTCCAACCATTGCGAGCGGCCACGTCATTCAACATGGCAAACTGCCAGCAGCGCATGGAACTAGCACCGATATAACGGACTTTGCCGCTCTGCACGAGGTCGTGAAGTGCTTTCATGGTCTCCTCTGGGGTGACTGAAGGGTCGAAGCGGTGGATCTGTAAGAGATCGATGTATGGGGTCTCGAGACGAGCGAGAGACGCATCGACAGCGTTGAAGATGGCAGCGCGAGATAGGCCAGATTGGTTAACATACTTGGACAGCTTTTGAAGATCGGGCATGAAGAACGTCGGGAGAGAAGCATCATCTGCGACAAGGCCATAACACTTGGTGGCGATTACGATCTGGGGGCGAGGAATGTTGTACTATGGAATTCACATATCAAGAGATGATTAATTTAGGACGTCGGTAAGGCACACCTTTTTGATGAACTTGGCGACGATGCGCTCTGACTCGCCATTTGAGTACATATTGGCGGTGTCGATGGTGTTGACACCAAGGTCCCAAGCAGCCTTCATTATTTCGATAGAGGGTTCCTCGTCGAGGACCCAGGGCTGTAAGAAGTTGAGGATGCTATCGAGCGAATCAGGAAACAATCACCTACAGCCCATTTCGGGGTACCAAAGCTCATCGCACCAATCTATGAAGAATGAATATTAATGAATGGTGAGTGCTGCGTGCTAGCAACAAATGTTTTATAACTCACAACTGGCACAGAGATTTTGAGACCAGACTTGCCAAGGGAGCGATACTGAACTTTAGACATTGCGTTGATGATGGAGACGGGTTTGCTGGCATCTGGTACTAGTAAAACCCCTGTATTTAAACAAACTCTTCCCCAACTCCCACGTTCATCAGGGCGGTTGAACTATACTATGTACTTGCCCTTGGTGTGTGACCTTTTGCTCTGGATGCCCATTGCTTCGGAAAACTTCCTACTTCACACTTGGGTTTTAGATCGTGTTTTGTCTGCCGGTCGTGATCTTCGCACCCAAAGATTTCCGAAATTCGAAATTCTGATCTCACTTCGCCAGGTTGAGTTCGACGCGAACATTCTTATTTTCACTCATCAAGACGCGGCGGATGTCTATCATCTGCGCCCATCAGCAAACGCTGGCACAGATCACAGCCAAAACTCCCACCTTCCAACTCGCAAAAGACCTGTCCTTCGTGCTAGGATCGAGCATAATACACCTTAGGAGATTTCACACATGCCGCTCACTTCAAACCTTGTATGACGAACCGAGCCCTGTGCTATGATCTTCGTTAGATTCACAACTCAGTCACTAATCTATTCTTAGTGTGCTATCTCTCCTTTTCATTGAGAATTCTGCGCTTAGTATCATGCCACTAGAGCTCGAGCAGACGCTCGCGCTTCTATCATCACATCGTTTCGTCCCGGGATACCTGCTGCTTTAGCGTGGAGACCATGTCAGCATCATACGCCATTCAGGCGTTGTCTTCTAGGGAAGACAAGGGAGGAAGTATCGACCGTCATAGGCAAGATAGTTGAGAGCGTGCTGGCAGGCTTGGAGGAAGTGAGCGGGTTACAAAATGATGGAGTGCTTAACAACTATATCTTTTTTTTTTTCGCTTCGCTTACACGTTGTTCTAGGACCAGATTCACTTCGGACCAAACATCATGAAATCATGATTTCGCCCGGTCAGCGAGTATCTGCGTTTGATGGATATCTATACTAACTACGCATTGGCAGATGAAAGACATCTCCTCGCGGTGTTGCAGGAGCCCGCTGCGTGAATATATCCTCTCCTATAATATCCCTCATATTTTTGAGTTTATCTCACGACTGTATCGGTAGGATCTCTTGGTAATGCAGGCTTTTGAATTCGATGTAATAATTCTCCATTCAGTGCATTGCGATGATGGTGGTAATACAAAGTGTTACAAATTTTGGCTGACATCTCTTTGTGGGCGGTGTAGGTTGGCCGCAATTAACTAAAGGTGGCCACGGACGGCCTTGGGTTCATACCTGCAAAGGTCTTGTCAGTCTTATGTCGAATATCCAAGCAAGTAAAACACGCACGGTTCCTCCAGGTCCTTTATCTCCTCCGGCGTGAGCTCAACTTCCTCAATGATACTCTCCTGCAACCTCTGTATAGAGCTGATACCCACGATAGGACTTGTCACCTTTGATGCAACCCAGGCTAGCGCAATCTGGCTCATCTTGTAATTCTTCTGCTTCGCAAGGTCTTCGACGCGATTGATGATGGTCACGTCTGCACTGGACAACTTTGTCTCCCAAACAGTTCCCTTGACAGAATTGAGACGCGTCGTCTCTGTGCCAATTGGACGGGCGAGGACACCAGAAGCTAGAGGAGCCCAGGGGATGACACCGATACCGTTGTGTTTGCAATAAGCAAGCATCTCGCGTTCCTAAACGTAATGTTAAAGCCGGTGAGCAAACAGGATTTTTAGAGACACACCTCCTCGCGGTAGAGTAGCGAGTACTCATCCTGCATGCTGACGAACGTTGTCCAACCATTGCGAACGGCCACGTCATTCAACATGGCAAATTGCCAGCAGCGCATGGAACTAGCACCGATATAGCGGACTTTGCCGCTCTGCACGAGGTCGTGAAGTGCTTTCATGGTCTCCTCAGGGGTGACTGAAGGGTCGAAGCGGTGGATCTGCAAGAGATCAATGTACGGGGTCTCGAGACGAGCGAGAGACGCGTCGACAGCGTTGAAGATTGCGGCACGAGACAGGCCAGATTGGTTAACGTACTCGGGCAGCTTTTTGAGATCGGGCGTGAGGAACCCATGGGTGGAAGGATCATTGGCGACGAGACCATTGCACTTGGTGGCGATTATGATCTGGGGTCGAGGAATGTTGTACTATGGAGTTTGTACGATGCCATCAATCGATACCATCAATGAATGTAAATTTGGGACATCGTAAGCCACACCTTTTTGATGAACTTGGCGATGACGCGCTCTGACTCGCCGTTTGAGTAAATGTTGGCGGTATCGATGGTATTGATACCAAGGTCCCAAGCAGCCTTCATTATTTCGATAGAGGGCTCCTCGTCGAGGACCCAGGACTATAACAGGTTAAGGATATGGTGTACCGTGAACGGAACAGGAAACAATCACGTACACCCCATTTCGACGTTCCGAAGCTCATCGCACCAAGCTATGAATAAAGAATATCAATGAATGGTGAGTGCTATGGCGGAGCAACAAACGTTTTCTAACTTACAACTGGCACGGAGACTTTGAGACCAGACTTGCCAAGGGAGCGGTACTGAACTTTGGACATTGTGTTGATGAAGAAGACGGTTTATTAGCAGTTGATGATCTAACACCCCTGTATTTAAACGAGGCGCTAATTCTTGCGGTTAACGCATAGGTTGCATGACGAAGCTTTGTAAGTAGCTATAGTGAGACGGGTGCTTACGAGTGCTCGGTGACATGGATATCCTTGATAGCTTACGGATATCAATTATTATGACTGTGCAGTAGTACTAGTACGTATGATCAGTGATCAATGAGTCATGATGGTAGATGGCAATTCCCACCGGAGATAGCCTAAGCCTGAGGGCGCGGCATGTTCTCCGCACGTGACTAGCCACTCCGAGCATGAACATCCTCAGGTGAGAACGTCGAGGGCTCGGATACGGAGAAATGGTCTTCAATGACTGCAATTCATGGGTCCTTGCCTTATTTCAAAGTTCTTCTATCACCGCGGCTGCCAGTGATTTCGTTTATGATAGTTTTATTTTTGAATGCGTTGGTTTGCTTGGTGCAGCTCCGCAAGCAGATTGATTCTGCAGCAATATGTGCGATAGTTACCAGGGCTCAAAGGAACACAAAATGCTTGTTTTCATAATCTAAAAGTTGTATCCGCGATGCCTAGGATGTTCAGCAATACCAATTCGTGTGAAAACTCGGCTCAGGGTTGTTACCGCCCAAATTTAGCATACCCCTAAGTGCCTACGGGAGGGCCTCATTTCCTGAGCAAGTACTTCTTGATTCAATTTTGGATGACACGATGAAAGATCACAGGTTGTTGTAGATTGTGATCCTCTTGCATGAAGTGCTTGGTGTGGCGATACGACCCACAACTGGCTTGACAACGAGGGCAGCAGCCAGCACATGTATTACCTAATCAATACACAATAGCACACCGACACCACACAACGTGGCCGTCATCGACTTGTTTTTCAATTGTTCAAAGTTCGTTCGTTAACATCCTCCCGGAGAGCTCATCTGGTCGCAATATTTCTTCCAGAGATTAAAATTTACTAGAAACTCATTAATTCTTGTTTTGTCCTTTGCTTCGAACATTCTCACCTAATATTGTGAGTAACTTTTTGTATTGACCTGTTTACGAGCGTTCAATTCCTTGCTTGACGACACTGCACGTCCTGCACAATTCAGTTTACCCAGAATTCGTGTATACCTCTAACCTCGCCCCCCGTGCGCAATCGCCTTCATAATCGTCGCTGTTCCTCACCTCAACCGCGATGACTCGATTTGGCGATTTCCAAACACTTTGCTCCCAGGTCCCGTCATACACCTGGTGTAATCTCTTTTATCGCCAGGTCTGCATCACTTCATACCCCATAAACATTTGCTCACCTCATCCCCTCATTAGTTAAAAACCACTGATTCAACAGTCTTGGCTGGTCTATCTGCAAACGCTGCCTCCGCCCCGGTTGGTGTTAATCCAGAGTGTGGGATACCAAAAGTAAATACCGACGGCTCTCTGGGCAACATCGCCAATATCATTGCTTGCGGTCTCAGTTTCTTCGTTGTCGGTGCTTTGATCTACTTCACTGGGAGGCGCAAAGCAGCAGTCGGTTAGTCTTCTTACTTCCGCCAAACAGACTTCTTTCGTCTTCAACCATATCCTTCCCCACACCCTTCCCGTCCCCGTCAACTAATCCTTTTATATCACAGGCCGTGTGGAACTGCGGATATTCTTCATCTTGTACCTCTTAACTCTTCCCTTCCAGTTAATTACAACTGGCTCTTTCATTACCCAGGGCTCAACCGCCTTGGTTGCGCTTACTGCCATCCAGGCTGGTCTCGTCGCTACATTATTCTGGACGTTGCTGGCCAATGCCATTGTAGCAACGCAAATCGTGGAAGACGGCACCCTGAGCTCAATAGTAGTACGTCCTTGCTCCATTCTCCAACATACAGCCAGCTCATCCCCCATCTAGCCCCTCTCCATATTATCTGTCGCATTCTTCGCTGCCACAACTTATATATCCTTGGACGTCGGATTCAGTTTTACAAATGCGCTTGGAAGATCAAACCCACCCCAATCTATCAACAGTATACCACTTTTTGTCCTCACTAGTATCTGGCCAGGAGTGTAAGTCGCGCGACTTCAATGCAACTTATATATGCTTACTCTTTCGGATCATCTTTTTAGCGCCGCTTTAGTCTATTTCGGAATCATGCTGTACATTGTCCTCGGGATTCTGAACGAAATCCGACCGGTGTGGTACTATGTCATCGCAGCCATTCTCTTCGTGCTTAGCCAGCTCGACTACTTCTTACTCAGCAAAATTATATGTCGAGTACGTAATGAATCAAGGATAATATGTTGAACTCCGCTGATGGGTCGCTACCTGCAGGGCTCATCAATGAAAGTTGACGGTTCATTCATCGCCACAATACTAGAGACTGCATGCGTAGTCACTCTCTACTTTGCATGGCGAGGAATCACAGAAGGTAACGTTATCTGTCCTCTATATCAACACTGCTCATCCATGTTACAGAGGACTGGGATAACGATCTCTACTAACAATCATGACATACACGAGTGGGCTTATGTTGTTGTGTTTGTGATTTTCCCTCCTTTATACACGCGATACACGTTACTCTTTGGTTTACACGCCTCTCCTTGCATCCCGCCTATGTATAGTCACCTACTTCTACGCGGAGTTGGCGCTGGGGCTGGTCGTGAGGCGTTTTGGGGCCAAGTTCCGGTTAAAAAGAGGTATTCCAGTGCCTCGCTGGTGCTTGGACTTGTATTTCAATGGGGTGCATACCCGAATATTGTTGTGCTGTAATATCACCATGATATATAACATTGATGATAAGGCTGTTGTTTACAGTGTTATACATATCTAAACGCGGTGATTCAAATATTCAACACCTATACGAGACGCTGTCTCAATAGTACAAATGAAAAGCGCCCGTGAGGCGTAAAATATGCGTCAGCAAATTTAATAAGGAACGTTTACAGTGAGCGTGTAGCAACTGCTCGGCAGCGCGATACTTGAAGAGGAAGTGCAATACTTAAAAGGGGGGGGGGGGGGGAATCGCAAAATAGTGTATACAATAAATCGAACTCAAGCCAGAGAAGCGCCAAGAAGGACACCGAAGACCCTCACGTCTCCTCGACGACTCGTTGGGTGATGAACGGAGTTATTTCAATGGAAACCCAGCTGTCGTCGGTCGACCCTCTTGCCAAACGACGAGACTTTTTGGACTTGAGGCTACGTGAAGGCGATAGCAGGGTGGAGGTAGGGCTAGCAGAAATCGGACTTGTCGAGCCTGAACTACTGCTATACGATATTGGAGAAACCGGAGTTGAACAGTCACTAGGGCGACGTTTTTTCAAGCGTCGTCGCGGACTATTTGGGGGTGTGGTGAGGTTAAAAGTCGGCTGGTACTTGTCCGCTATCCAGAGCGGGTGCGGTATGCGACTCTCGGGAACTTTTTGTTCCACACGCGGGACATCGACATGGGCAGACGTCGAAGTGGTCGTAACGGACCAATGTGATTTCTGCATCAACAGTGAGATATGTGAAATAGCATGGTACGATGACAGACGTACCAATTCTGTTTGTTTTGTAATGACTGGTGTGTTTTCAAAGAAACTCTCATCTGACACATGGCCTGACTCCGATGAGATGTCAACCGGCACCTTGCACGAGAGTTCTGTATCGAGCTTATCACAAGATGGGTACCGGCATATCGGCCGTACGGTAGGGTCCCGCGAGTATACGTCTAGTCCGTCCAGCGTCGAGGATGCCACCGTATTGGAGTGCTTATGTTGCTTGTAAAATTTCGGATTCCTTGGAACACGATGGAGGAAAGCTTTGAATGAATCTTGCAATGTTCCAATAGCAGCTACGGTACTCTCTTCCGATGTATATCTGTCGTGATCAGCGGCAACGGCTTGAGAAAAATCATCGTCCGAAACGTCAGGAGGAGTAATAGCTCCTGAGGAACTCTCGTATTCGTCGCTTGAGTCAAGTAGGCGTGTTCCGGAAAATGTCACCATCCCATCCTCAGGGTCCCATACCGCTGCGAAGGTCAATGCTGACTTTGGTGATTTGACAGGGGACCATTGGGTGCCACTGGTGTCCGCAGAGGTGCTGGCACTACCGAAGTCGAGCGAGATGGATAACTGCGGTATAAACGACAGAGAAAGTCAGACCGACTGTAGGCGGACTTAGAGAGCTTACTCGATCCTACCTTGTTCGGAACACTTGAGCTGGGACTACTTTGCATGGGGCTGTTGTCCATCTGGACTGCTAGTAAATTTTCTATGGCAGTGTTGAAGAATGAGCTAGAAACGAAAGGGGTTGTCGCAATAAAGTCTAGTCTAGCATGTGGTAGAAAGAGAGTCAGTCTCTCGCCATGCTTTCAGGCACGATATGGACGCACCTAAGGTTGGTGGCTAAATTGTTGTATGCCTGCACACGCGTGGTTACGATGACCGAGAAGAAGGAATGTGAGTGAGGGCGGAGGTAAGGGATGCATATTTTATAGATGATCGACTGAAAGTAATCTTGACGCCCTCTTTGCTCCGTGCATCAATAGAAGACTTGCATACTTGGTTACTTGCCTCATTCTGTGAGAATATTAAAACGTGCAACTTGTCGAGGCCTCTTCCACATACATCCGAAGATTGACCCCATTTTTGGGTCCACGTAAACGAAGGCTGTATCACTTTCCATAGAAGGGCACCTGCCCTTTCTTGTAATCACAGTTCGGGTTGTGATGTCAGTCTTTAGAGGGATTGACTTGGCTAACCCTTCCAAGTTAGTCTCTCTTGGGCAAACCATATCAAAGAAAGATAGTTTTCGCAGACCTCCGATTACCCATAACGATCCCTCCCTGAATCCTTTGCGACCATATGCGAACTCAAGAAGGGTGGTAAAGGTCAAATGGTGCGGGTGGAAAGCGAATCAATGTCCGTACCGACAGTCCGCGCACCAGACGCGTGTAAATCATATGAACACTCGGAAGCGTTGCAGCGACTCGCAGAGTGCCTTGCAATTCGCGGACATTGGAGGGCGTGCTTTTGTCGGATGAAATGGGCGGAACCCGGGCTTCTTTGCTGTGATCGGCGACTACAAGTGCATCCTTCCACACGAAAATTTTCTAGATATCGCTACATTGGCGCGTGCGAGGTTACATGTTGCCGGGAAAACGTGGTATTTAAAGATAGTATAAGCTTCGGATCACCGCGCTGTATACGAATGCAGTTCAAGTTTTCAGTCGCCTAGTAGGGATCGGGCCGCTGACAAGACATGAGGCAGAAGGTCGCCGGGACCGATGGGAGAATCGCAGTGATAAAATATGGCTAGAGACGTTATGATTCCTCCAATGAAACCGGGATTACACGCCTCAAAGAATGTGTTTGAGGAAGACTTGCGCAGCGGGTGCACATTTCACGGTATGCGGTTACTATTAGTCGAACCAGGAGTCGGTGACAAAGTTTAAGCGAGTCATAAAGGGTCTGGAGTAATGAGTCCTCGGGCTTGAGAGGAAAAAAGTAGAACGTACATGATCAAGTAAGAGCGGAATATGAAAAGGCATAGACGATTTTTAAATTCTATGACCAAACGATCGACCGAAAATCCAAGTTCGCCTCCTCCCATGATCGTTAATCTGGAAAACCAGCGAGGGCTTTTTTCTGGACAACATTCACAAAGTCAATTATAGGCCACTGACATGACATGGGGTGGGATCTTGAGTCGAAGAGACTGCTCCAAGCAACCTATAATTCGCACTTGTCGTTGGAAAATCGCACAACGGGTAAGCGGATGTCCAAGATAACCCTTATTTCAATTCCTGTAAGATGGTAGGCATGTTATAGTAATGAGTGTGAGACAGCAACAAAGGGTCGCGTCTGGTGACAGTAGCCGAGGACGTTGCATACATGCTGGTATTAATTCCTTCCAAACTAGATACTAACTAAACACAATAATAAGCTCACTGGACGCGTCCCTCGTCCATGTGAGCCAGATCCTGCTGAGCGCTCAACAATACTTCCTAGAAATTCCATCAGTCAACCTCGCGCATTGTCACAATATCACCTACTGTCACAAGCGCTTGTCGCGCCTCGTCCTTAATCTCCTTCCACCTCCCCTCATAGGTCGATAGTAGTTGCTCATACTCATGTTTCCGAGCCAATGACCCAGTCCTGATGAGAGACTGCAGAACAAAAATGCCTGCAACCCACTCCACTTCATCTGTCTCCCAAACCGCATCGCGCGCCATTAGCTCCGAGAGTGATTCGGCCGTACCGGCATAGTCACCACGGAAACTCAACAAGCCAAGTTCTAGCGCTGCGCCATGAATTTGTGCCCATTGGATGTAGTCTTTGCGCTTTTGGCGGTCTGCGGCGATGCGCTCCATCTCATCGCTCATCGTGGTCCCGCTTGCCGGGGCAAGGACTGGGTACCATATGGACGATTTACGAATGGCCATCTGCAGTGCGCGAGGGCCGGCAACTGGGCCGGAGACACCTGCATGTACGAGCGTGGCCGGGAAATACCCACATGCTTCGGTGAAACGACGGAGGATAGTCACGATCGTGTCGTGATTTGAGGCAGTCCGTGAGGCTGTTGGGGCGTTGAGAGATGAAGTGACGGCCGCAAAGAGAGCGTCGATTATGGGATTTAATGGAGTCGGCGAGGGGTGTGACAGGACATAACTCTGAATGAGCGATGAGAGCGTCGGAACATCTATTCCTCGTGTAAAGAACGCGTCTCTCAAAGCGTTGGGGCTAGCATTCAGAGCAAGAGTGGCCGCAGAAGGCACCGTTACGTTGGTCTGGAAACTGAACTGTATATGACCAGTAGGCTGAGGCGGAGGTACATGCTGTTGAGATTGCTGCTGTTGTTGTGATGACGAACTAGCAGTTTGGGCCGCTATGTCGCTTTGGGCGGCGTACGACACAGTAGTTGGAGTCTCGAGATTCGGGCTCCATGTTAAGCTATTGTGACCAGGAGACCCAGAGACTATAATGGAGATCTAAGGATCAGGAGAGTGGTACTCATTTGAGATCCAAACCTTTCTCAGCTGGCTTCTTGGATCTCGTTCTTCCCTCAAGCTTTCGTCTCGCTCGGCCCACGGTATTCTTGTACCAATTGTATATTTGCTAGGGTCAATACCTCCATCAGTACATTTTCGCTTCTCAATTAAGTATCGGCAGTAGCAGCCCTCACCTCCCGGAACCTTGGTTCTGCCTCGTCAATCCCCTGGAGGTCCTCTGGCATGCCGAAACGGACAAGGAACTCATTGGCGCGGTCCAACGCAAACTTCTTGGCATCACCTCTCACATGTCCGCGAGTGCGTGTCTCAAAGCCGCTTATGTGACTTCGCAGAAAGATGAGCTGTTCGTCGGTATAAGCCTTGGGCAACCTGGGTTTGCTCACCCTGGGATCGCTGGCCATGGTATCGTGAGGCTGACACAAGGTTCGCTCTCATTCTCATCCTTCTTCGGCAATACCCGAGGGATCGTTCCCGATGGGCCTAAGTTTATCACCGTGCGGAATTAGAGCGGACTCTTTGAATCATTTGTGGTTTCGGATCACCTTAGGTTCAAGGTCAAGGTCAAAGGAGTGCCATATAATCGTGCAATTGTAGGTAAGTAAGTAGCGTTAGTAGGGAGTATACACGTAATATATATGTAGCATCGCCTAGTGAGGTATGCAGTTTAACTTTTGGAGAGCGTGGGTTTGCGGCAAATTGCGAGGTACATGGGCGTGAAGAGCTTCAAAAGGATCATGAACCCCTCATTTAGATCTACAGAAAGGTGCTTCAACTTACCTTTGTCTGGCCACCTTTCACAAGCGCATCAGCAGCAACCTTGAGGGACTCGCCAACATCATAAGTGCCTTTGGGTAGAAGATTAAGCATCTCCATGAATTTGATTGCGGTGTGTGAAACGAGCTTGCCGCTCCAGCTCATTCGCCAAACGGTAAAGTAATCCCAGGCAGTTTGGGCCTTCAAGATATCGCCTTCAAGTGGGATAATACCATGAAACTTCGTCAGGGCGTTCAGCTAGATCCTCTTCATGCTCAATCGTGAAGCCGACGTTGACCATGGCTTCGCGGGCTTTCTTCAAGTGACGCATCTCTGGGATACCATTGCCAAACTCAATGGCATGCGCAAGTTCCTTGTGCGCAGGGATCGATGGATCCCAAGCGTCAGTCATGCACCACTCATAGACGCCGAACTGCAAACCAATGTTCAATATATTGAACCATGAAGGCAACAACTGACATACCACTCCTCCGGGCTTCAGAATCTTCATTATTTCCCCATACACTCCTTCCCACGTAGGTGCATGGATGGTGGCTTCAATGGCGTACACTGACCACGATTGTGTTTGAGTTGAACTATATCTCATGAGATTGCACAAGCACCCACCGGCATCGAATGAGTTCTCGCCAAATTGTTCCGACAGCTTCATAAAATCACCCTTGGCGAAACTGACTTGGTCCTCAAGACCAGCCCTCTTGGTGTACTTCCGAGCACGTTGAATCTGGAAATCATTGTTGTTCAAGCCAACGATGTTGACGTCGGCAAACCGAGCTATCTCGCGTGCGGGACCACCGACGCCGCACCCAACATCCAGTACGCGCATACCAGGGCGAAGCGACATCTGGGCTGCGAGATAGTGCTCATGACGGGCCAAGGATGCTGCGAAAGCCTCTCCTTTGTAGAATCGCGAGAAGTGGAAGGACTGTGCCCAGCCATACTCATACAACTCCGTTGCCCCATCGTAGTAACCTGTGTTTTATGTCACTAAAGAACCGTTCAAAAAAGTCATAAGGCAATACCATTTACAACGTCGGTGTAGCTCTGAACACGGTTTTGATTGTCCACTTCACTCTCCTTACCAAGATCCTTTTGCCAGAACTTGGTATAGTTCCCGACGCGTTTTTCTTGACGTCCGTCAGCGTACTGAATGGAATCCATGGTGCCTGCAGAATAAAATAACATAAGTAACAAATCCGATCTCCACAACAATAAGAAGAGATGCTGGAGCAAAACTTACTGGGCTAGACTGTAATGTAGGATGAAATTATGAGGGAACGGAGCCAACCTTGCAGCCGGTGATTTCAGTGTGGATCAGTTTCCCCTAGGCAGACTTTTAATTTATAGACGAAGAAAGGTAGTCGTTCCTTGATGTGATCCAGTGATGAAATTATGAACCCGACGGAAAGAAATCAGGTCATTTTGTGGGGACCTGAATCACGTGGACCGACTCTGGCTAAATATCTTGCGTGTATATAAGCATAGATCAATAGATAGATAAAATAATATTCACTTTCAAAATCGACTGAAGGTTGATTTCCCCTGGTCAGACTGTTAGAAGGAAGATAGATATTCCTTCTAACTGAACGTGGTCAACGTTCACACCTGTGCCAGATGCGGGGAATCTCAACTGTCAGAGTGAGTCACCTTCAAGTTGCAACAGCTCTTGGACATCGAAGGGCACGTTCCCGTCGCATTGGCTGGAGTGCTTCTCGACTATCATGGGGGACTGCATGTAGTATGCGTACCCATTAGGTTACCGTAATGTGATGGAGAACGTAGCGTTCAAGTTGAGTTGTGGACTAAAAAGTTTCGGATCACCTTTTTGTATGGCTTCGAGCGTTTAGAATCGTCAGGTGAGCCGACGAGAGTATCGCAAAAACGTTGTGTGTGCCCTAGAAGGCGCTGTCAGAGACAAGGAGGCGAAAGATTCTGCAGAGAGAAGTTGAAGATAATATAACTCTGCAAGAACATCCTCTGGCATCACGCCTTGTCGTTCGAGCGAATGACGTTCCATTTTATGAATATGGAACTACAAGGTAAAATATCAAGATGCTCGCGATCAAGGGGAAGTGGCGATGCTATTGTGAAGTTCGCTGTCGCAGCTGCTCTAGACAAGATATCGAGCACAAGAATCTACGGCCCTATCTGTATCACAGATACTCATTTGATGCCGTTTCCTAAGAACAAATCATAAAGTGTCAGCTAAAGACGGTCCAGGAGATGCAGTGTTTCTGCAACAAAAGAGTCACATATTCTGATTGCGTGCAGCACCACATGGTGAAATTGTCGCTGCGTCACTCGAGGGTCGAGTCTGGGCATTAAAGGCTCCAACATTTACTAGAGCAGTTTGGTCCTTGGAGTAAAGACTAAAGTAGTTTGAGGAACATGAAACATGATTACTCGGAGTATTTCCGAACGGGGGAACGTGACACAGCTTTCAAGGTCAAACCGTCACTGCTCTGACGGACATCGACAAACCACGTCATCTCTCCCTTTTATACCTTAATACTAGCTAGCTAGGAACCGCATATCTTGCAGAACTGAACGTGGTATGCGATGAGCTCGGCAGGTGGACTTTCTCGCAGGCGGGTGGCTGGAGCTTCATCGTCCTCAGCTTCGGATGACACCCCAAGTCCTAGCTGGACGCCAAATGGTCCCAGCTCTAATGGAACAGTTCTGACACACGCAGGCTCGGCTTTTGAAGGCGGAAGCAAAGTCGCCTGTGATCCTCGTGACCTCGATCAAGTCCAGGAGGACAGTCGCTATGGTGGAAGAATGCCTCGGCTGACAATCATGGAAGAGGTCCTCCTTCTCGGTCTGAAAGATAAACATGTATGTCTGGAACCTCTTTTATATACCTCATACCCTTCCTTTTCTGTTCTTTTGTACCATCTGCCCTTTCTCCCAGGCTGCCCTGCCTCCGCAGTATGGCATGATATACCTCTTACCTTACCTCACAATCGAAGGCGCCTCGCTGCATGAGCCGGACGATATTCATGCATGTGTCCTCATTTGCCACGCCCTGACGTCAGCTCTTTGTAGGGCTATCTCTCTTTTTGGAACGACAGCATATCCTATGCACTTAGAGGGTGTATTCTTATCGAGCTCGCCCTTCGCCGCCGCATAGCTCTAGTCAAGGATTCAAATCAACGACGGAGTCCACTCGCGGACAGGCTAGTTGAGGTTATTGACGACAAACAGACTGGTGAAACTATCCTTGATGAAACGTTGAAGATGATGAAGGGGCAGGAGACGGACAGAATGTCAATAAATGGTTGGGTTGATCTTCTGAGTGGTGCGTCTAGAATTTCACAAGCATTCTATGCCATTATTCCCGCATTGATATGCATCCCATTGCGAAGCTGACTTTCTCGACAGGAGAGACGTGGAATGTGATGAAAATTGGATACCAACTTAAGCAAGTTCGCGAACGTCTAGCGAAAGGATTGGTGGATAAGGGTATTCTGCGTACTGAGAAGCGTAATTTCTTGCTGTTCGATATGGCCACACACCCAGTCGCGGACGTACGGACGAAGGAAAGCATTGTCACACGAGCGGTATCACTTCTCACTGCGACCACTTCTACAGTACCACCGAGCGCTTTGGACAAGGAAGGAACTCAATGCAGGGTCACACGTGCTGTTTGCTTGGTATGCGCGGCATATGCAGCGAGTGTATTGGACAATGCGTTTGGCAGATTGACATATGAAGACAGGGAAGCTGCCTTTCAGAGATGTGACGAGGTACTGGCGGAGTTTGCATGTTGGCCATTCGGGTCTACTTCGGCAACAGGGACTGGTGGCGGGAGAAAGAGAGATGCCGTGAAAATTGGGATGGGAAATACTCCTAGCGGACGGGAGAGCGTACTGGGACTTGTGCAAGAGGTGAAGCGGGAGATGAACGGAGAAGAGGACCTTTCGTTTCAACTGATTGCAGGAGTCCTCGAAGTTCTCTCAAAATTAGATTCGCTGTTGTGAGATGAGCATATCCAGCTGACCAGTACTATTGATATTTATACTTGTGGTGCACATGTTTTTGGTTACTTGGCGTGGAGTTCTACCCTGAAGTGACAGCGAGGACCCATGCTGACACATCCATGCGTTTCTTTGGCGACATTCTCAGGACGCAATCATTTTCGATCACATACGCTGTGCTCGATTGCTGTGCTCTTTCAGCTTTTCTAAAAGGCCCTTTCACAAACTAACCAAAGTCTCTCACCAGAGCTCCTAGTCCTAGGTCCTATCTTATTTTATTTTGCCATCAACGCAACAAGATTACTTAATGGGCCACTCCATTATTTAGTTCATATCATGATTCAATGCCTCGGACTTGCACACACTTGATCGATTTTCCCGCTAGGAATTCACTTGGGGTGATTTTTGCCTAAAAGCTCATCACAACTCGTCCCTGATCATCTTTTACGACAAGTTGCTCCGTCACCCACAGATTGGTCATAAAGCGAGGGTCGTTATCAGCACAAATCCTTCATTGCCATCCATACCCATAATCGTCCTCTAGCACCGGCGCTCCCGGACATTCACTCAGATGGCTTTCAGTGTGGTCTTCCATCATGATGCTACAGATCCGCTAGCGGTTATCAGCGCACCACCCCCGAACGAATCTTCACACGAGCGAGCCGCGAGGGAAGAACGGGAGGCCGAAGCTCAAAGAATAAGTGATCTCATTGACGACGAAATTCGCGCTGAACGAGCGATAAGAAAGAAAGAAGAGGGTATAGTTAAGATCCTACTATTGGGTCAGAGTGAAAGTGGTCTGTCTATTCAACTTCTAACCATTCCCCCTGCCTCTCAGCCTTTACAACAGGTAAATCAACAACCTTGAAGAGTAGGTTACGTTGCCTTCTGATTTCGTCATCATTGAATGAAACGTCGCAGATTTCCGTATGCGATTTGCCCGAGATAGATGGATAGAGGAGCGAGCGTCATGGCGAGCGGTTATACTGTTAAATCTCGTCCGGTCTGCAAACACCATCCTTGATGCGCTATCACGGGAGATGGACAATGTTGACCCAGACGAACAAGATGATGCATTCAAGTTCGACGATTACTATCGTCAATATAAAGTTCGCCTCACTCCGCTGCAGGTAGTCGAGAGTAATTTGAAACGCTTACTCGGCGCCACCGAAGATATCCAACCACGAAAACAAATTTCCCCAACAATCGCACCCTGCGGCTCACCAGAATTCTTTGTTCGTTCTCGGACTTGGCGTAACTTTATTCAAACAACCCGAGGTACCGAGTCCCCACGACATTCCTGCCAGCAGGATCTTCCCATTTTACTCGACAGCACAGACGTGATCGCGAACGGCAAAGATGACATCAAGGCTCTATGGAGGGATAGTCACATACAAGCCATGTTATGGAGACGGAAGACCCGGCTCGAGGACTCTGCCGGCTTGTCAGCCTATTCATATTCCTTTCTCGCCTTCTTTCTCTGAATTCATCTGCTCGCAGCTTTTTGGACTCAATCGACCGGTTATCGGTACGAGATTACGAACCAACAGATGACGACGTCCTTCGCGCTCGATTGCGCACCCTTGACATCCAGGAACACGACCTGATAGTTGACGACAGTCAGTGAAGCGTGAGATATTTCGCATGCGTCCTGAATTCATTTTTGCAGAGACCGATGCTCCGAAATGGAAGATTTTCGATGTTGGCGGCTCGCGCACACAAGTCCGTGTTTCGCCGATTTTCCAATTCATGCTCATCGCCGACGATGTCTGCTAGCGTCACGCTTGGCTACCGTATTTTGACCAAGTTAATGCGGTCATATTCCTCGCACCAATCTCGTGTTTTGACGAGCGACTTCTTGAAGACCCCCGTATCAACCGTCTGGAGGATTCCTTCATACTCTGGAAAGCGATATGCTCCTCCAAGCTTCTCTCGCGGACGGTCCTCATCCTTTTTCTAAACAAGATGGACATTCTCGAGGAGAAAATCAGAAACGGCGTAACAGTGAAGCGCTATCTCCCCAGCTACGGCGACCGGCCAAATGAGACGAATGATGTTGTCAAATGTATATATTTCTTGCTGTGTCGTGAACTTTCAGCGTGATTAAACGACTTGCCTCTAGACCTTCGACAAAAGTTCAAAGACACGGTGAGGTATTGTTCTCCGGAGCCGCGGGTATGTCATATATACCCGACGTCCGTTATTGTTGGTTATTCCCCTTGTTCTAGGCCGAAAGTCCTGTTAATCTCCATTTGCTTGATAGGATACGAAGAATATGTCTGTGACGCTGATATCTGGTGTGTGCTTTGTATTCTCCTGTGTTTGTTGAAATGAAGGAACAATCTGGCAGTGCGGGACGGGATCTTGCGCGAATACCTGAAGCGGGCGGATTTGTTCTAGGCAGCGGATCACGGAGTGATAGAAACATTTGTAATAACATCACATGCGAAACTTCGGCGAAACCTGATGAAGATACGACAGTTGACGATATAGATACGACAAGTGTAATGAGTGCACGAATACCCCCTTGCTCGCTGAATTACGACTCTCGTGAATACCATATCGTAATCCATAGGGTCCCAGGGCATAATACAATCAGTAGACTTCTCACATGACCGCACGCTTAACTTAAGCTACAGAGGTTTCCATCCCTCGCCTGCTGGCCATTTGAGGTTGTCTGTTTCCTTCAGAAAGTCACGATGTACTCCAGAATTCTTCATCCGCTCCAGGTCTTCCCCTGAGCTCGGCTCGTTGTCAGTAGGAGACTCCGTATACGGATCACGATCAACATGAGCACCATCGTCGTCCTCCTGGATGAGTATCCGTCATCAGCCCCTGCTCGCCCTCCTCCATCCACCTCGCTGGCGCATGCGAATGGTGAACGAACCCCCGCCGACTGAGACCTGCCTCAGCTTTGTACCGCGCCGCATCGAGTTTCGGCTGGGCTTTGAGTTGAAGATTCGAGATAGTTTTCTGGATGTGGGACATTGGTGAAGCGTCGGTGGTGTCCCGGTCTCTTGTTAAAGAGAGATGGCGAGAGAGGCCCTGGAATGAGGATGTTCGTGTGTGGGGGGGAAATGCGGATACGGATGAGGGGAGCTCCGTTGTGCTTGACGCTGTAGTGAGCTGTATGCTCTCGGGACGCTTGCGCCGAGGTGGGGGAAGTGGGGGCGTTGCAGTGTGGCGCAGTGACTTGGACCGCGTGGGACGTATGGAGGAAGGCGTGATGGACTCTGGTGTGTCGTTTGTGGGTCTGCGATCCGGGTGGGTTGGTGGCGCAGGGTAGATGGCACGAGACGTCTGGTGTCGCAATTGAGAGGGAGTTTTCGGGAAGGGTTAGTTCTCTGGTGGGAAGCGGTGGGCGGAAAAGGGTGGGCGTATGTGAGGACTGATTGTTTAAGCTAGCACTTGCCACTTGGTCGATAGACGGCAGGGAACTCGATGTTGATGATGGAGAGCTGGGGGTTCGTCGACGGGGGAGCGGAGGTGCAGGGCATGTGTCTTCAGATCCCGATGAACGACTCCCGAGTCCTCTGCGGACCTGCTTTGTGGGACTTAGGCTGCGCGGCCTGCTGCTCACAGAGGAACCGGATGATGTCGTCTTGAGCACTTGTAGAACACGCTCACGATCCAGCTGTTCTTCAACACGCTTCAAGTTCTGACCATGCTTGCTAGCTTCCAGTGACTGCTTCATCAAGGGAGTCATAATGTGACTCGGTTTAATACTGCGAGGAGCATCGAATGGTGCCAGACCAGGTACGCTTCGGGACTGGGCTAATGATGCGCGATGTGGTTGGGAAACCAAGGGTGCTGGTTTTCGAGGAGGAAGGGGTGGTATTTTGCCATCGTTGCGCTTCTCGGGGGATTTCCGATGCAGGGTCTGTCCCATTCACTTTGTCCCGTATCAAGAACGGATTATGGCTGATCTTCTGTGGCAGACGGGAGGGTATGACGGGAGGGGTGTCAGATTGATCGGGAACAGATGATAATGAGTGCTGCGTTTCAGACTCGAGTGACTGGCGAAAGGGATTTGTGTCTGGAGAAGAAGAGTTTGAGGATGTGGCATATTGTTTGGGTCGGTCGGGATGAACTGGCGGAGCATTGAGTTGAAGCTTTGAGGGAGAAGTTGATCTTGATCTTGAGCGTTCAAGGACTTCGGGGATTGGGTGGACTAGAGTGCATTAATTCTGGTCAGTGCTGACTGGAGGATAAGGTGTTACACACCTTGGACAAACGCGAGAGTTCTATCAACGCATTTACCTGACACAGCATGAAGGACAAGCCTGAGTGCAGCAAAAAACTGGCCACCGGTGAGACAATCTGTGTGGAGCAAGTTTGGGTAGAAGAGTTTCAGGATCTGGGCGGGACGCATGCGGTTAAGACATATAAAGAAAGCGTAGAAATGGCCGAACCTTGTCAATATCCGCAGTTGGTAGATTAGGATATCTGCCTCTTAGCCATGCTCTGACTTCGCGGACGCCAACGGACATGGCTTCAAAGTGAGCATCATTGTGGACGGTGTTTGGGTCAGGTGAAACAGCGAGATCATTGAGAGCTGAAGTAAATAAGCTGTATTCGAGATCATTGAGAGCAGATACATGAAGAACTAGTGGTCGCATTGCAAGCAGGAGAACTTTGCATGAGTAGTAAAGCGCGCGCAAGACTAAGTAGTAAGCAACGCCATTCTGCGCTAAAGACCACGCTAAAATGATGCACGTGTTTTGTGACCACTACCATCATGTCAACTGAGCTTGAAGATCTTCCACCGCCATACACCCCTACTACAGCACCCCCCATTTGGGAGCCTCACTTCATAGATCTCTCCCAACATTCATCTCTTGTTCTTCGCAAGCCCTTGGATCCTCCACCCGACTGCTTCTCCACTCCGTCACCTCCAAGAGTGAAATCTAACGATTTCCCTCCATTCAGAATTTCCTGTGCTGGAAACAACCTCGCAGATGGTTTCCGCATTCTTTATCCCTCCGGTCTACTTGAGAAACATGGCATCCAACAGGCAGACTGGACCCGCTTCCTGGAGGATCTCGGAATCTCTGCTCGTCTTGCGGGTCAGGGGCTCAGTGCAGTGGGTTCTCGCGTTCCCATAACACCACTCCCCGTCCGTGGTATATTCAGCACAAGAGCAACTGGGGCCGTGTATGACTCTCAGTTCACGAGAAGTCCTAGGGACGAGGTGCAGACACTTATTACCGTTTGGAATCAGTCTGCGTTTGAACGACGCAAATTGCATGTCACTCTGCAAATCAAAGCAGGGGTGGATAATAGGGCCGCGTACGAGCTTCTTGTCGAGTCTCTTTGAAACGCTTATGACAAACTTTACACATACCACCGGAAATTCTTTGTATTCCAGATTCACATCAGGTGTAGCACGTTTGTAAATCCACGTGCGTTCGTGTCGACAGCTAACCATCACTTTATTTCATTCACGCTACTTTACGAACAAATTGTCTTTAGAATTCTGGTGATATGCAGCAGCGCTATATGAGTCTACCGGTGCGTTTAATACGCCAACTCACTTTCAGTCAGTGAGAGCACAACAGCGGTTGCACAATGTTAAGAGCACTGAATCGTCCTTGTATGATTTGCTTCCAAGTTCGCAATAGCGAAAAGGCGGAAAGCTTCAGCCTAGACCAACACAGCAAAGAATCTGACAGTTCGAAAGACCGAAACGTGCGCATAGCCTGAGGACAGATACAAGTACAAATTCGATAAAATATCCACTAGTCTACCAGCCATTGCAAGCCCTTAAAACAATGACGATGGAGCAGCTGAAGAAAATATGGGAAGCAGTTGAACCTGTATTCTCCCTTACTTTATAGATTGGACCGACAGTTCTGGATTGTCGACAACAATACAAATGCAAGTGCGAAGCAGCGTAACCCTCGCATACTTGCGAGAGTCGCGGCCAAGGGACTTGCTGAGATGGTGTCGGATATAGATGAAGTTAACGCAAGACGATGTCCACCAAGTTTGAGTACAGGGGGCGGAACCTACAGGAACGCTGTCACTCAGTGTCGATGGAAATCTCTTGCATCGATCATGCTCACCTTGACAAGGTTCTCATTTTCTTGGGAGCTTCATCAACGTTGTACCTGGGTTAATCCTGGAAAAAAGCGTCCGAGAGTAATTGGACCAAAATGACCACCGCAGGGGTCGAACCTGCAATCTCCTGATTCCTTCGTTATCGTAGTCAGACGCGATGCCATTTCGCCAGGCGGCCGTGCTGTTCTCATCATTCCCGTTGGAAATGTCACTCCGGTTTCTTAAAAGACGGCCGTTGTTCCAACATGAGGGCAAGGAAGACGCCCTGCTCAGGCAAAGACGATCTAAGTCTAAAACTATAAAATGCGCATGATAAGCACTCAGTTTCACGTATCACACCTTGTGTAATAGTTAACCTATTTAGTATTCGAAACCACGACAACAGGTGGTACACTGTGGTGAATGATGACCCTACGACAACCCTATAAGTACACAGATTGTAAGTAGTTGGGATCGATGCTAGACAACCGATCCCTTCGGTATGTTCGGGAACTCATCCGCAATCAAATTCCTGTTACATATCAATGACCGCCTAGTGAATTTATGTTCCGGGCGAGAAACAATTGTGATCCCAAAGAGTGACTTGGTTGAAATCTCGGTGAGAAAGTTGACTTGGGTTTTCGTGCTAGAATGAAGCCAGCTGATTCGCGCCGAATCCCAAGGACTTGGCGTGATCATTCCGGGAGCAGGGCTGTTTATGGGGTGATAATCTGGTGCATTTCATGCGTGGTAAAGAGATGGAGATGGAGTGAGCCGGAAGGAGGTCATAATTTGGCATGGACACTAGCAGAAAAAGACCAGATTGTGCCCGCCGATATTGTACGGAGGTATTTTACTGGCGAACCTCAGCCGAGTGCGCGGTGGGTGGGAGAGCTCGGTCTCCACTCTCTTCTGCAGATAGGTCATGCTCGCCACCGGCAGCTACACCTCTGTTCCAAGGTTGACGAAGAGGGAGGTGGTGTTGGGGAGGCAAAGGGGGAACTTGAGGTTCTGTTTTACCCAGAGTTGGACCATGCGCGGTGGCCGGACTTTCAACGGCCTAACCAAACATAGAGGCATACTAAATATAAGCAAGGTACATGTCTGACTAAGCTTGATGGAAGTCAAGAACATGGACCGAGGTACACTGATACATCACCACCACCTGAGGCAGTACAATGATCCATCATTCATGAATCACCCTCGCACTAGTTATCTAATGTATCATTCTCACAATACGGCCTGGAGATCTGAAATAGCAACCGATATAACGCAGGACAATCAACGAACTGTCAAATGGTTGCCCGGCTAATATGGAGGCCCTGACTACGACGGGGACACGTGAGGATGTCCATACCTCAGTATTTCAGAGAGCTCATGCATGGGCGCATGGTGTGTGGGATCTCACGATTGCTAATTTAGACATCTTCATTTGTTGACCGCATGCTCTCCACTTGTTGAACCGATTTGTGCCCGCCAAAAGCCGAAGCGGCCTTCTATTTAATCCCTTAAAATACCAAGGCTAGCATCTCTACCCTCGACGTATTCGCCTTCTCCACTTACCGTATCTTTTTCAATTGCTACAATGGGCGGGGGACCTGGAGGATCGGGGACTGGTGTCGCCACTGGTTCATTATTCTGGGCGATAATTATGTCCGCCTTCGCAGGTACTGTGGTTCTCCTATACTCTCAAGTCCTTACTCTAATGTATACTCTTGTCATTCAGCTTTTGGTGGTATTCTCTTCGGGTTCGGTTTTCATTAACGTGTTGCTCGTCGTTTCGTCATTGACATTACTTCACATTCAATAGATATGATACTGGTACCATTGGAGGTGTTATTGCCATGGACGACTGGTTGACAACATTCGGTGTATATGACCCCAGTTCCGCGAACACGACTGGCTTCGATTATTACCTTCCTACAGCACATAAAAGTCTGGTTGTACGTGAATGGTACTTTTCTAACGCCACTTTGACCGATTGATCCGACAGGTCTCAATCCTTTCTGCGGGAACTTTCTTTGGAGCTTTACTTGCGTATCCTATGGCGGACATTGTTGGGCGAAAGAGGGGTATAATCGCTTCTTGTGGCGTTTTCTGCCTTGGAGTGGGCTTACAGCTGGATACGCACTGGGCCGTTTTCGTGATTGGACGTGGTATGTTTAAATCAGATTTTCTTGGATTTGGATGACTTTCTTACACTGTAAACAACATCAGTCATTGCTGGCTTCGGTGTGGTATGTTCTAAATACTAACACTTTCCTTTTCATTCGTAACTTACAGTGGATGCCATAAGGGACTTGTTTCATGTTTGATTCCTATGTACCAGTCCGAGGTGAGTGTTCATCCTGCAAAAAAAAACTTAGCTTGACGGTTTTCAAACGTCATGTAGTGCGCACCGAAAAGCTTGCGTGGAATGATTGTTGGACTTTATCAACTTGCGAGTAAGTGCTTATTCTATATCATAATCGCATTCTCTTTATTTCCCAATCTTTAGTTACTATCGGAGCATTGCTTGCTGCGATCGTTCTAAATGCCACGAAAAATGAAATGAGCCATAGTGCTTGGAGGGTATGTTGAATATCTCGAGCAAATCATGCTATGGGGCTTACTTGTAATTTCTCAAGACTCCCATCGCAGTACAATTCGCATGGGCCGGTATTCTTAGTGGTGGCATTGTAAGCCCACAGCTCCTTTATCAGGACTTCTGCTGTACCAATCCGGTTTTCTTCTAGTTCCTTCTTCCTGAAAGTCCGCGGTTCCTCATGCACAAAGGTCGCGAGGATGAAGCTAGAAGAGCATTGGCTCGTTTCATGACCATGCCCCCCGAATCTCCTGAAGTTGAACTCGAACTTGATGAGATTGCGACCGCTCTTGCAGCTGATCGCGCAGTCGCGCAAGGGTCGTATATTGGTTGGTAATTTGATGCCTTCCTGTATACTCGTGCTAAGTGCCTGCTAGATTGTTTCAGGAACAATGACTCGAAAAACGGTCTCCGAACATGGACTGGTATCTGCCTACAAGGGGTGGGTTCTCCTTTGTTACCCTTACTTGTACTCTTTGCTCACATAGCTCTTCAATAGTGGCAACAACTGACTGGAATCAACTTCATCTGTACGTGCCATTGTCCAACTTCGATCTTCTCTCTAACCTTCATTTTGTTCCTACTTTAGTCTACTATGGCACTGTCAGTCCGTTCGATTTCGCGTGCTTATTATCGGTGACCTGAACTCTTTCTGCAGACATTCTTCCAACAAGCCGGAATCAGCAACCCCTTCATCATCACGTACGTTCTTGTCTGAAGCTCATATTTATATTACCGACATCTTTCTTAGTATCATTGCCGATGTTGTAAACACCGTAATGACCATCGTCGGTGTTCAACTGATCGACAGAGTGGGTCGTCGGCGCCTGCTGATCATTGGTGCTATTGGCATGTGTTTTTCTGAATACATCGTCGCGATCGTGAGTAGCCTGCCATTCACTGGAGGTCATTTTTCTCACTTCACCCATGATAGGTCGGAGTAACAGTAGGGCAGACAAAATCAAGTGTTATCAACGGAGTAGCCAGTACAACGGCAGTAAACTTAACTGCGCAGCGGGTCTTAATTGCTTTCGTTTGCATGTAAGGAATCTACCACTAAATTCCTGTCAAGTCACTCATTTATTTTCTCTCTTGCCTTCCTTAGTTACATCGCATTTTATGCTATCTCATGGGGTCCAGTTGTCTGGGTTATCACTGGAGAAATCTTCGCAAGTCCTCTATAACCACGTCACTTACACCAGTTCTAATATTTTCTTGGTCACTAGCCTCTCAATATCCGTGCAAAGGCCATGTCACTCAGTGTAGCTAGCAACTGGCTTTGGAACTTCGGTATCGGTAAGATGGCGTTTTGCCTTTCACTCTTCTCTGCTAATTACGAAATACAACTGTAGGATACGCAACACCTTATCTAGTCGACCCTACTACCACCGGTATCCTCGGCGTTAAAACCGCCCACCTGGGTGTTAAGGTGTTCTTCATCTGGGGTTCGACTTGTCTCGGGTGCTTCCTCTTCACGTGAGCTCTACCCTTCTGACCACCTCCATTGCATTATTGATCCGGCCATCGCCCCCTTTCTACTTATGCAGCTATTTCTTCATACCCGAAGTGAAAGGACTTTCTCTCGAACAGATTGATCTTTTGTACCGCGAGTCTTCCAGTATGTTTATTATTGCCTTTGGTCCAGTCCGAGCAGTGCCTGACCGTTTATTTAAGTTCTCAACTCCGATAGGTACCGCAGACAGATGCTGGAAGAGGGCGAGACGTACGTCCAGAAGAAGAAGGTATGCAATAGATGACTCGTTTTGGTCTATGGTGTTTAACTTTTACTCTAACTCTTACAGGATTACGTTGAGGAGAAAGAACGGGTCTGAGATATACATTGACTCTATTTTTACGAACATGCAAAGGATGTAGTATTTTACCCAGGTCATAATAATCATTTCATTACTTTCATTGTCAGATAAGAACTGGCGCATGAGCTCGACCAATTGATATAATTGTTGCGCTAAATATGCGGCGTGAAGCTTGAGGTTTGTTCATCGTACCGCATTAGATGTCAACTTGTCCCTAACACTACTCGGTGGCTCGCAGGTTCTTTGCGGTATACCATGTCCACGTACCTACTGAAAAACCGCGGATTCGGGAGGCGCACTCCGTTCTTTATATTATTTGCGCGCTGCGCGTCTTGTCAATAGAGAGCCTGCACGTTTTAATCAAGACTTCCCGCGTGTGCGTACTATCTTTTGGTTCCACGGACTCCTGTAAGCGTTACCCCGTCCTACTTCATGACTTTCTCACTGAGTACCACACTGGATGCTATCATCTTCGCTCACACACCCACGATCACCTGCTACCTCCTGTATGTCCTTCGGGCAGACACCAAAGACAGACGCCGACTCCATAGATTCCGACGATTCCTCAGGTATACGTTCCCCAAGCCCCTCCTCCACCTTCCTTCTCACAAAATCTACCACATCCACTATGCAATCCATGGTGCATGTCCCTTTTCTCCCAATGCCTTTCAACAGTAATGCTAATGGTACGTATCCTGCGCTTGGATATGTCTATCTAGACTCTGTTAGGACAGGATAAATCACCTTGGCCGACTTCTTCGTAACATCCGATGCCGCTACTGCAAAGTCGTTCATCCAAGCTCCTTGTCATCGTGTCACAAGTTCAAGAGTCTGAGGTATGTCCTTTTCCATCTCATGTCTTGTCGACTTGTTAACTTAAATGCAGATGGGTGACTCTACCAACATGATCATCATTCTCGCAACTGGAAGAGAACCTTCTCATCCACCCTAGCAAAGTCTGAATCAGGGTATACAAATTTGCATGTGCCAGAGCCCTCAGTGAATTCGAAAGTGAGTCACTTCCTCATCCTGTTTACGTTTCCTTATAAAGTGGCGCAGATCTATCAACATCTAGCCTACCGTCCCCTTTCACACAGGAATCCCTTATCACAGCCCTCAAACCTGTCACGTTCACTCGCATCGAGGAATAACAACTTGAAAGAGTATGTTCCCCTCCATCCTGTTACCTTCTACTATCTGCTGTCACTCAATAATCAGTTTAAAGAAATTGGCAATTCAGGCATAAAAATCATCATCACGGGCTCATACACCAGCGACCTCGCCCTACACTACCTCAATTGCTTCTCCAAAGCCAACCTCCGCTACATAGCTCGCATTTTCAACATCACACCTTTCACGTGCATCGGTGCACCCCACCCCAGAGGAAGCAGACTGCATCGAAACGTATATGATAATCTCCACACATACCACCAGAATTCTTTATGTCCTAGATTCACATCAGGTGTACATAGCACACGTTTGTAAATCCACGTGCGTTCATGTCAACAATTAATTACCCTTGCATAACTTTATTTGATTCACACTACTTTACGAACGAACTGTATTTGGGACTCTTTGTGCGATGTACAGCAGCGCTACTTGTGATAGCACAACAGCGGTTGCGTGATGTTAAGAGTGTCCTTGTACGATTTGCTTCCAAGTTCGTGATGGTGAAGAGGTGAAGAGCTTCAGCCTACAATTAGCCTAGACCAGCACAGAGAAGAATATGACGTTTTGGAAGACCGGAACGTGCACATAGCCTGATACAAGTATGAATTCGATAGCCTTTTAAACATGTCTATCAGCCTGCCAGTCATGCGAGGGAGCAGCTGAAGAAGCAGATCAATCTGTATTCAGCCGACAGTTCTGGATTGTAGAGAACAATGCAAATACAAGTGCGAAGCAGCGTAACCCTCGCATACTTGCGAGAGTCATGGTCAAGGGACTTGCTGAGATGGTGACGGATATATATAAAGTTAACGCGAAATGATGTCCACCAAGTTCGAGTACGAGAAGCAGAACCTGCTACGGGAATGTCGATGGAAATCTCTCGCATTGATCATGCTCACCTTGACAAGACTCTCATTTTCTTGGGAGTTTCATCGACGTTGTACCGGAGTTCTTGACCTGGGACGTACAAGCGCGCGCATGTCCCAACATGTAAGAGTCGTGACTCAAGAACCATTTCTCCATGGCCGTTTGATCGGTCTGAATGAGGGCTCCATGCTCGGGCGTCAAGCAAAGTGGATCTCGTCACCTCAGGTGTACTGGGTAGCTAGACACAGGATTAATCAAGTGGAAAAAGCGAAGATTCTCGTAAGTTGGACCAAAATGACCACCGCAGGAGTCGAACCTGCAATCTCCTGATTCCTTCGTTATCGTAGTCAGACGCGATGCCATTTCGCCAGGCAGGTGAGCCATTGTCATCGTTCCAATCACGTGTGACGCACACATACATGGGCCATAACACTCGATCGTGTGAAACATTCTTAATAAGGTAATGTTACCCGGTGTACATTGTCACACGGTGTGACAATGTTTGGGCAGTTTTGGTGATATTGGTACGATGTTTATGTGTACACCATTTGACTTGACTATGGTGCAGTCCTTCGAGATAATGCATTCAGCTCCAGATCCCCTGTTCAAGGTTCCTTCGGATAGACCTAGTGATGATCAACTGAAAGACACGCAATTATTCCACCAACACCTAACGGATTCCTATGCTCTAGACATCCGTTGGACTACATCGCCCAGCTCGACGACCAGAAAATTGCAGTCGCACGTTTAAGAGGCATCGTTTACGTACCGTAAACGATCCTCCATATTCCCGCTAGGCTCTTCTGCAGAGAAAGTTGTAGTAACTTACTGATGTTTATCTTTTTCGCATCGGTTCCCTACAGGTCAAGCTGGGTCTGCACATCACTATATGTTGGACTTCGATACCACAGCACGAGACCTCGCGCGTACGATTCTGGCGTGCCGGTTCCCGTAATTTATTCCAGAGGACTAAATTCGTTCATGGCTCCTCTACCCTCTCCCTTACAGTGCCGCTCCTGTCCTGCTCTCCACTCCCACATCGAGGGTCAGGCCGTCATGTCTGTTCTGCAAATAGTTAAGTTACTTATATTCTCATAATGTAAGATGGGGTACTTCGCCGATCGCGGTTGTCCTCCTCGGAGGCATCGTGGCCATATCTTTCCAAGAGATCAATTTGCCATAAGGACGTCGTTATGTTAACGGCCCGCAAATGCTTCGCTTATTTCGAGGTTCGATTTTAGATCATGCATTTGCTTGTCAAGGTTATATGGATGGCGGTGGGACTTGTCAAGGGAAATAAGAACCGCCCTTGCTACCTAAACAAGAAGGTCGGACAGGTAGAAATCTAACCCATTTACAGCCGCCAGTGACGCAGGGTGACCCTTCAAGTTGTCAGCCGTGTGATGATCGATATGCGACATCAGGCGGAAAGTGCGGTGCCGCAAGCTTGGCATGATGTCGTTAGGACGCCACAAAGTCACAACCCTTACGATTCCGATCAGGTTGCCTTATAAGTATCGTATGTGGGTAATCAGTAGCCCATCCTTCACTTTTTGAATTCCCTATTTCATCTGCACAGTGTCATGTCGGGACTAGAATCTCTCTATGCTCTTGAGTGGAATAACAACATATCAGGTTCGTTAGCCTTGTTGGAAACGAATCATTGTGCTGAACATCATCGTCTTCAGTTGCAATCATTACCCTGATATCCTATGACTACAGTCAGTAGCTTTCATGAACCTTGCAGTGCGGCTGAGCGTAATATTATCTAGTGCTTCAGCTCGAGAAAGAGGTAACGAGGAGGTCAGTTTATCATCGTCGAGTACTTATGATCGTATTATCGCAGATCACGTTTGTTTGGGTTAGAGCTCAACCCAAACGATATCAGGATGCGACTGACTGGATATGCAGCAAAGACCGTGGTCAGCGATGTCATATCTATACCTTGTTGTGAGCTCCACCCTGCCAAAGTGCTTCATGGTTTCCCATTTTTGTTGCTATGTCAGGTTCGATATTTTGGTATTTTGGTTGCAATGTACGTCGCGCTGGTTGTGTCTTCCGGGTGGTACATTGTATGTTGACGTTGACATCTAGGACTTGCGCCTGCTGTACGTGACGTGATTCCAACAGAGCCCTCATTAACTGACCAGCGTTAGGGGGAGGTCTATTTTATATGCCTGAAGCAGTGAGCCGGTATCGATTCTTTCTTTAGAGAATTTCATAAGTTGACCCAGATTCAGCCGTACGTCCAAATTTCGTTTCACAGCTAGGCCTGATCTGCTGCTTACCTCTTGTTTAGTTGTGAGTTATCGTATTCAACTGAAACTAGCTTTGTTCATCATGAAATTGAAATAGGTCATGGTATGTTTCTACTCATGCAATGGGGGTTTTCTGTATATTTTTGCTTGGCGGAAGGTAAGTCCAACCATATATACATTCTCATATCTTTGCACGTACCCATTTTGCATTTGCAGTCATTCTCATCTGGCGTCTTTACGCCCTATACAACCAATCCAAGCGTATACTTTATGTTTTACTGGGGTTGTTCATACCTATCGTCGCACTCTATATAGCGGTGGATATATTTTTATGGAGTCGACCCTCGGCGATCTCAAGTGAATTTCTACTTTGATCGAATTCTATGCAAGCTGATGCCTTGGTACACAGTGCAAGAAATAATAGTAACTCCAAACGTCAAGTACTGCACGTCTTTCTTCCACGTTGGGCCTATGCCTGCGATATATGCTTCCATTCCCGTCATATGCTATGATATTTTCCTGGTTGTTCTCGCCATTGCCGTCCTCAGAAGGCACCTGAAAGAACGGAAGGAACTTAAAATAAGGTCTAATGCCTATTTAGTTATGATCGTCCGATATCATGTCATATACTTTGTCCTGTAAGTTTCCTTCGCTTGTTGTTTCTCTAAAAGCATTCATTGAGCCACACTAGGAATTTGGCAGCTCAAATCTTCATGGCGATAATATGGGCCAACCTTCCGGTATTATCTCCCATGATTCTAAAGAGCTCTACTCTAATGCAGGCATCCACAGACTGTGGTGATGTATCTCGTACAGTTGTTCAACGGTACCGCGCCATTTATTATCGTGCCACGTGTCATCATCAGCATTTGGGATACGCATGCCAACGACAACTGTGTGCATGTCAGTACGACATTCGAGGATTGCATCTGTTGGGCTTCGCCGTCGACGTTGGAGCAGTACGAGATGGACTCCCGCGTATGATGTTCTGACTTGAGAAAGGAGTTAAAGTGAAGTCCTTTTCTCAGGCTCTCGTCCTGGCAAAATTCTTTGATACTTCATGGGAGCAAGTAGTTCAGGACCCAATTTTTCTGTGTAACTATGTACTATGATGTCCAGAATATTGGGATATATTGAGCTTGTATTTAACAAGGACCCGTCGGTCGACTGCAAAAAAGAGAAAAAAGACGATAGGAGACACCACTCCGTGTTGGAAGAGCCATGATGAGCCGTGGGTAAGCATCATCTCGCCAATAGTTGAAGTTGACATCGGGTTCGTCACCTTCGTGACGTCTAGCAGCACGAGTAGGACAAATGGGCGTCAGAAGAGCAGGGGAAAATATTGTGAAGAGTGTTTAGCGTATATTCTCGTCCTGTATGACATCAATGTCGGCGAGAGCTAGTCGAGAGTCCGCAACAACCCATAAAGCTGTATAGTGAAGGCGACGAGGGCTAGGTGATTCCATCGCAGATATGAGCACGCGTAGGTAAACAGATTCTCGAGCACAGGTGCCAAGTCCCTTCATAGCGCTCAGCGCTAATAAAGCAATGCAGTGTATGGATCTGCCCAATACTTCTCTCTTGGCCATATAACATTGACAGTTGGCAGGCAAGGGCCTTGCACTAGTCAAAGCTTCGTATAAGAATGACGCTGCGCCACCGATTCCAGATTCTCAACTGCTGAGAAGCAGTTCGGATGTTGGAATCATCTCCAATTGGCAGAATAGTCAGACAAGCATGGTTTAAAGCTCGCCCACAGGTGATTGTGCGATCTCCGGAGTCTCTCTTCAACGTCGAAACAGGCTGAAATTGTATCTCGGAGCTACTGGCAGTAAGACGCAATGTCTGAGTTCGGTGACCAAGTAATGATGGGAATGAGTGAGGCTGCGCTTGCAATGTCGTCGAGATCTGTGGATGTCACAAGTAACCAATGTATGGCAGATTCCATCCCAGGGTCACTGAAAGGCCTGGGACTGAGTAGTCGTTGTACGAACCTCGATATGGACGTTGTGACACCATGGAAGAAAGAACGAAAGCTTGCGCCCAGTATGTGCAAGTCTTTGTTCTTTTTAATAACCACACTTACTGCCCGCATGAATGCACCAGTCATGCGAAGTTTGAGGTAGCGGGCGTTTGAAAGGGACAATCTGGGGATAAAAGGGATGCAAGGAGGGTGCACAAGTGGAACGGGACGCCGAGCACCGTGGTCGCAATAGTGAAGGATGTGATGGTCTGCTGTTGTGTCCACACGTACGAGGAGAGGGAAATGCCGAATAGCAATAATGAAATTTCCAAAAGGACCGGGAACGTTTACGCCACAGTATCAAGATTCAAAATGCCACACCTTGAGGCTGTTAAACTATCTATCGGAGTCAAATATCTATGGGGGCATAGATGTTTGACTCCAATAGAGAGGCGCTTCTTGACCTGCTCCTGTAATTGCATACTCATCTCGTGCATGATCCCGCAATCCCTGCTGTACCTCATGCTCATCGCGCACCCGTTCTGCTGCAATGTGACGTTCGAGCAATCTGGTGCAGATAACTTTTGCCTTCTGCCCCACCATTGATACCGGTTCAGAACTGTCGTAGCCAGAATGTTCTGTAAATTCTGTCCACCACCAGCCCCGACTGGTACTACGAGTCTCTTCTTGCGGATAGCAGCCATGAGACAGTTCCAACGAAGGAGAATGAGTAAAAAGAGCAGGTGCCGCATTCCATGCTGAGACACAAAAACATATAGGCGAGAGCATGAGGATTCTGCATGGATTATTACAATGCGCGATAGTAAGCGCTTAGCGCTGCGCTCTACCGCTTACTATTATCTGTGATCATTATGTTTCTATATAAAGAATACAAGGACTCATGGCACCCCACAAATTCACAGTCAAGTGAATGTTGCCGACGGTCACCGACTTTCTCACCCTTTGCGTTCACTGAACGAACACTGTGGTCACTGACCGGCAGAACACTGCATAATACAACAATGCTGTGACACACAAATCCAAACTGACCAAAAAGACACGTATTATGAGACCCAACTCACTGGTGGCGCTCACATTCGTAACACTGATGGAGAGCATAAGATGTATAGTTAGCCAGCGTGTCAGCGATAGAACGATGGACAATACCAGAGATGCAATGGCAGAAATCGAAGACACGAGCTGCAAGTCCATGTCGATAGGACAACACTTGAATCTTCCCTGCACCCAGGAACAAGAATCAAAAGTATACCGACTTCAGAAGCGACGACGCAAGGAATTGTGTGCTCGATCGCTGAAGGATGATCGATAATCAAAGTATTCAGGAAGTTATGATCGCCGTCGGATGCACTCACTCTAAAATTGCGCCAAGATATCAAACCAAGCTAGTCGACTTATGGGAGAGGAATGTCCGCTATAGGTAGCGCTGCATGAACTGCATGAACAGGTCAGTAGGCCAATCAGGAAACCTTGAAGGTGATGGTGAACGATAGCATTTTGGCCGAGGACATGGTAAACGATTCTGGTGTGCCTTGAGACTGAAAAAAATGGCAGGGGTTACACGAGCGGACCGTTGCAGAATATCTGAATGCGCCAAGAGTGCGGGTTGCGACGAGGGAGAGCAGTTGGGAGGTAGCAGCGATGCAACAGGGTGCAGGGTGATTGTTCGAGACATGTCTAACTGTAAAAGAAACACGGAGAAGAGATGAGGAGAGCACGTGTGGGCAACAGTAAGAGAGGCCAGGGGCACCAAGGGAGGCCTGTGATTCAGAGGAACGAGTTGATGCAATAGGTGGCCTGCCGAGGGAGAACAACAGAGGGCGTCACATGTATCCGGGAGCGCGAAGGTGGACACTAGCTAGGTGTGCAAGATGACGAGAGAAGGGTGGTGGGTGGCCATTTGACCCATCGAGAGTGCTGCACGGCAGGGGAGGTGATGAAGGTAGGTGCCGAAAAGGCCTGCCCAGACCTGAAGAAAAGAAGTAAAGAGACAAGGGACAAAGAAGCTGCCGGTACGAACCTCGTTCCAACCCAACAAAAGCATTCGTCGCGCTCAAAATCCTGAAATAACACTCCCGATACTCAATATACTTTTCCTCCCCTGCAGTCTCACCCGCGCATCATGCTCGAACGGCGCACACGACAGCTGGATCAGCGGGTATGCCACTCCCCCTCCACCTGGTGTGTTCGTATTTCCAACCACTGGCGACGACGCGTCAGATGAAGACGACAAGGAAGAAGACGCATGTTGGCAAGCTGAAGACGATGGGTGTTGGCGGAGTGGTGCAAGTTAGACGAGCCCGTGCTCGGTAGTTGAGGATACGGAGTTAGGATTGTGCCATGTAGATGCGGGGGAGGCCACGGGCCATTTGTGATGAGAGCCTGCGGTTGGGTGCTGGGAGGGCGGAGGTTGTACCCTCCAGCGGATGTAGAGGCATATGTGGACTGTTGGTGCCGTGGATAGGCTCATACGTTAGAGGAGTTGGTGTACGATTAGTTTGCGTATCGAGAGGGGGTACCTTGAGCCTGAGGGTGAGTCGAACTGGATGGTTGGTAGCAGTCGCTTACGCTGGAGTTTGAGTAGGGTTGTAGATGGTTGAACTCGGATGATTGGGTATAAGATAGTGCGGATGACGAGTAAGGTTATGGATTGGCGGGAGTCGTAGGGTGTTCCATAATGGAGGATGAACGGTGGACTGACTGGAGGGATATTAGGATGGTCGTCCATGGTTGTGAGAGGGTCCAGACGAGGCAGCTGGAGGTGACTCATGATACGAATCACCATTTGGGCTAGCATAATATTGCTGCGGCTACTGGGGTGGGTATTCATATATTCATACCTAAACTGTGATCGTGAGTATGGTGTGGTCGTAGGGTATGCGTCGGATGGAGGCGCTCCATATTGCTACTGAGTCCGTGATGATGAAGGCCCGTATTGTAGGTGAGATGAAGGAGACAGATGCTGATATTGGTTGGAGGTAGTTGGCTGACTGTTGTATTGTCCAGCGGAGTGATATGATTGCTGGAAAGTGTTGGATGTCGCGTTCTGAACTGCGCTGTGACGGAGGATCAATGATTCGATCATAGTGGCGTCGAACCCTAACCCGACGAAGAAGAGGTACGGAACTGCTGTCACGGTAACGTTCCAACCAAGCTTCTTTCAGTTCTCAGGCCTGAACCCTGTCTACTTTCCTTTCCACCGGCCCTCATCGAATCCTACAATGTCAAGTGATCTAGCAGCAGCTTATTTTACCTTTAGTCGAGAAAACGAACCGTAACCTTATCATCATCTCCTTCTTGACTACTAAACTTTATATCTTCAGCTCAAACCGAATCATTATATGACTCGTCGATCTTCCCATCTAAGCTGTGTCGGACCACAGCTAAGCATGTGTTGCAACCGCACAATTTCCCTGCAACGGATCACTTCTACCACGCGACACGAACCAAATCTCACCCCGACGATCAATTCGCATCTTGGCGAACTCTGTTGATTCGTAGGCATCAGGATATATATTAAATCGACCTGGTTCCTGGTACTCTCATGACTGACCTATTTTAGCCTACTTTGCCGTATGTGGCCCACAAGTCAAGAAGTCCATGGACTCCATGCTTCATCGCATGCTAAACTAGCATCATATCGGCTCAGCATCCGGATTTTCGACATTTCGGGTCCTGTAGATATGGCAGTCATAGGTAAGTCTAGAGTAGAACTCGCCAGATACTCTTCTAAACACGCCACAGACAAGGATTGATCTCCCCGGTGTATCAACATTCGTACTAGTCTTTGTCTCCAAGACTTTTAAATTTCGATGACAAGCAATCGTCTACAAGCTTCCCTGATACCTTGCTGTCGATGATCGATCGTTCCATCGCAGGCTCATCAAGTCATTTATCACACTTTCACGACGGCTTACCATGACCATGACCTTTGTGATTCTCGCGACCAGCTAACGCCATCGGTCCACAGCATTTGAATGGTACGCTTCTCTTGATCTCAGTGTTCCACTTGATGCATATAGTAAAGATGACGCACGAGCAAGATGGTCGTTCCATTTTCCTCAAGTAGGCAGTGTTTGTCTGTCTACCTTCTTGACAAGCACATTTATCAGCCATAAAAAAGTGACGCGCGAAAATCCACCTTGGAACCAGCAAACCGATTGCGATTCCTTCATATCATTGTTCAAGCTCAGCGTCCAGTAATCACGCTTCTTTCGCCACTGCTTCGGACATTTTAATGCAAGGCCAGCGAAGTTAAAGGTGCATGATATCTAGGATAAGGGAAGATTCCTATCAGGTCTGCTTAGTGGAGGCGGCGTTATGTGTCAAGTCCAGCACGATATGCGGTACGCTGGTGCTAATTACCTTGACTTACCTCCGCGTTGACTGGGCTGTCATCCTCGTTAGTATACTATATACGTCGGACAATTCTATCCAGTTTGTGGAACTCAGAGGGACGTATGGCTAACATACCGAATGTACAGTGGGATTAGCTGGCATATTCAATGTTCTCATGCGTGTGGTGGCCTGCTGGGAAATAATTATTCCTTCATAGGGCTGCCCGAATCGTGTCGATTTGATGATACCTTGAAGTCATTACAAACTATCGTTTCTCCGAGTCAGGTTCATGGGGGGTAATAATCGATGTGTTGTATCCAGGGAGGATAAACTGATTTCTCAGATCATTTTAAACAAAAGCTTCTTGAGATTGGAGTACCTCAGAACGCTAGGCAAACAGCAGTAGCACAGACCAGCCATAATTCCAATTACATAGTACGAGTGAGGACCCGTGTAATACAATCCCGTAGGTACTCCAGAAGTCAGACGCCAGCAAACGCGCAATATTATACACAAAAGAAAGAATCGAGTGCTAACTGTCCCATGGTTCATCCGATGATAAATCCACAACGGGCAATTTTCCCCGAAGATCCGACATTTCTTCTGCGCTAGTGTTGTATGGTTGTAGTAGCTCGATGATTTGATCCAACGAATCACGGTTCGCACGTTGCCGCAAGGTCAATTGCCTGTCATACTCCTGAATCCGATTATGGACTTCTCCATTCATTGGTGACTCGTGGTAGGACTTGGCCGCAAGTTTGATGGCCTTACGAGACAGTTCTTGATTTCCCGCCACAAGAACCAGTGTCTGCAACACAAGAGTCAAGTCGATGATGTATTTCATAAAGCGCTGGAGGGCAGGGCGACTGAGGAGAGACCTGTCATTATTCTCTCAATGAAGGATAAATAGCAGGACATACGTCTGCTCATACAACTCGTAAACCCAGCTTGCGATCACAACGCTTGCCGCTATCGGCACTACGATAGGGGCTGCAGGTCCGGACAGGGCAGACACGATGGTCGCAATAGTACCCACAATAGTGAGCCCAAATGAACTGCAAACATTGGATGAGATGAAATTCATCCATCGCATGAAAGACTGCCCTACAGGGTCTTGTTGGGATCAGTAGGGGGTCCAACGTCCAGCTCATTGACCATGTTCGTCATCAATGTCCTGAACTCTGGGCTGCACAAGTACTGCATGTAAGCCACATCAGAACATGCGCGACAACAAAGAAGAGAGCTATTACACCATGAGGGTCTTGGAAGTTCCAAACATTGACGATGTCAGTGTGAAGCACGTGCAGACAGTCCCACATCGAACGGTTCTTGAATGGTACGCTTGATGCGAGCGCCTTCCAGTATTCTGAAAGACAGAAGTGAAGGCTCGGGTTACGTTCAGTAATTTTGTATACAAAATCGAGACAGACTTCTCTTGCCAACTCTGACGCTGCGTAAATCACAAGATAAGAAGAATGAAACAAGCGAGGCTCACTCTATCGATGCTCTTATTTTGAGTCTAGGATCCACTCGTTGAGCGACGGATGTCATCACCGACGCGTCGGTCCCAACATGGTTACGAACGAGTTCTTCGGTGGTTTGGATCAGTCGGGCTAGCGTCCCCTCATGGTTTCCGTTTGCTGCGCTCGAAATTTCATTGAGAACGTGAATGACAATCACAATAGTAACGCTCACTGGAGACCGTAACATGCGGGACAGCCGATTTTGCGAACTTCTCTAGGGGTGCGACACAGACTTCCTGTAGCTTGTCTTCTGCGTTTTTCTTGATGATGTCCTGGATCGCCGCCTGGCTCAGACCCTTGATAGAGGACTTGTCCAGGGTTCGCTCCACGCGGTCGAGGAGGGTGTCGTATTTAGTGAAGACAGCAACAATGGGAACTTTGACCTGTGTTAGCTATGACCTGTGCGGAGCAGTAGCAATCCATCAACGTACTGTCTCCTAGCTCTCCTTCTCGCTTCGATGTGAGAAATTGCTCCACGCCGGTCTCTAGTAAACGCCCGTTTGCGCGGGGTATTTCAAAGCAGAGCCTTGTATGTCATCAGTTCGCCGTACAAACGCATCAAGACGGAGGTCCCACCAAACGGCGTGCAGCTGATCTTTCAAATCGGGCTTTGCTCTCCGATAGTTAATGAAATCTCGGACTATTTTGAGGTTGTCTTTTTCCCCTGGTTCAAAACCTTTGCTATCGTGGAGAACAAACTTGTTGTTCTGTGGCGAGATGAATTCATGGTCGATGCTGACCTCGCCTGGCATATTGTGCGAAGTGGTCTACTGATATTGTGAGTAGCTGTGTTCGTTGAAGTGGCGTGTTCAACCCACCGCGTTTTGCACTCCAAATGCGTGGTTGATCAGTGAAGACTTGCCAACACCGGTCTATTGGAATACCGTGTCAATACTGGCCTGAGATCAGCGAAAGCCTGGTACCTTTCCTATCACCAGAATTCGGAATCTTAGAAAGTCCCCAGCATCAGCCTAAAGGATGCCACTTTCATGATGATCCGGACTTACTGAGGACACTTCCGAAAGATGTCATCAGTGGTAGGCCGGAGCTCCAGGGATTCATCGGAAAAGACAAACTGCTCGGTCTGCTAACATACGACTTAGATGTGTTCCAATACGAGACACGGAACCTTACTTCGGTTGTTGGATTCTTGGAAAGTTCGACGACGATTGTGAACTTTTTATGAACCTTGTTGTACTCTGTGCATGTGAGGTTGAATCCGTGAGCGATCTAAGCGAGAGTGCGATTATTTTTGTTTCACCTCGTCTTTCTATTGTGCTACGTTCGCGAAACATGTCTTCTGGTTCGAAAATAATGTCTTCATGCCCTGTTCCATGCCATGTCTTGTATCGTATATGTAAGGAAAATGTATCCCCAAGAGAAAGCTTTCTATAATAAAAAAACACAAGAGCAATCAGGTGGGTACATTCGTTTGGGTCAAGTCCCTACATGGGTGGAGAAAAGGTCTGTCGCAAAGCCTTTCCTGCCCCGCGTTTGATTGACATAGGCAACTTGAGGCTGATCCGTACTTCAGCAGACTCTACATTCTTTTTCGACTTGCTGAAATCGACGATGACACCTATTCGATATATTCAGTGGTATATTGATAATTTCGTTGATGAAGCAACTTGTACCAGAGATGTAGAGAGGGTAGACCGGCGTGGAAGCGTCGAGGGAACTAGTCGCCATGCTGAATCCTGATTGGAGTTAGTCTAAGGAAGACTCTCCTTCGCCATGGTGGATTTATCTGGAGGCCGAATGTAGGCCATGAGTCAGCTACGCCGAAGAGAGGCCCATCCCTCGTGTAGCATCAAGGCTAGCTATTCTTAGTTAAATAGGTTTGGTACCCTGTTATCATCATTCGGACTTTACTTGGTTCCTTCAAGCAACTTCGAACCCTGAGCAGAAAAAGTCCGGACGCCCTCGCGGCATTCACAATGAAAAGACCCCCAGAAGACATGGCTCCAGTCCTCCTGCTCGGGCATTAGTAAGTGTGCAGGATAGCACTGGCGTAAATGGTATGATTCTTCGTGGCGCTGGTGCTGCATTGCATCATGATTCATGATGTGTAGCATAAGCATTGGGGATTGGTGTTCGAACGTCCAGAGAGTAAGATCCAGGTATACTGACTGCCTCGATTGATTGGTGCATTCGACGACTAGCACTCGGGTGCTTAGCTCAAGCTTAGCTGATGGTTTCCGCATTGCTTACTCGCACGGATCCCTATTAATGTGACCCAACACAGATATCCCATCACTTCAAACCCACATTAAATCGACGCCAACTCCTCGTGTATGCCTCATGCGGTATATAATTAACTCCATCACGATATACCCATTGCCCACTGAATCTAGATGGGCTGATTTCAACTCGGGCATTCACCGAGTTCACATACTGCAATCATTATAAGGCCACACCAACGCTCATCAGTCTCCGTCACATTTACCTTCCCTCATGGATCCCTCAAAGATAAGAAAGAAAATCGGTCGCTTTCGAATCCTCGTTATAGGAAGAGCGAATGCTGGAAAAACTACCATCCTCCAGAGAGTTTGCAATACGCGGGAAAATCCAGAAATATACAACAGCGCCGGGGAAAAGGTGGGCATCACAATGCTAGCAGAAGGATGGTGGTGATAACTGAGCGATGGATATCAGATCGATGCTACAGTGTTGATGGCTTCAACAGAGGTGGCGTGTACTTTCAATAGTTGGTAACATGAACTGACGCGTTCTCAGCGTGGAGAGCACGATATCGAGAACGAAATGGTGTTTCGGAGCAACCCAGGATTTGTCTTCCACGATTCACGCGGGTTTGAAGCAGGCGGCGAATCCGAATTCGACAAGGTGAAGGCGTTCATCGTAGGCCGTTCCAAGGAAACTAGATTAAGGAATAAACTCCATGCTATCTGGTAATTGCAACTGATCAATCACAACAGGCGCTATCTCACGGTTTCGATATAGGTACTGCATCCCGATGGACGAGGCAAGCAGGTCGTTCACCAAAGGAGAAATCAAATTTTTCTCTCAGTGCGACACAGGAATCAGTAAGCGTTCGCATCCGACCATCATCGATGTTCGACTAATGCGCAGAATCACAATCCTCAGTTCCAGTGATGGTATTGTTTACCAAATTCGATGCCCTCTACGACGTAGCATATGCAGAGCTGAGATCGAAGAGAGTATCGATGGAGGAGGCTGAAGAACAGGCGCCAAAGCACGCTGAAGAGTCATTTGCAGTTGGGTCACAATTGAAGTTTCTATACCACTCCAAGGACATTCGACACCCTCCAAGATGTCATGTATGCCTCCCTAGTAAGTCATTGATAGTCGACTTATGATTTTGATACATGATGACACTGATCCATTAGACATGGACAAGGATGATGCAGATTGCGGGCAACTCATCAAACTCACGGCCGGAACTCTGGATGATGAAGTGGTGGAGCAATTATTCGTCTCGACCCAGCAGACGAACTTAGAGCTCTGCATGACGTATGCAGTTGAGAGGTACCTATACATAGTCTCATTTACTCGCCATGAGCGTTAGCAACTGATATTGCCCAGAACGCTGGGGAGATTTTGTGACTCTGGTGACGATCATGTGCGGATAATAGGGGCATTGGGTCACTGGTTTCCGCATATGCTGGTGAGATTATCGGAAAGTCCAAAGGTTGCTCTTATTTACAATGAGCGTTTACTTGCAGGTAGTAAGTTTGTTGATCCTCCTTCGAGATCAAGCCATGCTGATCGAAGTCGTTGGCCACTGTTCGCAGGGAGTGAGTGTCTCGATCCTCCCTCGAGCTCGAGCCATGCTGATCGAAGTCGTTGGCCACTGTTCGCAGGATGTGAGTGTCTCGACCCTCCTTCGAGATCGAGCCATGCTGATCGAAGGCGTTGGCCACTGTTCGCAGGATGTGAGTGTCTCGATCCTCCTTCGAGATCGAGCCATGCTGATCGAAGTCGTTGGCCACTGTTCGCAGGATGTGAGTGTCTCGATCCTCCCTCGAGCTCGAGCCATGCTGATCGAAGTCGTTGGCCACTGTTCGCAGGATGTGAGTGTCTCGATCCTCCTTCGAGATCGAGCCATGCTGATCGAAGTCGTTGGCCACTATTCGCAGTTCGTGAGTGTCTCGATCCTCCTTCGAGATCGAGCCATACTGATCGAAGTCGTTGGCCACTGTTCGCAGAGAGTGAGTGTCTCGATCATCCTTCGAGATCGAGCCATGCTGATCGAAGTCGTTGGCCACTGTTCGCAGTTCGTGAGTGTCTCGATCCTCCTTCGAGATCGAGCCATGCTGATCGAAGGCGTTGGCCACTGTTCGCAGGATGTGAGTGTCTCGATCCTCCTTCGAGATCGAGCCATGCTGATCGAAGTCGTTGGCCACTGTTCGCAGGATGTGAGTGTCTCGACCCTCCCTCGAGCTCAAGCCATGCTGATCGAAGTCGTTGGCCACTGTTCGCAGGTGGTGAGTGTCTCGATCCTCCTTCGAGCTCGAGCCATGCTGATCGAAGTCGTTGGCCACTGTTCGCAGAGAGTGAGTGTCTCGATCCTCCTTCGAGCTCGAGCCATGCTGATCGAAGTCGTTGGCCACTGTTCGCAGGATGTGAGTGTCTCGACCCTCCCTCGAGCTCAAGCCATGCTGATCGAAGTCGTTGGCCACTGTTCGCAGGTGGTGAGTGTCTCGATCCTCCTTCGAGCTCGAGCCATGCTGATCGAAGTCGTTGGCCACTGTTCGCAGAGAGTGAGTGTCTCGATCCTCCTTCGAGATCGAGCCATGCTGATCGAAGTCGTTGGCCATTGTTCGCAGGTGGTGAGTGTCTCGATCCTCCCTCGAGCTCGAGCCATGCTGATCGAAGTCGTTGGCCACTGTCGCAGCTCGTGAGTGTCTCGATCCTCCTTCGAGATCGAGCCATGCTGATCGAAGTCGTTGGCCACTGTTCGCAGATAGTGAGTGTCTCGATCCTCCTTCGAGCTCAAGCCATGCTGATCGAAGTCGTTGGCCACTGTTCGCAGGATGTGAGTGTCTCGATCCTCCTTCGAGCTCGAGTCCATGCTGATCGAAGTCGTTGGCCACTGTTCGCAGATCGTGAGTGTCTCGATCCTCCTTCGAGATCGAGCCATGCTGATCGAAGTCGTTGGCACTGTTCGCAGATCGTGAGTGTCTCGATCCTCCTTCGAGATCGAGCCATGCTGATCGAAGTCGTTGGCCACTGTTCGCAGAGAGTGAGTGTCTCGATCCTCCCTCGAGCTCGAGCCATTGCTGATCGAAGTCGTTGGCCACTGTTCGCAGAATGTGAGTTGTCTCGATCCTCCTTCGAGCTCGAGCCATGCTGATCGAAGTCGTTGGCCACTGTTCGCAGGATGTGAGTGTCTCGATCCTCCTTCGGGATCGAGCCATGCTGATCGAAGTCGTTGGCCACTGTTCGCAGGTGGTGAGTGTCTCGATCCTCCTTCGAGCTCAAGCCACTGACCAAAGAAATCATCGATCCGTCGGCAGCTTGTGAGTGTGATCATTCTCTGTCAACCTCCTGCATTCCTCACCGATGCAATCGCTGATCCATTGTCAGAATGCGAGTATATTGATTCTCTGTCGCCCTCGCACCATACTGACCGAATTCATTGCTGCTCCGTTGCCAGATTGTGAGTTTGTCGAACCACCATCGAGATCGAGCCATACTCGCTGAATATATCGCTCATCCGTTCACAGGGTGTAAGCGCATCGATCCGCGGTTGGATTTGAGCATCACTGACCAATTAAATTACCGATCCCTGTTCACAGTATGTGAGTGTGTTCATCTGCTGTTGATCCCGAGCGTTGGTGATCGACGACATCGCTGATCCATCAATAGGAAGTTAATTTCTTCAATCTTTTTTGACTTCGGGCCATGCTGACCGAAGATGTTACACATTGGCAGAATGTGAGTGTATCGATCCTCAGAGGTGGTCGATGTTCAACCTTCCACCATGATTTGACCAGCTTGATCGGAGTCATCGTGAAGAGATGCGGTCTAAGTTACTCTCTGTGGTATGTCCAAATGGTCACACATTTTACACACATTTCTGATGTTGCGAATGTGCCAGGCCTCTGGCCCATCACCCTTGGAGAACGTTGCTCAGCTCATTTCTGGTGAATTTTGAGGCTATGTTACGATGAACCTGCTTATTATCGATCATTTAGCTGTTGTCATTATCTTCGAACATTCTTTCTACGTTTTCGACAAGCAGCGCTATCTTCAGGACAAGCGGGAGTCTGTTCCCTCTTTTCGTATCGCTCTCGAGCAGTACATTGCGTCTCCGCATGCAGCTGTTGTCAGGGAAGGTGTGAGTGCTGCCGTCCAGGCATATGAAGATCCTGTGACAGCTGCTGCCCACGCATATGAAGAAGGCGTGACTGCTGCTTCCCGCGCATATGAAGACGCTATGACAACTGCTGCCCACGCATATAAAGAAGATGTCGGGAGCTTGCCTGCTTGGAGGGTGAAGTTACCGTTTGGACGTTTCAAGAAGGCAAAAGAAGCTTTCGAACGCTCTCGGGGGAAGGAGAAAGAAGCTTTGTGTTCACAGGCGAAGGTGGAGTTAACCAAGACTATTCTTGAAATCACTTTAAATCATCGGCTGCGTATGTTTCACCGTCATGTTGTGACAGCAATCCCACTGATCCGCTTGTCTTCAGAAAGACCTTAATGTTGGGCAATGCAACCCAACATCAATGATGTTCTGGTTCGGATGGAAGCTGAGGCGTTTCGGCTGTGAATGCAGTTTGCTTGAATGGTCCGTCAAGGTAGATTCAGGATGTAGAACTATACGAAATGGTTGTATGATCACGCAATATGGTGCTTTGTCTGGTATGATTGGAGAATGTCACCCTCAGTCGAGACAGTGGCGAGAGCTACTGCACTTGATGTACCTCTTAAGCATCTGTGGTCCGATTTCAAGCGCATCAAGGTCGGGTATGTTCTGCTCCACAGCGTGTCTCAATTTGCGTGCCTCTTTTCTAAAAAGAGATCCCGGCATGCATTGTCATTTTAACCTTAAACTCTACGTAGACACATGGACTTCAATGTTCTTGACAACGTCGGTGACTCCAACTGGTGGTTGATGAATGAAAAGACCTGGCCGTGAACGGAAGATAGCCTTCAAACTCGATGGACCTCGAGCAGCGGACGCACCTTGAAAATATCTCGCTTTCGTTCTTTGAGGGACAGCGTGCCGGGTGCGTGTGATCATAGCTCTGGGTTATGAAGTTTTATTAGATGGATGCATTATTCCGTGACACTCTGCCTGCTCCTGCCTGATCGAGCCCTCTGGAACGTCCCACCGGCATGCCCCGTCACACTGGACGACACTCGCATCGTCACTAGTTCAGATGATAATACTGTTCGGCTGTGGGATGCCGCGACGGGGCAGCCAGTCGGTGAGCCCTTGCGGGGGCACACTGGGTCAGTTACCTCGGCCTTATTCTCACCGGGCGGCACTCGCATCATCACTGGTTCAAGAGATAAAACTGTTCGGCTGTGGGATGCTGCAACAGGGCTGCCAGTCGGTGAACCCTTGCGGGGTCATACTTTTTCAGTTAACTTGGTCTCATTCTCACCAGACGGCACTCGGATCGTCACTGGTTCAAGGGATACCACTGTTCAGCTGTGGGACGCTGCAACGGGGCAGCCAGTCGGTGAGCCCTTACGGGGGCACACTCGTTGGGTTAAATCGGCCTCGTTCTCGCCGGATGGCACACTCATCGTCACTGGCTCAAGGGATAACACCAATCGGCTGTGGGATACAGCGACAGGGCAATCAGTCGGTGAGCCCTTGGGGGGCACACTCATTGAGTTAACTCGGTCTTGTTCTCACCGAATGGCACTCGCATTATAACTTGTTCAAGGGATAAGACAGTTCGGCTGTGGGATGTAGTGATGAGGCAGCCATCGCAACTGTACACTGTGTCGCATCCTTCAGCATCCTCAGATGGAAATTGCACGATAGAGGCCACCACTGCCATGAGATCGAACACTTGGAACAATCACTTCATTTCTTTCTCGTCCAACTCTACCCATGCGCTCTGCGACACCTCCGAGCTAACGGAGGGAGCATGCCATGACGACAACAGTTTGACCCCCTTTTTACTGAATCGTGGTAGTGGATGGATAGAAGGGCCCAAACATCGGCTGTTATTCTGGGTGCCACCCGCTTCTCGACACCCATTTTATTGCCCTGGAACTGCATTAGTGATACCCAGAGGATGCCCTGAGCTTGATTTGAGTCGCATGGCACATGGACAACACTGGCAAAAGTGCCGGAAGGAGTGAGTCGCTACAAAGCCTCCTCTGTTCATAGCACTTACTAAAATCAACACTTGCAGACCTTGATACTGCGATGATGGTATTCTAGCGATCGATCCTTTGTGATGATTTCTTTTCAGATATAACTCGAATGCGACGTGTACGGTCGCTTATTTTGATCCCTCGTTGCCCTTTGCGCGCGCTTCGATCCCCTACTTTGCTTCGATCCTCACTTGACATTTGCTCCTGGTTTGGTTATTTTGTCCCTCTTAGCTTAAGCCTGGCTATTGACAACATCATCCTCATTGCCTTTTTTCGTGGAGGTGTTTTACACGAGCCTTGGAGGTTTATGCGACTTGAAAATGCTTAGTAGTAGAATGCTTCCTTGATGCAAAATTCAAGTTGTCAGTTCTTCTATCGACCTCTCAAAGCCTACCGATTCTGAGCTCATATGTCTTACTTACGTCCATGACTGTCTACAAGTTTGTAAGTAGTTGATGTTATAATTGCTCGACAAGTGCAACCTCGCCCACAAAGTTCGGAACACGTATCAAGCAAAATCTCTGATTGAATAATTCGGACAAAGCCCTTCTTATTGAAGCGTTGAAGCACGTCACCACGATGAAGCTCACGACCATCGACCAAACTGGAGATAAACCCATCAGAATCAGAATCGACGCCCAATTCAATGTCCCCTGCAACTCCAAAGCCTTCTCCATGCCGCTCCTCAACATCTCGACATCCATGCCATTCGAGTTACCCTCAAGTGACCCTGCGACCCTCCCAAACACCCTCACGAATTTCTTGAAGGCATCTACTTCTCTGCCCCCCCTACGAATTCTGCGAGCCCTTCCATCTCGGCTACGACTCGGAGTCGGTAGGCTGATTCCTTTTCAGAGGGGCTGTTTGGATGAGTCTATCCAAATAACTCTAAGTTTGCCGCAATGGGTGTCATGTGATCAGAGCTTGTCTGTCTCCTCCTGTTGACATTTTGTCTGTCTCGCAGCCGACTGAAGGGGAGTCCTTGTTAATTTATATGAGCTCGATACATGCTAATACTCTATGGACATCATAGTACATAGTTACATAAAAAATTAAGTCTCGGACTACTTGCCATGAAATATCAAAGAATTTTGCCAGGACGAGAGCCCGAGAAAAAAAGGACTTCACATTAACTCCTTTCTCAAATCAGAACATCATACGCGGTATTCCATCTCATACTGCTCAAACGTCGGGGGCGAAGTCCAACAGATGCAATCCTCGAATGTCGTACTGACATGCACACAGTTGTCGTTGGCATGCGTTTCCCAAATGCTGATGATGACACGTGGCACGATGATAAATGGCGCGGTACCGTTGAATAACTGTACGAGATACATCACCACTGTCTGTGCATGCCTGCATTAGAGTAGATCTCTCTAGAATCACGGGAGATGATACCGGAAGGTTCGCCCACATTATCGCTAGGAAGATTTGAGTTGCCAAATTCCTAGCGAGACTCGATGAATGCTTTCAGAGAACACGGCGAACGAAAGGGAACTTACAGGACAAAGTATATGACATGATATCGGACGATCATGACTATATAGGCATTAGGCTTTATCTTAAGTTCCTTCCGTTCTTTCAGGTGCTTCACGAGGACGGCAATGGCGAGAACAACCAGGAAAATATCATAGCATATGACAGGGATGGCAGCATATACCGCAGGCATAGGTCCGACGTGGAAGAAATACGTGCAGTACTTGACGTTTGGAGTTATTGTTATTTCTTGCACTATGCACCAGGGCATCAGCTTGCACAGAATTCGATCAAAGTAGAAATTCACTTGAGATCGCTGAGGGTCGACTCCATAAAAATATATCCACCGCTATATAGAGCACGACGATAGGTAGGAACAACCCCAGTGAAATATAAAGTATGCGCTTGGACTGGTTGCATAGGGCGTAAAGACGCCAGATGAGAATGACTGCAAATGCAAAATGAGTACGCGCAAAGACGCGAGAACGTATGTATGACTTACCTTTTGCCAAGCACAAATATACAGAAAAACCCCATTGCACAAACAGGAACATGCTATAACCTATTTCAATTTCATGATGAGCAAAGCTGGTTGTAGTTGAATACGATTACTCACAACTAAACCAGAGGTCAGCCGCAGTAGATCAGGCGCCTAACTGTAAAGCGACGTACGGCTGAATCTGGGTCAACTAAGAACTCTCTAAAGAAAGAATCGATACACTTACTCCTTCAGGCATATAAACTAGACCTCCCCCTAATGGTAGTCAGTTAATGAGGGCTCGGTTGGAATCACGCCACGTACAGCAGGCGCAAGTCCTAGACGTCAGCGTCAACATACAATGTACTATCTGGAGGATACAACCAGCCAACGTACATTGCAACCACAATACCAAAATATCGAACCTGACGTAGCAACAAAAATGAGAAACCATGAAGCACTTTGGCAGGGTGGAGCTCACAACAAGGTATATGTATGACATTGCTGACCACGGTCTGTCCTGCATATACAGTCAATCGCATCTTGATATCGTTGGGGTTGAGTTCTAACCCAAACAAACGTGATCTGCGATAATATGATCATAAGTACTCGATGATGATAAATTGACCTCATTACCTCTTTCTCGAGCTGAAGCACTAGGTAATATTACGCTCAGCCGCACTGCAAGGTTTATGAAAACTACTGACTGTACTCATAGGATATCAGGGTAATACTTGCAACTGAAAGACGATGAAGTTCAGCACAAATATTTGTTTCCGACAAGGCTGACGAACCTGATATGTTGTTATTCCACTCAAGAGCATAGAGAGATCCTTCTGGTCCCGACATGGAACTGTGCAAATCAAATAAAGAATTCAAAAAGTGGAGGATGAGCTACTGATCATCAATGTACAGTACTTATAGGGCGGTCTGATCGGAATCTTGTTGTCGGCCGTGTGATCATCGATATGTGACATCAAATGGAAAGTGCGGAGCCGCAAGCTCGGTACGATGTCGTACAATTTTCATTAGGACGCCACAAGTCACAACCTTTACGAGTTAACTTGAAGGGTCACCTTGCGTCACTGGTAGCAGTCAACTCCACTTCTTGGGCTAGATTCTGCCTGTCGGACCCTCTTGTTTAGGTCGCAATGCATGATTTAAAATCGAACCTCGAAATAAGCGAAGAGTCTGGAGGCCGTTAACATTGTGACGTCCTTATGGCAAAGTGATCTCTTGGAAAGGCATGGCCATGATGCCTCCGAGGAGGAGAACAGCGTACTAATCGCACCCTATATTAGAATATAAGTAACTACACTATTTGCAGAACAGAAATGACGACCTGACCCTCGGGGTGTGAGTGGAGAGCAGGGCCGGAGCGGCGCTGAGAGAGGGAGGGTAGTGGAGCCATGAGTGGATTTGGACCTCTGGAACAAATCATGCCCTTCCGCACTTTCAGACAGAGTACGAAAATACAGAATCGACCCTGATCTACTTACTTCAAGTAAGTCAGGGAACTTCTGTCAGGGCTGGAGTTTGAATATTTGAAGTGTGCCTACACACCTCGCTCGACCCTGAAGTTGACTTGAACCTGATTTGGGAACCGGGATGCCAGAATCGTAAGCGCGAGGTCTCGTGCTGTGATGGCGAAGTTCAACATACACAATCCTGCTGACACGTGCGCAGTTCTTGTTGGCATGTGTATCCCTGAAGAGCTCGGTGAGACTAGTAACCGTCTGTGCATGTATGCATTAGCTAAGCTTTGTAGAATCATGGAAGCATCATACCAGAATATTAGCCCGCAGTGCCACCAAGAAGATTTGGGCTGTCAAATTCCTAGTAGAATTTGATGAGTACTTTCAGGGAGCCCACCGGACGAAAGGGAACTCACAGGATGAAGTGTATGATATGATGTCGAACAATCGTGAACACATAGTAGGTATTAGGCTTCATTCCGTTCTTCACAAGGATGGCAGCTGCGAGTATAACTAGAAAAGTATTCATAGCATATGATGGGGATGGTGAAATATATCGCAGGCATATGTCCCAAGTTGAAGGAAGGCCCTTCTTTCACTATGCAATGAAACGGGATCAACTCGCAGCCAACGATCGATCCAAGTAAAAAATCACCCGAGAACGCATTCCGTCGACTATAAAAAATGACATCCATCCATATGGTGAGGGCAACAATAGGTCAGAATTCTAGAACAGCCCCAGCAGGTGTTTGGATTGATTGTATAGCGCATAGAGACGCCACACCTGCCAGTTGTTAGTTCTTACGTAAGTACTAGTACCGGATGTAATACAGGTGTCCCCATGTGACGATGACTATATTTAGCCCGCGAAGCTCGAAGTCAGCGAGAGTCGACAACTTGACAAGAGAAGAATATTCTCAGGAAATAACAGGCTAAAAGTCTGATATTTTGGGGTCCAGAAAACACCAAGGTAGCACTCCGAGTAGCTATGTACAGTAAGTAAATCAATACTACTGCGTCAATGACCTACGGGGAGACACGGAAACGTCAGGTTCAATCTTCAAGAAGCGGGTAGTAAGATACTCGGCCGATGGCGACATCGAGTACAACGAATAAATGACTAGTCAGGAGTTTGACAGCAGAGTAAGGTTTAGGAAGATTAAGGACAAGGCACTTTGCAGCTACCCCGATTCAGATCTACCTATAAGTGCATTTAAATCCGAATCACCTCTGTCTGCTGATCTGAAGTGCTTACTATATGTAGTTACATCAGTAGCGTAGTCAGCCAATCAAAATCGTTCAACGTTCAACGTTCATCCTCCTCCGGCTGACCGTCTCTTCCGTGAAGCAGTTCTCCGTCCTCTTGGCTCAAAAAATTGGTTTCCCAGGCTCAGCTCTCCCGCTGCCCAGTGCTTCGTAAATTATTTATTTGATCCAACCCTTGTTTTTGATCTAACATAACATTGTGTAGTAAGAAGAGCACGGGCCTCGTCAGTAGCATACCCACAATCATGAGGGATTCGCTGCTCCTGATGCCTCCCAGCTTGCACTTACCACTACCGTCCAGACGACCGTCTCTTTACATACGCGCTAGTAACTGTACGTCTTACCTCATGCTCACCTAGCTAACTTGATTCAATCCCCCCCCCCAGTGTGCGGATCTTTCGAGCTGATGGCGCGCACCTGCTCCAAATCATCGAATTCAAGTTCTCCCCGCGCGCAGCAGGTCACTTCGACCGTTGCGTTACGCTGGACAAGAGGGACCAATCAACGCCGTCTCGTGGAACCCAAACTCGAAATAATGCAGCATTGTCTGCGAATGTTAGTTGTCGGCCCCCTGGACGCGAAGGTTGACTGCCTGAAAAATCAGTCTTGGATCAGCGTGTGTGGATCACTACTCCTCATAACTTCATCTCGTTCAATCTTGCCGGCTTCGGCATCTGGCAGGGAAATTGACATCTTCGACAGAAAAAATTGATAAAAATCTATATAATCGACGCCTCATTTTACAAGCGGTCGCCCTTCAGCAAATTCTTCTTGACAGCTACCCTGTTTCCTCGCCTCCGTGTAGACAACGGAATGAAGATCTGGTATTGCATCAATAGATCTATCCACGTCCAGCTCCTTGAGGAGTTATACCAAGCATTTTCGAGACCCACTCCGCTTATACAGGCACCCTCATTTAGCCAGGCTATCCTACCACACTATCGCCCTCGATCAATGTATTGGTGGAAGCATCGTCAACTAGGCCTGTCACACTGTAACGCGCAAGAGCTTACTGACCGCCTGGTGCAAATAGACTCATAAATTGCGCAAGATGTGTGTAGTCGGTATACATAATCGAAAATTCCTCAGGGAACCACCCAGCAACCGTCTCCTCTAGCGATCCGTGCAAACTCCTCTCATTCTTCATCCAGTGCTATACCCAAGTCCGAGCGCGCTTGCTTTCCCAATGAGTGATGCACCTCTATCGTCAGCTCCTTGCGTTCCCTCTCGTCCATTGGCAGTGTAGAACTGGGGTAGGATGCGTGAAGCTTCACACAACCCTCAGATATAGTAACAATGATGTCGTCCCAGTCATCATTGAATATCACTGGCGATGGTGCCGCAGGAGCAGTGACAGAAAACATGGGCATTGATAATGTATATGTGAGAGGAGTCCTCGTTCTGGATGTAATCCCTTACTGCCCGACATCTGGAGATCATCGGCTCGGACATGGGCGTAGAATATAATAGGGCTTTGTTGCCGTGGGGCACGAGGGTATGACAGGCAACGCTTACTGCCCGGGGAAATATCTGGGGCGAAATAAGGAAAATTTTGGGTAAGGAACTGTCCTTTTCTTGATCATCGGTATTGCGTGAACTATCAGTACTGGACAGGTCACTCTGGAATCAGGCCCGTAGCAAACCCATTTTCTCAAGTGACTCAGGACGTGGTCAGAGAGACAAACCTGTCTAGTTACGAATCACAGTAGTTAAGCACTACCTTTGCGACTATCATTAATATTACGACTGCGGGCACGATGCTCCGCCACTCCCGATACGTTTAATCAGCCTGGGTCCAAGACGGCCCAACACTGATATTTAAATTTGGCTACCAGCCAATATGTAATTGTACATGATCTCCCTTGGACCACAAACTAAGAAAAACAGTCGTACCTAGAGTCTAAGTATACAATGCATTGTGGTGCCTGAGAGCGAGCTGGTCCAGGGTCGAAGTATAATTTACACAGAAGTCCACTTGCAAGTTATCAGCAAAGCATCAAGAATCTGGATTCGGTCATTTTCACAGACGGTTTCGGCGACACCTGTTACAAGCGTGCATTTGACACCCTCCACAACGCTAATGGATGTCAAGTCAGAAGGTGTGTCGACGTAAGAAAGGCGATGCAGATGACTTACGAAGAGGTACAGTGGGAGATACATCTCACAGCTCTCGCAACGTCCGCCACCGCGCCGGTATTTCCAGCTTGTGTGGTCACAGTCATGGTCCACTCTGAGACGCTCCATGGTCTCCCTGATCATACGCTGTCTGACAGCGTTCCTATCCGAGCCCGGCGTTACGGCAGTTAATGCGGGCTGTAGCTGTGGCACTTCTGTGAACCACGCTGAGACGCGAGCATTCGCCTCAGCACGGCGAGTCCTCCGAGTCTGGGAAGGGGGTTCTGGGAGAGGTGCTGGTGCCTCGTGACGGAGAGTCGTGGTACGGGGTGGAACAGGTGGTGCCTCGCGACGGAGAGTCGTAGTACGGGGTGGAACAGGTGGTGCCTCGCGACGGAGAGTCGTAGTACGGGGTGGAACAGGAGGAGGTACTGGGACAGGTGCCTCAGCACGGCGAGCCATAGGCCAGACATTGACAACGGGCGCTGGTCTGGGCGCTGCCACAGGAACCTGTTGAGGAGGGTCTACAGGGCGAACATTGACAACTGGCGCTGGTCTGGGCGCTGCAGCAGGTGCTGGTCTGAGTATATTAATAGGCTGATTCCTAGCAGCGCCAGCAGCTGGCACTGGTTGGCGCGCTGCAGGTGCCTGTTGGGGAGGATTGACGGCGTGGGCGTGACGTGCGGGCGGCAGCTGAGCATCCACGCGACGTTCTGCAGCAGCAAGCAGCCTAGCCTCGTCCCACTGCGGGCACCTGCAGCTCTTCCAGAGTGCTTTGCACAGATAGCAGAACTCTGTCCTGCATCGGCAGGTCATGTGGAAACATCCCATGTTAAGCTCGATCATCTGAGCACAGCCTGGACAACGTGCCCACCCCGAGGCACGGCTGAGTGTCAGTACTTGCTCAGTCTCTGCATCAGGAGTGCAGCGGTGGGTGAACCCTTCGTATCTACCACGACATTTTCCACATGTCATCATCGTACACGTAGGGGACGGGCATGTAAAGACCTTGGTGAGAAACCCCTCATATAATGGCCCGAGGAAACGGCTGCACGTTGGTGCAACACAATAAACACGCTTCATGGTCCCAAATTCTTGAGCTTTGAGGGTAAACTCAGCCAGGACTTCCTGTGTCAAGTGAGGCCGAACTTGCGGGAGTGTAATGTTCTGGCGACAACATCGAGGAGGATACAGGCTCTCGTCCCGTGTTGCTGATTGGAATAGGTCGGTGATGCAGCCGATATCATAAAAATGGCCACATGGTGCCCGAACTTCTGCTCCGAATATGGGGTCCTGGCAGATCACACAATCGTGGCCAGTGGCCCTAGTTATGATAGTGTCAGTAACAGTGCATTGGTATAATAGGTAGTGACACTCTCACCGAGGGCGAGGAGGAGCTGGCCTAGCTGCAGTGGTAGGCGCTTGACCTGGATTTGCCGGTAGGGGGGTTCGACCACCCGATGCGGGTGCCGAAAAAAATGAGGCAAACCACTGGCCCCATGTTTGTGTTTGTGCTGTCGTGCTGAAATTCTGGTCAGGTACTCCAGGGGAACATTACACTCGCAAGCGTACTTTCTCATGGTGGGTTGGGCTTGCTGTGCTACGGTTGCTTGCCTGCTTATCTGTGTTAGCATTGGGAATCACGCCCGCAATATATGGCCTTACCTAGGCGTAGGATTAGGCTCTTCAACAGCAAGGCGCTGGGCAAGTTCTCGATCAGCATTGAACTCCGCAAGCTCTCGAGCGTTCTGCATCAACAATGCAAAAGCAACTTCACGGTCAGTAAGTCTCTCTCCTCGATGCATTCTGTTATGATATAAAGTCTGCAATCTCTCCACGTCAGCAAGCTCCAGTTGGGCAATCATACGGGTAAGATCCTCCTCATAGTTATCTCTATCTCTTGGACCATGGACCGAACGTGGTCGTGAGGGACCAGCGATGTTCATGGCGGCAAGAGAGAAAGAGTCGAGCACAAGCGTGAGAGCCTACAACGACATTCAAAATACTTCGAATTCTAGATGAGCGGCATTAACACGTGCCCTTGGTGGGCGCAACAAAGATCAGCGCTTATATTCTAATGACCCACACGTCGTACAAGATTGCTGATCATCGGCGATGAGCTCCAGATAGCCAGAGTTCTATTTTACTGTAGTGTCCCCAATAGCCCCTAATCCTACATCAGAGTAGTCTGTGATTTAATAGCTCAGACCGAATACATCCTTCAGAATCTCGACCAGTTCTTCATCTTCAGCATCAGCACTTGTGGGACTATGACAACCTTGCTCGGCTGCAAACCTCTGTGCATACTCACGAGCCTCGTTTATCTTGAGGACGGTGGGCATGCCGAGCCGCTTGCCATCCTCAACGGAGCGACTCGGTTGTTTACACAGAAGCATGTAGGCGGGCAAGAGGAGCGATCTGTCGAGGTCGTACTTATCATATATGACAACTCGCTCGACAGGTTTCATGTCGAGCTTTTGCAGCTGCCGGATTGCGAGGTCCCGCACGCCTGGAAATTCCCACCGTGTGGCCAGGTCAAGGATAGTGAGCCAGTGGTCCATGGGTTGCTCATCGTACCTATATTGCCTTCGATTCCAAATGCTCAGTCTGCCGAAGAGCATGAGCTGGGAAAGAGGACTCACGGGTTGTAGAATACCCACAGCAGTCGCTCGAACTCGCTGACCTTGACATCCTCAAGTCGAAACGCTGCCTGGTCGGACTGACCATCTCCCTGTGGCCCAGCTGTTTCAAATCTCTCCCGGAAATATTCGGACTCTCTTTCAAAAAAGTACTTGTGTACGCGAAAGACGGTGCCCGCGACCTGATTGACGGTGGGTTTATCAGGACCATCACGATCAAACGAAAAGAAGACGTGCATGAATTGATACGCTACCGTCATGTAAGTAATACTGGGGATGGCGTGTTATTCGGGTTATGCCCATAATTTTGATAGTCAAACTGTTGGATAATGATGATGTGTGGGAAGCTCTCCCCGGACCCCACTTTTATCTGGTGCCATGGCCACAGCATGCCTTCCGTATTCCATTTGCATGTGTATTGTTTGGAAAAAGGCTATGGCAAATGTAACCAAATGTGCATCAAGTTCCGAATCACCCCACAGAAGGCTGCTGCTGCAAATCAAATGAGGATTCATTCGAAAAGATAGAAGTGCGGAGATAGGTCGTGCACGAGGCATGGTGGGCTGTGTCCGATGGTAAAACCTGTGCAAGATGATCATGGTCTCCCACCGGTGCTTGTATAGGACTATAGGAGACATCAGCAGTGTCAGGGTCCAGTAAGGATCCACATTCGTCCCTGCAAGAACTTGTAGCACTGGGTCACCACTGATCAGTTTTCAACTTATGGGCCGTCAGAGTCTGGAAGGCATACATACATCATTTACTCGTGCTTGCACCTCCTTTAGTTATTTTGGTGGTTTTTACTAGGAATCGTGATATGCACTTAGCATCGCAGCTGTTTTGAGATGAGTCGTACATGACCAACAACCCCAAGAACGGTACTTCATTTCCAGTGTGACCATCATCTCGTCGTCGTAACGCGCGTCAGCTGAAATAATTTGCACTTTGAGTAAGCTGATGGGACAACAGTGAAATTCGATCTAGGTGCCTGAACTACTCTCGAGTAGAACGTCGAGCGGCTCCGGGAGTTACTACCTGCCTGCAAAGAAAGACGCCCGTTATTTCACTGCAATGCGGCCTCAGTCGTGATTGGAATCCGTTTTAGGATCTGATCCTACAAATATCTAGTGAAACGTTACTCCAAGTAATGCAGGATAATGCTGACCGATGTTACCCAGGCTCCCGATTGGATCAATATCATCGAAATGCAGATGGGAAGTTACATTACAGCGGAAGGTAAGTGTCCTAACGCAGCTGCACGCTTGAGTCTTGGGATCATACGAGCTTTTGAGGAACCTGGTATTGCCAGGATCAACTTGAAGGATGGCGTGTTGGGTGCGGCAAGTCACAAGCTTTCGATAACTATGAAGAGAGGGGATTTATAAGTACATTGAATGTGACTAGACAGGGGGATAATAGTTAACTGACATGAATGGGCACCTAGCCTAGTAGCTATTATCTTCTGAAAGAAGTTGGAAACTCCGAAGAACTTGGGCAGCCTTCCAACTGTGCCAGAGTATGCTAAGGGACTCGATACACTCTGGTACAGTTGTAAGTGCCGCGACGTTGTCCAGCACACGGTGGGCCACTTTAGTAGATTGGTGGTTGAAATTGATATTTGAAATGTTGACGTTGAACCCACGAAACCTCATAACCAACGATGTAAGGCTTTCGGCAAACAACCATCCACATTGGTCGATATAAACTGGCCAACCTTGAAGTTAGCGAAATTTCGCCCAGTACGGGCACGTTGACACAGAATTTAGGATCCTGAAATTCTATCATGGACGATGATAGTGCCGAGATCGAGCTCGTATGTTCTTCCTCCAGGCGGATTCACGAAGTGTTGACCGTTCTGTCATGATACAGCTAGAGCAGAACCTCAACAAAACGCACCAGATCTCACAGCGGATGACTTGTGCGTGATTCCCAGTCATGCCCAACTGTTGACTACGCTTCATAATATACTGTGACAGCCATCCTGACAAATTTCGACACTCGCCTCGTGAAACTCGAGAAGTCTATCCTACCACTATACAACTCGACACAGAAACTTAAGCAACGGGCTCATAGTTGGGTAGTCCAGATTGCATCATAAACAAGGACTCAATGGGTGGTATGCAGATATTGATCGCGCTCTGCTGAAGATCGACGAGGTTGCTAGTAGTCAAGATGGCATCGCCGTGGAAGAAGGACTGGTTTTACGGGGGTACGTTACAGTTCGATCAAAGATCGGGACATAACTGATTCATGAATAGGCCGCAACTTGGTCAACTTGAAGCCTACATTGATATACTTGAACGTCTTAATGCTGCCATTGCATTCAAGTCCTCCGATGCAGATTCAAGAGATATGGTACAATTCAGACTCATTCGTCGTTATTTTGCATGCTCTCTAATCGTCTTTCCAAGGCGCGACTGATCGAGACCGGTGCGAAGAAGCTTACCCAGTTGTATACTAAGCTTGTCGCAGAAGGCTCCTCGGGATCTCCACCAGTTTCAGGTCTTGCGTTCATGCTCACCGAGTTTCCTCCTTCCTTAATGTCCTCCCTCACACCCCTTGTCGCCTTCCTCCGTACTCTGCCCCTTCCATCAACGCATCCCTCTCACCCCGCTGCTTCAGCTATTTTAAACACGCTCAAGGATGCACAGCGAGGGTATGCAGACATGCGCGGGAGTTGGAGTCGCAAAGCACTCGAAATGCATTCACGACGAGTTGTGGACCGAGCCGAGACTCTAGATGGCGTGGCTGCTGGGAAGGAGTTTAGCATCTGGATAGACAATTTGCTCAAAGTCACTGAGGTGCTTTTTCTGGTTACCGTCCCTATTTTGCAAGTTCTCAACAGAGCACGGATACACAGACAGAATACACCCTCCTCACCGAACTCGCCCCACTGTCTAGCAACACCCTCATTGCATCGACTTATGATACACTTCTTACTCCTCTCCTGACCCTCTTCACGGATACCTTGTCATCTCTGACATCCCTCATAAAGCGCTCGCTGCACAAATACACGTTCCATGCGCTCTCTGCGTTTTCTGCTCTAACAATGTCTCAGAGTCGCTGGGAGTCTGTGCTAGCAAGACGTGGACGCGAGGGAAATGAGTTACGAGACGGGCTCAATGCGATCCGTGGTGTATGCCTCAGGAGCTTTCCCGAATTCTTAGCTGATTTGAAGCTTGCCGCTGCTGGCAAGGGCGGTGACTTGAGTGTCGGCTTAGCGGACATCACTATTTCGGTGTGTTAAGACAGTCCTTTGCTTTATATTTACCCGCACTGAACAAATATAGACCGTGCAGTATCTGAATCGCATCCCCGATGTCCAGGATGCTGTCGGGTCTGCATTGTCTGCGCTCGGGGATGGGAATTGGAAAATGGGTGACGGGAAGCAAGTAGGGAAAACTTCCAAGTCCAACCCTGTAGAGGTAAACGAAAAAGTCCTGATTCAGCATTTTGTTTGTGGGTCGTGTTTTCTTTCCTTTGTCCAAATATAGTTCATTCAATCTGCAGTCGACGTCATGAATACTCTCATCGGGAGCCTTACAACTCTTTCACGCACACAACGCCGGCCTCCCTTCGGTTCTGTGTTCCTCATTAACAATGTCTCCCATCTTGTATCTCACCTCGTCTTGCGCCCCACGAACCCAAACACACCTTCCTTGCTGTCTAGGCCCACAACAGATTTCCTCACCTCGTCGTGGCGCACTGCAAAGGCAGGTTACTTTGATGCCAGCTTCTCACCCCTCATGCAGACGCTCGCCGACGACGCACGAGATAAGACAAGCGGCAGTGGTTGGAAGGCGGCAGCGAAGGAGAAGTTTACGCGCTTTTATGACTTGCTTGAAGAGGTTGGAGAACGACATCGGATAGCAAAAGTATTGGAAGAGGATCCAGAGGAGAGGAGCGCTGTTGGGGAGGAGGTAGTAAAGCTGGTTCTTCCGTCGTTGCAGCGGTTCATGCAAAAGCAGAAGGAGAAAGAGTTCAGCAAGAGTGAGCTTCTTACCCTTGTCGTATGCAATAAACTAACGCTTCACCAGATCCTCAAAAGTGTAAGCCATCCCGTATTTTTGCGCGAATCTGCTTCCTTTGACAACGCGTCCCGTAGATATCAAGTTGTCTCCTGAGGAAGTGGAGTCCCGGATTAGGAATTTCTACAGCTAGTTCTCCATTCACATTATGAGCGAACTTCGTTCTACCTGTGACGCACCACTAGTTGCGGCTGAAGCGATTCATGGTGCTATTGGAGATGCGAATAAGCACGACAAAGTACGAAGTTTTTCACTACAGTTCGTTCGTTACTCTTCTAGATTGAATCCGCGACCACTATTCCATCACTTATAACCAAACACTCTCTAGCGTTTTCTCAAAGTCATTTGCGCAAGAAACAGTCAGAATCTCCTCCGTGATCTGCCTCCTCCAGTGATTGCGCACGGTGTCCATGCCAGGGCGACGAAACCGCTTCAATAGGAAGCATATATAACTTTCTCCCCGTTTCAATATTCCTTTGTCAGGGTCATCATGGTCATGGTAGTTAATAATCCCGACCATCCATTCTGTCGTAGATGCCGGTGGGAAGAAGTGAGAATGCACAACCAGCTTCTTGAGCGGTGACACCCAGCGGCGACCTGCGGGTCGGGAAAGGAACGTCGACTGCCACTGACTCTGGCTAACAGAGGCAGGAAGCATGAGCAGTCTGACTTGCACGCCACGCTTTGTGATTGAGAAGTCGGAATCACCACGACCCTCTCCCCACCACGAGATCTGGCGATTCTTGAGCATATCCAGCGCGGTGTCATTCGTCGTGCGGTAACAGCCAGGCTCCGTTGGACAGCCAGGGAGCCCGCCAGCCCACACAAGAATTTGCCATTCCTTGCAGTTCTGAATTAGTTCTGCCATGAATCTTTTGAACGCTCGATCTCCTTCTCCATATGCGATCGTCATGCTGATGTCAAAGATACCAGTGAGGGAGTAAGCAACATCCTCGATACGGGTTGTCTTCCTGCTCGCAGCCCAGGTCATTTTCTCCCAGGCACGGTCTGGCCCAGGGCGAAAGTTGCACAGGTCATTCAGAGGGATTTTGGTAACCCGGGAAAGAGCAGGTACAACCGCCGCATCGTCCTTGTCGTTTTCATTATCCGTAAGGGATGTCCATGTAGGACCGTAAAATTTCATCCTGAGGGGCGCAAGGAGCTCTTGCAGCGTCCAGCCACGAAGGAACCACTCGTCAATTCCTAGCGTCTCCAATGATTCCGATTGAGCCAGATGCACGATGCATATATAAGCATCGCGGTACCATCTGTACATCGAACGTATGGCTTCATCGAGCTCCGAGCTGCTTTCCTTATTAATGCAGCATGTGTCAGACCATGCGAGACGGCAATTATAGAGCTCCTTCGCTTTTGTGCAAAACTCGCGTAACTTCTCGTAACCTGCTCCTTCGCGTTTTCCTGACTTCAAGTCTTGGAACGTTGGCTCCGATTTTACCCATCTGTGTGATAGAATGGCATATTTGAGCATGTCGGGGACCAACCTTGACTCTATAGCGAACTTTCTCGACCATCCCTTGTGCTTAGATATGTCTTTCTCCGTGATCTTCTCTGGTTCCAGTATGGTAAGAAGTTCTTCCCGTGAGATCAATTTCATCTTCGGGATATAGATCAGATGTGATGGAACCTGATCAAAAACACGTCGTTTGAACTCGATCATTACATCAGGAATGCCGTAGGGAGAACTATGCTGATATCTAGATCAGCTTGAATACGAACATAGATTCAAATAAGGAGCTAACCTCGGAGATCGTAGCTTCCACGGTCTGCGGTATTCCGGGTATACAACGCAAGGATTCTTCATGCACAAATGCTAGGATTTGATCTGCAGAAGGGCGATCTGCAGGCCGAAGTGAAAAGCATCGTTGGAGGAAAGATATGTCTTGATCACTGATTCCTTCTGGGAATGACGGGACTTGGCCGTCACGCAAACGGGCCTTCACAGTGTTATCTGGAGCTTTCTGCCAGGGCTCCTGTCCAGAAAGTACCTAAGAAAATTGTTAAATACGGTGATGCCAACGTCGATGAAGTAAGTTAGTACATGGATTATATTGCAACCGAAAGACCACACATCGCTTTGGGACGTCGGAAGTCCGCTGGAACTGGCAACCATTAACTCGGGAGCTGTCCAGGGAACATCACCCAGGCGGGTCTCGTAAGATTCTGATTCCGCAATCTCATCAAGCATCGTGGAAAGCCCGCTACCTTTTACAAAGGCACGGCCATTCGAGTCCACCAAGATGTTATGCTGGCGTCGGCACATCGGAAATTAGTGCTCGCCTGCCTAATCTTTGATAAGAACTTACACCGCTTAGATTTCCATGAACCACTGCAAAAGAGTGCACTAGTAAAAAAGATCACTTGAGAATGCCCACTATCGTAGGTGAGGAGCAGACATACAATACTGCAGCGCTGAGGCAATATCTTGCAACTAACCAAATTCGGTTTTAGATGGGGCAAAATCACAACCGAAACCACCCACCAGGCGAAAACGTTCATGGCGCATCAGGATATTGTGATGTCTAACCAATAACTCAATTAAGCTTCCACTGTCGATCCAAGGTGACACGAGGCCAGGCAATGGGCCATATCCATGAACCAGCCCGAGCAAAGGCAAGATGTGCTCGTTCTGAAGTCGTCCCCATACTTTGATTTCTCGTCTCAATTCCTCACCTTTTTCACTGAGCGAGTCAGAATCATGCTGAACCTTGATGACCTGAACTGCAACCTGGAAGTGTTTAAAATTATCAGCTGGTGTCGATTGTCAACTAGCAGGGACCTACTGGAGAAGATTCAGAAGGTGAGTTCCAGCTGCACTTGAAGATTTTCGCATAACCGCCCGCTGCAGCCGGTTTGTCCGAGTCTTTGATTATCTGATCAGTGAGATCAGGGATGCAGCTGAGGCACAGATTCAGCGAGATAAAAGCTAAACTCTCGAGAAATTCGCACATAGGAGTTTCGAATACTGATGACATTACCATTATTTGCGAGTTGGATGGCTTCCGCGGCGAAGGTGTGGGTCAAGTGTCAAATATGTGCTTGGCAGCCGAATATTTCCCATCACAGAAGCCTCGGGAATCACCGTCCGACTCTTGGCCATGTCACAAGTGGGCGCTTGTAATAACTGAATGATATTGACGAACCATACGACTGAGCAATGGATGAAGACATCTAGATCGTTATTCCATACAACCCTGGGCTGCTCAGATTTGTCCACTGAAGGCATAGAACGTACGATGGGGAAAGAGTAACCAACGTCTTTGTGCACTCTTGCATCGTGACTCCCATGACCATCGAGTAAGGTTATGGACTGCCAGTCGGTATATATATGGATTGTTATTATGATAGGTACCAGAGTCATGCTTGTCCGAGTCGAGCGTGCAGAAATTCTGGAATTTGGAGCACCTCTAGGTGAATTTGAACGCCCAAGCCAGATACCAAATGGCAACCAGAGACTCAACACGATGCATGTGATGATGGGTGCACAAAAGTAGCAATAAACTGTTTGGTTGAGGTTTGTAGCAATATTGGTGCTAGTGGTGGTACGCGTACGTCATGCATTTGTGACTCGCTGAGTGCTATATGGATGTCGAGACACAAGATCGCCGCACCATATGGTATAAGAGTCTTGGAACCATTACCATCATGATGGTAAGTTCCCTCAGTAAGTACTGCCCCAGTGTGGGCCGTGCGCTACACTTAAATCCATAAATCAATTCCTGATTCCTTCCCGATGCAGCTAAGGCTGCGCCACGCTGGCCGAGTACTTTCGAGATAACACCCTGTGCGTGCTGTGTGGTGGTGAATCTGTAACATTATCTCCAGTGTATTGTTTATTCTCCATATTTTTCAACTCAGATGATCACAGCTCTTGGTATTGATCTCGGGACGTCAAGTTGGTGCGGGCATTATTCAATACTTCTGAGTCTGCAATTGACATTCACTCCTCCTGCATTGCAGTTCCGTTGGGGTGTGGAAAAATGATCATGTCGAGATCATAGCGAACGAGCACGGGAATTATACTACCCCATGTTGTGTGTCCTTGGTGGACAACAATTGCTTGATCGGAGAACAAGCAAAAGGCCAAGCACCTTCTCACCCCCAAAACACGTAGGCCTATATGAGCTCCTTCCTCCAGCTTCCTCCCTGTTTTTGAAAATGCACGAATAGTATCTTCAATGTCAAGCGTTTCATCGGGAGGAAATTTGACCATCTTGAGGTACAATCCGTCATGAAATACTACCCGTACGACCTGATCGACAAGGAAGGAAGGCCACATATCAGCGTCGAACCTCATCAAGGACAACAAGATTTCGTGAGTGTACATCACTGCAAGTTTACACGCAATTGATATTTAGATAATCACACTTTCTCCGCCAGTCCGCAGAAGAGATATCATCAATGATCCTTACCAAAATGAAGTGTCTGGGAGAAACGGACCTCGGCGCACCATGTAGAGATGCTGTCATTACTGTTCCGGCCTACTTTACCGACGCGCGACGGCGAGCCACTGTGAATGCAGCGAGACGGGCGGGCCTCAGGGTCCTACGACTACTTAACGACTCTACAGCTGCCAGCGTTGCCTATACACTCGCCGATGATACCAAAGAGGACGTGTACAGAATCCTTGTTGTTGGTCTTGGAGCAGGCTCACTGGACGTAGCGCTTGTCGAGATTGATGAAGGAGTTGTAGAAGTTGTTACTGTGGCGGGAGACTGTCACTTGGGTGGCGAAGACTTCGATGATCGTCTTGTCTTCCATTTTGTCCAAGAGTTTTGGGGCCAGCATAACAAAGGTTGGGATTATTTATCTACTCTCTTCGGCCTCTTCATGTTTCCCCTTATGACAGACATTTCTTCTGACCCAGGCGTCCTTGTCGTAGTAATGCAAGAAATTGCTGTGATTGCAGCGTTAGTAGTGATGCATTTATGCTACAATTGTAGGCCTGCCAATACTGATGCATTAGCAGCAATATAGGGCGATGCATGCATTCGATGCACCGCATTTTTTAGACTGTGGGAAATTTGCACTACACCCAAAACATAGCCATTTCCGGTCATCTCCTGGATCTCAACATTTCCCACACTCCTCCTCAGCACATTCCTGCCCACCACCATACCATATCCACCTATCTACTGTAGAGAAGTATTAGTGTATACTATGTATATATAATAGGCCATAATAGAACGCTTTTTGGTTTGTTTTTGTCCCAACACAAGCTCCAGAGACCTGTACATTTAATACAGGAAAAACATATCAAAAACACATCCGCATTTTTCCCCCTTCAATGATAGAATGTCTTAGCACACTAGATATATGTTTCTGAGTATATATGAGTCGATTCCACCGCTCGTTTGGCCCTCCAAAGGTCCCTGCAGCACTAGATGTAGTATGCACACAAAAAATAACAAATAGCTTCGCTTTTTTTTCAGTTTTAACTATATAGACTTGAAAATATGATCCCCAACATCCTTTCAATAGTATACACAAGATATGAGCAGTATGGGATCATAGGTTCAGTCCCTGGGGTGCTGTATTGCTATCCTCCCCTGATGGTTCATCTCCTGGGAAAATTTTCCCTGGGGCTCCGACCTTCCAGAGATGTAGGGATTGTATTTCTAGGTGTATATGGAGTATATATATGTTATAAATATAAGCCAACAGTAGCAGGATCCTCCTTTATAAACCAATACTTCCTCCTGCTTGCATGGGTGTATATTTTCGCAATTTTGATGGTTATACTTATTCACCACTGGAATGATTACCTAGCAGGCTCATATATATTATATAGGGTGTATATAAAGGCTAACTATGGCCAAGATCAGTGAGAAACAGGGCGGATTATTGATATCATGTACATACTAGATATATTGAGTGATAAGGTATTTTACATGTCATCAGGGAGATATTTTATGATCAGACTGTTGTAGTACATCCTAAATACACTAGGAAGTATTGTCCCAGTGTTACAGGACGATCCACCTAGAATTGAGAGCAGGGAAAGCATATAGATAAGAATTGGACTGTGGGAAACCTAAAAGGGCAAAACATCGGAAATCAACACTTGGGTGCACATACAGTTAAGGCCTCCAAACAACCCACACTCACACAACAACCCTTCCACACCACCTCTACCCATAGAATAAAGTGCAGGAAAGGTTCTTTGAGCACTCTACTATGTAATATACTGACTTTTAAGAAAATCCTTACCCTGTATATGCATCAATTATGACATTTGTAGAGTATTTCTCGTGCAAAAATAATATTTCACTTGCCTATTCATCAATTGTGGGTGAGCGGCCCTGTGCTCCTGAGATATTGTGTATACTATTGAAAGGATGTTGGGGATCATATTTTCAAGTCTATATAGTTAAAACTGAAAAAAAAGCGAAGCTATTTGTTATTTTTTGTGTGCATACTACATCTAGTGCTGCAGGGACCTTTGGAGGGCCAAACGAGCGGTGGAATCGACTCATATATACTCAGAAACATATATCTAGTGTGCTAAGACATTCTATCATTGAAGGGGGAAAAATGCGGATGTGTTTTTGATATGTTTTTCCTGTATTAAATGTACAGGTCTCTGGAGCTTGTGTTGGGACAAAAACAAACCAAAAAGCGTTCTATTATGGCCTATTATATATACATAGTATACACTAATACTTCTCTACAGTAGATAGGTGGATATGGTATGGTGGTGGGCAGGAATGTGCTGAGGAGGAGTGTGGGAAATGTTGAGATCCAGGAGATGACCGGAAATGGCTATGTTTTGGGTGTAGCGCAAATTTCCCACAGTCTAAAAAATGCGGTGGTAGGATGCATCAAAAGATGCATTGGGTGATGCACAAGTGATGCACCATATATTAGCAGGGGAGGGGAGAGTGCTACAATTGTAGCAAGAATGCATCACAGGTGTGCTACAAGTACAGCAAATAATGCATTACAATGACAGGAACCTGTGTCTGACCCTCGTGCTCTTTGGCGTCTACGTGCAGAATGCGAGCGTGCTAAACGGACACTTAGCTCCGCTACCCGAGCTGACATTGCTGTCGAATACCTTCATGACGGGATCGATTTCTATTCATCAATCACACGTGTCGAGTTCGAGGCCCTGTGCGGCGATCTTTTCGATCGAGTGATTGATCAGGTCAAAAAGGTGCTCCGAAACCTGGATTCAACGCCCGTGACTGAAATCATCTTATTTGGTGGATCAACTCACATTCCCTGCATACGAACTATGATATCTGAGATATTTGACGGCAAATTGCCTATCAAAAGACTTCATCCTGAGGCCCCCGCAATTGGCGCTGCCGTCATGGCTGCCATCCTTAGCGGACTCGAAGAACTTTCGCCAAGACTCGACAAAATTCTAGTCCTAGATGTCGCGTCGTTGTCTCTGGGTATCCAGACCGCTGGTGGAGTCATGACGCGTTTCATCGCTAGCTCTGTCACTATTCCTACTAAGAAGTCGGAGGAATTTACGACTTATGCAGATAACCAGTCGACACTCATCTTCCGTGTATTCGAAGGGGATAAAGAGCAGGCGAAAGACAACAATCTCCTTGGCATTTTCGAGCTTTCCGACATTCCACCTGCTCCTCGCGGGGTTCCTCGAATTGAAGTCACATTTGATATTGATGCAAATAACATTCTTATCGTGACTGCCTACGATCAGAATACAGGAAAAATGAAAATGTTGACCGTTAGCGAGCGTGTGGGAACATTCGATCACTCTTCCGAAGTCGAGTCAGCTTTCTACCAACAGTATATGGGTAAGTCAGAACCATTTGAAGGAGAATGGTGCTCACATTAGCACCTATAGCCGAAGATGCAGGTATTCGAGCGAAAAAAAACACTCAAGTGGTATACATCAAATATTCGCTCATTGATCTCCGAAGACAAGCTTCCCAGGACCTTGAAAGCTTCTGAAAAAGCAAGTCTGGAGTCGGTTGTTAAGCAAGCAGAAGAAATCCTGGATACGACTGACAAAGAGAGTCCCGATGTTGAGCGATATCTGAAGATGCAAAAGATTTTGGAGACGGCTTCTTCATCCGTCTTGCGCAAGCATGGTACCACTTCGAGTTGAAATTCGTTAGTTTGACACAGACCGATTGTTATGTTAGTGCCTATGAAATGACTACAAGCCTCGGACACCAGGGCATATGTCAATTTACGTGTTGATTCGATCTTTATAATACTTCCCATTCAGCTGTCGTATTACAGGAACAGTAACCATCCAAGGACGGAGAATAGTATTGTGCTGGCGATCGATTATCGCTCGCACATGTTGATGGCAGCGCATTCAAGAGGTGTTGTACAAGCGATTAGAGGGGGCTAGCACGAGGATACTTCCTTGTTCTAGTACAGAATTTCAGAAATACCAGCAAGAAGTTGAAAAAAGTTCGCACTCACATTTGACTATTTTGCGTGTCAATTGCGTGACATAAGCATAGAGATGTTATCTTTCCATCTTCTCTGTGAGGATACGAGCCGGAAGCGTCTCCTCATTGCGACCTGCGGCGCGAATGGCTTCCTTGTCTTGTTCTGTCATCTCAGCCCGCAAATGCACTGGAAGTTCTGCTTATCCGCCCGAACATGCAAATTAATATACCTATACAATGTAAATATAAGAATTCTGCTTGCTGAAATCCAAGAATAAGGACGGAGAACCTACTCTAGACATGCCACAGTGGCGCTGCCCTGCCCGTGCTTATGGGTTTGATGAACTGTGTGTCTGCGACAAACATCTATAAGGGCTTGCAATATCAAGGACAATAGCGCTGGGAATATGCAACTCAGTGGTCATTGAGTTCCCTGGGTCCTCGTTGGGCCGGTTTATATTGAAACATTTGTACTATGAACTTAAGTACCCCCGAGGAGTGTTCAACTTCAACGAGTGAGCCGTGGCATGTCTAATGGTTAATTTGAGGGTGAACCTATCATTGAGTACGTGTGGAGTCACTGGAGTGAGGACATAATCTGTTTCAATCGTAGGCAGTACTCACCAATTTTTCTTTTGGTACCGCAGTGCCACTAGCCAGACTTCGGTTTCATTCCAGTCGGAAATTCCACCTCTTTTGAGTAATACCAGACGCCCTTGGTCACACTAGTGAGGCGGCGCCCTAGAAACAGTTTGCGATGAACGGCTGCAACAGTATTCAGATGTTTGGCCACTTTAAAGGTTTCTCCAGTTTCGTTTGACACCTGCGTACAATGTGCGTGATCCCACTGGCTAGTAGTAATGGCAAAACTTAGTTTTGCCACTCACCGGAGCTTCCTTTCAGCCGATGGCGCGATCAATACTCGGGCGCTAAACACACTTCTTACGATCAAGGCCTATCTGCAAGACTCCTCAGGTGCAGGGCTTTGAGACTCGTAGCATGTGGATAGACAGTGTTCGACAGTTCATCCTCAATTATTCCTGGCTATCAACACCTATCATTGCGGCAATTGGATGGTGCCAGACCTGGGTTATTGCCTCTATTTTTCTTTCCATCGGAAAATCCAATGAGGTTGTTGCGGCCATTGAAGAGTCACGACTGCAGAGTTCTTTCGTGAGATATTATAATCAAGACAGAGATGATCCAGGTGTCTCGGGAACGTCCACATGTAATTATGTTGCAGAGCAAAGGTACACGGGTAAGTGGTTGCATCCATGCCTCTCGGTTCGAGGCGTTGAGGGTGCCCTACTATTGAACTCAGGTCTAGCAAAGCGCACGGTCCTTGCTGCATGGCTTGCAGACACTTCCACCGCAACTCCCAAAAAGACCGTTGGCGTCATGTCGATGGACCCTGGGCTCAGCACGCAGCTTCTTGACCTTTATCACTCCGTCTGTAATGCAGGCTTCCTTGCATACGTGTCATTTGTCATTCAAATTGTCGGCTCTCTCTACGGTATCGTGACAGTCTCGATCATCTGGGCAGATGATGCGCATCTCATGCAACAAGCTTATGGCGTCCAACTACAGCAACAACTCGCCGCGCTCACTATCAACCGCGGGATGTGGTCCATTGCGGCTCTTGGCGCATTCTTTCCGTGGGCACCTCTTCACGCTCTCTATTTGACGACGGCTGTTGCTGTTGCACTAGAATTTCTCTTCGCTGCCAGGGGATTTGTTATTGGCTGGCATATGAGCCTGCTTCCTGGTATCCTCCGTTTCTTTGTTGTCTTTTCGTGGCTGCTTCCTAGCGCGGAAGCGTTAACGCTAATATTTGGTATGTTTTGCGCTTTTCATTTGTCAGTTCTGCATTAACACGTATATCCTACAGGTCTTATCGCAATGAAGATGGAGGTTTCATTCATTTCCGCCAAGGTGATCATCTTCGGGCTCCCGGCACTGTGGTTAATAATCGGGCCGTTGCTTATCATCGGAGCATCGTTGGGATCGCACTTTGGCATGTTGAATTGTCTTGTTGCCAATTCTAGCTTGTGCGCCACAGCTTGAGCGAAGAGGAATGCAGTCAAGTGGATATTGGAAGGAGTGATTGTCTTGCGGTTTCTTGTCCTGCTTTACATCTTGGTATGATTTTCTTCACTGCGTATATGTTTTTTCACTCACGTTGCGCAAGTTTATTAAGGCCCATGATATTCATACGACACTTCTGCGTTCAATCATCCCAGCACTCAGTTTGCGAGAGGTTACAACCACTCCCCCTTTACATAAAGCAAGTCAACGAAACAAATACAATGCATTGATATGATAAGAAAGAGTTGGCTGTTTTTTTCATGTGTTGCATTGCAATCAATATATGACAGCAGTCGCCCAGTCTATTAATAGTGACGTCCGACCCTTGTAGACTCTTGCACATCCCATGTCGTGATATTAATGCGCCATATCGTACTTGCGTTACCCTAAACAATAACCATTAGTACAATTACTGATGATCAGTTCTCGGAAGTGATCGTCTGGTGCCAATCTGGTGCAACCTATTTGTACAATCTAGCAGGTCGCACATCCACTTTGACGTACGTTCGACTACTCGTCTGCGTCACCTCTTGCCACAATGACCGGACCAGGCCAAGTACTACAGTGAACATGTTCATACAAGCGGAACAATTAATATCTGAAAGTCTGTAGGATGCGTGGTTCTTTTCGAACCAGCCGCAGCATTGAATGCGCATGTGAAGGTAGATCGCCAGCCATATGGACTTGATTGCTATGCAGTAGATGGTACGTTGAACCGAAGCTGAAAGAACGGGTGGCAGTACTGCTCGACGAAACTGTAGCGGTCCTTGTCACCCCTACTGGTGGACAGGCAATCGGAGTGAGATAGGCTCAGCAGGTGGACTCGAAGATGTCGACCAAACGATGTAAAGTTCATTGATAGCGGATTTTATAACAACCATAAGCTGTAATCTTGCACAGGAAAATTAAAATATAGCATCTTAGAGGATATAGCCTCGACTCACTTTGTAGCAGTAGTCAGAGCGATACAGACTCAACCAATCGTGTCAAAGATAGGCGTTCCTGAGAGGGATCAGTCAAGAATTCGAACTCGACGAAGTTTGCAGTCGGATGTTTACGCCACGGATTCTTGCACCAGTGGAAATTGATGCTCATGACAGGTACTGGCTCCACTGTTCGCATCAGTATGAAAGCGAGGCAATTGCGAGGAAGCTCGGCATCTCCGGATGGGGTCTCCCGGTAGTTCCATACCCCGAGAGCATAGTCTGAGACGATGCTGTCAACATCGGCGGTAGCATCCTGTACGCAATCACCATATGACAGGAAATTTCCTGTTACTTGGACATCTGTTACGTGCACGCCGTCAATTTCGCTGTGAAAGCCGGCTTGACGAGAAGATGTCACATGGTTGTTGGATGGCCAGCTCAGCTCAGCGGGCAGAATCATTAGCTTGATGCGTAGCCCACTGTTTGTCAGTGAAAATGCTCTTCGAATCGGCGGGCAGTACGGCTGCCCGACATAGCATCTTGGCGAGGAGGGAAGAGCTCGAGAAGGATGGTTCGTGATAGCGGGACGACCTGCCCAATTGAAAATTCGCAGATCGTCCGACGTCTGGATGATAGCTTCGACGAGCCTGAAGAATGCTCGTTCAGACCCTTCTCCATAAGCAATGGGCAGGACGACATGGAAAATTCCCATCAAGGAATACGCCATGTCCTCTCCTCTCGTGGTTTTTCTGTTCGCCGCCCAAGTCATACGTTTAGCGACATCATGCGAGCCAGGGATGAAGTCGCTAAGCTCGCGCCTGGAGATAGATGTGACTCTTTCTATCATTTTGATGACGTGATAATCAGCCTTATCATTATCTTGGATGGTCAACGGCAACCATCCAGCTCCAAAGAACTTTAATCGCTTTGGGGCTAGAAGCTCTTGTAGCGTCCAGCCCCTGGTGAACCATAAATCCTTCTCCAGATCAGCGACTCTGATGGTTTGAGAAAGGTATGCGATGCAGATTGAGGAATTGCGGTACCACTTGAACATGGATCGGAGCGATTCATCGAGCTCAGAGCTACTTGTTTTGTCGATGCAGCATGTATCTGACCAAGCAAAAACCATCCCATATCTCGACGCAGCTGCGCAAAAACTTTCCAACTTTGCGAATCCAGGACCGTGGGGCTGAATGCCCCCCGCCATCTCTTGATAAGTCACTTCTCCTTCGGCAAGCCACCTGTGGGAGAAAATTGCATATCGCACACGTTTCCGCACGACATTCGCAATCACATCTTCTCGAGAAAGATGGAGGTCAGCGCACTGCGCCTGGATGTCTTCTTCTGTCATGTCTCGTACAACAGTGAGGAAGTGACGCAAAACAGCGCCGCGATCGATGAGTTTCATATCTGGAATATGGATCAAGTGAATGGGGGTTTCATCGAAGACATATTGAGCGATTGCGTCTTCGAAATCCCTAGGAGCCATGGTTCGTGCTGCACGTCAGGTTTGATGGTGAGTGAGCTAGTATCTAGGGTATTGGATCATCGATTTTACTTACGATAATAACTCAGGACACGAGGGCCAGAGTCCAGATAGAAGCCAGTCGTTGATCACTGCTAATGGTCTTTAGGTGTTGGATTCGAAGGAGATGGCTTATTGCCACGCTACTTATCCCAGAATGTATATAACTCCGTGCAGGCCTGGAGTCTGCTCACGGCTTCTGTCCGACTTTGGCGCTCTTGAGCTTGATAATCGTGGAACTTCTTGGACCTTGGTGCATTTCACTTGCCAGATGCCATTCGGTCTGCGGCAATTACAAGCCTAATGCTGAACTCGGGTTGACTTGATCACTTGTAGGAAACTTCAAGTTTGCTTGGTGATCGATATGAGCAAGACGGGAAGGGAAAGACGCCTAGAACCAGAAGAAGTGTGGGCCATCAATGATGTGTAAGTAAGGCCTTGTTTGCAATCACGAACGCTGACACTGTGATGTCCAAATGATTCTCCCACCAGACCTGAAACACGCGTCTGCAATGAGGTAGTACTTCGTCCGCCGTGACCATCAATGCTTAACTCACCGCCAAATTCATCTCTCATCGCCTTCGCAAGAACACGAGTACTGACTCAGGCGACTCCTCAGCAGCTCCGAAGGTTGTCCATGTAGTACATGTGTCAAATCCAGAGCGCCGCGACAATCTTTTCCGCGCTACAGCAGTTTCGAGCGAATTCCTCAAAGCAAACCAGAAGTATTTTGGCGTACAATGTACGCAGTGTCAAACGAAATTGGAGAAACTTTTGAAGTGCGCAAAGGTGATAAATCATTCATACTCTTGCAGGCGAAGTTCGTTGAATGTCGCAAATCACCTTAGTGTAAGAGTGTCTGGTATTGCTCGAAAGAGGTAAGACTCGGACTTGTGGATGAAATAAAGTATGGAGGGCTGACGTAGCGTGTCTTCTCGCGTAGTGCCAAAAGAAAAATTGGTGAGAGCGATGCCCGATTAAAACAGACCCATGGGATCTCACTCTACACTTGGATTGAACTCGCCCGCCATGATAGGTCAAAGCACAAACCAACATGCCACGAAGATGAACGCTCCTCTGGGCTAATAAAACTCGTACAAATGATCACCATAAACCCAGTGATCATTGGGTACCTCAAAGTTGGTATCATCTTTGTTTGCGGCCTGCTCGATAATCCCCGAATCGGATTCGACACGCCGTTCTTGGCACGTGTTGAAATCGCTATTGAGCCAAGTGACGTTCTTGACTTTGCTGGATTGTATTTCAATGACAGGGCTGTTGGGGAGAAGCTTCAAGGAATGGTGCAATTCAATGCAATCACTCCGTGGAAGAGCCCAAGCATGCAAGCTCCCCTGACACCGAAGCGACTAAACTTATGGCGTGAGGCTCGAGCCAGGTGTAACGCAGAGGGTTTCACCAAAGATCCTGTTGGACTCATAGGGTTTGTCGGATGTAGGTCTGCATACGACACAGGAAATTCAATGACCACTGAGCTGCACATCCCCGCTATTGCCCTTGCCATCGCGAGGAAACGCGAGCCTTTCGTAGGCGTCTCTGCTGTTACGGGCACACAAATCAAGCAACCCATGAGCGCTGTGGCATGTCTGGAGTAAGTTCTCTGTTTCTATTCTCTAAGCAATGGAGCCGCTTACGATCACTTTGCATAGGTTCGTCAATTTACATATTCGGGCGGATAAGCAGAATCAGTTGCATTTACGGACCGAGATGACAGAGCAAGACAAGGAAGCTATTCGCGCTGCAGGTTGCAATGAGGATGCACTTCCCGCTCGTATTCTCAAAGAGAAGATGCGAAGAGAACACCTTTATGCTAATTTTGTGTAAATGTGCGTGTGTACATTTCCGGCGATTTCTCTCTTTCTGAATTTTGCACCAAGTGAAGGGAAATACTGATACGAATCATCAGTGGGACTTCTCACCTCCACCTGTGATTTTCAAGTTACCCTTGGATTATGTTTCATTACATCGGCGTGGCCTTACTATTCTGAGTCGGGTTGAATTTTCTGAATGTTTTGTACCTTGTAGCTCTCTGATCGAAGTCTTGTGTATGATGTTCTTTATCACATCGACGCGGCCTTACTCAGGTTAAATTTCATAAGAAGATGGGGTCGCTTCTGGATCATGTGAACTTGCTGTTATCTGCGGCGCACCTGACCTGAGAAAATAGGTACGCTCGTAATCAGTCCTTCGTGACCCTTAGCGCTCAACTCGCCACTAAACTACCTCCCATCGCCTTGGCGAGAATATGAGCACCGACTCTGGCGCGTCCTCCGCAGCTCCCAAGGGTATCCGTATGGTTCATGCGGTATATCCAGGGCAGGACAAACTTTTCCGTGATATAGCAGTTTCTAGTGAATTCCTCAAAGCGAACCAGAAGTACTTCGGCGTACAATGTACCCAATGTCAGGTGAAAATGGAGAAACTTTTGAAATGCTCAAAGGTGATGGTCAATTATCTGGTTTATACTGTTGCAGGCGTTCATCGAGTATCGCAATTCGTCCCCAGTGTAAGAGCGTCTGGTATTGTTCCAAGGAGGTAGGACTTGTAACTGGGGTAGAATGAAATTATGAAGAGCTGACGTCGCGTGACCTCTTGTATAGTGCCAGAAGAAAAATTGGTGAGAGTGCTGCTTGTGATTGACGCGGACTAGGACCTGACTCTGTTTTGGACTCGATAAAGGTCCACCCACAAACCAACATGTCATGCAGATGAGCGCTCCTCTGGGCTCTTCAAACTCGTACGAATGTTCAGTGTAAATCCAGTGCTTATGGGGTATCTCAAAACTGCCACCGTCTTCGAGTGTGGCCTACTTGACAACCGCCGAGTCGGTTTCGACACGCCGTTCTTAGCGCGCATTGAAATCGCCATCGAGCCAAGTGATGTTCTTAACTTTGGTGGATTGTATGTCAACGACCCAACTGTCGAGGAAAAGCTTGAAGGGATGTTGCAAGTCAATGCCATCACTGCGTGGCAGAGCCCAAGCATGCAAGCTCCGCTCACGCCAAAGCGACTCAACACATGGCGTGAAGCCCGAGCAAGGTGTAATGCAGAGGGTTTCGCCGAAGATCCTGTCGGACTCGTAGAGTTCATTGGTCATAGGTGTACTGAAGACTCAGGGAACTCAATGACTGCTGAATTGCACATCCCCAATATTACTCTTGCCGTCGCGATGACACGCGCGCCCTTCACGTCTGTCTCTGCTATTACGGGCATTCGAACCGAGAAGCCCTTGAGCGCTGCGTCATGCCTAGAGTCAGTACTCTGTTCTTATATTGGAATGCGGTCTCTTATGATTACCATGCACAGGTTTATCAACTCGCACATTCGGGCGGATAAGCAGAATCAGTTGCGTTTACGGACTGAGATGACAGAGCAAGACAAGGAAGTTATTCGCGCTGCAGGTCGCAATGAGGACACATTTCCCGCTCGTATTCTCAAAGAGAAGATGCAAAGAGAACAGCTTTACGCTGGTTTCGTGCAATTGACAAGAACAGTAGTTACCTGTGAGTATCTACATTTCCGATCATTTTCCGCAAGTCTTTCTGAATTTTGCACGAAGAGGAAGACTGGCGCGAGTTACTATGCAAGTCAGCCCTGTACCATCATACTTAGTATCACACCGATACCTTACTCAGATTGGATCTGCTCGAAATCTTATGTAGGACGTCTCTTGAATTGATCGCATAATCAGTCCATCTTTGGACCAGGTCATCGACCAGACAACAAACTCTGAACTCAGCATCTAGAATGTTTACGGTTATCGACACAAGTATATCATCGAGCTCTGAAGTTTGGTCATCACATAGACATTGATACAACATCAATCGATTGTGTCGAACCAACGAGCCCTGAGTCGGAGTGGTTCTACACTTTCATAGCTTAGTGGCTGGGGAAAATGTGTGATATTATTATCAATGAGTTGCGATACATGTACGAGAGTGATATTGCATGGATGAGTTGTGATGCAGAAATGTCTAGGGACACATGAGTGTAGTATGTGGGGACAAGCCCACAGGCTTTTCGGCCTAGTGTATGTGTCCCTACCTAGGGTTTACATAAATACGAGCTGTGTATGTGATGGATGAGTGGACACCGATGAGGTGGCAACCTTGCGTGAAGTTTGAAACCCAGGAAGCGAGTGCAGTACGTCGAAGTACGAAGGTCGCATACGAAGGTTCGCGCACGAAAAGGAAAGTCGACGTCGACTAGGATATCATTGGAGAGCGGTCAGTAGGTCGAGTGATATGCAGTGTAGACTCCAGTATAGAAATTATGACGCATCCTTGTAGGTGGTTGCAGAAGACTGGAGTACATAGCACTGACCGATTCCAAGGTGTCTGTGAAGAGAAAAACAAGGTATGTAATTGTCGTTAAGATCCTGAAAGAAATAGGTAGGAGAGGCGTGCACAGGAGGTTATGGGTTGCTGTTTGTCTGTAGAGATGTGGATCTCTGTGAGTGACAAGACAAGTTGGGGAAGACTAGGACTGTCAAGTATCTGCGGAGAAAAAACCATCGTCAAAGTCTCATAATAAATTGAAAGACTGTCTGCATTCTCTGTCAACGATAAGTCAGTTCTGGATGGATACCTAGAATATTCGACGGCTGCTCTTCGAAGTGATGCCGATGTACATGCCGTTGAACTGAAATTTTGTTTGTGGTACGTGGCAGGATTAGTTCAGGGACATCATTCACGGCACCACAAAAGTTTCGATACCGGTCATAAGAAGAGCGACATCGGGAAGGGGGTCCTGCTTATAGTCAAAAGCGTCACCACACACAACAGCTCCATCGGGGTTGTTGTGTTCATTTAGCTTGTCGGTCTTGGCATTCTAAAGGACCTTGCGAGCTCTACGAGGCTCAACTTCGTGCAGCAGCTGCGGAGCAGGCACGGAGGTACGATATTTATTTTTATACTCTTGAGTTGGGGGGTGGCGCATCGTTCGATACGCGCGGGGATATCTGCAATCAATAGTATACTGATGACTTGCAAAACATTGATAGTCATTAAAAGTCTTACAGAACTAGCCACGATGGTCCAGGCAGCTCACACGTGATTGATCACGGCCTGAAGGATGGAAATGGGACAACCTGCTCGGTCAACTCCCTGATCGCAATCCAGATGAGTCACCTCGAGAGCACCCACAGCTTGACAGAGGCGACATATCTCCGTACCCCGTGAGACAGTCGGACCCACAGCTACGGAACAAGACTGTGCAATCCAATACATGCGCGATTCGAGTTCAACGTCGTTTGTGGAATAACCTAGAGCGTGGACATTGTAAGAGTTGAAGGTTCCATGGGGGACATAAATTTGCGGGGTCTAAATTTAACACGGCTAAGTAGATCATTTCAGTGCAATCACATCCTTACGATAAATTAAAATAACGTGAGGTACGCGAGCGAGGAGTGTGGTGAATTAATTCAGTGATCGCTCGCACCTTTGTGTCGACAATGAGGGATGAGAATGGTGTACAAGCAGCTCACTCTCTAGAATGTGCCGCGATAAAGGGCTGTGCACTGGAGCGCAGCAGCACAGTAGCCGGTGTCGCGGATGGAAAGACGTGGAATTGCGACGGGTTCGGATTGAGTCATACGTGTTGTGCAATGCCGAATCGGCATCGGGTAATTCCGTGGGGTACTAGCAACACGCCTCCTCAACGAAGGGAGATAACACACTCACTCGACCATATCGACCAAGATGTTGACCGATTCGATAACAACAACACCCTCATTCTCATTCGACCCAACAGTAGATGACTTTTTCAACCTCGACATACTGAACTCAGCTCCCTCAGCTTTCACAACAGCTTCATCTTCATCTTCGTCCCCACGAAGCCCCTTCACTTTCTCATCTCCAAATGGCGCAGACGACGACTTCTTCGCCCAATTCTTAGACACTGATGAGTTAACAAAGGGTCCATCCCTATCATCACTCTCAGTCCCTTCATATGACTTTTTTGGCGCAACTCAAGGTAGCGCCAGTGCAAGTGGCTCAAGTCCTGAGAGTATCGATGCAAGCACTCCCATGTTCGCAATAGATCCACAACTAGTCGGAACTCCTGCTACTTCAAATGACCACTCAGACCAAGATTCTAACTCTGACGAAGAGCTAGAGCCAGAACCAGAGCTCGCACCACCTAAACGTTCTCGTCGTGGTGCTGTCGCTTCTGGTGGCATTAAGAAGTCATACTCTCCTTCTGAGAAGGACTTGAATTCAGGCGCGGGAAAATCAAAGCCCTCAAAGGACCCTGCCCCGCTCAGGATCCTCGAACCCGAGGACTGGCGCCCAAGTCCCGAAGAATACAAGAAGATGAGTAGCAGGGAGAAACGCCAGCTCAGAAACAAGATCAGCGCACGAAACTTTAGAGTGAGGCGAAAAGGTCAGTATCCCCTCTACCTCCCTTTCCTTCTCACTGACCCCTCCAATCAGAATATATCACAACCCTCGAAGGCGACATTGCAGAACGTGACCGCCTAATCGACGCAATCCGCTCAGAACTCGGCAGTTCCCGCTCAGAAAACACTGCCCTCCGTCAGGAAATTTCAGCCCTCAAGCGTTGCCTCCTCGATTCTCGCAATCCCCCCGACCTCCCACCCCCAGCAGAACTCCAAACAGGCGCGCCCCTCTCTCCACCTGGTTCACCCACACCTACGCCCGTATCCGTCCCATCAACAACCCCACTCATCACCCCAAACACCCAAAAAGACCTCCCTACATCTCCACGTCTGGGCGCACGCCCATTTTGGGGTGGATTCGGCGGTATGGGCGTTACACCTGTACATACGACGCTCATCCCACCCGTCGGCGTCAAAGGCGTTCTCCAAGAGAACATCAACCCTGCCTTACACTGCCCAGGCTCAATCGTCGAGAAGACGAACAGCCAACTCAACGGCCTCGGTATAGGCACGGGGCTGGGAATGGGCATAGGCGCATTCGATGCCTTTGCGGATACAAATCCATTCACGCTCAAGACCCTCGATGCGTATCGGATGCAATTGTGGGGTAAGATGGCTGCGCAGCATGCTCATGCAAACCCCCATGGGATGGGGTATACACCGCATGGATTGGCCTCAGGCCTCAAACCTGCGTATTTCGCATCACCGCCTTCTTCGAAATCGCAAGGACTCGGTGGGAAGAACGCGTATCCTTCGCCTCCTTCATCCCCTGGGTTCAAACCAGCACCGGTACCTACGAGGGAACAGGCTGCGTTTGCTGCTATTGCGTCGCAGACGTTGCTCGGCAAGCTTGGGAGCGCGTTTTGGGAGGCGTTTTCTGGGTCTGGGCCTGGTGCAGGTTCTGGTGTAGGTGGAAGTGGAAGTGTGATGAGAAAGGATTGGGACGCAGAAAAAGTGCGCAAGGTCCTCGAAGGCCGGGCAGTCGTCCGAGTCGTTGATCTCGATGAGCCCGTGCTCAGCAAACCATCTCCCTCTTCCTTGATGGTGCCTTCGAATATGATAGAGAGGAAGCAGTCGTTACCTCTGGGTATGGCGGAGAAGACACAGCCAAGTGGGAGTGGGTCAGCGACAGGACCGAGTACATGTTCGTACAAGGCGAATGTGTGCGATATTTTGGAGGAGAGTATGAGAAGCTTGACGATCTCGAAGAAGTAGAAGCAGGCGGGTCTGGCTTCTGTCTTCGCCCTCTTCTTTGTCTTCTCCTGATTCCTTTCATCGTCCCCGCGCTTTGCTCCCAGCCAATGGTTTCCTTTCTCTTCGTCGTTGAACTTGCAATAACAGCATCGCATCCGAATACTTTTCTCGTTCTTCGTAATCTAGTCCAACCCCCGCTCCGCCTCCGCTCTTGCGTTCTGCGCCTTCTGTGGTCTGATCATCTAAAGATTTTCCTACTGCTGTGATCGAATTTCGTTTCAACGGCTATTTCAGAATGTTCCATCTCCAAACGACTATTTCGTCCCAACGAATTGAATTGTTTGTCTCTCTCCCCACGTCTGTTTCGTTTTATATATTTGCTGTGCGTGGATGCTCGTCAGATCACGATCCTTATGCCCCCCCTTTCTCATCTCCGATTTGTGCTCCCCATTAATATCCTTTTCGCTCTTCCGATCGTGTCGTGCATTCTACCGCCACCGCTACATACTTACTCCCTCCAAATAGTAGTCTTTTATAGCTTGTTTGTTGTTCTTTTTTGTACGTATGAGATATGTGAGAATGGAATTGGAATGTTATTATATTAGACTTGTAATTTGGCGCGTTGGATCTCGCTACAGCACTGCAGTATGAGTTGCTCATCCTCCTAGGCCGACTTGTTGATGACACTTGTCTCTTGTTCAACCGCACCACGACTCTAGATTTTGTTATAGATTCTCTTGACAATGTTGTGTTGGATCCTTATGACACCACAAACGCAACCGTGACTCATCGTATTTCATACACTTAGAAGATGACCCAAACGCCTTTCGAATTGCAGGGACAGAGTCTGTCCACGATTTTAAAAAGTTATCAAGAATGCAAAGACCCATATTCGATCATTTGCTCAATGATAATCTCAACCTTTGAAAGGCTGAAGTCCTAGCTGAGTTCAGTACGTCAAGCCGTTATCGAATCGGCAATGCTGCGTAAGCTGACTAAATTCGCACAGCGTCCGCATCTTTCCATCCACGAAGCATATGCTGCTGCGCTCCACAGCCCAGCCCCCACAATTTCCTTCATGGAAGGTGTTGGAGGATATATGATAGGTAGTATGTAACCGATCTGACTTGTATACCGTTTCTATCCATCAGCTTCACTCAGAACTTGCTCGAAACCGATCATTGTCTTTCAAATCCAAACCAAGGCTTAATGGCGTTGAATCATTCGAGTAATCTTGCCTCGCTCGCGTATGTATTTCGAATTAATTTAATTTATGACTGCATTTAAAGGATCTACTCAGCTGTGCTAGATTTGGACCCCACAAAATGTACATGTCCTTCCATGGACCTTTCTCCGTATCATACAACATCCACGCTCTCGGTTATTCTGCTGCTACCGCATCACAAACGACGTTCCACTTGAAATTACGGATTACACGGTCTTATTCCCACAAGGTGGGGAGATATATTGCCTCCCTGAAGCTGCGGGTACTCTCGAGGTGACGCCTCTGCCATCTAGGTCGCGATCAAGGAATCGACTGAGCAGGTTGGCTTAATTTCCATCTACGACCCCTGTCAAACCGCCTGGGCATCGTGGCTAGCCAGGCATATCGGTAGACAGACGTGACTATTCAAATGGATCCTTGGGCGGTCCAAGTTCCGTATGACTAGCCATGTTTGTATCCAGGATATCGTTATCCCCTCCGTTTGTATCGAACGGCACGCCACCCCCCGCTCAAGAGTATAGAAATAAGTATCGTACCTATGTGCTTGTCCCGCAGCTACAGCACAAAATCGAGCTCGCAGAGAAGGCTCTTCAGAATACCAAAATCAACAAGCTAAATAAACACAACAACCCTGATGCAGTTGTTGCACATTGTGACGCTTCTGAAAATTCGCAAGGGCCCTTTCCCGATGTCGCTCGTCTTGTGGTCGGTATCGAGACCGTTGTGGCGCCATCGATGGTGTCACTGGAACAGTCCTGCCACGTGCCACGAACAAATTTACAATTCGACAGAGTATCTGCCTCGTACATCGGCATCAATTTGAAGAGCCACTGTTAAGCTGTCGAAGTACTCTAGGTGTCTCATCGTCCAGAACTGACTTATCGTTCCCAGAGAATGCAGGACGCTTTCTCTTGGATATCGCTGCCACTTGATCACTGTCAAGCACGAAACAGAGAGCGGTAAGGTGTTCGTTCTCGTGACGAGCACGTGAGACACGCCTTGGAGTCCATGGCATGTGTCAGTTCGAATACCAACTTTGGTCACTTGGTATATGTTTACTACATTCTTAATCGCCAGTAATCACCCTCGCCTAGTGCGAGTTATGTCAATATTGTCACTTTTCCTGCCTACTGAGCACCGCTTCGTCTAGATTAGTTCCGGAAGTTCCAATCATTGTTACACGACGTGAATGCCTCGCAGACTCCATCGACTGCAGCGAAGCAGACAGAATATCCTTGCGGTCGCCCTCAGGCCGGCATTTGGTTCTATACCTTGAAGTCGCGTGCTTGATGCATGATGCCTGGGTTATATACAAGTAGTACTGCATACAATTTACATACAAAAGGCATCTCGTTCTAAGTCTTCGCCACTCGCACTCAATATACTCTCCTACAACCCATCCACCACTGCGGTCCATGCCCGACCAAGTTGGTGATGTAGTCCATCTGTTCTTGACTAGGACGCTCTTCAAAGGAGTCTTCTTCATCCGAGCACACAGTGAGCTCGTAAACTGTCTGAATTTGAAAGGCCAGAAGTTCTTCGTCGGAGAGCACGTCGTCGTAGTCACCATCATACACAGCGATCCACTCGGGAGGCACCGAGCCACCCTTGGGATTAAAGCAAGTGATGGGATCTAAATCACTGATGCCTGTTAGATCCATAAGGCGTTCGTATGCTCGTAGGATGGCATTGGTTTGATAGCATTTGGTATTGCGATCGCGCAATTCTTCTGGGCAGTGTTGCTCCGCAAATCGGACTAGCCATTCGCGAGAGATTGCATATCCGTAGAACCGGACGTGAGGCTGCTTTTCGGACGGACAATTCTAATCCGTCGTTGTCTGATTGAATCCGAAGTCGAGATCTATGACCATTAGAAAGTAAATAAATGATGAAAGATGGGTTCTACCTTTAGTGCATTAAAGAGTAGAGAAGACATGGTGTTGATAGAGATGTGAGATAATTAAGAGTGACTGTTGCGATTGAGGGTGAAGTTATCCAATGCGAGGAGACAGAGATTCCAATGAAGTTCGTGCTATTTATTTGGTTTGCAATTATGTATACAGCCGCAGCGAGTTGTGGACGGATTGTCACGGTGGTAATTAATGTACCGTCAACGCAAAGGACGGATAGTAGAGGGCGTGCCAGCTGAATTGGAGCACCTGAGCGGCATGACCGACCAATCTTTTGAGTTGCTAGACAAAACAGGACGGTCAGCACGGGCTTTCGACATTATAGCACGCCGAATTGAGGGCCGGGAGAGGAAGATGTGGCATTTATGATACACTTTGTATACAGATATAATCCGGTGGACATTCTGTCAAAAAATATAGAATGTTTCGAGTAGATGTATGTGCCTATGCATACATACGTCGTTGCGTGTCAATGCTGCACGATGAGTGGATTGCCCTTGGGATCCGACGACAGCGATTCAAGGTGCTGCAAATGAAATCACCTCCTTAGCGGACTTCCCTTCAGCAGTATCTTCTTCCCCTTGAGCTCTAGCATCTTATCTATGCAAGTGAGGTCACGAGTTGTAGACCAGAGAATGCAAATGCAAAGAGTGTGCAGGGCTCACAGCTTGAACACCGTAAGTTGTGACGAGGCGCATGCCGCGCAGGAGGAACCGTGAGTCCTACTGGTGCTTCGCCGCTTCGGACATTGACGGGAACAGTCTTACATAATCTGAACTCTTCGCTGCTTTCGTTCAACACTTCAATACACTCGACTTCTGCAGAACCCAAAAAACATGGTGAGGTTATCTCAACGTGTATGTTACCTTACACTGAAATGCATCTAGGGAGGTGGTGCTAGATATCCATACCCGAAGCATGTGTGGTCCCCTGCTGGTATGTCCAAGCGGCTAGTTCCGAGCTACTGAACTTGACAATGCCTCAGGTGGCTGGTGGGCCCGTCCTGCGAATTGGCGGAGTAACACGTTCATAACTTTTGCTGGTATGTTTGCCATTGCGTACGGAGTCTGGACTGTCAGTGCAGATCGTGAGGTGCGAAACTTGATTTCTCGTTTCTTGCAATCGTACTTATTTCGCGTTGCTTGAGCAGGTCAGACACATTCAACCTGACCGACCGATTCCGTCTATGATGGTACGTTCTTCCACCTTGTGTGCTCCTAGTTTTGCTCACTCTTTTGTAGTGGGCAAAACAGTACAAGGACCAGTCTCGCGAGAGCTAGGACGGGTAGCTGGGAGTGTATGTTTTAATAAGACGGATCATCTTGTCCCATTCGGTTATATCCTTCATCATATATATATTGCCAGCCCTACCTGACCCTCTCAATTTTGCGTCTTTTGGGACTGTCGACTGAACTGGCCAGGGGGAAACATGAAATGCTCCCTGATATTCCAGAGCGGTGCCGAAAGGGTGCGTTACTGTATTCCGGGTCTAGAACTTGTTCAGAATGCCATTGTACATATTGACACATGTCAAAATCGCTATGATGTTCCTAGTGTGAACAGAAGATATGCCAGATTATATAGTATATCGCTCATATGTATAACCTAATCAACCGACGTGAACAATACTTCATATTTCAGCTTCGTCGGGCCCGAAAGGATCCCAGTCACTTGGTTTTTCTTCCGCTGCAGGGTCTTCATCATCGTCAAGCTCATCGTCCTCTTCTTCCCTCTTGTCATCCCCGTCATCCCAGTCATTCGGAGTTTTGCTCACCTTCTTCGTCAACTCGAGCATTCGTTTGTTTGCATAGTCAACACGGCGCTTCGCTGATGGTGAGGCGGGGAATGGGGTGATAGCTGAAGAGGCAGAGGATGAATAGGCGAGGGAGAAGATTGATGAAGAAAGTGACGAGGGCGATGAAAAACCGATGGAGGAGCACATGGGAAGAGTTGACGATGACTACAAAAATTTGGTCAGCATATTTGCATATCAAGGCGCAGAAGGGAACATACGATATCAGGATCAACTTCCTCTTCTGCATCAACATCCTCTTCCCCTACGCCACATTCTAGGCGCTCCTGCTCTTCCTCAGCCTTCAAGAATTTCTCAAACGCCAATATACCATTCCACCGGGTTACTTCAATGCCAGTGAGGATAATGGAAGACGTTGCCGAAGGTGGTGCGAATAGGTCTATGGAGCCCCACGCCATGAAGAGGAAAGGCTTATTGCCAACGCCCTTGCGACCTGGGATCTTCTTCGTGTTTAATGTTATGTGAATTTGAATCGTAGAGTCGTGATGCTATTCATGAACATGAGATTTGTCCAGGAGCATAAAAGACAAAAGGCGTACATATATGATACCTTTCTCAAGGTCCCCGCCCGGAGCCCAGAGCTGCGAAAGCTTGAAGTCCTCTTCCGCTTCCCACTGCCAAATGTCGTCTTCGCCATCTTCAGCGTCAAGCAAGCTACCCTCTGAGCCATTGCCAGGATAGTGATACGGGTCTCTTGTGGTAGACGCTTTGACCGTTGTGTTCCCGCTTGTTATCTCCCCAGAGCGCGAAATTTCTATGTCTTTTTGCACTTCGAATAAATGCCCTGGCTCAGGATCGAATCCCAGAGCTGTTTGTTTACCCTTGGACGAAGAGGACACTGGGTGCTTTGCATGTAGTGGGATGCTGGCGTGCCGTGCGGCACGTCGAAAACGGTATGATCCGCCCATCTCGCTTTCCTTCGCTGGCTGGAAGACAAACTTGATAAGCTTCCGCAGGTGACCGAGTGTGTAGGTCAGAGGGACTTGAACGACTCTGTAGACCCCATCTTTGTTTGCGTGGCTTCTGCCGTCACCATCCGGGCGGATAAGCTGGAAGCGAAGTGGTAAGTGCTTCGCATACGAAGAAGGGCGGGGAAGTGTGGTGCTCGTTGTCAGCCGCCGAGCGCGACCAAATGGGTTGGTAGGAGAGTCAGAGGGCACTTTCCAGTTTCTGAGACTACTAGGTGTTCTGGGTGTTGCATACAATGAAGAAGCTGAGGTGAACGGCGACGACGGCGGTAAAGAACGCGACAGTTGTCGACGTTTAGGACCACGGGGTGATGCTGAAGGGCTTTCATAGACGTCTAACGGTCGTTTAGAGACCATCATTAATCTCTGCAGAACTAGGGTGGTTGAACAAGAGACTGGAAGAGGATCTTTTAAAACTGTCTCCGATCGTCGCTTTGATCAAGATGTGGACCGGAACAATAATTGTCCACGCTTGTCAAACGCGTCGCGTAATTTTCAACAGCTACACGATCACGTGATTGACGCGGCTGGTCTGAAGTGAGTCGAGACTCGAAGTCTCGATTCTCGAACTCATTTCACGCTCAGAGTCCCACTACTCTTCTTCCAATTCACTCGATGACTGCGAATACATTTGCAGAAGAATAATTTCGCCTTTGAGAAGACACCAGGGTGTTGCCGAGTAACGAGATCGAATTAACAAAACATGACAATCCTGGCCTTTGGTGGCGGCAGTACCAGTCGAGACATCTGCTTTAACGATGGCATACACAGTCTGGTTGCGCTCTAAATCAGTATTATTGGCCTCGCTGTCAACAATGATTCAGTAATCACTGCATTTGCAAACAACGGGAACTTGGAAGCTTGCACCATTCGCTGACGTGCCAGTGAGTGTTCGCTCCTTCGAACCCAACTATTTATGGGCTCATTTCGTTTGTCGAGCCTTGCTTGTTCTATGATGGGATGAGCGTCGACATATTTTTTGCGCCAAATATCCTTGCATGTAATAGATGATCTCAAATTGTGTTCTTCCGCCATATTCAGAGAGCTGACATGCATTAACTGATGAGTAAATTTCAATGTCAACAAGATCACTGGCAGCCCGAAGCAGGCCACTTAGGCTTCAAGTTGGTTATATTGCAAACTTGAAGTAACAACCAACACATGCAGCGCAAGGAGCAGCTTTGAATATAGAAGATGACAAGTGCCAGTGGCGCATGAAGCTAAGGAGCTCACCTTCCAGGTCCATCTGATCATCGAGGATAATCATGCCCGTACCTGTACTACATGCCAAAAATTTGGTTTCTCCACTGCTATGGTGGGCCAACTGCGATTTTGTCAAATTACGCTTACCCTCTGCGAGGTTTAATAGGACGCCTCCCATCAAGGGTTTGGCCGACAACGCCGCGGAAGTGATAACAAATCATCGGATTGAGATCCTAGTACATATCTGAGTCCCCTTGAGAAACGTGGTTCTCCTTTGTCCTCGTCATCGTTGCTGCTTTGATGGCATCTGTATCTGCCAGTGACGCTGCAACTGAGCGCTGTCCTGTCTTTTGCACTTGTCATCATCACTGCAGCGGCTGCAAAACACCAAAATGTGTGAGTACTTATGAGTAGTTTGTGATCTGGATTTGACTACATGACTCACCAGCATGGTGTTATAAACTCCTGTGCGACAGGAGTTGAACAATGTGTTTGCTTCTGAACAAATTTTACTGCTGCACGAGCAATCGAGATCTTGGAAGAGAGGACATCTGTGGTGTCTGCCGTTACCACCAAGCAAGACCATTATGTAGTGTGCCAGCGGGCCGTGCGAGGATACCAGCAGCTAGAGAACGACACCCCGCTGTAGTTGCAATAAGCAAGCGTCTCGGAATTGCAAGTTGTCACCGATGTCATCCTGAGCACTGGAAGTAGTGCGGGTCTTGGCACGATACGATTCATTTGGCTTGATAACAAGGACAGAAGCAGCCAGCACAGCATGTATTGCGCACTCGTGGGGTCACTTACCAATTTTTCCAAAGTTCGTATGTACAACTTGGATGTTTGACACTCGAGTCGATGATCATTAATGCCGCATGATGCAGCGTCTTGCGATACAGGAGCTCTACTGATACTTCAACCATGGTCGTAAATATTATATTACCTTGAAAGTAGAAGACCGCAGAACGTTGATGATGCGTCACTAGGTTACGTATTTGTACTAGTAACCCAACTTGTCAGCAAGCTGGAGTAACATCATGATAAGGTACTTGTAAGCAATGTTCGCACGTTTTCACCAAAGGTTATTTCTGGGCTTTTACAGTTGCTCCTCGCGCGCCTTCAACTGAATTGTGCACGCTTCCACAACAACCAAACTGGCCCATGATGTCGACTCAGGCGTCCAACGCGCATGCGCCACCCTCTGTCACTTTTCATGACGAACACAAGATACCCATCCTCACCACTCATCACGATAAACTAGATCATTTCCAGCTAGACAAGCAAGGACGCACCGACGCACCGTATGTTGAGGATGTGTACGAAACCGTACTTCCATGGTGGAGAGCAACTATACGAGCCCGAATTCTCAGTTCGATGAAACGAGAAAGTCTAATATTGGCCCGGATGCAGGCTAGTGTTATTTATTGTTTCAACATGTCCATGTATTTCATGACTTTCTGTAGGAATCCATACGACACCCGTGGTTGGACTTGTATTTCCTCTATAGTTCAACTCTTGGAACCCATACGTTCTTCATGATTGGCCTACCGTTAACATTTTTCTTTGGCTACGAGGAGCTCGGACGAGGGTACGATCTACTTATCTGTCAATTATTGCAACTCAAAACGCGAGCAGCCTGGTGATTGTTTTGGCTTCCGGAGTCTACATTGTTTCGTTTTTGAAGGACCTTATTTGTTCACCTCGTCCATTGGCCCCTCCTGTAACGCGACTGAGTAGGTGAACACGATTCCTCCATAGCAAAGTTTATCGACTGCATTCTTCCAGCGATCGGGACGCACCACCTTGAGTACGGGTTTCCCTCAACGCATTCTACGAACAGCGTATCCATGGCGCTTTTTATCTTCGGCTACGTTAGAAGCGCCTACATTCAATCAAACGCAATCTCATCGTCGCTCTACTATGGGTCATGCGCCATCCTTGTAATATACGCCGTGACTGTAGTCTTCGGCCGATTGTACACAGGCATGCATTCCTTTACCGACTGTGCGGTTGGTGTCTTCCTTGGGGTGGTAATCTGGGGGGCCTATGTGATTATGAAAGAGACGTTTGGGAATTGGCTGGCAACTGCACACTGGATAGGTGATGCCTTCCATCCTTGCTGGTATTCCTACTCATTTCTTTTCAGTTCCGCTGACAATGATTCCCATCTGTCTACTTCTTGTACATTACCACCCACATCCTGTTGATGACTGCCCATGCTTCGAGGATGCCATCGCGTTTGTCTCTGTCTTCCTTGGAATTGCACTATGCCGGTGGCACAGCGTGTACTCTGGTGTTGACGAGCGCTTCTTAAGTTCCGTGATGCCTGGATCTCAAGGAACCGTGTGGACTTGGGAGGATAGAGCTTCATGGTGGACTCTAGCTTGTGCCAAAGTTACCGTCGGTCCGTTTCCGTTTCTTTTCCATCCCGTTTTCATTCATACTTACATATATCTGCGCAGGCATCCTCGTAATTTTTGTATGGCGAATTCTCGCCAAGTCGCTCCTGCACCTCGTTCTTCCTCCTCTTTTCCGTCTTCTTGCATCCTCCTTTGATCTGCCACATCGACGCTTCTATACCCCTGCAACAGATTACCAACACATGCCAGTTGAAAGCAGTTTGCGCCCGATTCCGAGTGTTATCGACCTTCCTGGTGTCCTAGAGGTTAGCGCAATCAGGGAAAGGTCGGCGTTGGGAAGAACAAGTGAGGTCAAGCGAAGAGGTGTGAAGTCGAATGACGGTTCACCATCAGTCAATGGAGAAAATTACAGCGGATCCGAGCTCGAGAATAGCAACGGGCCATCTCAACGCAAGGAAGTTAAGCACTACGATGCTGATGGTGAGCGCACTGTCCGCCTCTTTGATAGACGTCGAATTCTGGGACTAACTTGTATCAGTGTTGACGAAGGTAGTGGTCTATGCTGGCATGGCAATCTTGGCTGGCGAAGGTTTGCCCGTTACATTTGCCCTTTTGGGCTGGGGCGTCAAGCTATGATGATAGCTTTACTGGCTATGAATGATGTATGTAGTAACTAATTGTGGATGTTGGTATTTCTTTGACATGCTACTTGAATCCTCCTTGATTTCATGCGTGATTGCCTTTGGGCAATGTGATGTGAGAGCCGTCTTCGATTTTTTAATGAGCAAGATGAAAACTAAATTGGTACTTGATACTTTCTGGCTAGGGGGGATTAAAATTAGCGCCATGTACACGTTGCCTGTGAGCAGGAGTCTGTAGTACTGCATCTACACGCGAAATCTTTCATTGTGGCATTGAGACAATTCAGGGTACGTGGGTGTGCTGACTTTGCCCCCTGAGAACAAGGTCGTTGGTTCAGGTAAAATACCTTGGACGGTGCTCCGATATAGCTCCCAGGATCGTGCGTGCAACAGCGCCCAATGTTCAAACTTTTTCGACGGCAGCAGCAACAATCCTCTTCTGTTCCTTTAGTTTCCGATCCGTATCTAAAGGAGGTACCAGTGAACATAAATACAATGTCCTCTTTATTCTACACGCGCAACATCATCTCCAATGTCCCAGGAATGGCTCGATTTTTGGGTACGCGCTCTTACAAATCATTGAATGTGACCCATCAGCGAGTTGTTCGCTCTGACAACCGTGCGCGTGAACTCCGTCAAGACTCATGCTAGGTATTAAATAGACAACAGGTGCATGCTCAGTGTCACACTGTTTGTTGTCCATGGGGCGATGCCTTGTGTTAGACAGAACCTACAAATTTATGTAGCATCACATTGTATCTGACCCATCTCTGTATGTCAATTGCTGGAATAAGTTTCTTTGTTAACTAAGTCTAGGGTCAGTTTCCCGAATGCACTGAACAGAACAGGAGACTCACTTGTCTCGGTAATTCCCCCAGTATTCTCCATGTACCATGCAGCTCGCATCAAGCTCAATGCTTCCTCTGGGTACCACCAATGCAGCGCAGTGTATAAAATGCGTCCCAGGGTGCGCGTAGCATCCAGAATAGGAGCTGGCGCTGGGGTCAACCATCCATCCAGATCAGCTTCCATACAATTCTATCTGGTAAGAATTCTGAGCGTTCTGCCTCGGGCTGATGCATCGGAGCGGTCCCAACTGCACATCATCGCATCGCGATTTCGTCACCTTCAACATTGTACAATATTCAGTGCTTGTCGTCGTATCTCTATTGCACTTTTCCCTACTATGCCTGCCCTTCTTAGAACTTGTCAGTTTACATTTGCGATGAATCTCATATGGACCCTCACCATCATATCTTCAGGACACGATATGTGTACACACAATGTGCCTATTAACATCTGCAAGATGCCGAGCAGTTGAGAAAGACGCCAGAGTTCCTCGGAAGATAAACACGGAGGAAATTACACACCTATTGCACAGAAAATTGCAGGCGATGCAGTCCAATCGCAACACCCTCCATGCACGTCATTCACTCCCAAGTGTCAACATCTCGGTAATGACGAACCAACGATAGCACGATGGTCGAGATAGCTGCGTTGGTATTTACGATAATCAAAACTGGGTGTTGGGCAGGCATGGTATTATTACGAGTGACGCAGATTGACGCTAAAATACGAGAAAGAGTAAGTCGAAAGCTGACAAGAGTAACCTACTTAGCGGAATTATGTTGCTTAGCTCACAGAAGCACGCAAGTGAATAGGCAAGTCGCTATACCTAAAAGCCAACACATTTAAATTGCGAGTTCACGGCCCCATACAACAGTACTAGAAAATATTCTTCGAATGATCCTGTAGAAGTTCCGATGGTAGTCAGCGATCACAGTAAGCGGCCAGATCTAGCCCTAAAGACTATATGGCAAAAAGGCATAGATCAGGTCGATTACTGTGCATAATGGAGTGCCGAGATTATCCAAACCAGGGCCAACAGAAGACGTGTATAGTAACATATCGTTCAAGCGTTCTTACAGTTCATCATTGATGTTTCATGTTCATCCGAGAAATGCAGACCAACGCATTATGCGTCATAGGCATGAATCTTTGAAAATGGATCACAACACGCTAACTGAATATACATGAAAATGTACCTCTGCCGCTAATTTTGTCCACTCCGTCAAGGATCTAAGACACTCGTCTTTGCCCTCATCCACCGGTACGTCTGGGGACCAAACAGTCAAGGAAGAAAACCTTGAGACCGGGGTCAGTCTCCGAATTTCAACACGCGAGTCATCGTCCACCGCATCGTCTTCATCTGTCTCCATCTGTCGGCTGCATGTTCGTGTCGCTCGACTCTTGCGTCTAGTTTGAGCTATTGTTTCAGCCGTCGCAATGTCATCGCCTTGACTGTTTGCATCACTGCTCGGTGCACTAAGGACTATGCCACCGTAACCTTGTGGTAGGTCAACGGTACGACCGTGTACCTGCCTCCCTCTGAATGCTGCGATAAAGTTATTGCTGAGACTATGTTCTACTGGAGGTGCCGCGGGTGGCGCACGAGCCAATTCGCTTGATGGGCTGGCCTGAGTACCAGAATCTGCGTCGGCTATCAAAGCGCTCACTCCTGCAGGACATGCCTGTGAATCCTCCTCTAATAAAGCAGACTGTGATTCGGCAATTATAGTTAGGGAGAATTGGGAGTCTTTAGAAACAAGGGTGTTCTGGCTGTTGTCCGTGGACAGGTGTGTTTCGTTGGACGTGTTTTGTGTAAGGGAAAGGTGCGGGCTAGAAGGCGTCGAGGGCTTGACGCGAAAGTATGTGGATATTGGTGCGGGCCCTGAGTGAGAAATGTGAAATGGCATGAGATTGGGCGAGCATTCTGGGAGGTCAAGAGTAACCGGTGATATTTCCATGCTGGTGGTGCTGGTTGGTTGATCAGAAGGGCTTTCATCTGAGAATTCAAGCTCTATGTCAATGGTCACGTGATCCTGCTACATTCATTCAACGACTTTGATTACTGTATATGGGGGTGGGCAACCTGGATGTAGCTACCGTGACGCTTACATAATGCGCATACTTCAGAATCATCGACTCTTGGGTGACCCGCCGCCGTTGTGCAAGAACGCAACAGCAAATCAATGAACGGCGTGTTCGAGGATGTATATTATATGCTGTAGAATACCTCTACAAAATTTTGTAGCATCATTTTTTATCTTCATGGTGATAATGCAAATATTGAGTAAGACCATGTTGAAGGAACGACAATGAGCATGCGCAGCAGCGAAAAATCAACAAGAACGTGTGGAATCATACTACTCATCATCAGAGTCCATATCGTCTTCCTCCCCATAGGACTCAATAAGCTCATCTCCGTGGGTATCTGTGGTGTCCTCCAGGTTTTGAGGCGAAATTGGCTCCACTGGAGTTTGCAACAGCATGTTGAAGTAAGATGCAAGTGTTGTCATGAGAGATTGGAGTTTGACAGCCTGTACACCACACTGAGACTTTGGCTTGATGTCTGGGACACCGAGAGCCTTCAGCTTGTCGAGTTGTGCATCAAGCGTTCGAACGTTCATTTTTTCGATAACGACTGAATTGAAGACAATCTGTGTAGCATTGAGTGTCTCTGTGATGTGTGCCTTCTTTGGTGCCCTCTCAACAGCCTTCTGCTTCTTCTTTCTCGCGACTGCTCATGCATGGGCAACAAGAATCTTCCGTTTTTTCTTCACCAATCCACTCTTCTCCTTCTTCCGTGCTAGAAGCATCGTGTATTTATGGTCATTGGTTGTAAAGTGTGCATCCATGAAGGCCTGTGTGTTATTGTGGTTGAACATCAACTGATCAGAAAAAAGATCATCAGAGCCCTTCGCATTATGATGAGCTTCCAAACACCAAGAGCCCAGTGCACCTAGGACAGTTCCTAATAAGCAAACAACTTTTGATTAAGTTTCTATACCTTCATTAGCATCATTTGTGGCAGGCATGTGAGCTGCATCCCTTTCGGCTTGTGTTGATGTCGTGACCAGACCACCAGGTGCAAACTCGAGCATAAATCATTCATAGGTTTTGAGTTTGCCCTTGAAAAATGCACAAAGAAGCTCTTTTGCAAGGTCCTGCTGCTCCAAGGTAAGGCTGTCGTAAAGATTGAGACAGGCAGTGATGGTGGTTGGATCTTCCCAAGGCTCCCCCCAGAGTGCACCAAGCTTGTGACTGGATTCACACAACAAGAGAAGGTCAAGATTATCAACAAGAGCTTGGAGATGTATTTTAACATCATCGTGGAGAGGTCTGAGATCCAGAATGTTGAGATTGGCAGTCCCTGGCCCACGAACATGTCAAGCATATGGCTGTGAAATTGCTTGGTCATTAAGGGCAAAACAAAAACATTCCAAGCGAGTTCTCCAGCAATGAAGGCCAGCATAAAGATTCTTCTCCATATGGTTGAATGTCTCATTCTCCTTTGAAATATGTGCAAGCTTGAGTAGTTTGATGTACTGGGGCCAAAATTTGATGATGTGACATGCAGCTGCACCATATGTTTGGTACCTGGTGTTGCTGGTGTCGGGGAATGAAGAACAAGCACTGTCAGTCAACTCTTCCATCATGAGACGGTGAAAGTCCTGAAGTCCCTTCTTGTCGTCCTTGTGGTTCAGTATATTGCCTGTGATCTCAATCAGCTTGGCTGCTCCACGTTTCATTAGCTTGAGTGCACGCTCAACTGCAGCCGATGAACCATCTGATAATGACGACAGGCAAGTTGTTGCATCATTGTCCTTATTTGCAAGGAGAATGGGCCTATCAGAACTCTCTTTTGAATCCCAGACTGCCATCATGGCAGTATTACCACCCTTCACAGCATTGAGTTCCTTGTGCATTGAATAGCTGCCAAAAAGGAAGAGGTCATGCTCTCACTGAATTTCTGCAGGAAGCTGGTCAAAGCGCTCTGTACCTAACTGCAATGCGAGCATGTCCATGATCTGACTCCAGTGCCACTGATGGTCTTCAGCTGATAATGAAATCCAGGAGTTATGACCACCAAGCTCAGCAATCTTCGAACTTTCAGCATCATTGAGAAGTGGCTTTAAGTCTTCAGATGACATTTCGATGATGGCTTTGTGTCCAAGTGAAATATGAATGCTCTCATGCTTCCACTGCTTGATGAGACACCTGGTTTTCTTGATATCACTGGTGTGGTCACCATTCATGCCCTTGAGTTTACAGAGAAAGCCTGCGAGGTCGAGTATCTCATGTGAATGGTAAGCAAGAGGACTATTGTTGAAGACAGTGGAGATGTCTGAGATGGTCTCTGTCCAACCCTCAACCTGGGTTTCACTGGTGTGGCTTGCTGAGGAGGTAACTCCAAGGAAGCGGATTTTAACTGATGAGCCCAAGTCCGTACCATTGGCATAATCGGAGGCCTGAATCACCATAGTGCAGGAGGTGTAGTCAATCTGTTGATGAGATGTTGAGTCACTGGCAATCATAAGACCTGTCAAAATAATCTGAGCATTGACAGTGAAATTAAACACTGCTATGAAGTGATCATACTCTTGGCATTCCTCATTTCTTTACCGAGTTGTATCCTTGCACTGATCCCACCTTCAATAAGTGCATGGTTCACAGTATGATGACACATGGGCTTCTTTGGGACAGGTGCACCCACAGCCTTGCACACAGCATTGATGAGAATTCCAACTGATTCATGGGCAGTACCTGATCTGACGAACAGATGCATGAGAGCTTGAGCTTGAGGTGACCATGAGCCATTCTTGAACAGCTGTGAAGCTTCAGCAGCATAGGTCCTTTCTTTTGCATCACTGCAAGCATGCTGCAGCCGTAAATTTCGCATCTGAAGCTTTTTGACCTTTTTCCAAGATTCTTCCAGCTGCCATCTGAGGTTTTGAATATTCAGCTGAAGAGCATCTGCTCTGGAAGCAGTGGCTGCTGCTGTCACATGGATAAACTCAACCTCAGATAGCAAGGCACTGTGAACAGTTGAATGTTCTATGCAGAGAGTGAGATTCTCTTGCCATGCTTGCTTTAACTCCTTGGAGACTTTGTGTTTCGAAATTTGAGTGCGCTGCAGTTTGCGTTGTATAACACACATCATCTTCTGTTTAGCTGCAGAATTGAGAGTGACATGAGCCAGACTAGCTCTGAAAGTATTGAGGGTGGACTGAAGTTCCTTGATTTCGGTGCGCAAAGACATATCTTCATGATGACATGCAGCAATGTGAAGTTCTGACTCATTGGGCTGCTCCTGCACAGTATTGCTCTGAATCTGGGACAATCATTGATGAGCTGGTTGGAATCTGGTCTTCCTACTGACAGCTGATGTCTGAGGCCAAGTCTTGTGTGCACAGTGTCTTCGAATGTCTGCCAGTCTTCGTGTCTGCTTGAGCTGAGCTGCTGATCTTTGTTTGCCCATTGCAGGTCAATGTGATGCATGCACTACTTGAAGCATGTGGTCTTGGGTGAGAGGCTGGGGTCTGTTGAGTGCTGGGAGGAAGAATTCAAATATATAATGAATTAGGTCGCGTCAAGACATAAGATTGTTGTGGTATGATTGATGGAGTATGTGATTGACAGTTGTGACTTGATGGTGTTACCACTTTGGGACAGTGTGAAACAGTGTGTTCATTAGCACTCGTAAACTACAACACACCATCACCCTGTGGCTAAGGTGTAATAAAGAAATATTTTCATGAAGAGCAACACTACAAGGTCTTGAATTTTTTTTCTTTCTTGGTTGCTGACAAGTTTGGGAGGAGTTTTCTCGACAATTTCAGGTCAGCCTTACCACATAATTGATTTTCTTTGTGAAAAAAATTCAAGGCTATCTTGAGTTACATCTCTGGAACACTTTTTGTCTGTACGATCTACTGTTTACTGTTCGTCATAGCTAATTTTATGAGCTTCTCCCAGCAGGTGCAAGTGGGTCACTCAAATTGCCACATTTCCTTCAGCCACAGTGAGATTCTCATGCATGTTGTTCATCCGCATTGCCCACCCCCACTGTATAGATATGCACTTAGGTTTGTCATAGCATCACACGCCTAGTGAATCAAACCTAATTTATGTGATGGTCACACCAATTTTGAGACCGTCAAACCTAAACTAGTCCACCACCTGTTGTGCCTTTGGCACAGGAAGCAAAAGGAGTGCAAAGCGCTCCTTTTTAGCTTCCTGGCCTTGGCTTCATCCTAATACTCACTGTGCCTTCGGCACAGGAAGGCAAAGGAGCGCTTTGTGCTCCTTTGGGAGGTGCCTGTGGCACCTTGACTTACTAATGATCATGGTGGAATTTTGAAAACTTGAAAACTACATTTTTGAGCAACTAAAAGTACATAATACATCACATCAGTCAATTCTCTATATAAAAGTACATTCTATGTACATCAATCATTGATAGGATCTGTAGGGCCTCTAAGCACTTCTTTATACACTACATTTGTTGTTTTTGAGCCTTCTTCATGCTCTGGAAAGATAGCATACACTCTCTCTGGGTGAGTGCACCGAGACAAAGCCACATATAGCTGTCCATGACTGAAGACAGGAGTCCACAAATTGAGTCCAACCCACTTGACACTTTGACCTTGTGCCTTGTTGATTGTCATGGCAAATGCAAGACGAACAGGGAATTGTTGATGCTTGAGAGGAATAGGGTTGTCCTCAGAAGTGGCATCCAGGGTCATGTGAGGGATCAGGACTGTGTCTTGATCATTTCAGTGAGCTTCATTGACACCATCCCTAAGAATGTGACACTTGAGGACATGTGTGGTCCAAGATAGGAGGATCATGCGAGTTCCATTATAGAGGCCTTCAGAGGGGTTTAAGTTGTGCAAGAGCATCAGAGGAACACCTGCTTTGACCTCCAATTTGTGCAAAGGGAAGCCTGATGGGGTAAGGGTGTGGAGGAACTCTATGGGAATGTAGTCATAGTCCCTCTCAGTGACTGAGTCTGCACTGGTAAAGACTGCTTTATCTCCAGGGAATGAATCAAGAATGGTGGTGTTGATTTCATCCACATCAGTGTTCTTTGTGGAAAGGATGGTACGTTCCAGGAAGAAGGAGTCATTCACAGGAGGATGGCCAGGGTGCAGAACTGGAGAGTATAGGACATCAATGAGAGATTGGACATCATTGTTGGCACAGCGCATGTGAATAGGGAGGATAACAGTTCCATCTCCATCTGTGCCCTTGCCAGCTCCAATCTCAAGGAGCCACTTTGCAAATTCATCAGAGGCAGGATCTTGACCAAGCCACATATTTCTCTTGAGGTAGAAGATGCAAAGGTTTGGCCAGATGTGAGATCTGCAAAATGTGGCACCCACTATCTGCTTCCTGGAACCATGAGGCACCACTGGCAGGGTCTGTCTGAAGTCTCCTCCAAAGAGTGTTGTTATTCCTCCAAAATTGGCATCAACATTCAGAAGATCATGTAATGTGTGGTCAAAGCATTCCAGGATATGGTGGTGGAACATAGGAATTTCATCGCAGATGATGAGAGAGGTGGCCTTGAGAAGCTCATGGATAACATCTCCTTTCTTTATGTTGCATGAGCTGTCCTCATGAATGGGGATGGGAACTTTGAATTGTGAATGAGCTGTATGTCCACCTGGTAGGAGGAGGGAAGCAATTCCAGAGGAGGCCACACAAAGGACAATCTTGCCTTCAGCATGGAGTTTTAAAGCAATGAGCTTGCAGAGATATGTCTTACCACATCCACCTGCACTGTGGACAAAGTATGCATGTCCAGGTCTTTCCTCATTGTGATGCATTGCATCATGTACCACAGCATCAAAGACCACTCTCTGCTCAATATTGAGCAAAGGGACTCCTACATCCACTATCTGCTGAAGTTCCTGTGGATTATACTGAAGCTGCTCAGCAATGAGCTGATTGCCCTCCATGGCTCCCTATCTTGCTGCCATTTGAGAAATAGGCATGTGAGGGATTGTCTCCAAAGACCATCCATTTTTGTGAAGCACACCATCAATGAGGTGGAGACCATAGTCATGGACCTCCTCTTCTGTAGGGTCAGGTATGCTGAATGGAACATGAGTGAGGTGGTGGCGTAGATCATTACAGAGATTTTCCTTGAAGTGGTTCCAAAGGTCATCAGGGCTTGTGGGATTACAATGAATAAGGATGATGGCAAAGAGATTGCACATGCGATGTCCAGTGCACATATGAGATGCATCCTGCAAGCACTGGATCCATTCATTATCATCATCAAGCAGACCTCTGTGCTGACATGCTTCCTTGAAAGTCTCATAGATGACCCCATTGAATGTCTGAAGATGCTCATAGGAGGTAGCCCCTTAAAAACATGGTGAGTTAGATCAATAACAAATTGTCATGGACATCATACCTTTCACTACAGTCAAAAGCAATCTCAGGTAGAAGTGCTCTCTAGAGCTGGGTGCAGCAGCATATATCCTTCCAATTGCCATTCCACACTGGTGTATCTTCCATGCATTTTTGGTCCAGACAAATTTTGAGGGCAAGTCCTGATAGAGGTGGTCATGGGCTCCAGCTGCCACAAAGTTCTCATTAACATTGGCTTTGAACCATCCAGTGAGGCGAGTCTCTTTGGCTGCTACACACTCAAGAACATCATGGGCATCATTCTCAGGATCATAGAACACCATATGTTCATCTGGGAGGTGGACTGGCAAGCAGTAGACAGAGGGCCATTCGAGATGCATTGAAAATTCAAAGATATGCCATGCAGCCTCAGTTGAGCTGATATACCTGGAGTCAAGATATGATTTGACCTCATCCACTGCTCCTCTCATCTCCAAAGTAGCATAGTCATTTCCTTTGTAGATGTACTTGTGAATATATTTGACAGATTTGATAGAGGCGCAGACTTCCAGATTGATGTGGCAGTTGAATTGCACCAGGAGTTCTGGGGGGTGGGGAACAACATCTTTGTTGGTGAAGACATTGTCATTCTTTTGGATGGTGTGACCATTGTCAGGTCTTGCATACTCTGGATAACCATCATCCTTCATCAAGGTCTGTGGACAGAATGACTTTGGGAAGTGTTTTTTGCACTGTCTATTCTCCAAGCAATGTTGCGGGTTGCAAGGGCCATGCAACATATATTTTTCCACAGCCTCACAGAGTTGTGGATGGAGATTTCTGTCAGGAATTTGGGCAGAGATGAAGGAATCAATTTGTTCTGCAGTCTGTATCTTATCCTCTTGCTCCAGGAAGATAAGAAGGTGCATATGAGGCAGACTACATTTTTGATATTTGATGATGTACACCAAACCTGCGACCTTTCCATAGTAGCCTTTGTGAACCTTCTTCAACAGAGTCTGCTGCTTCTGATAGAATACATGAGCCACCAAGTCTAGATGGTCCACAGCACTCTGACCTATATAAGAAGTTGTCAGGCTGAAGTCATAAACAGTACATCAAATATGAATTATTACCTGGAAGGAGATTCTCAGTGATTTCAGGCCAACTCCCATTGGCAGTCATTGTTAGGAAGAGATCAGGCTTCTTGCAGGTATGGCAAATGGCCAAGGAATCTTGGAGCAGCTGGTGCATGTACTGAGGGCTCCCAGTATGAGAGAAGGGAAGAATGATAGAGTGACCTGTCTGAACCAGATCATTCACACCATCATCAAGGACATTATCTATTAAGCCTTGGTAGCAGTCTGCCCTCAGCCACTTTTGGTTATTCCTGATCCAGTTCAAATTGCTCTGCTCTATAGAAGCCAAAGCATCAACCACATACAGTGGCTCAAAAAACTGTCCGCATGTTTTGACATTTTTCACTATCTATGATATTGTGTGAGAACTCACAAATGCCTCAAGGACATGGTTATACCACATTGTAGTATGGCTTCAGGGCTTTCATTTGAGCCCTACATGGTGGGAATTGGTGGAGATATGGTGGAGACATAAGGCTTATAAAATGATGACTCATGTGGACAGTTTTTTGAGTGTATATTAAAACTATATAAATCATTATTTATGACACCACAAAAATCATACCACTATTATATAAATTATGAAGTGGTGTCATTATGTTATTTTATGACTATATCTAACTATATAAACCAGAATATCTCATGTATCATAGTCATAATCACCATGAAAGCCATCTCCTCTGCTCAAAGAGATAATATCCTCTCTCTGTCTTATGCTGGCCTCTCTGCTTGCCAAATTTCCTCTAGAACTGGAGTATGCAAGTCCACTGTGGCCAAGTTTATCAAAGAAAGCCACCCAGACAAGGAAAAATCTTGTGGAGGATGTCCATCCAAGCTTACCTCTACTGACAAAAGGGCTATTATCCAACATATCACTACAGGAAAGGCTGGTAATGCTGTCCAAGCCACCCATTATATCAATTTATCAATTCCACCATCACTACCCCTGTCTCTTCACAAACTGTGAGGAATGTTCTCAAGGCAGCTCATCGCAAGACAGTAACAAAGAAGAAAAAGCCTCTTCTCTCCATCAAACATAGGCAGAGAAGACTAGCCTTTGCCTTAGCTCATCAACACTGGACTGTAGAGGACTGGAAGCATGTTATATGGTCAGATGAGACCAAAATAAATAGGATTGGGTCAGATGGGAAGGTATATGTATGGAAAAAAAAAAGAAGGGAGATGGCCTAACAGACAGAGAGGTCAATGGAACTGTCAAGTTTGGAGGAGGTTCTTTAATGGTATGGGGCTGTATGGGATGGAATGGTGTGGGAATGCTTGCTGAGGTTGAGGGGAAGATGAATGCTGAGCAGTATGTGGACATTTTAAATGACCACTTGCTGCCTAGCTTGGCAGAATCAGGGATTGATGAAGAAGATATCATTTTCCAACAGGATAATGATCCCAAGCACACATCCAAAAGAGCTAAGGAATGGTTTGAAGAACATAACATCAATGTTCTTGACTGGCCAGCACAGTCTCCTGATGTCAATGTCATTGAACATCTCTGGGGAACACTCAAGAAAAAGCTTCAAGCCTATGAAAACCCCCCTAAAGGAGTATGGGAGCTTTGGGAGAGAGTAGCAGTGGAATGGGGGAAGATCATAGCTGAGGATTGCCAGAAATTAATTGAGAGTATGCCTAGAAGGATAGAGGCAGTAATTAAAGCCAAGGGAGGTCATACAAAATACTAGAATACCTGGTTATTATTGTAAAATACTTGAGTCAAAAAACTGTCCACATGAGTCACCATTTTGTGTGCCTTGTATCTACACCATATCTCCACCGATTCCCACCATGTAGGGCTCAAATGAAAGCCCTGAAGCCATACTACAATGTGGTATAACCATGTCCTTGAGGCATTTGTGAGTTCTCACACAATATCATAGATAGTGAAAAATGTCAAAACATGCGGACAGTTTTTTGAGCCACTGTACTGCTGGAACAGTCATCCACCACAAAAGATGTTGTTATGGTCCATGCGAACCGGGTGAGGGTGAAGATGGTAGGCATAATAGAGAAACTGGGTGACTTTTTTTGCTTGTTGACATCCACCCTGATTGTTTTTTTTTTTTCAGATTTAGTCCTTTGGGGTTGTAGACCCTATGTTGGACATTGTCTTATCATTAGCTATCTTTCATCTTTGAGGGGTTTGGATGCTTTTCATTTATGGTATGGACATGTATATCCTGATTGTTAAGAGGGATGTCAAGATGCCAGCCCTCTTCACCAGAATGTTACAAACTAGGGTAGTTCTAACAACAAGCAACTCAATAAGAGTTAAGGACTTCTTGTTGAGATTCTATGCAAGATGATAAGTTGAGTGTTCAGTGTAAGCTAAGGTAGAGGGAGTGCCTCTATCTTAAAGTATGGTTCAGATGATGAGAGATTGGAGGTCTCAAGTGAAGGATATTCAAGGTAAAACCTAGTAAGATTAAAGTAATGAACTAAAGCATACAGGAGGGCTATTTATAGTGAACTACTGTGCTTTAGGGCAGGCGTGAGAATGGAATGAGTCAGAGATAAGGGATGCATAAGCAATAGTAAGAATAGATCATCTAACAATGGCAATGGCAATTGTGATATAATACAAAGTATGAGTTGGAAGTAAGTCTAGCAGTGGCATCATGTGGCTTGTGATGTAATACACAGTAAGGAAGAGAAAATGAATAGGGGCATACATGGTTGTAACACAGAAGGAAAGAGAAGGACATAATGCAGAGTTGAGTATGTGTGGCTGAGTTGGCTGACACACTGGAGTTGACCACCTTGAAGTCGCAAGACAATATCACATTTGTCAGACACCTCCTCAGATCCATCTCCAGGAATAATCACAGCAATTTCATTGGCAGTGGGGAGATTATATCTTCAACCATCTGTCCCTTGCTAGAAATGGATGCATACACAAACATCTGTGTGCTGCTCTGGAGGTTTCTCTTGCATGACTTGATAGGCCTGCTTATAAAGAGGAGCATATGGATGGCTTCAATATAGCATGTCATGGAGCTCTCTGAGAATGCAATGATCAAGACCTTCATTTCCAGGACGGGTGGCACAGATGTTTGTGGCTTCCTCAGGGTCATAGATGTAGAGTTATGCATATGAAGGCTGAAGACCTTCTGGAGGCATAAGACTGCCAATGAGGTGATGAAGAGATCCATGAATATGAAAAGCATTTGGACCAGATCCTTGAAGAGCATGATCCTCAATATTGACACCAACTGATGTAAATGCAAGAGCACTGTTATACTGCCATATTTTTGAGATGAAAGTTCAGTCTGTATATGCCTGCCGCAGCTCTGGTGGCCATGCTGGAAAGGGTGGAAGGTTGACTTGGCCCTACAAGCAGCACATTCCAAAGTGTGGGTTTTGTTGAGAGGAGTTGGAGAGTTTTTCACATGCAAAGTGCATTGCATGGCAGTTTGTGCACTCTACATTAAGAGGACCAAGAGTATGATTGGTAATAGGCTCTGTGTATGGTCAACCTCCATCAGGGACAGGAACTGGCTGGTTAATATGCTACTGCTCCTCTTACTTACACTGCAGGCAGTTTTCATGTTCCTGAGTTCTTCTTCTTTCCTCATCTTGGTCATGGTTTTCTTGAGACACTGGATCATTATATTCATTCAGTGTCTCTTCAAGACAATCCTCCTGCTCATGAACTCTCTGCTCCTTATGGTTGTGGCGGTCCTCTTCCTGTTGACCTGCATGTTGAACATCCTGAGCTTGTCTATCTTCCTGCTGCTAGATGTGCTGCTGGATGTGCTGGTGATGTAATGCATCCTGTGCTTGTCTACCCTCCTGCTGCTGCTGGATGTGCTGGTGATGTAATGCATCCTGTGCTTGTCTATCCTGCTGCTGCTGGATCTGCTGTTGACATAATACCTCCTGTGCTTGTCCATCTTCCTGCTGCTGGAAATGATGCTGAAACTGAATATTAAATTGTTGATAATCAGGCTGAGGTGGTACAGGCAAAGGTAGTGCAGGATGGGGTACAAAGTATTGAAGGGGATTGTTGAAATTATGATGACCAACTGCACCCTCATAGTGAATAGGACCATACATGTAAGGGACAGAAGCGGGGACAGGAGCAGGGGCAGGAGGTACTGGTGCTGGTTGCTGTTAAAGATTATTATGCCTTTGCCTGGCAGCATGGCGTGCTTCATGATGAATTATTGTGGCTGCAGCAACATCTGCCATATGATGTTGATACTCATTCTGAAGTACAGCAGGTGGAGGAATATAACCAAAGGGTGGCCCTAAGGGTGGAGCAGGAATAGATTGACCAAAGGGTTGCCCTAAGGGTAGAGCAGGAACAGGTTGACCAAACGGAGGCCCTAAGGCTGGAGCAGGAATAGGTGGCCCAGGTTGTGGTAGTGGATGGTGCTGATGCCACATGTGTTGAGCCTCATGATGCTCAATAACATTATGTGGCAGACCAGGAAACCTTTGCATTGGAATTGGACCATGGTTCAAATTTCCCAAGATCTGAGAAATATTCTATGAACACATCAGAAAATGTTTTATGAAAATTAGAAAATTAATTCCTACCATTTGAAGAGCATTTTCTAATGGTCGAGCTATAGGAGCAGGATGGTAATGTGCAGGAGGGGAGCCAATATTTCGCTGATTCCTCTCAGCCTGATGTACAGCAGCCTGTGCCCACTAAGGAGAGGTAGGAGGGGTGGAGGGATTCCTATTAAGAACAAATATTAGTCAAAATAATATACATAAATATATATGTTGTTGACCACACACATTGGAGAAGATATATGAAACAAAGAGAGAGGAGAGCTGAAATTCCAACAGTTGTAGTTCCACTGCATCAAAGATAAGTCATCATATCATATATATATGGCAAAATATCACATACCAAAGATCCAAACAAATGTTGCCAAGAGTGACCAAAGAAGTACCAGCAGTTTCTGGGATGAGCTAATACCCTGGAAGTTCGACTTATGACAGTGCTAAGAACAGCTGAAAGCTGTCTGAGAAATTATCCTGAAGGATAGGATGGCAACTGTGAGAAGGCTGCAAGCAGACCAACTCAGCACAGAAAAGTGCCCCACCAATCCAAATCTCTACACTGTAGTATACCCAGAGGTCCAGAAACAACCAGCGAACACCTGTAAGAACAAATGGCCAGGGAAGTAGGACTTGGTTACATGTTTGTCTTGATCAATAGGAGTTTGTGAGTCTGTATGGAATACAGGGCCAGTAACAAACAACAATCACACTCACAATGCTTCAAACTCCAAGATATGGCCAGTCCAGGGTCCAGGTCCAGGGGTCCAAAGGGTCCAAAAACATGTCAAAAAGTGAAACCTGATTACATAGTCATTGTTTTTTTTCATACTTTCAATATATACACTATATAGACTGCCAAGGCTTACATCAATCAAGAACAGTAAAGATATATATCTACCAAAATTGAATTAAAGCAGGAATTTCCTGCAAGAAAACAATCAGAGCAGAAAGATCAAAGGATTGGCAGAGGGAGCAGTGGTGGGGGAAGAAGGGAAAGGAAGCTTGGAGTACAAGGGCATATCTAGGGAACCACAGCACACAGGCTGCGCAGTCACATGACAAAATCATGCAATCACACAATGGGCAACAGTTTTTAGTCAGCACTTGAAAACACGTGACAAAACCACACGAGATTTCCAAAAAGAAATTAAGTGAACTAACCAAAATAACCGAACTAAGTGCTCCTTAGTGAAAGCCATGTGAGCTGGTGAGACAATTCCCACATGTCACACCTTACTTTATAGATTGTGACATGCAGTAAAAACATAAAAAAAATAACTAGTGCAGCCAAAAGTCCTTGTACTGAGTGTTTGCAACCATCTGCACTTACCACGGCCCTCAGCCTCAACCTCCTCAGACCCATTCACCATGGATTGAAGCTCCATGCCATTCACCACTTGCTCATAGCTCTCCAACTTGTTATCTAGCAGCAAATTACCTGATTCATCAGCACTATAGCCATGAGGGACAGATGCTTCTCAGTGACAGAAAGGCAGCCAGAAGGAGCAATGGAGAATGGTGCAGGTACAGATAACACATCCTGGAGTTTAGCATCTGAGGGGACACAGAGATCAGACATGGTATAGAATGAACATTGAGGGGAGATGCTTTCAGACTGACCATTTCATCAACTGAGTTGTGGCTTAGTGCTCAGGTTTGCCAAACATGGGAGGATCCACACTTGACAAGACAGATGCTGAAATGACATATAAAGAAGATATTGTGTTGCCAGGCAGAAATAAAATTAGAGACAATGTTTGTAGAGTGAGCACTTCCAGGTTGAGCATGAGGATTAGCATGTAGCACTGCACATGTATATGAAGGATATTGTCTGCCTAGTGTTGGTTGCTTACCAAACAAACCTAATCACAGCATGTCACATGTCACACCCCCTTTGCGAACCTTCGAACCTAATGCTCATTTGGTCACACCTAAATAGGGCTGAACCTAAGTGCGTGTCTATACAGTATTCTGAATCACTTGGTACTTGTTGTCTGTTAAACTTGTCCCACAACACCTATGACATACAGTTGGCCTCATCTGCACAATCTTAATCATCAACATTGCAGCCCTGCTATTGCCTTTAAATGCTGTCATTTCATGTCTCCATCATGCTGTCACTCAAAGATGTGGTTCATGCACCACTCCAATCCTTCTGCTCAACATAAATTTACACACTTTAAATTTCAATATTGCTTCTGCAGGGACTATCTTGAGTGACCAACTTAGCTGGGGACATCAGCCTGAAATTCATGAATAAGTACACAAAGAATAATGTACAGGTTCTTCAGAAGATACCCCTGTGTGAGCCCTGTCTTTGTGTTGACAAACAGTGGCTTGGTACCTGTTGGGCAGAAATTTTTATTGATGTGACAGGAGGAGAAATAACCAGGGGAAAGTGGGTGAGTATAGGGATTATCCTTCTCACCCTCCTGAGTCCTCGTCACTGTGTATGCCTGTAAAACAAGCAGACCGTCAGCATGTTGACCACTACAAGCAAATCAAAATACAGCATTTGCCCTCAAGCTTTAAGTGCATTTTTTTCTGATCTCACAGTTCAACAGGAATGATGATGATATCTACTTAGGTGAAAGAAGATCTGGATGACCTGAAGTTGGAAAGTATACTTATGAGGCTATGAGGCATCTTCAAGTGAGTTTCTTTCCACATGAAATTCCTTTCTTCTTTCCCAACACCAAACTCCTGAGAGTTTGTTTCTAACTCATTGGATTGTTTATTCTGTTTCATGTCCTCTGAGTCACCATTGAGCATTCTGCATAGGTTCCTACACAGAACAGCAGCAGTAGAAGTCACAACCTACACCTTGAACCATGACGCGATTTAGTACACAGATTTGGAGTCATTGCAGACCTTCTTATAATTACACAGTCAATATGACAAGAGTTCTCATTCTGAATGGCCCACAACACTAGCAAATAAATATTCAGAAGAAGTCAAATGCTTGTAACAGCATGCTTTGCAGCAGCCAGCACTTGACTAGAATGGTCAGTGCTAAGAGTACTGACATTCTAGACTCAAATAAGCAGGTTTCTGCGGCATTGCATTGTTTCGACATCATAAGTCTTGTTGGACACTTGACAGCTGGCAGTGATGTGAGCTAACAATTGATGCTCAACTGTGGTTGCAGTGAGCTTTGATTGTTCCACAGTATACATGTCCACAATCTCCCTCATCATGCCAGTCACTGTGGTGATTGACAGTGGCATTATTCAGTCACCATTTTTATGCTGTAGGTGCTTCAAGACAATCCACAATTGGTGCATTCACAGCTCACTGTTGAAGGTGTGTTGTGGCCCTACCAGGGGACACTTAAATACCCTCATTGCATCGCTCCTTCACATCACCATCCCCTTCTCCTCATTCTGATCATTACCCTGTCACCAGGCAAGGTTACTCAAAAGTTGATCACTCCTTCATCTTCTTTGGAACTCCATTCCAGTGCTTCATCCAATGCACCCAGCATAATGTCAATGAAACTTTACTCAGATATCCTTCTTCTTCCACACCCTGACTCAGAGTTGGCCTCAGATATTCCTCTTCTTCCACACCCTGACTCAGAGTCAGCCAACCCTCCAGCCCCCACTCACACCTTCACCTTCACACACTCTGGTACAGCAGGGGCATCCCAAATTCTTCCGGTGACATGCTCCTATGGCCCCTTTCATGGTTGGCATGTTTTGGGTCAGGGTGGGTTCACTACAGTAATGGGAGCTCAAGATGTAGTGTCAAATCACTTGTTGTGTCTCAAGGTCTTTCAAAAGGACTGTCTTAACTACAAGTCTACAAAAGATGTTCTTTTGAAGGAACTTGAAGTATATAAGCATCTTTCATTGTTGATGCCATGGACTGAAACCAGCTTCCTCATGGGGCTTGAAATGTCATTTCAGACAAAGGATCAAATATGTCTTGTCATGGTATATTTTTCTCCCCCTGCAAACCATTTGAGTTGTTTGACTCCATTGAACATCTCTAGGACCTCATGGCAGGCAACCTACACACTTATGTGAAGGATCACTCCTCATATTGCCACCAGCATGGTCGCAGGAGGGACTGTTGGTTCTTTATGAGTTCGCTTGATTCTGTTACAATCATGGTTACCCCTATCTCTTTTCTTCTCTTTTCTCGTCCGTGTATTACGTCATGACTGCATCTTACCATGCCATCATTAGACCAACCATCCACAGCTGTATTACATCACAACCGCCACGTGCCGTTGCTAGATGACATCATTCTCTTATCTCTGACTTGTCTTGATGACATGTACAATACCGGCCCTAAACCTCTCACACCTATATAAATCCGGTCTTGTACTTAGTTAGAACTTCACTTTAATCTACTAGGTTTTACCCTGAACTATCCTTCGCTTAGGACCCCCAATCCTAAGTTGTCTGATAACCAATATTTGAGCCAGAGACACTCTCTCTGACTTGTCTTAAGAACCTTACATTTGTAAGGCTTGAACCGGCTTCAAGCGTGCTCTTATCGAGTACCTGTCATCGAGCCCACCCTAGTTCGCTGTAACAAAAGATTAAAGTCCTCCTTCGACCCTCTCCATCAGAAGAGGTTACCAGAACCTTCAACCCTCTCCATCAGAAGAGGTTACAGTACAGAACCAGAAAGAACTCAGCGAGAGAACAAGAACATTCCCCTGAACCACAGAAACATCACTTGACCAGACGCTCAGGATGTCCACCACCTCCACCTCCCCAGAATTAAAAGTCGGAGCTCCATCCACCTATGATGGGAGTCCTCAGCAGGCTCTATGATGGTTGTACGTGGTTAAAGCATATTTCGCACTTAACGCTACAATCTATAACACCGACGAAAAGAAGGTCATTACTGCCCTTGCTTATATGACAGAAGGAAGTGCTATGGGATGGGCACTTACTTTCTACACCGAAGTCGACAACTCCACCACCAAGACCTATGGGACCTTCGCAAACTTTGAAACCAAGTTCAAAGAGGCCTTTGTACCGGCTGATGCCATCGGTACCGCCATGAACAATCTCCGAACGTTGAAACAGACAGGCGACCTCACCTCCTACATCACCAGTTTCAAGACCCTTGCTGCACAAGCTTCTGTGAAGCAAGACGCCGTCCTGATCACGTTCTTTAATGATGGACTGAAGAAAGGAATCGTCAATTCCGTCTATCAGATGGAAACTATTCCGATAGATTTCGACAAGTACATCGCTGCCGTCATTAGACTGGATAGCAACTACCAACGAGGGGTTGCATATCAATCAAACCATCGAACTACCACTAAACCATCCAGACAACGATACGTACCCAGACCCTCCATTGACCGGCATGATCCAAATGCCATGGAGGTCAACCGGCTCACTGAAGCCGAGAGAAGTGACCATATGAAGAAAGGACTATGCTTCACGTGTCACCAGAAGGGGCACATGACTAAAGCATGCCCGCAGAAGAAGAGGATCCCTGTTCACAGAGAAGAAATAAGTGACAGCGATCAAGAAGAAGAAGATACAACGATCCGTCGCCTCGCCGAGGATTTTTAATGTGGAAGACTGGATCGACGTCAGTATCTTCCGTACCTATCAGACTTGTACAAAGTATTGGAATCAGAAAAGAACTTCGTGTTCCCATTTCTCTCATTTCCAGAACCTGTCTGAAAACCGTCGAAACAACAGCCGTTGTTGACTCCGGCGCTGCCGGAACCTTTAGCATTGCTACACACAAGTCAACAAATGTGATTGTGTTTCAGCACACAAGGGGTCCCCTAGATGATGATCCACCAATGAAAAATTCAAGTGTGGCTCACTGTGGGTCAAGAAAAATTTCTGTTTGTTTTCATTGTATTGTTCTGACTAGAGCTCAGGGATATCACGCAGTGGGGTTTCAAGTTTACAACTCAGTATGTGCCTGTGTGATGTCAACCACATAAATTTCAGTGTCATCTATTTCCCTCATTGAATAATGGACTCAACAGACAGTGACTATCATCATCTCTCTATCCTGGCCTTCCAAATTGATGCACCACTTGCTAGGAAGACACAATTCCAAGCCACAAGTCCAAGGGCACATGCCAGTGAGAGCCTGTCGGAACTTGTCAGATACAAAGAGCTTGAAACTTATAATATGACACTTGTAAATACAAGTCAGCTAAGAATTGTTCATCCAAACTCATATTTTGAGAAGGGTTGACTGCATCATCTTGCGGAGCAAGGTCATGTTGGATGTAAGATAATCTGTCAGTCACCTGGTATGAACATCATAGAAAACAAGTAACCTAGATCTAAAATCTAGAAACTCAAAACTGTAGCAATTATAAAAATCCAGAGCACCGGCCAATTGCCTGCATATTGGAGCAAGGTCAGAAGTTCGCAACGCGAACCCCTAGTCGAACAGCAAGCCTTGCACCAGTTAGTGCCATGATCGACCCGGGATTCCAGCGGCAAATGGGGCCGCAAATCTCCGCTTTCCTTGTATGACTAAGGCAGACTACCCTTGTTTCGAAATTCTCTCAAGCAGCGGGCACTCCTTGTTCCAACTTCATTCGAAAACCAGCGACTTGAGAGTGTGGGCCATACTACGATGTCTCGATCTTCTGTCATGGCATGGGCCACACAGTCCGCTGTTCTCCCAATTGCATAACAATTCCTCGCAAAATCTCAGCTGCCGGCAATTCGATTCATCCGATCCGGACGCATCCCCAGCTTAGCTCCTCAGCCTGCTTGTCAGCGCTAGCAGCTGTTCTCTCCCTAACTTTTTAAATCAAATCCAGCGACTTGAGAGTGTAGCCATCCAACGGCAACGCGGTTGTCATGGCGTGGGCCACACTGACACACTCCGCTGTTCTCCCATTATTCCTGGTTTTTGCCCACCGATTCATTGTGAAACCTCAGCGCTCAGCTTTGAATCTGTCCATCATCCGATTCAGCTCAGTCTTGCTCATCCACAGCAGCGGACCCATACACGTGTCTTCCTATCTCGTAAAGGAAAGATCTTCAGGCCCGAACCAGCCTGGTTTATACCTTTTGCTCGGCGTTCAGTGAGCATCGCGCACTAAACGTTGAATGACACTTGAGTCTGTGCGACCTTCAGAGTCACGACGTGTGACGTATGCAGCACAGCACTCGGGAATATGTAGCGTAAACATACGTTATAAAGTGGGACCTGCACGCCACTAAGGGATATGAGTAGCGCCGTATTTTGGTCACTACTGGTCTCCTCAGGTCCTGTGATTTCATATTCTATAGAACCGGGCAACACACATGGAAGCACAATTTGAATACGACTCGGCCTGAATGCTCCACGCACGATATTCCTGGCCTCCGTGGTTTGTCCTTGTTCCTGTGGCGGCCCAGCACAATGGGAACAAGATTTAATAGCTTTATCTATTTGCGCAGGTTGTCAAATCTTGCTGACATACGTACAGGGTAATATTTGTAGGGGTTCATCAATATCCCAAGTATTTTCCTGAGCCTATGAAATAAACTCGGGATGACCAAGGTAAGCATCGGTTGCAAAAGGCTCAGAGTTAATGCATTGACGTTACGTTTCCCATCAATCTGGTTACACTTTCTTCCGTGAAGCCGAGCATGCCGAGGCGAGGTTCACAACTCATGACTCGAAGGAGGTGAGGGTCCATGTACTTATATATACAGTCGCTACTGTCATTTGTCCCAGCTCTGGATGGCGTCTGAATCCAAGTCTCAAACGGAAGCCCCTTACCACGAGGATATACAGGGCTCGGAGACACTAGTGGAATACCCAGTCACTAAGGACTCCGACCCTCCCTCACTCTCGGATGAGTTCCCCGAAGGCGGTCTGGCAGCTTGGACAACTGTTTTTGGATCGTAAGAATTGTTATTTGGACAGTAAACTCAAGTCTTAACTGAATTGTCTAGGTTTCTTGTGCAGTTCAGCGGCTACGGGTGAGTTTTACTGGTGCTGGTCAAGAACGGTGTATAATTGAAAGCTATAAGCTATGCCACTTCATTTGGTGTATACCAAGGTACTATTGTTTCACATGATAGCAAGGATGGATGCTGAACTCTTACCCTCCAGATTTTTATACTCAGCACTACCTCACAAAAGAAACATCGTCGGCTATATCGTGAGTTTGTGCCTCGGTCTCCATGGCGGGTATCCTCAAGGTCCCTTGTAGATGGATAGGGAGCTTGAACATGTTTTTACTCACAGCTGTAGGCCTTGTATCAGGTTTACTGTACGACCGAGGATATTTGTGAGTGTAATTATGTTGGGGTTGCTCGATGGTACTCAGCTTTCTTGACTAGCTACCACCTCATGATTGTCGGATCACTCCTGCAGAGTTTCTCCCTCTTCATGTTATCTTTGTCAAAACCTGATCAGTACTACCAGGTAACTTTCCCCCTGCTCTCTGACCTCGTTTTCTGACTTCGTATAGATATTCCTTGCCCAAGGATTAGGTTCAGGTATCGCGACGGGGCTCATGTTTGTCCCGAGCACGGCCGTCATTTCGCATTATTTCCGACGCAAACGCACGCTGGTTCTGACGTTCGTCGCTTCGGGATCTTCGTTGGGCGCTACCATCCATCCGATCATGCTCAATAACCTTTTGAATGGCACTCTCGGTTTTTCTAATGGTGTCCGTGCAAGCGCAGGGTTGGTCAGCGTGCTCCTTCTAATCGCATGTCTATGCATGCGAACTCGCCTTGATTCGCCGACGATACCGGTAAACTACATTGCGGCAGCTAGAAAGTGTATTCGCGATGTACCGTTTGTTCTCATGATAGCAGGGTGAGACCTGTAACACATGTTTTTTCGAATACCTCTAAATGACCATCCTTTAGGGCCTGTCTTTTCCAAATTGGCTTCTACTTTCCGATGTTCTTCCTTCAACTCGACTCTATCAAGCACGGTCTCAGCGTCATGTTCTCGTTTTACTCTGTGGGATCCAGTGCTATTCAAGTGATGTACCTACTGACACTGTCACTAGCTAGTGATTTTAAATGCTGCCAATTGTGTGGGACGAGTCACATCGGGGTTCATCGCAGCCATCACAGGAGTCCCGAATTTAACCATAGTTGCGACGATTTCGTGTGGAATACTCAACTTGGGCTTTATTGGATTGAGCAACCTGGCCAGCGCCACAGTGCTTGGCGTGATTTATGGCTATTTTGCAGGGCTATGTAAGTAGTTTTCTTTCTACCACGTTTTATTCAAAATGTGTTGATGGATGGTGCAGACATTGGGGCATGGGTCCCACTTATGGCTGACTTAACGCCTGACCTATCTGAGCTTGGGTGAATAATGGTTTCATTTTGAATGAACGAATTATCTGAACTGGATCATAGCGCGCGGATGGGCATCTGCTTTTGCATGAGCGGTGAGTCTTGTGAAATTATAATTACCTCTAAGCTGTTACAAACTTGCACACGCCCACTGCAGGATTTGGGATTTTGATTGGCACGTGCATTTCTGACATTGCTTGCTTCAAAGTCTAAGTTTTATCCTAGGAACCCCCATATCCGGCGCCCTGCTGACATCGAACTATACCTGGTGGATACCTTCGCTGTTCTCCGGGGTGAGTTCTGCCGTTTTCTCCATCAAAATCGATTCTAATTCACTGGATCACAGGTCATTGCGCTGGCTGGTAGCATGATGTATATCATCATGCGGTTAATGTTGTCAAAACGCGGACAGAAGGAGCGTGGTGCTCAACTTAAAGTATTAGAAAATCACCCCTAATGGACGACATACCCGACCTAGACACAGGTATGATTAGTCCTCAGTCTCGGATAGAAGACTCTATATTGTGATGTACTTAGACACAGGTATGATTAGTGTACAATACCAAGTTAGTATGAGTGAGATGACTGTTAATAAGTGGACATACCCTCAGTCTTGGATAGAAGACTGAGGGAAAACGACAATGAGCGTTTTGTCACTCTATGCAGGTAGCGAGGCACGACCGGAGGCAATAGAGCTAAGTCTTCGAGTGAACGGCAAGCGGAGCTTTTGCGCATCTTGCTTCTTCACCACGACGAACAGTTCACCCCGTGCACTTCGTCGGCATAGCTTTTTCTTTTCCCCACCCTCTCCCTTCTCATCATGCTCTCGCATGATTCTAGCGCCTCGCTGGCGACACGAAACACTCTTGGCCCCGAAAGGACGATTAACCTCAGACAGCGAGGCGGCCCACCCGCCCTCGCAGCTCACCTTTTGTCCAACAGGACAAAGTCCCTTCGGAGCCGGGAGGCGCTGCGCGCCTTCGCCCGTAATCTCTCTTCAAACATTCACCCGTTAAACTTGTACACACCATGTCGTAGTTCCTATCATTCAAGTTTAAAACCATTGATTTTCTGCACCACTGCGCAAATGAGACGCTGGAGTGAACCTCAAAGACAGGCGTTTCGGGAGTAATCGGGATACTATATACGGTAAGTGAGAATGAACGAGCGTTGAGTTGCAGTCTATGACCTCAATTCGGTAGAAAACGAGTAAACTAGATCCAAAATATATAGACACTCAAAACTGCAGCAATTACAGAAGTCCAAAGCACCGGCGAATTGCCTGCATATCGGAGCAAGGTCAGAAGTTCGCAACGCGAACCCCTAGTAAGTCACTCGTTAGTCATTCCCAATGACAAGTAAATGAAGCATTACGAAATCGAACCTGCCTAGAACTAGTAGCTTTGTATATACATAGAAATATAAGCCTAGCACTACATATCACCTTCTGTTTTGCAACGATGCTGAAAGACCGCAAATCAGTGGAACTGTAGAAAATTGGGGGGAAAGTCAAAAGATTTAACAGACAGCGAGTCCCTGAAACGGCGATGTCAAAATGCGGTGCTGATGTATTGTTATCGGTTGATTGATTTGGAGCTATCACTGACTTGAGTCTAACAACCATGTCCAGTCCACCAAACTCGCTGCAAGCGTCTATGCACGCTCCAAAGCCATCATCAGCCATCCGCCCGCCGTCCTTGAACCAGCTCGCTGCTCGTATCAATCTCGGCAGCGGTACAAACTCGCCGTCATCATCCCCAGCCCGCCCCCGTCTCGCTGCTTCACTCCTGCGCACGGGATCGCAAACCTCACTGTCTACAACGTCCACGAACGACTCAATAGTCGTTAATGCCCCTTCCACTCGCTCGGTGTCTCCGGCGCTCACCGCTATGACTGCCGCCACACCACCGAAATCTACGACCCCATCAATACCAGAGGATGCGCCACTCGCATCCTCAGAACCTTTGACGCAGGAGAACCTTAAAGAACTCAATCAGGAGTCGAAAACTGAGAAGAAGGTGAAGGGGTACAAGAATATTCCATCTCTTGACGCGATAACAGCGCACTTGGCTAAAGCGAGATCGCTGAGCATTGACGGGTCTGCGCGTCCACCGGACGCTGAGCTGGTGGAGGATCCAAAGACACCAGGAGCTACCATGAAAGCGCCAGAGCATCCATTACAGTTTCCTTGGTGAAGAATTTTGTTATTTGTCTACCGCACTATCGTCTAATTACATGTGTAGGACGATCTACCATGACTCGAAATCCAAAGCGCCTCTCGCTCATCCAAAGGGAGTCGCTGAAGAGGGCGGCACACCTTTCCTTTCCGCCCCACCCGAGACAGAAGACTATGAAGCTGGTCTGACTGTCATTGGAGAATTCAATACGGTGGAGTCCTTCTGCCGGTACTTCAATTGGCTGAAACCACCTTCCAAACTGGACCGTAACTCCAACTATCACATATTTAAATCGGGAATTAAACCGATGTGGGAGGATCCAGCAAACTCCAACGGTGGCAAGTGGGTCCTGACAATGAAGAATAATTCTGCACTTCTAGACCGCTGCTGGACATGGCTTGCGATGGCACTGGTTGGTGAGGAGCTTGAGGAAGGGGACGAGATTTGCGGTGCGGTGGTTAGTCTTCGAAGCAAGGTCGACAGGATTCAAGTATGGACGAGGAGTAAAGATGACGTCGAGAGGCTGAACGGGATAGGTAAAAAGCTGATAAAGCTTCTAGACGTATCTGAAGCGGATAATATTGGTCTCGAGTTCCAGGTTAGTTCCTAGCTACCCTGCACAAGAACACAACTGATAAATGTTCCTTATCAGTACAACACAGATGACCGACCGCTACCTAACAAATTCCTCTTCATACAGTCCGCTCCGGCGTCTTCCTTCCGCTCCTCATTCGGAGTTGCAGCTCATGGACACAAAGGATCGTCTGGAGGCATCATCAGTCCAACCAGCGATGCTGGGACTCCGGCGAGTGTTGCTGCTGCTGCTTTTGGGAGCTTCGGCATGCCCATCGGGGGCACAACTGCCTGGAGAGGAAAGCGATGATTTCAGACAGATTCACTATTATTCGATGTATTGGAGCCAGGTGCTGATAGAGTGACGCTGACAAGAACCAAAGAAGAACTCGTGACGAAGATGTATATTGTACTCAAGCTCATTTTTCAGCAGTAGCTTTGCTTTCGCGTGTCAACTTATGTCCTGTACAAATCCGTTGCAATCACACATCATAGGCCAACACGCAAATTAATTGCTGGACCTCTTTTAGGACTCATCATTCGGTAGTGGCGGGCAAAGATGCAAATTGCGCACCTGGATCATACTGCGACTGCATCACACTGAAATTGCTGAGCACTTCTCAAATAGCCTACGCAGCGGACTAAGGATCGTGCGTGGATATTACTTCACTGTGCCAAAACTTTCAATCAAGGCTTTCGAACCAGCTGGATGCTATCATGTTACAAATAGCACAAGTTTACAAACGAGCCCTCTACTAGTATTCTGAGATCTCTATTGCTCGAATCGAGCGGCAGGAAACATTGTTTAGAAGCCAACACGTCGGTCAACTCGGTAAATTTACTAGTAACTCGCGCGTCAGTACCAACAACCATACCGGACTGATGTCAAAGCAGAAACACGACTCACTTGACAAAAGAGGGGGGTCTGCCATGTCGGTGAGTCATGTGGCTTAATCCAGAACGCAAACTACTGATACTCACGCAATATCCTTTAGCACAACCAATGCATTGTGAATCCCTCACGCAAAATGTGGAACATCGGTCGAGCCGAGCGAGCAGACTGCCATCGTCAGTGGGCATGGCAGATATGGATGATGTCAGAGCAGCGACGACGACGAAAACAATCGCAGAGGAGAAACGCATTGTTTGTGATGATATGATATCTGACTAGATAATCTGAAGTGGACGGTAGGAAAACGGCTTGCTTTATATGCTGGATTTCACGGTGAATACTTGGAGATATAGAAAGGACCTATTCACTGGAATCCCCTCAATAGCCTCGCGTCAAGTGAATGGCCGAGCTCCGAAAGTCTCCTGAAATTCTTCTCGTGAGGTTGTATCTCCGAATAGATGAGCCTATCTACAATGCCAGCAGATTGCCACGCAAGCCTGAGGTCCATTGGCAATTTAGTGTGGAACGATTGAGAAACTATCTGACAATTGGCGAATGTTTGAATCATCAGTGAGAATTGGCCCTTAGATGACCATAGGGGTTTATCGTAAATTTCTCGGCGATGCTGCCAGTGGTTCGATAGAGGTATGATGATTTTATCCTGGTTCTGCCAGCGTACATGAGCTTTTCGTGCATGTGCTAGTACTAGGATAGTGCCGCAGTTAGAAGGACGGAAGCCGAATATAGTAACTGTGATCTACCGCCAAATGAACTGTGAAATTGTGAATTTGCTAGATAACTTGAAGCTTTGAAGTCCTGTTGTTTTCAAAGTATGTTAAATTTATAGACCAGTGCCTCTAAAGCTCAAGATCCAAGACGTTCCTTGTAATTGTTTGCGAAAAAATATGCGGTTGTTCAAACTGAGCAGTGAAAATAGCCAAATAAATCAAATAAATTCTTAACTCTAATCTTATCAATTGAATGTCGAAACCACACATTTCATTACATAACATCACATCATACTTCTGCTGATCACCCACATGTCGTGTAGATTCCTGGTGTCTCCATGACAGCGTTCTCCGGCGAAATGGTGAGTACCACTTTTGGGTGTACCTAGTTAACTTCCAACTAGGGCTGCCGTCGAGACAATCATTCGTCTCTCTCACAATTCAAATAGTAACAGTCCTTACCCTCCAAGTCCCCGACTCCTCTTTTGCACACTTACTCTTACTCATCCCTGCAGGCATGGTTCTGAGTCTCTTACATCCCTGAATCCTCAGGCAAGTCATTCGTTTGACTGACCTCTTTTTCGCTCCGTCGCACCTCGAGCGTCGTCAGTCATTGCGGTTGCAGTGGAATTGTCATACGTACTATTTGATAATCGCGTTAATCCACGCGATGTCTTCTTCCTCACAAATCATTATTATAATAGAGGGAAATTAGACATATCCTACCGACAAAGACCCCCACTAACGTGGGAGTCGGGGATTTGCTAATATGTCTATGCATCTCTTCATTTTCTCGCAGGTAGACGGTGCTGTGGGCAGAACTGGCAACAGAACAGCGTAGCAGGTGGCAGAATTAACGAAAATATTTGATGGTACTCCAAGTGTGCTACAATAATGTGAGACCACTGGATAACCTCGGAGTCCGAGTCCTTGCATTGTGGTCTGGGACCATTATCTCGTCTACCACTCTGCCGGTACTAGTTAGTCACGCACAGTCGAATGCCCTCCCTCCTAATACCCCCTCCCATTCACATCTCAGTCCAAGGCAAATTCTCATGCATCGTTCTTTCCCCATTATAATCGTCTTCTAGTCGAGTGAACTCAGCATTTCGTCAAGCGAGATGAACCTTCAGGATCGTAGCTGACGTCACAACCCGAGTCGCAGGTATCAGAATAACGGTACATTCTTTCACTCGTTCAGAGCCAAGTTTTACACACTAATTGGCGCTGTCATAAACGCAACCTCCCACTGCCGCCCTCGCCCTAGGGCAGGAAGTGCTCAAGCGCGGGATCTTTGCATATTATCCTTCGCTCATTCACTCGTTTCTCCCGTCAGTCTCGTCTCCTGTCAATCAGAGCTATCCAACTCCCCCTCATTCATCGACTTCCCGTTGAACTTCTACAGGAAATATTCTTGCTCATCGTCAACGATATGCCAGACTACGTTCTAATATGGAGAAACCATCATCTTAGCCAGCCCTCCCATACTCTTATCATGGATGTGTCGACTTTGGCAGGTTGTGGTACATTCGACGACCATTAGAGTTGTGTTTCCTGGTGACGATACTGAATTATTAAAATACTGATTCTTTCCACCTCCGCTCCAGTTTTGGCTAACGTACTGTACGCACACTTTGGAATGTCATTACAGGCATAAGACGACTCCGATAGTTGTCAAAATGTCTGTAGGATATGCGTCGTCTGTACTTATGGGCACACGCTCATCCGGGTTCCCTCGTCATTCAGGCGTGGAATATTATAGACGCAAGCAACAGTGTTGAATTGACAGACAGGATCATTGATGCGGTACAAATGTAGGTGCAATTATAAGGTCTAGCAACATAAGTAGCTATAGTGCTGTGGGATGTCTGATATAGAAGCTGGCGCACATTCATAGTACACCAAATCATTGATCAGAATTTAGCTCGACCGAGTCGCTATCGAGGTCGTGGCCAACATCATATCCGATTTTGTATCCGACACTTGTCTTTGAAAGCCCCAAGCCGCGCTTGCAACCACGGCAAAATATGGAAATCTCTCGCCGTGCTTACGAGCCACAGTGTGACAAGCGCCACAACGCCGCATGCGCTCCCAGTGATCGCGAGGGTGGTGGTTGGCGTGGGCGTGAAGACCTGGTAAGAGAACGCAATTATGAAATACACCATGCTGCAGAAGAACAGGACTTTCGTGAATGACGGAGGTCCATCAAAAACCAAATACTCACCCTCACAGCAGCATAGCATACAGAAGACCGTACACAGTCGCGAGAGAGTTAGTGCCAAATACAGATCCTGTCACCCACTGAGAAATATGACCTGCAATAATTTTGTTTTGGCGATATTTCATCATCGGTGCACCGTTCTTGGCTCACTGTTGTGTCGGCAAATTCCTGCCTATACATCCGATTCTGTCTAGTGAGAAAGAAGGACACGGCAAAAGATCCGACGATGCAAAACAAGGAAATGTACGTGCTGATGACCGCGATCGAACCCGCATTATGGAGATCGACGGAAGGCACAACTAGGAAACTGACGTCCACCGCTACCATTACAGTTGACTGATAAGAGTCTATACTCGTCGGAGTTCTTCCATGTGTGACCGCGGAGCATCGAACAGTGCGACGTTGGTGGCCCATGAAAAAGCCACTGCAAACTTTGACTTCTTCTCCTTGACGAAAAGAGGCTGGTCCATGTTCAAACGGGGCTTCAGGGAGTCCGCAAAAATTGAGCTCGCAATGTATTTTGCATCGAGAGCTTACAGAAATAGCGCATGAACCTGGCTGCAAGACAATCATCCCCTAGAGGGAAACAGGATCAAAATATTATGCTTGCCTGTGGTACAAGTATAATGAGCACCCTGGAAGTTGTCTAGTGTCAAGAATCGTTGATGGCTCAGCCTCCATAAATATAACTCTCGCCTACTACCTTCAAAACGATCAATCCGAGTCATATCCAGAATTTTCGATAATTCATCGCCGACAGTGACAAGTCCGTCGTGATAACCTCTTATAGACTCCTTTCAGCGACACATGATGAACTGAGAGGGAACTCTCACCATCGCTAGCATGTGCAACAACTTCCTTGAGTTTCTTGAGCAACTGCAGTTTCACTCAAAATCATATGCGACAATCGGAGGTGACGGCTTGTATATATATCGTCTCCGTGTGCGAGTATCATAGCCGAACGGATCAAGCGATCTATATTCATGTGCAATCGTACACACCAGGCAAACCAAGTGCTGCTGCGTGCCTCTACAAAGAAATCATGCATCCTTCATCGTCTCAGGGGACATGATCACACTACTCGGAGACCCCATCATCATCGCACCTTCTTCAATATTCCACCCTGCTTCCTTCATGCATCCCATAAAACGAGAGAACTGCTTCCTGAGCGTCTCATGCGTCGAGAGCACCATGTCCTCGATTTCACTAGGACTAGGACTGGGTACGCATATGCCGGGCACTCCACATCGCAGCTATCTCCAGCGCATGCAGCCAAGCGCGTAATTGGTCCAGGGATCCGTATCCTTCTTTGAAAGACACCAAGATGCATGGTTCGCGTTGCCTCCATGATCGAGGCTCCGCCACGAAGAGAACGTACGGTTCTTCCTGGAAGTACTGGAGCATCTTGAGAACGTGCGATGTGTTACAGCGTGTCATAGCGTACTGCACAGATACGCTCAACAAGCAGTGTCCGATGACTTTGTTGGCGACCGCATCGCGGATGCGGCTGGGAATGTCTAAAATTATCTCTCGGTCTGATACATCTTTTGGGGTCAAGACAACAGAACGTCCATTTGCTCCTACTTTCGGGTTACGGAATGTACTCCAAAGGATGCTAGACCGTTGCCTATTAAACGATCGGAGTACGACACTGCGCACCGCAAGATAATTGGCTAAAAGATGGCCAAAGACGAGGAAGAATAGGGCGGTGTAAATTGAGGTGCGGGTCGTGATATAAGGAATGATGAGCGTTCCGAGCTATTCATATTGCCCAATTAGCTATGTCCATAATTCTCAAAGGGTATTTACCAAGACACCTGTCAATGCAACCACGGTTGATCTGCTCGCACTTTTAGCATTCAATTCGCCCACGTCGCCTTTACTGTTCACAGGTGAAGCGAAGTGGTCTGTAAGTGCTGCTTTTGATCCGCCTGCAACCAGTCCACAGAGAGATCTCATGGCTCCGCTCATACACAGTGCTACGATTTGGAGAGTCGAGCCCGATGGGAGATATGGAGATGTTGTAGAGAGGGATATGCTGGTGAAATATGGGGATATGGTATCTAGGACAATGGAGGTGTCGTTGATGACATCTGCGAGAAAGCGGAATGTTTTGGTTTCGGGGTATAAGGAGGTACCGAAGTAATAGGCGCCTATTATGGCTGGAGGGATGTTGTTAGTGGGTGAGGGGTGCAGGGTAGACAAGGCAAACTTACTTGTGAACCGCGAACAGACATCTTTCAGTACTGTCAGAAGGAGCGCTTGGGTTGCTGATGCTGATGCGTCACCCACTCCAAAACCTGTATCACTGAACTGAACGCAATTTGTATCTGCATCAAGGGGCGACCGTACCTTCGAGCGCGCCTCTGGAAGCTAGTAACCCCGACAAAGAACTGCAGAATTCTTGCACGTCATTGTACATTTGATAGCTGGGACGAAGGTACGGTCATGTCTGAGACCATGACGCTCACGTAGCGGTAGGAGCGACTGACCGCAGATAATCTGCATGCGTTTACATGAGGAAGAGCTAGGATAGAATGTTCTGTTGAGGTGCTTACCAGGAGTGACAGTGTTTGGATATCCAGCTGGGAGGAATATCGCTGACATGCTATGTCCTAGAGCACGAAAGGATTTGGCATTGAAAAATCGAGTTTGGGGAAGTGCTTTGATATCGGTGGTACGTGCGATCTGTTGAGAAGCTGAGATGAGACGAGACTGGAAGGCTTTCCACGGTGCTCACTTTCTTGGCTAAGATATCAGGTACTATGTCCAACAGTCGTGTAGAATACACGTCCAGTTTCGTCCTTTTCTGCAACCAAATTGCTGGCTGTCATTTTGTGGGACGTGGCAGTTTGATGACGACTCGGACTGAAGTCTGATTTACGCTAGGTGACCGACCCTAACTTTGTTTAATCGAAATCTGTAGAGCTGCGTTTGGAAGTCCCAAGATGAATCTGGCACTGACACCTCCTGCAATGCGAGTTGGTGGATGGAGAGAATTGTGGAACTTCTGCAGACGCTTAGACTGTCGACACCTGTTTTGACCGTATGACGTATCATTCAAAGGGCATTACAGGTATCTGCATGGTGCGAGGTAGCGTCGCGCAGTGATAGTGCAACAGAGTGACTCTGAGACCGAGCCATGAACAAGGCCTTGGGAAACGTTGAAACGACTTGTCTATTTAGTCTGCCTATTATGTATGTACATGATACGAAGTCTGAGCTTCATCAAGCCGTTCTCCTGCTCATAATTATCTTCTCCAGGTTGCAGCTGAGATTTCCGGGCTCAAGACTTAAAAATAATGATGAGACTTGTACATATGCAATGAGAACGAATTCACAATCCTTGGCTAGGAAAAAAGCGTGGACAAATCCGGACTCGAACCGGAGACCCCCCGCATGCTAAGCGGATGTGATAACCAGCTACACCATATGCCCCACGAAAGGGCGGCTCTTTATATGGATCCTGAAGGATCAACGTACTTTCGGCGAGTCCCGGGTGCACGTGAGGACCCTACTTTACGAGTTCAAGTCGATCACCCTACATCTTGCCTTGATGGACGCTGCACCCACGACTCCAGCTGTACCGGTACTGCCAACGGACATGTCAACTGCAGACGTGCAGATGAAAGACGAGACTGTCGTAGAGGACAAAATCACTGAGAATGTTCAGTTAACCGAGACCGGTGAATCAGGCGCGGATGAGGTACTAGGACATGAAACAACCCCGAACCCAGATGGACCGTGTACAAGCGAAGAGGTTCCAATGACTATAATCGCCTCGGACAACGGCAAGGAAGTACAAAAATCTAACTCGGACCCGCTTCCTGACGTCAACAGACCTCAAGAATCCATTATTATTACTAGAGATATTAGTATCCCACCAATATCACGTCCACAATCTCCATCAATGCCACCTCCATCACGTCCTGCTTCACGTCTACCACCAATGGGTTCATTCCAAGTCCCTTCTCAGCCTTTGCTAGAGCGTCCTCTCAATGTCACAGATGCTTTGGGCTACCTTGATGCCGTCAAAGTACAGTTCCACAACCAGCCGGATGTTTACAACCACTTCCTTGACATTATGAAGGACTTTAAGAGTGGACTGTGCGTTTTATATGTTGTTCCTAAATACATTCCTCATATTCCTGCAGCATTGATACACCAGGCGTTATCAAACGCGTCTCGCACCTTTTTAATGGTCACCCTTTCCTTATCCAGGGCTTCAACACTTTCCTCCCTGTCGGTTATCGCATCGAGTGCTCCTCTGACCCACAACAGTCCTCTTTTATCACTGTCACCACGCCTACAGGAACGATACTCCAGTCCACCCGTGATGATTCTTGGCCTTCTGCTCCTCCAGCTACCGTGTTGGCTGAACCTGACGCAAACATGTACGGCAGTCTCGATAGCTCTGCTATAGAACCAGCCGTTCAGTATGTCCAAAAGATAAAGCAACGCTGCGACGAGGCCACGTATCGCCGGTTTCTAGAAATTCTCGGCAAGTACCATAACACCACCGACGCCGTCGACGAGGTGAGCCTTCTGCCTTTTGCATTCCAATCAAACCTTGATGCATGTTTCACAGCGCGAAGTGTCAGCTGAAATTGCCCGTCTTTTCAAAGACGATCCCGATTTGCGTGCCGACTTTAGGATTTTTATGCCTGAGAAGAGCCAGGCTCTTTTTGACGAAGCAGAAGAAGGTTATCTCACTGCCCCAACAGGACGCCGTACGCGCTCAAATACCCCACTAGATGGCAAGCCTGTCCGCCGTCGCACAGACCCCCAACCTCTCATCGAGCCCTCTGTCCCTCAAAAACGCAAGCGTAAGGCCAACGAACGGGACACTGTCTCCACCGCACCCAAAGCTCCCTCCAAGGTGACTCCCTGACTCCCAAAAAACAGATAACCCACTGACCTATCCAAGCTCAAGCAGCCGCCCCTCCCTCCCTCGCTCCTCCCACCAGACGACACGCACTTCTTCGACCGCGTCAAGCGTGCGCTGGGGAACCGAGACACTTACAACGAGTTTTTGAAGCTTGTAAATCTCTTCACCCAAGAGCTTATAGATACTGCACGCCTCGTCCGTGAAGCACGGAATTTCCTGGGTGACGCCGAGTTAATGCGCCAGTTTAGAGAGATTCTTGGCTGGGATGATAGGCGCGAGAGGGAGCGGTGGGTGTTGGAGGAGAGTCAGCAGCAGCAGACTTGGGCGAGGGCGCAAGGCCAGGGAGGCCCTATGATCGTCCCAATCCGCCCAGGCAGAGTAAATGCAGGGCTCCAACAAGGAAGTTACCGCCGAATGCCACCCAGCGTGCGCCCTCTCTCCCTCTACCCAAGTATCCCATACTAACCACCTCGCAGGAAGCCAACGTCAGCTGTGCAGGGCGCGACGAGATGTGCCGCGCAGTCCTCAACGACGAATGGGTCTCGCACCCAACCTGGTCGTCCGAAGACGCAGGCTTCGTAGCACACAAGAAAAACATTTACGAAGAAGCCCTCCACCGTTCCGAAGAAGAACGCCACGAGTACGATTTCCACGTCGAAGCAGCCACGCGCACCATCACTATTCTCGAGCCTCTCGCTGCCAAAATTGCCCAACTCCCGCTTGAAGAGCGATCTACGTTTAAGCTGAAGCCCAATCTCGGAGGCTCCGGCAAAGCGGTGCACGCACGCGTCATCAAGAAGATATACGGACGCGAAGCTGGGATGGACGTTTTGCAAGCGATGCAAGACGCACCGGCTCTCGCTATCCCCGTCGTCCTCATGCGTCTCAAAGAGAAAGAAGAAGAATGGAAACGCGCACAAAGGGAGTGGAATAAAGTATGGAGGGAAGTAGACGCCCGGAACGCTTCTCGTGCTTTGGACCACGCAGGGATTGCATGTAAAGCCGCGGACAAGAAAGCTCTCTCAGCAAAAGCGCTCGTGGCTCAGATCGAAGCTGCGCGTGATGCGCAGGTGAGCCAGCGGGCTGCGCTTGTGGACCCGTTGTTTGCGCGTGCGAGGGTGCGGCATCAGTTGGCATATGAGATTGTGGATACGGGTGTCGTGCAGGATGCTGTGAAGATGGCGTTGTCGTTTTTGGATAGGACACAAGGGCAGATCGGGGCTCCTGAGCGAAGACGCGTCGAGGGGTTTTTGCGGACGTTCGTTCCGCTGTTTTTCGTTTTGGATCAAGAGGTGTTTCATAGGGCATTTGCACTTGGGGAAGCGGGGGAAGTTGAGATGGGGGATGATGGGGACGATGGGGAGACGGGGAGTGTTGCGAGTGGAAGTGGGGGAAAAAAGAGGAAGGGTGGGGTTTCTTCGGGTGGGGATTTGAGGAAGAAATTGTTGAAGAGCGAGCAGGCGAAGTTGACGGGGAGGAAGACGCGTGCGCAGGAAGCTGCGTCACCGTCTGCGTCTAGACCTGCGTCTCCTGCGATACCTGATACGATGCAGGTAGATGCCGTGGAGGAGGGAGAACGAGAGCCTGCCGTGCCGTTGCGTAAGGCATCGAGGAAGAATGTGTTTTTTGGGAATACAGTATTTTATGTGCTTTTGAGACTTTTTGAGGTGCGTGGTTTTTATTCGGTGGTGATTCACTTTTTCATTCCTGATGTTCGTTTGGCTACAGGTATTATACTCCAGATTGCTATTCTTCAAAAACCTCAGCGCGCGCATCGCTATCGAAGCACCCAAATCAGCGTCTAAAGCGAAATCGGTCGCTACAACACTAGGGATGCCGTCCCTCGTCGAACTTGCTCAGCTAGACGACCGCGCTACCCATGCAGATCATTTCTATGATCTAATGCTCGAGTCGTGCGAGAGGCTATTTGATAATGAGATCGAGCAATATGTGTTCGAGGAGCAGATGCGGTATATGTTTGGGGTGAAGGATGCATATCGGATATTTACGATTGATAAGGTCATCGGGTCGTTGATCAAGCAGGTGCGTCGTCTTCCTTGTCTTTCGGTTGTGATCGTTGTCTGACGATGTGGGGGTAGGTCCAGATTGTGTTGGCTGATTCTAGGAGTCAAGAGCTCTTTGAGCTTTTGAAGCGCGATCGGGCATTACAAGTGCCGACGATCCAAGATCAGCTTAATAGTCGACGATTTGCGGAGAATCTGCTTGGACCTGATGAGAACATTTTCCGAATAGATTGGGTGCGTGTTTTCTATTTTCAGGTCATTTCGAGTATTCATGCGTGGTTGGAACTACAATAGCTTCCAGACACGAAGATGATGACGATTCAATCACTCGGAAAAGACGATTCGAGGATTGATGATTCAGAGATGTTGGCGGAGAGGTGGCAGGCGTATGTGGATTCGTTCGTGTCGGTGCGTGTTCCTTGGTGTAGGGTGTTGTGGCGTTGGTTGACGTGTTTCGTGCTTTACAGAGTCCTATCACGGAGGGCATATCGCAGTCCCGCGTTAGACGTCCGTTTCTTCGCAAGTGCGTACATGCTGCTCTTCACCTTCCCCCCACGCACACGTATACAAATGCTGATACTTGTTTTGCAGGAACGTTCCTCCCTCAGCTACTGCTAGTACCCCAGCAGTGCTCGCACGTAGTGCACTGGAAACGAGAGTATGTGTCCGGACATACCGCTTGTTTTTCGTATCGGGCACGGAGGACTTTTTGTGGCGGATCCCATCCAAGGCAGATTTCGTGACTACTGGACGGAAGGAGGAGATGAGACGGGAGCAATGGATTATGAAGGCGAAGGCAGGGGAGTGGAGTCCTGATATTGTGGTGACGAGGGCGAAGGCAGGGGAGTGGAGTCCTGATATTGTGGTGACGAGGGCGAAGGAGCCGACGCCCGTGCAGGCTGGGAAGGAACAGACCCCTGTGTCTGTACCTGTATCTGTGTCTGCGCCTGATCCTGTGAGGGTGGTTTGAGGTGAGGTGTTGGTGCTGGTGTTAGAGGAGACGTGCGCGCGTAGCGTAGGTGTTTTGTATCGTGCATATAATCACTTTAATCTTGCTATTGAATTTTTTGGACTATGCTTGAGTGTTTTCTCAGATTCAAATCAGATGTGCTACGGTAATGCATAAACAGCACTAGGCTGGAGTGGAAGGAATATTGGCCATAATATCATATTTTCAATATGGCCAATGTACCTTCCACTTCAGCACATCGAACATGACTAGGAGGTTGATGTTCCTGCGTGGCTCGTAGAGGTAGTGTAACGTATATACGAGTAAGTCTAGTTGCGGCTGCGCAACAAGAACTAGTGCGAATACTAATACGAGTTCGACGGGGAATGATGAGTGAGTAGTTGGCCCAGTGGTACGGAAATTTATATGTAGACGAGTGGCTCATCAAAGCGATACAAAGGGGATTATATTGTCAGCGGAGTGGCACTGTTTATATGAGGAACGATAGTACTAGGCCTTTGTTCATGCACATGAATGGCATCAGACGGGCGGTCTCTGAGTGCACGATGTCAAGTTGAAAATTTAGACGAGTTAGCCTTCCAGTCAACTCACCAGTATCCATATACAAAGTATCTAACGACTAGAACAACAAAAATGTGGACGACAGAAATATGATAGCAGCTTCACTCAGGAGTCAACTTAGTAACAGCCTGGCTGTCCAATGGTAATACATCAACGCGCTGCCTTCTGAGCAATATATATCGTATGATGATAAACATCATGCTACCAGCCAGTGAAACGATCTGTTATGCAGTCAATTGGACTCGACGCGAATTCTGGAGCAAATAGGAGCGACTCACCCCAGAGAACAGAGTCGGTATCCACCAGGTATAACTAGATGTTAGCAGAGCGCCGGATATGGGTGTGCCTGGATAAAGAGTTGGAATTTGAAGCAAGAAACGACACCATTGCACTCACCAATCAAACCTCCGAATCCTATACAGCGATCGCGACAAGTTTGAATAATATGGAGGGAACAATAATGATAATATTTACCAAGAGTGAAGAGACAGATGCCCATCCGCGCGCTATGATCCAAATAAGATGGTTCGTACGTTCAGACATAAATAATCACTTGCCCAAGCTCAGAGAGGTCGGGCGTTAAAGTAGCCACGAGTGGAGCCGCCATCGCAGTGTCTGCATGCAATGATGAACCCGGATCTGAAACTTTCACACCAATGATAGCGGGACAAATTACTTACTCAGCCCCGAAAAATAACCATAAAGCACACCAAGCACAACGACGCTGGCCAAGCTACTCAACCCAATCATGCCCAAAATGAGCGCACCGCACGAAATTGACGCCATTATAGTCAAGTTCAGAACACCCGTGAATGCCTCAATGAATCCCGACGTGAGTCGCCCTATAAAATTGGACCCATTTAGAATTGCTAGCTGGAGATTCCCGTCAGTAGACCAATCACCTGCGCAGTGCTGGAACCCACAGAGTAAAATGAGAAGTTGACACTGATACCGTGCTTGATAGAGTCGAGTTGAAAAAAGAATAATGGGTAGTAGAAGCTGATCTGGAAAAGAAAGCCCCTGCAGGATGGTTAGTTGGAGGCATTCGAGAGAAGGTGCATAGTAGGTCTCACCCCGCTATCATGAGAATGAATGGTACGTCGCAAATACATTTTCTAGCTACTACAATATAGTTTACTGGTGTCGCTGGCGGATCAAGGCGAGTTCGCATGCACAGACATGCAGTCAAGAGAAGTGAGCTGATCAACCCCGCGCTTGCGCGGACGCCTTTAGCGAAGCCAAGAGGACCGTTGACGAGATGATTGAGCATGATCGGATGGATGATGGCACCTAGCGATGAGCCCGTAGCGACAAACGTCATAACTAGTGTGCGCCTCTGCCGGAAATGATGCGAGATTACAGCCATGCTAGGGATATACAGCAGCCCAAATGCGATACCCAAGCCCAAGCCTTGCGAGAAGAATATCTAAAACTGAGTCAGAAAACGATATTTTGAATCGGGAGAGGTTACCTGGTAGTACTGATCGGGTTTCGACCAAGACAACATAAATAGACAGAAACTCTGCAGAGATGATCCGACAATTATGAGATAGTAACTAGTTAAGCTTGCTGAGTATCATCGAGAACCTCCGACATATCTACACTCACAAATATCCTCGATCGTGCAGTGAACCTGACACGAGGCCCACGGTCATGAGTAAAAATGCGCTTGTGCTCCCAATCCATCTACAAGCATTGAGGATACCCGCCATGAACACGCAAGCAGAAACTCACGATATAGCGGATGACGTCTCATTTGTCAGGTAATGTTGGGTATAAAAGTCTGGAGAACAATGTATTGAATATTCCATGTTCGTTTTCGTCTGTAGCAATACCTTGATAGACACCAAATGAAGCGGCATACCTGTTAACCTGCGTCAGCCAGAGTCTTCCTGCCAACACCTGCACCAGACTCACCCAAACCCACAAAACTGTACCAGAAACCTGTGTGGACCGAGTAAGGGCCAGTCCAAAGAGTTCGAGTCCTCTTACGCTCCAAAAGCAGTGACCCAAGCTGCCAGACCACCTTCGGGAAACTCCGAGTCATGCAGGCTTGAGGGAGGGTCCCAATCCTTGGAGACTCGACATGCTTCCAATGTCTCTAAGCCCTCTTTGTCCTCCTGGAAGGCGGCCCCTTCCGTATGAACCGTTCGAAGCTCAGATTTGGCTACCATCCTGAGCTGGGAGAACTGACAATGACAGCAAGTACGGTACTTAGGTATTTATATGCACGAACCTGATTATGACCGTATGTCCGCCGAGTCGGACGACTAACACGTCGATTCTGGCGGGGTCTATATGGTGAGAATTTGCAGACAGACATTCTCCCGGGCCGAGCCAACGGTCGACTCTTGAAACAAAGAAGGCCTGATAAGAACGGCTGTTGTTGATCCAAGGCGGAGCGTAGTCCATGGCGAAAACGACCCTGATCCTGCGGTGATGAGTCGGAGTTGACGTTTATGGGCATCCGGAAGGAACAAACGCATGTGTCCGTGGAGCTGATGCGAGGTGTTGGTGTTGTTGGTGTTGAAGGAGGAGGTGCCGTGCTACGAGCGCAGCTTAGGTGGTATGCATTGAGCACATGATTTCTTTAATCTTGTTATTGATTTTTCGGAGTATGGTTGGACTTTGTTACAGATTCAGATTAGACAGTCCATATAGACAGTAGTACTTAGACACGGGCGGAAGTCCGATGATCATTGAACAGTGACTATGATTCAAAGATCCTCGCACTTCAGCATTTAGTGAAAACGAGTCGGGGGCTGGCCACTGGGGCTCCAGTGCGGCGTGTATATGTCATGATGATGTGATAAGTAGAAGCGCAGATTTCAAGAATATTGTACATCTTCGCAGTTGCCAGGAAAGGCGTGTGCTGAGCCAAGGCGGAGGAGGTATATCGGAAGTTTGTAACTGCGGAGTAACTATTAGCATTAGTAGGCCAAGAGAACGTACGTGTTGGTGCACAGCTGTACATGGTGGTGTGAAGTTGAAAATTGCAATAGCACAGAGTTCAGTGTTTTGCTTCTATTTGTATTTTTGACTAAGCACTATTTCTGGTCCTACCGTACTGCTAAACTGCACATGCTGCAGCTTTCACAGTTCCAATCAGTATCCTTTTGGCTAACACTTCTCAACACGCGTACAACTTAGCACAGGTGCAAAGTATTATCCTCATTTTGCTCATTGCCACACCTACCACAGACATACTTAAAGCCCTGACTGGATGATCGACACTTTCGGAGATAGGCCACAATGCATCATCGACCCCAGTGACTTCCAAATAATTCCAGTAGGATGGACTCGGACTACATCTATTTTGCACGAATGCCATCTGTGTCTGGTTCTGGACTCACCCTGTCGACGATGGGGTCTTGGGGGACTTCACTTTCTGCCATGTACGGGATCCACTTGCTATAGTAACTTCCCACTCAGGCATGTGAGTAAACGTTTACATCTTTTACTCAGCCCACTTGTAAGCTAAACTACACGGGCAGTCATAGCCACGCATACGATATCCACATGAAGTGGTTTACAACGAACGACACTCACCCCTGACGCAGCGAAGCCACTTTTGAAAATATTTGACACTGACCATACTGATCGCGACAGATCCCGGTTTGCTTAAAGGTTAACATGTTTGAAAACTGCGTTAGTATGCTACGTTAGAACCTTGTAGAAAACAAGAGCATAGTGATATGGTCGGGGACTACTTCTACAAGTTGACTTCGGTTAGAAACTAAACGACATCACCATTCACTCCTCGTCTTTATCAACTTTCATGGGACCTTTTACCTTCATGTATCGGAGCCGATGCCCGTGCAGGCTGGGAAGGAATAGACACTTGTATCTGTACCTGTGAAGGTGGTTTGAGGTGAGGTGTTGGTGTTGGAGGAGACCTACGCGCGTAGCTTAAGTGTTGTGTATTGTGCATATGATTATTGATTTTCTGTCTACGCTCGAATGTTTTTACAGATTCAAAGTGCTCTTGACATTGTCGAAGCGTCAGGTACAATCACCTCTGTTGATCGAGACTTGTAACATAACGCGGTTTGAGTCATGTGTTCAGATCAGTGACTCGCAGGCCATATTTGTAAAGGCGGTGAGGTGAGACCGCTATCGAAGTTAAACGGATTGAAAAAAATTATTGATAAGTCGGTAGGGTGATTTCACTGATTTGAAGACAAATGCGGCGGATATCAGAATGATGGAATGGATAAGCGTACCTTTCAAGTTGTTCCCTAAGAAGATGAGAAGGAAACTGATTCACATCGATAGCGAGTCGTGATAGGGCCTATGTCCAACAGAGTGTAGGCACGCTAGAGCTGAAGATAAGCACTTAAGTTTATGTATACTAAACAACGTACATGCATTAATATTATAATTTTAATGTTCCATAGAATGTTATCCAGTGCCGTCTGCAGCGATGATCGACACGGAACAAGCGAGGAAATCAACCTCTCATGCTGCTGCTGCAACCGCCGCCGCCGAGGGCTCAGATAGAGTAAGCTTCTCAAGAGCATCCTCGAACTTATCGGCATCACTATCGTCATCTTCCTCCTCACTCTCCTCACTTTCCTCCGATGCAGACCCCTCGTCATCCGGAGGTTCGTCTTCAAAATCAAGCTGCCGCTCTTGTTTGTACATCTCGCTGAAAAAGATTCGCATGACGTACTGGATCGTAGACAACTCTGATGATCAGACTGCAGCTCGGACACGTTGCGATATCCTCGCAGTTGGCAAGCTGCTTGCGAGAGATCTCGAAGCGGTCGCCGCAGGGGCACGGATAGTGGTAGACACCTTTTACCTCATCCCATGCCATATCTTCAATTTCGATCTCGTCGTAATAAGCCCCCATATTAAAATTGTGAGAGAAGGGTCCGTTCAACGTTGCTGGATAGCCGCTGGTCAACGGTCTGAGATCAACGTTGTGTGTCTGTGCCAAGTTCCTGATCCGTAGTTCCCACGCAACTTTTAAGGTTCAACAAGTGCTGGTCTTGGTAATCATTAAGTCCCGTTTAGCTCAGTTGGTAGAGCGCGTCACTAGTAATGACGAGGTCAGTCGTTCAAGTCGGCTAATGGGAAGTCTTTTTGTTTTGTTTCCACTTGGATTGCCGAACGCAAGCGAATTCATCGACATCTGCCACAAGACCCGGTGACGCAAATCTAGATCCTTAGGCTGTCCAGACTAATAGCTAGCCTCATAGCTGACCTATATGCATATAGCATAACTTGTAGTATATAGTTAAGGGTATATAGCTCGACCCTCAGTACGTATTCGGTGATGACCGGTGCCGGCACTGGGCAGCGGGCCGAGGATGCATGCGTTTTTTGAGTTTGACATAGTTGTACTTCCCTTGTTTCTTTGCATTTGCATGGCACTATCAGTACATCACGGGCCTGGAGGCAGTGAGTATGAGCCAAGGACTTGGAGCAGGCAAGGGCGCGTTATGAGGGGTGTGAGACCTGAGTTGGAGGTGTCACAGAGGGATCTTTGACGGCCGGACCCGCGGCCCAGTGGGAGAGGTGAGTTTATTGCGTTTGGATTTTCCACAGCTTTCCGTGTGACGCACTGCCTAGTAGCACTGCCAGTGGGATACACATATAAGTATCACTTCGATCGCCCCTGCCGGTACTACTTGCTTCCACTTGTGACTTCAAGTTTCTGTACTTAATTTCATACGATGATACCTACTACAGTCAATCAAGGGTGCATCCGCCTATTTCGGTGATACAAGCGCTGGATGGTGGTATATATTATGTAGCGACTCATCGTTGTGTTCCACCGAAATCGCCACTCTGACACAAATCCCTCGAATATGACCCTAGTCTCAAATGAACTCGGTGGTTGGCCGGACAACGATACGTATCAAGTTGCCAACTATGTTTTAGGTTCGTCGAAAGAGCAGGCCCGATGCCGTCTGACTCTATCTTTGACTGTGGTTTTACAGTGGCATCTTCAACTGCAATACTCTATGATTGGGGTGAGCAACACAGCATTTATCGAGGCGATCGTTGATATCCCGGTATCATTTAGCACTGATATTCGGACAAGAGGTAGGTTGATGCCGTTGATGTTGTTACCGAAGCAGCCATCTCACTACTAAGAATGGATTTATAGGTTGAACTGGTCTGGGTGAGTAGAATTCTCATCGCAAACTAACAGCAGAACGAGACAGCTAATTCGGGGCAGAGACGACACTGGTCTCCCGTGACCCTTCTATACACCACTGTATGTAGCTAATGATATGCGCCGCGGCGCACTTGGCAAGTCGTCCGTACTGACTTGAGAATATTCTAGGTGCGCTATGTTGGAATACTATACTCTATGTATGTTCGCAAGGCCAACAAGTTGGCATTGTACTGATCAGTCATCTCTCACTATCAGCAACAACATACTGCGTATGTTTCCTTACTCTTTTGTTATTTCTTCTGAATAGGAACAAGCAGCGAGTCTCCCAGGAGTTTCGATGACAGTTGTGGTAATTATTCTGTACCAGCGCCTGCCTGCCATGCCCGTCCAACTGACTACACCTCTACTTAGGAGTGAGTGAGATTCCTGGATTTTGGGGATTCGATATAACATCTGAAATAGCTGTAAGTTTGACCAAAGTGTTTAGTCCCCAGAGACTCTTCAGTAACTATTTTTTTTCAGGTACCATGTTTTTCCTGATACGAGCGGGGATATATTTCGTTATAAATACCATACTCGGCAGTGAGTTACTCGGTTGTGAAACCCGCTAATGTTCGACTGAGATATCTCGCAAGTTATCGTGGCTGCTCGATTATATGCCATGTATCAGCGATCTAGAAAAATCCTCGTTCTTCTCATCACAATCTTCCCAACCCTCACAATCGCCTGTGGACTACTGATCGTATTGGCGATCCGCAATTTTTCTTGGGGTATGCTTCAATTACCATAGAACACCTTGAGCCATCAAGCTGATAGGACGAATTCCAGACGAGCTCTCCGGCACCCACCAGTGTGTTTACGAGGTTAAGAGAGAAACCCAACTTGAACTTCTATTGGCCGGGGTTTGGATACTCCGCATTGTGTGGGAGGTCATCGCACTCTGTCTTGCAGTCTGGATTGCTGTAAAACATTTCCATGAAATGCGGCGGTCATCTACAGAATGGTCTATTGGGGACTGTTTCATGGTGTTAATGAAAAGTCATGTGCTTTACTTTGCAGCGTGAGTTTCCAATCTTAACGCGATTGACCGTCTTTCGCTGAAGTCCCACATGTGCTAGCTTTGCTGCTGTTTCTTGTTTCAGCCTTGGTTGCCTGTCTCCTAACATAATAGTGAGCATGCCGATTTGTGATTGTCATCTTGCATCTGATCACTCCTGTTTTGTCTATAGAACTCATCTTCCGTGGGAGCTCAGATTTATTATGGCGCACTTCAAATCGCCATGTTTGTGCAATTGTTCGTGCTGGGACCACGTCTCACTCTTAGCATTCGAAAATATAACGCCAAGTACACGGCTGATGCCGAACCAGGAACTTATACGACTTCGATTGCTTTCCAGGACTCGGAGCTCGTAAGGGTGTTGACTGGTGCTAGCAGTGTATAGCACGAAAACGGTCCGAATACTCGGGTGTTCTGTAGGGAACAAGCGAACAGTGGACTTGTATACGGTACTAGTTTGGTGCTCGAAGTTGAAAGGGATAGGTATAGGTAGCCAATACTGGAATTAGCTAGTACCCGCACGAAGCTAAGCGGAAACCACGCCTCCGTGTGGACGAGGACCTCCTCGAGTCTTGACATGTTTTTTTGTAATGTGACCAAGTCCCTAGGTGCTCTATACTGCGTGTGGATTGCGGATTTCTTTGCCACTCTACCCGACTGGCGACCTCGCATCTACCAGCTATTTAATGCTGCGAATATACACGAGGTACAAGCATGGAGTCTGAATGGGTCGTCGGGGCTCTCGGCGGCTCGTTTCATAGAAGCGAATGATTCGCTGCACGAGAAAAATCAGAAGTGGAAGCGCTCCTTCAAGATGATCATTTGATGCAAATTTACAATGTTGCGCCTATGCATACAAAACTAGTTGAACGACTGCAGTTCAATCATAGAGTACTACAGTCTCTAATGGATGTATGTAAATTGATACAAAAAACTGGCTAACTGATATACAATATTTCCTCGCTATAGTACAATAACTCTCTCAAACAAAATCTACCAATGTAACCCGCCAAACAGTCCTTCGACACCTCGGATACTGCGTAAAGCGGCTCTGTACACTTCTAATACAAAGTCTCCCCGAAAGCTCATCCCAATCCTGTACTATTCGAGTTGTGGCAGATGGAGCTGGAGTGTGAGTTTCCTGCAAGTCCATAAGTGCACGACCTTCACGGTGGTTGTCTTCTGGGACTGCGGTCGTCTCGATAGCCATTTGCCAAGGACATGTCGTCCTTTTCTGGTTGGGCAGGGAGGAAAGCCAGAATATACGTTGCGCTGCGAATAAGCACGGCCACTGTGAGCTTTGTGGACGTGGGGGCTCAAACTGCAATGACAGGTGAGTTACTCCACGGATCCGAGGATGCAGAGCAAAGCTTACATTATACTTCTCAACGACGTGGGAATTGGGTTCCGACGCATCGAGGTCAGGTCGTATGAATCGAATCTGGCCTTCGTACAAAGTTACTATAGCTCCTTCATGAAACATTTTGACGAAGCGTCCAAAGGTCACGGCAGCAGGGCGAAGCTGCCAGAATGGCGTGAGCAACGGTGGTGAGTTTGCATCGAAGTCGTTGGGTACAGCGGAGGGAATATTATACGCAGTCATCAATCGCGTGCTGACGAGCAAGATGCACGGAACCCGACCGGACAGGCGCAAGTCGTACCGTATCTGTACAGATTCATCGGTATTCTCCAGTTATATTGTTTTCATCTTCGTACTTACGCGGAGTTTGCCGTCGTGTCCCTTCGGACAATCAATTTCAACAGTCATATCCTTTCGAAAACTGTCGTAATTCTCGTTTAGCTGCATGATACGAAGGAAATGCCTCCTGTCGGAAGTAATCCAGCCATATACGACATAGTCTCCTGCTGCCGCATAGTTCCGCACAAACACGTTTGTGCGAAAAATGAGAGGTATCGTAACTGAGGGTATCTTTGTATTTAAATGCATGATTGCGAAGGTGTTGGATCTAGTCGGAGTTGGTGAGTATGGGGAATTGGGCCCCTGAGGATATATCGCACCCGTCATTGCACTTGGTTCGTAGTAGCATGAGATCATCACCACGAGACGATTTATATGGACCGTCTTGGTCGAGGAAGGGGAGCCAGCAAATCTCGCTCTGAAAGGTCGTAGATGCAGCAGGAAATACAGCTCCCGGCCCCGCGTTTGGTTTCATTAAGCACAAGTTGGAATGTCGAGCAGGGTTGAGATTTCGACAGTGGAAGAGCAATACTAGCCATGTCCCACCCGGAAGAAATTTGAGACCTTGAAATACACCCGGGAAATCTAGTGGGAACGTGTAAAGATGCTTAGGGACAATGCTAGGCTGTGTCCATATGTGGTCTAGTCGGGCAGCGGTTTTCAGCTGGTGACGAATGTCTTCCGCAGTGCATGAACGCAGATGGGGGTAGCACTGGTCAAGAAAACGATGCTGAAAGAGGACGTCGCGCCAGACATGTCGTAATGAGGCAAATTCGTGCAATGTTCGACATGTCTGTGAATAAAGCATAAAAGGGCTCACAGAAAGAGTAGCAATCTACCACAGACTCACACTTCCAAGCCTTATGATGTCCAAGACGGAAAGATACTTCATAATCACGAGCCATACATCGACCACGAACTTGGAGGGGCTGTAGACGTGACCATGCTGGCTGGCTGGTACTACAAACATGGGTATCAAAGTCAGTGTTGGTGAGTCTGGTCATTTTCAGGCAGCGGGTAGTCGGTGATCACGACATATGGCGTCACAACTCTCGGGTGCCGCGTCTAATAGTGGCGGAACTATTTTGAGTAGTTATGCTGCCGGCGGTAGAACTGGCAGGCACAGGTACTGCGTACGTAAGTGTGAGGCACATGCGGCGACACAGCTTTTTCGTGCCTTGCTTCGTACCACTTTCGACTCCATCCCTCTTAGCAGCAACACGCGTCTCGCTCTAGATTATTCTTCAAGATTCTCTGCGAAGTTCCTTTAAATCACACTCGACGCATCACTTTCGACGGCAGAATTTCTTCAAATTATGTTCCGTGAGTTGCTGTGGCCCTCCCTCACGGCTCTCTTTCGCACAGGGTCGACACGAGAGTCGAAAAACCCTTCGGGTTTTTCAGCCCAAATAGCGTCATCACTTCTGATATCTACTATTTGTACAAATCAGATTACATCGACTTGCAATGTCTTTTGATTTCCCATCACGAAAAACTAACAGCAACGCATAGAACTACAGCTCGATATATTAGCATCGTGGAATCAATATTCCAAGTCCCATCTTCGTTTATATCATAATCTGTGACCATAAACTCATTCTCTATTGCTGTAGGCACTAATACCTCGTTAACGCACTGCAGTTCTGCAAAGTCGGATGCTCTCCCTTCTAGAACTTCCTTCCCATCCACATTCCAGTCCGAGGCAAGTTCCTTGACTTCGCATTATGATCTCATCAGACTCGACAACCAATTAACTCGAGGAAGAAGTATTGCCGCTTCCCTTGTCATCGCACAAAATAACTGTAGCCATCAAAGGCATCTTTCTTCCCGTGGGGTTCTTTATATGGTCGGCCTCCAGACTTACTATAGCCATTTTAGAGATTTTAAGTATCTCACACTTCAACTATTCCGCTCCCCACTTGTTTCCCCGTGTCCAGACCCTGTACCCGAAGACTCTTGTTGTGGGAGCCAGTGACGAGGAGACGGGTACCACGGATGAAAGCTATCTCGTTCACCGATTTCTCATGACCTTTCAGCGTCAGTTTGAGATAAGCCATTTTCTTTTGAGTTGACGCTTGGGACGCCACTTTGTGAGTGGTGCCCGCCAACTCGATTGCACGACTTCTCCTGACAACTATAAGTTGATTTGTCCACAGGTTATTACGCGCAAGAATGGCCACCATACAGATGCGCAGCTCTACGTGTGTGCTGGCCCATATACAGTAATACAGCGGCATCTGCGTTTGCAAATTTCATGCACTCACCTGCAACACAACAATGCAACATTTCGAAAATCGCCTTGGGCGATGAACTTAATTATACATAAACTTCGTAGTTTCAAATTTTGAAGCACATCAGATAAGTCGTTGTTGCACGATGAATGTTCACTAAATTTGAGCCCTTATCACCTGCACACCGTCATTTGCGTCGACTCGAAAATGGTAAACGAACTTCTGCGATCAGTTCGCATTACGAAATTACTAATCGATGACAGACCCTCAATGCCTAACAGTTATCCTCGCCATCTTCGCCATCATCAGACTCGGATTCCTCAGCTGCCTCCTCGTCAACGTCAGGTTTTCCATTCTCCCTCCATTCTTCAGCCACCTCCCGACAGAGTGTCTTCAGTGGTTTCCGTTCCGCGTCTGGTTTTACCAGCTCGATTCTGTAAGCCTGCATGGCATGAGCAATGGCTCGTTCTTGCTCCTCACGTGCGAGCTTTTTTTTCCTGGAGATGGACTGTGCATGCTTGGCCATGGTGAGATGTGAGTGAAGTTGATTGAAAGGTATTCTTATTCATTGTGCCAGTCAACAGACTTGCAAGTCCGAGTCGCACGAAGTGTGCGATTACATATTGAAGCACAACCTTAGCAATGATCGACGATCGCGAAGTCTATCACTCGCTTATCAGTTGATTAGAGACTCTCGAGACATCCTCGACCGGCATTGCTCTGGCAATGCACTCGCTCGTTTGATCACCTGCGGAATACAATTGTATTGTATATAGAGGCTATATACATGTATTGCATCAGTTTCGGAGTCAGATGTCAACATGTCACACATTGGGACCTATAATTGTGAAAATTTAAGAACAAAACATAACATCGCACAAGAATCTACACTCATTTGTACCTATTAATGCTGCCAACACATGGTCCCGTATGAAACCTATGTAAACCACCAAAAAGTTTGATGAAAAAGTGTCGCAGTGGAGTGTTGTGCGAGACAAACGCCAATGCCGCTATATTACTGTACGCGCAAGATTATGGATACAAGCTGTCATCGATACGGGTCGTACGGCCTATCAATCATCGAGCGATGACAGGACACTACTGTTACACGCATTTTCATCGAAGACCACCGTTAACATCAGATTCTTCCCGTGTTCGCGCACTTTGTACGGCTGCGCGAGCTGGTACACGCAGGACCGATCCGTGGTCCACGACACTACGGTCAGCTACTATCTGGCATGTTTAGGTTGAACTCATCTTAACCGGTCTTAGCCAAGTGGTTAACAGATTCGAAATCCGTTCCTCATACATTGTGCAGGTTCAAAACCCGCCGACAATAGTTTTTCTTCATGATTGCACCTCCAATGGGCATGAACTCACGAGGTCTTCGAACGTCAAGCATGAGACTCATGGCCAAGTGGTTAACAGATTTAAAATCTGTGGTGTAGGTTCGAAACCTGCTGACAGTAGTTTTTCTTTATGATTGGACCTTGGATATGAGCTCATGGAGAAGTCTTCAAATGTCAACTATAAGGCTTATAGCCAAGTTATTAACAGATTCGAAATCTGGTCCTCCTGGATGGTGTAGGTTCGAAACCTGCTCACCATAGTTTTTTCTCTATCAGATCGCACCTTGGATATGAGTTCATGAAGAGGTCTTCGAACGTCAACTATAAGACTTGTGGCCAAGTCGTCAACAGATTCGAAATCTGGTCTTCCTGGATAGTGTAGGTTCGAAACCTGCCAACAATATTTTTTCTCTATGATCTGGGGACTGGCAAGGCATCGAGTGCCCCTCTCGAAGGCCACACTGGTTATGTCCTCTCTGTTGCAATCTCGCCGGGTGTATGTTGCATCGTATCTGGCTCACAGGACAAGACTATCCGTGTGTGGGATATGGGACTGGCGAGCTATTGGGCGCCCCTCTCCAAGGCCACACTACCTCCGTTAATAATGTTGCGATCATCTTGTATGGTAATCGCATCGTGTCTGGCTTGGGTGACCAGAGCATCCGGGTGTGGGATATGCAGACTGGTGAGGGAGTTGGTGCCCCTTTCCTAGGGCACACCGGACCCATTTTGTCTGTCGTAATCTCGCCTGATGGCAAACGAATCGTGTCTAGGTCGTCCGACAGGACCATCCTTGTGTGGGATCTAGAATTCCCAAACCTGCACCAACCATTCGAAGCACCTGCAATATGTTTTTCATCCAACCCAACTCATGCCCTTCACTCCACCCTCTTCTTTCTCCGTGACTATAAAACCCCAGCCTCTTTTGGCCCAAACGAGGAGGGATGGTAGGTCCCGAAGGATGACTTCTCCTCTGGATCCCGCTCAGTTTCCACCCGCTGGTGTATGCCCCAGGTAACACGCTGGTGATACCGAATAATGCCCTGCAGCTGGACTTGAGTCATATCGCGCATGACAAATCATGGCACAAGTGTCGGGAACAGTAATAGGTTGCGTTGCCTTAGTATCTTTCAGTTGAACTTTGGGCATGTACTTATGTCGACTGAAGATCTATGCGCATTCTACAGATTTCACACAATACATGTTTACCTTCTTGCACTTTGCTCGTTCCGTTCTGCTACTTAGTGGCCTCGCTCTCACAAAACAGTTTAGGACTGCACAATGATTTCACTCACTACATTTACATGCTCACCTCCTGTCGCCACTATGCTCTCTAGAATTGCTTCCTAGTTTACTTCCTGCAGGATAAAGTGTGCGAGCCAGAACTCAATGTGGCCTTGAATCATCGTTACTCAACTAGGGTCACTCTCCATTGCATCTCTATCTAAACAGACGGCTCGCCGCAATTGACTTCTTCAACCTTGAAGTGGTGTGCAACCGCATGGACTGTGACGCCATCCAAATATCCGGACAGCTCTCAACGAAATCAATTTACAGGCAGCTCAAGTATAAGCAGCTGCTAGTCTGCAATCAGCCTCTCCCAAGCATCTTACGATGCACATTCACCAGGAGAAATGAGAGAATGAATGGTAGGTGATGGTGATTGGAGGACGTGAGGCAGAGAGGAGGCTATGTGTGGAAGCTGGATTGGAGAGGGATGGTTTTGGACGTCGACTAGTGCTTAGAGATTCATTCCTGTAATGCTATATGTTAAGACAGGGTATAGAGCCACAAGATGAGACCAATCGCCGTCACACATACCTTTGAAATAAACAGGCTCTCCGTCGTGATATCTGGCGGTGCCTGCCTCAGGAGGATTTTGGTTTGCAAGATTAGCGGGGTAGTAACACGTTATTATCAAGTTGGCTCGATAAATTACTAGGGCACAGTGGGATGCATATTCGATTGGTCTGAGGGCACGCTGTTACAGATCTAAATCACATAGAGGGTAAAAGTTCAGAAGGAAAAGCGCGACGGGAGCGACTCGCCCTTGCTCCTATAACGCGAACTATACTCGTCACTAGGGAAGTATCATCAGCCTCTGTGCACTTTGAATGGGAGAAATAGTGAAAGATTACTTACATAGTACGTTGTCATACTACACAATGGCACTGCGAGAACATTGGTTATATGGAGGTGTCAAGCCATTCACTGGGGAACTCATCCCCAAGATTCTCGTGTCCTCGTTTCCACTACTGAACAGAGAATGCCATATGCAGATAGAAGAAAGAGTGAAATGAGCCCCTGCTGGCTATTGGTGAGTCGTAAGCCCGTGAGGCAGGAACAGTCCGCCTTGTGTGCAATGTTCAGATGCTTCTTGGACCAGAAGGTAGTCCTAGTTAGAAGATGAAGTAATAAGGGTCGGAATCCATCAGTTGAGAGTAAAATCACACCTACACGAAGTGGTGGCACTAAGAACGCAGACAGTACCTGATGGTACCACGATAGTATTGGGCTAGACGGATGTTGCGTTGTCACTGATGTCCGAATCTACATTTTTCGGGACGGAGGACGATCCCTGGATGATGACTCGATGGGAAAAATGACCATGCGACTGATGGTGAGATGGGGGGGAGGCTTCGTACAGGTGGAAGATGGTTTTTCTTGCGAGTGGAGTCGAGAGCATGTGTTTTACAAGGACACGTCAGTTGTGAAAACGGAAGAGGGAAACACATGCATTTCGACAGCGCATTGAAGTAAATGCGAACGCGAAAGAGATGAAGCGCCGCCATCATAATCACACAAAGACCACGGGTGCCAACACGACAGCCTCACCTATCGATCTCATCTATGCATCCATATATGTAACTTCCACGGGAGAATGAGCGGAGGCTTCGAGTATTGCAAGTTAGTATATCAGCGTTACAGGTGAACGTCGAGAGAGTGAGTCTACTATTAGACTCACGCTGAGCTATACTTGGACGTCGATCATTCATTTTGCAAAGCATGATCGTAGCCTTTGCCAGCAGTGTCACTGCTTCACTTGAAGCATTCGTTCAGTCCTCCCAAAGTGGACCTTCTTTCTTGTTATAAACTTGCAGGCGGTGATGTGTATAGCATGGGGCCAGGTCAAGCCGGACCATAGAAACATCGCGTTTTATCCACACGCCTAGAGTTTTATATTTTTTCTTCGGGAAGAAACAGCAGCCTACCACAGGGAATCATAGACACGCTTGTCATCTAAGTCTCAACTGTCTGTGTCTTCATGTCTACGATATGGTCAAATGGATCGAGATTAATGCCGGTGGGTCACCGTGAGTGGCAGTCGGTTCGGGTTCTTCTGTATGCCGTAGGTTACCTTCACATTAATGAAGGCGCCCAGCTGATTGACATGGGTCTGGATCATGATCCATGAAATGTCATTTGGCCCTGATTATAGTCAGTGGGCTTCTCTTTAGCATTGCCTCGACATATCTTCCGAATCAAATTTTCTCAGAACGCCTTATATAAACGCCGCTGAGAGCTGAATCCTCATGTTTGTGGGCAAGAAACGAACGGCTCTGTTTGCCCGTACGATGAAGCCGTGACATTGAGCTTTGGAAAGTCGCGAAGACGTCGACCAGCGCCAGACACGGCCAGTGATCCGGGTATGTTGAACTTCCGAAGGGGTGTTATTTTTGGACATGTATGCAGTTTATTTCTCGGGTAACTGGCAGCTCGTCAATTGGAGTAATAAAATGGGAGAATAAAATAAGAATTGAGTGGGCTAGACCTGGCTAGACAGATACACTCCAACAGCTGAGAAGGCCTTCGGTTGCTATTTCCAAAATGTCACACACCTGTCAGACGAAGTTGCTAACTCTGCGCATGAACATGGCTGGTCGATTCTAAAATGACGTTGCCAATGTCGGCTTGACCTTATGGCCGTCTGGTCTGGTCCATTCTAAAATGACGTTGTCGATGTCGGCTTGACCTCACTGCTGTCCTCTCGTAAATGCGGACCCTTGATCCATCACTGCATCGGTTAAACCTCCATATTGGAGACGCTCTGCGCCTTGTGACTTGTCAGAGTGTCTTCATTCCAATCCTCGTTGAATAGAACCAAGTTACAAGGTTTAGCAATACTACAAGGGAAGGTAGCTAAACTCGGGCCCTATACAGCGAGGATTAGAACAAGGTACTTGCCACAAAGTGTCGAACGTCTCCCATGCGAACCGACGCGGTGATAGCCAAATCAGAAAAAAATTAGGATCCGCGTAAGTAATTCATGGGAGGACAGAGGAAGCCGGCCGTAAGGCCAAGTCGACATTGACGACATTTTAGAATTGACCAGACCTTCAAGCATAGCAGTGAGCCTATAACCACGCGGGAAAGAAGCATCTTGCCTTGAGAAATGTTGGTGATTGATTGAATTCTTGCCCTGGCAGGTTCACAAGCTGGACGCATGTGCCTATGAACCTGCATATCCGCTTACGATAAGAGCCCCTGATGTTCAGTGCCTAACGAACACCGAGACAGCATAAAAACGGACAGCGGACACACCTCTGCAAGTCAGTGCAAGACACCCGCAATCCCTCTGCTAAGCCCTACTCAACTATAATCAACCTCTAGTGAAATGTCATCACATACTCTGGTGTCGCCACCCACTGCTCTAGTCACGGCAGAGCAAACCGCGCTCGACACTATCGTGACCTCCACACAGCACGTCATACAGAAACGCGTCATAGAATATGTCAAAGAACACGTTACAGAGGTGTCCCAGACGTTTGAAGGTCATCACGAGTCCATCTCCGTGGTCGCAGTGTTGCCCAACACGCAGCGTATGGTCACCAGTTCGAAGGACAAGACACTTTGTTTGTCGGATTTGACGACGAAGAAGGTATTGAAACGTCTGGTGGGGCATCAGAGTGATGTGACTGGATTGGCGGTATCACGAAACGGGAAATTCATAGCAAGCTGTGATATTACTGGAGGAATCATTCCCTGGAGCGGAGAAGGTGTTTGTCTCATCAATGATGCCCGGGGAGCCGGGTTCACTAAAACCAAGTCCGCTACCCATAACGGGACCACTGCCAAAAACGAAACCACTGCCCAATCCGTCGCTCTTCAACTCATCACGGCCCACCACTCCAGTGAGGTCTATATATCACTGGACTTCTCTGCAGATGGAAACACTTTGGCGAGTGCGGGTAACCATTCAGTGAAGTTTTGGTGCACAGCTACGTGGGAGGAAAATCAAGATGCAATCCATCTTGATGCAGTTGTCCACTGCGTTCGGTATTCGTCATCTGGCGAACATCTCGCCATCGCGACAGAGAACAATATCTGTATTTATAATACAGCGACTAGGCAGCGCATCAAAACGCTCAAGGGCCACTCGGGTGGCACCTGCGCACTCACATGGACGCTCCAGGGACCATACCTTCTCTCAGGAGGCGGTAAACGCGATCCTACCGTTCGGGTGTGGGAAGTATTGAAGGGGGACGAGATCGAAGCCTTCCGTGGTCACACTGACAAGATCAGCACCATTTCTGTCAATGATTCCAACACCGTCATCACTTCCGCATCTTCTGACGGCAGTATCCGCCTCTGGCCGTTCCCGAAATCCAACGTACTCGATGTCGCCGCCGGCGCGTTTTGCGTCACATTCTTCAGCGGAGGAAATGATCATAAGATATCACAGTGGGTGCTACCCTCGACGGGTCTGGTGTCGGTATGTTCTCATTGATTTCTCATGATTTCGTCGTCTCATCTCGCGGATTTTAGACAAAGACTCAAACGAAAGTTACTCACTGGCACAAGGTATGTTCTTGTTATTGACTCTCATAACACAACTCGAGCATTCCACAGACCTATACCCTCACCCTCACCATGGATGAGACTGCCTACACAATAATCACCACGTGGGGGAAGTTGTCTACGGTTTTGGAGATATTCACACGATACATCAAGGCAGATGCCAGCAACTACGTCTGCTTTGCGCACCGTTCGATTATTTATACACGCATGGGTGATTGGGAGTCCGCGCTTAAAGATGCAATTCGGGTGAGTTATACCGACGATTACTGAATCCCTTTAAGATATACTAACTTGGATCGTGACATAGTCCATTAGCATTCAAAAGTCGTTGATAGGCTATATGGCCAAGGCCATCGCCCACTACGGATTGAGGCAGATTCGGGAAGCGAATATTGCATTTGATCTCGCGTTGAGGTTCGCAGCTGGAGATTCAGCAACCCATCATCTTCTTGTTCTGATCAGGGTAGGTTACATTTTTTTCTTACATGCTCTGTGCTTCATTACGATTTTCAGGCTATTGCGATATTCAATACACATGCACACGATGAAGCAATCATGTATGTTAATGATATGGCCGAGGTTTCTCACGATGCCGATCTTCTTATTTGTCAAGTCGTGCAAGTGAGCATCAATTCCGGTTCGTGTTCTGAATCTGAGACTGATCGTTCTGCGCTTCGCGCATCAGGTATACTTCTACGCTGAAATGGCACTCGCCGCCTCGAAGAGCAACAATCGCGAGAAAGCCATCGAGTACATCAATGCCGCCATCGAAATCTCTAATAGCTGTTTCCTCCAAACAATGGACTTTTCTATCTACAAGGAATTCATCGTGGTACATTGATACAACATACGACTTAACATGATGTGGGAACTCAACCGTGCTCTTTTGCAGCTTTTCGGGTGGAACCTGAAGTCGTTGTGGCGGACCGTAAGGAAGTATAAGTGTCTTATACTCGCCCGGACGTGCAACATCGAAGCACTCGAGTACTACCTGTCACTAATCGAAGATTCCGACAAAGCTCAGAAGGCCAGCTTGCGTGCTTGGTTCGCCGGTGAGTCTTTTCAGTCATGTCAACCATGCTGCCGTCCTCAACTATCTTTCATTTAGAATTCAAACATGCGGGGTGTATGTCTTCGGCCTCGAAGCAAGTGGTGGTGGCGCGTTGAAAATACAGAGGTCTTTTATGCGGTTATCTAAAATATTTATTGCGTCCCTTTGTACCTGCGTCGTGTACTGGCTCATAACATGAATGCGGATCAAAGATTCTTCAATACTTACACACCACGAGTCCTTCCTCATTACCCACTATGAATGCCTTTTGTGCACATGACGATGATCATGTTTTCTCAGCTCGTCTTCGTCACCGTCGATCAGTCGAAGCAAAGCATCCGATACTTTTTTTTTAAAATAAATTCTAATTTTATGTCTATTGAGAGTGAGGTTCTATGCAGGACAGTACTGACCAGTCTCGGAGCCCCATGCTTCGGTCCGATACTTTCGATAGAGTAAACTCCTTTCAGTTGCACGGCAATTGTATAGTAACGGAGTATTCAGTGACTCGCACATGGAAACATTCAACATCTTCCGTACCCCAAAACATGTTGGCATTGCACTCATACAGGGTATACATGCATGCTAATGCACTACGTCATCAAATGTCCATTTCCCCTTACGCTACACCGTGGCGCAAGCCAGCTTGACAACAGCGCAAAGCCAGCAGTTGCATCAGTAACTGAGCACCTCCATAATCCCATCCATAATCTCAACCGCATCCAGCATATTAAACTTCTCAAACTGCAGCCCAGCTGGGACACTATAATAATAATGAATGTCATCAGAACCCGAGGAAGGGGGGAGGAGAACAAAAAAAGGATATAAAAACGACATTTACTTCCACCCCGTAATCCTCCTCACAGGCCAACCTCAAAAAAGCCCTCTTCCCAACCTCGGCAACGATTTCTCCTCCAATACCGCCCGTCATACCAGCCTCGCGTCCGATCACGAGCCTCTTCATCCTGCGTACGCTCTCGACGACCGTTTCTATATCCCATGGCAATATCGTTCACAAATCGATGAGCTCGACTTTGGCGTTGCGAAGGGAGGGAGGGACGAGTGGTGCGAATGATGGAGGTAGTGAGTTGAGGAGACGGAGGGCGCATTCGCAGTGGTAGACAGATGCGCCCCATGTTAAACGTTAGATCAGATCCTGGGATGAAGATTTCAGCGCGGGAGAGGGTGAGGGCGAAGTCGTCGATTGGGACTTTTCGACTGTGGGTAGAATTAATACATGCGTACAAGGAAGTAGGAAAGGGGAACATACCTGCAGAACGATAGAGGACTTTGGGCTCTATGAATATATTATATGACTGGATTTGGATGGCGGATGGCTGAGAGGAGGAGGCCTTTGCATTAGATTAGGGAACGGGGGATTACGACCTAGTGGTACGTGAGTTCATTCAGAGATTTCGTCGTGGAATCAGTAGTACGATGGGATAGGACACACCTTGAGACCAGATGCGCCCATGAAGAACCTTTCAGGGCTCTGTGAATGGTATAACCCACGGCCATTGTTGGTGTACGCACGGTTAGCCCGCCAATAGAGAAATGTCCACCTGAATGGTAGCGAAACTTTGCGGCATCGTTCACGAGCTAAGTTGAAGGTCAACCTCGAAGTTTAAGATTTGGATGAAGTGAAATGAACCTGGTCAAATGCGGGGAATATATAGTCAGCGAACTGGATTTCTGTAATTGCAGTATGCCCCATGAACGCGAGGCCAATTCCAAAGCCTACAATACCTTGCTCTGTCAATGGGGTATTGAAGACGCGTTCGCGACCTGCAGTACGATCGGTTGTGCATATGACGTGGTGTATGATTAAAACGTACCGAATTCTTCTGCTAAGCCCTGTTCAATGCGCGAGGATAAATGACGGATGAAGACATGGTAATGCATACCATGGTACACCTGAACACCCCGCCAAATGCTATGTCCTCACCAAATACGACGGCACTATCATCCTTTGCAAGTGCAATACTGATGCCGTCGTCACACCTTCTGTGTAGAGAAAAATGGGTTACCTGAGGGCATCTCGCACAGCCTGGTAGAGGTTCGTCTTGCGTGTCGCGGCCGCCAACTGATGTTACGATCAGGTTCCTCAGTTTGCCATGATATTCCTGGAGTTCTGAGAGCAGATTCTCGTGTCATGGGAAGAAGTTGAGAAGATGCGACCGATGAGGAGTGACCGCCCGCAGATGGGGGCTCGATGGCAGTGTTGATCGCTGTCGTCTGCCATTGATGGGACTGGTTCTAGATGAGTGATACCGGTCCCGCCGGAAGTTGAAAGAGAGGCTTATGAGTATACGAAATGTAAAGTGCAGACGACAGGAGTACTAGTATTGGAAACCCAACCCGTCAATACAGTACATAGTAGTATTTCTTTCGTTTTTCGTTTACATAACTCAGACTCTCGCTCAACACCAGCGGACTTACCATATTAGGTAGTTCCATGCAGGACACTTTCGCTATTCCGTTTTCCCCTAGTCTCTTACATTCGACTGGGAGGAAGTCATATCTCAGTATGCCTACTACATTCCTTACTGATGGACTATAGAACTTACTAGAGTTTGTTCTATCTAGCCCAGCGCTCGTCTTCTATCAGGGAGAGCCGCATTAGCAGCAAGGAGTAAACAAGATGGGCTGTAGTTCCGTGCGTAGGTTCCACGTTCAACGTTCAGTTGCTGTGCAGATATCACCGGGACCATCGCTGTCCGCTCTCCCATCTCGAGAGAACGACATACAGCCACTTGTGTTATTCTCTCTAGAAAGGTCATCGAACTCGTGGTGGGCCAAGTGAAATTGACGCGGAGACGCGCACAATACCTCCAGCTAGTAAGTCGCAAGCCAGTAGCCAAATGATCTGATGTGTTAGGGCGAAAGCGCGATAAAAGAACTCTGTTGTGTTAACGCCGTTGAGAAGCTTCCAGTTGAAGCATGTGCGAACAACAATCGAATTGCATGTGTCTTCAAATATTCAGTACATCGGTGGTGATATCTACTCTAACGTAAAGGTTCGGAAAGGACAGAAAGCCTAGCGGGAGCTGGAAGCAGACGAACTTGTTTGTCTAACGCGTGAAAGACGTGGGAACCACCTTGTGAGAACTGCAAAACAGCCGATGCTCTGGAACATGTTCAACGTCCAATAGGAAAGGAATCTGTTACTAGTAGCTGGTACTTCTGATCTGCAACATTGCTGGTGTGGCTCTGTCAATCACATTGGATGTCCCTGTTGGTGGCGTACTGCTGCTTGAGGCACTAGCATGGGCTTGCCGGCGAGGAGGACGTCGTGGCTGCGCCAACTTACTCCTTTTTTCCGCTGGGGGCACTGGAGGTGCGCTACGAGACAATATCAGCGTTGCGATATGGATATCGAAAGGTTAGGAAAACTTACATATTTGCCTCGTGTCGCAAAGACGTCCACAGGGGAATCCTGCGTGGGCGAGGAGTATAGTTCTGGGGAGCAGAGGAGCGAGAAAAGAGACGATTCATCATGTTCTTCATTCCAGACCTTTCGGCATGGCGAGTGGTGGTAGCAGTGCAGTTGTTGGGTCCAGGTGGTGAACGTGGATATCGATCAACTGTCAAAGGATGGTGAGACGTGTACCGACACTACTAGTATGGCACTGTACCATATGCAACTCTCGCGGAAGAACTCCTGATCATTGCCTTCGACGCTTGGCATACTGGCAATGTCGTATACACAGCGGAGCTGTTGGAATGTAGCTCAAATCCTAGTATAACAATGTAGACAGCTGCCAACAATAGCGAAGTTCGAAGAAGCGCCCACAAGTGAGTCACATTTCGACTGGCACATTCGTGCTAGTGTTTGCTTAGCTCACCTTTCCCATAATTAATTTGCAGTAACACAGCACACTGAACACTTGCGACAACTTGCAACTTTACTACTGCTCTTGTTCTCTCATGAGAGGTCGACGCAGCTTGTTGTATTGCAAGTTGCCTAGTACGCAATCGGCGATGCAGGTCTTAGGAAGGTATGATCAATGATCTATCACCCTAGTTGGCCGCCTTGACATGTCAGTGAGTCTGAGATCCCTGCCAGTGCGTGCAGTTGTTGTTCGCATTTATGACAACGCAGCAGCATGTAATTTGCAGTGTTGTCTTGCAGCTTACGACTGGGGCCGACAGGACCGACTCGATGCCGATTACTGAGGGGACTCTGACCGGACATCATTGGTTTACTTCCACCTGAAGATTTTCGTCCATAATGAAGTAATGACTTCCAGCCAAGGATTCAAGATTTCGATTAAAAACGGCTTCGAAGGTCATCTGAGCATTATACCTGTTCCTTTCAAGAACGGGCGTACATCATACCCTCCCCTGGGACAGTCTCTGCATTAGGTAAGTTATCTGTCATTTGTATGCATAATCACTGTCCATGTGACAAAGCGGATACTCTCCTAGCCCGCTGTCAACTGCACAAATCGAACAATCAACATGTATATCCCTGACAAGATAGCTGTCATCATGTCATCAGGTGTTTACCATTACGGGGATGGACCCTGAGAGACCCCCTGGGTTTTTCTATACGCACATTCAATCGCCATCAAGGTTTTGCTGTCGCCCAGTCGGTGATTAATGCACCTCCTACTGCCTAGCCCCTTTAGCACGAGACGCTCTTGCAGGGTCAAATTTAATATTGGTCTTATAATCCGTAAGCCTAACATTTGCTGGTGCATAGCGTTTTACTCCCATTTACTTCCATGTCAATAAAGTCCGTAATCCATAATACGACCCCGACGAACGAGAAAGAAGATGATTTGGAAGAGTTAGGACATATGCCAGCACCTAATGGCCAAACAGCTTGTTCAGAATCAGGCCCTCCGGATGGCGGGGTTCGGGCCTGGAGGACTGTTTTTGGGTGGTAAGCTGTGTCTCAACCCACACACTGTGCCTAACAATCACAACGATGCCTAGTTTCCTCATGCAATTTTGTGGTTTTGGGTAGGTTCTAGCTCCGTTTGTCCGAGACATATATCAGTCAATGGCACTTGAGCAGATACATATCGTCTTTTGGAGTTTATCAAGGTACGCAACAGTCGCATGAGTATTTTTATCCAAAGTTGATAAATGACCTCGGAAGATTATTACACACGAACTTATCTGACCAACTATCCGCCATCTGCAATATCGTAAGTAAATATGCTTTTACTCTGCAGTGCTTGGTCTTAGTCAGTCTCAGATGGATTGGTGCATTGACTTCGTTCCTCGTAGTCAATGTCACGTTGATCTCAGGTCCGCTGTACGACCGAGGGTGGTTGTAAGTTGCCATATATTTATACAGTCAGTCGTTAACTTCTGCACAAATTACTGATAGCTATCGATTGATAATTGTGGGGTCGCTGGTCCAATCACTATCCTTGTTCGCTTTGTCCTTTGCAAAGCCTGGTCAGTTTTACTTGGTGAGCAGCACGGCTAATCTTGTCGTCGATGGGCTACCTATATGTGGCGACTAGATTTTCATGGTTCAGGGTGTCCTTTCTGGGATTGGGATGGGTCTAACGTATGGTCCCTGCATGGCAGTCGTCTCCCAGCACTTTTCCAAAAGACGCACGTTGGCGATGTCTCTCGTCGCGTCCGGTTCTCCACTGGGTGCCGTGATTCATCCGATCATGCTGAATCATCTTTTGAATGGTACCGTTGGCTTTGCAAGAGGTGTTCGCGCCAGTGCAGGTCTTGTCAGTGCTCTGTTATTGATCGCCTGTTCATTCATGCGTGCACGAGAACTGCCGGCACCGACTGTCAGTTATATGGTAGTGGTCCGAAAATGCTCTCACGAGGTTCTCTTCATCCTCATGACCGTTGGGTATGTTATATCTGGCATACGCCAAAAGGATTCACGGTATTGATAGTTGATCATGCCCAGGGCAACACTATTTCAGATTGGGTTTTACTTCCCTATATTTTACTTGCAACTGGACTCTGCGAAACATGATATCGACATCAAATTCTCGTTCTACTCCGTACGCCGAGGGTTATTCTCTTTATTGTTGACTCTTGACTCGCTTTAGCTTGTGATAATGAATGCAGCCTGTTTTATCGGACGCTGCACGACAGGAATCATTGCAGCGTATACGGGGGTGTTGAACCTCATCATCGCATCCACCATCGCATGCAGTACCATCATAATATCCATGATAGCTTTGAGTGATGTGGCCAGCGTAGTTGTGCTAGGACTTGCATATGGCTACTTTTCTGGTGTTTGTACGTGTCACACTGCAGCTTGTGTAATTCCCAGCGCTGACTTTCCAAGATATCGCGCTGATAGTCCCATTGGTAACTGTGTTCACACCAGATTTGTCTGAGCTAGGGTTGGCTTCTCTTACATCTGCATTCCGGTGACGTTGACCCTCCTCATATGTAGAGCGCGAATGGGCATATGTTTTACATTTACTGGTATGTATCATCCAGCTCTGTCTCGAAACTTCTGACAGTGCGCGAATGGTCAGCTTTTGGTGGATTACTCGGTGAGTAGTGACTTCTGGTCTTTATCCGCCATATCCATCATTGAACCAATATTTTCAGGCGGTCCAATATCAGGCGCTTTGCTTGGTTCTCAATATAGGTGGTGGATACCGTCGCTCTTCAGCGGAGTGAGTAGTTCACGTTCCTGTACTTGCGCAAGCCCTGTGCTAAAATTTGCATCTAGCTCATCTCCCTCGTCGGAAGTTCGATATTCGTAGTGATGCGCCTGATGATATACCACCGAGGAATAAACGGACCCCATCCGTAGCTGGAGGGAATACGTGGATTGTTCCGCTGGATTCTATCGAGGCTGGTATTCACTCGTGCTGGATTACATATGACGTCTTGGAAATATGTGTAGTGTGGATTGTTCGTGTATTGAACGTGTGTCTAGAAGTATAAGCATTCTTGGACTGATCTATGCCGTAGCAGCGTGCGGGCACCATTCCCGGCTTCAAATCGAACGAACAACAGACAACGTAAAGTCTCTAATTCGCAGACGCCTCCACGGCAATGAAATCATCGACAACCGACGGGCTCTACTTTTACATCAAGATAAACTTTAAACTAGATTTAAATCATCATTTAAATCTACTCCAGTGTCCACGACCATTGGTCCCTCGTATTAACGAAGATCAAGCGCCCCTTGCAAATTCTGATCTCGAATGATCTTAGAACAAAGCAATGCGACAGGGTCAAATTGGTCAAGAGGCAAAATGAACGGCGAGCAGCAAAGCCGAATATTACACACCACACTCGGACCGATAACTTTCGCTTCCTTAGGTAACTTGTCAGTCAGTGTTCACTCCTAGTGCGGCCTATCATCCGTATGCGTAAACCAGTGGAACAGATATGACGCGCAACGCCACGCACGTCGAGCAAGGTTTATTATGTCAGCGAGTATCGCTGGCGTAGTGGCCTAAAACGGAAAGAAGTTTTGGAATTCGAAAGTCTGTTGCCTCCCAATAGATTAAGGTTTCGAGTAGGGCAAGCGAAATGCATGTCTCCCTAACGTGGCAATATAATAACACTTTTCAAGCCTGCGGAACGCCGCTTGCGTAGTCATCCTTGTTTCCTTCAAGTCCACTGTCAACCTTGCAAGCCGAACAGCTGACTATTTAAATTTTCCTAACGAGGCAACCGTTATCAGGTATCCATCCTCCAATCGCAAGGGCACGCACCCTATGGGACCCTGCAGCCTAAGATTCTTATATATGTAATGCATTCATCGAGATGACTCGCTGACGGGCCTGTTAGCGACGTCACGGCAATGTCTGGCAGCCCCTTTAGTATGAGGTTGCGCGGCATCCTTGCAGGGTCAAGGGTATTACCAGCAGCTGCGAACAGCTACAGCATCCAAGCGCACGTCGTTGAGTAGACCACATATTTTGAACGCACTGCAGGCTGTAGATAACCATATCGGAGAATAGATTCCTGTAGGAAAACAGATTAGCAACAGGTATCGAGCAAACGAAAGTTCTCACCAGGGGGATATCGCCACCAAGACCCTTCCAGTGCTTTCTATGTGGTATTCTTCTACCATCGCCCATATTCAGAAAGAGTACATAAATGGTGCGTGGATAACTAGTACCTGACTTTTGGCTCTAGGCACACCAGATTATGGGGATAGATTCATTATAGCGGCCAAAAGTTGTTCCGGCAATTTCTCATACCATATACAGACCTATAATAAATATGTAATTGGCGCGCTTGAGAAGACGTCAATTGAGAGACGATATGCTCAAATTGCGAACGCATAGGATCGAAACGTGGTGTCGTTGTCCTCGGAAAATATACTGTGAAGTGATTGACGGTGTGCACATAGACATGGCGATCATCGATGGTATAGGTAAAAAGGCAGGAGGGATACGTGACTGTAGTAATAGTCGGAGGCATGCATCAATAACGGCTGTTGGTTCTAAAGGGCAATGAGAACCCAAGATCAAAATACAAGCCAGAGCTTACAGGTCTAGTGAAACAGATCGGAGAACTACTCCGCCTAAAACGAATAAGAGCAAGGACATCATGTGTGTGTAGTAAGTGCTCACCGAAATTAAGCAGGAAAGCAGCAATAGTGCAATTCTTATCCGCCTATCACTTCTTGCAAGATTGAATGTCCTACACGATGTTTGGGAGATGAATCGTCTGGAAGAATCTGGTGGACCAGGTCGAAAACAGAGCGCCAAGTTACCGATGTAGGAGCCTCGCAGCAGGAGTTCACGAGCATGAGGGAGGTGTCGATACCGCAATATTCCATCTCGGAGTAGACTCGTCTGAATCGTGACACGGCCATTGAATAATTACCTCTTCGGTCTTCCCTCATTCTCTTTCTCAGCTGAATTCCCGGCATCGTCAAATCAATTTGGCCGCGAAGTGTGACAGAGGTTCCATAGGCGACTTGTATAGGGTGTGCGACGTAGAGCTATCCAATACGCTGCGGTAAACTCCGAAGCCGAATTTGAAAGGTGATCATCGAAGTCGACTCAGCCCAGAGTGCAGCAGCCCACGACAAAGCTCCGATTCAAATCAACACGGTGCGATCAGCTTGTCCTTCCGATAATTTTACTGGAAGTTGAGCGTTCTGCATATGCGTTTACACAGGACGTACGAGGACCCTTTGTGAGAGGGCTCATTCAACTGCCTTGTCACAATTGACATGCGCCGACATGCAGCCAATCACAGGGTCAGATGCGACCCCAGATTTACTAAATCAGGACGGTAGCAGTATTTTCAAATTTTCCCGCTACCGCGTCTTGTAAATTTCGTTTTCTACTATATTTTACTTTGTCTGCAATTGGTCAAAATTTGGCAGCAGTGGGCTCTGAATAGCGGTTTTCGAATAGACTCGTATATCACTCTGGACAGACTGGTCGCACCAGCAGACCTTAAACAAGGAAGACAACCTCAGAAGTTCAATGGTCCCTCTACCTCCCATCAATTTCAATGCTCGAACCAATGCTACGCTGACCACATAAATTACTTTTGCGCACACAGAAAATCTCGAAACACAGGAAAGATAAGCCGAATATATCATATTATTTCATATCCGTCGATATCTCCAGTGACGACAATGAAGACCCATGCGGTGTTAGCCACGAATCAGTATTTGCCTCAGGTCACCGGGTACCTGAGGGCCAGGGGCTTTAGTACACCTGGAACACGAAGACAGTCAGCCATTAGCTCCATCTGGCCCTGTCATTCCGGTTGGGGACTTCGTTGACGGCAAGACGAGCTTGACTTATAATCTCCAGGCCCTGCGTTCGCTGTCATACTGTTTTACTCGCCAATCAGTTCCTTCGATGTCTGTGGCTCAGCCCAGAATTCGTGATGCGCTTGTGGCGCACGAGAAGTCAAATGCTCTGGAAGAGCTGGGACATGTGCATTCATCGAATTCCTCGCCAGTTTTTTCGGAATCTGACCCTCCAGATGGCGGATTTTGGGCATGGGCAACTGCTTTCGGGTGGTAAATTGTTTCTCAAACGATGCCCGCGAGTTGCATATCTCATATTCACAATGGCAGTTTTTTGATACAGTTTTGTGGTTTTGGGTTCGTTCTGACAATGTTCCTTAGAGAGACGATATTTTACAGCACTTTGACAGATACGTATCGTCTTTTGGAGTGTATCAAGGTGCGCAGCGTTGGAATGATTGATTGTATGCATGGTTGACGAAAGAACTAAGATTTTTACACGCGAATTTACCTGGCCAACCAACCACCATCTGCAATATCGTAAGTAAATGCACTTATACTCTGGTGCCTGTTGTCTCAGTCGCTGTCAGGTGGATTGGTGCATTGACCTCGTTCCTGGCAGATAATGTCACCTTGATCTCAGGACCGCTGTACGACAGAGGATGGTTGTAAGTTGCCACATGTTGGTAGTAGCTTTTTTCGCACTAATTTTTTATAGTTACCAATTGATGATTGTGGGGTCGGCCCTCCAATCACTATCCTTGTTCGCTCTGTCCTTTGCAAAGCCTGGCCAGTTTTACTTGGTGAGCAGCACAGCTAATCTTGTCGTCGATGGTCTACCTATATGTGGCGACTAGATTTTGATGGTTCAAGGTGTCTTTTCTGGGTTTGGGATGGGCCTAACGTATGGTCCCTGCATGGCAGTCATCTCTCAGCACTTCTCCAAAAGACGCACGTTGGTAATGTCTCTCGTCGCAGTCCGGTTCACCAATGGGTGCCGTTATTCATCCGATCATGCTGAATCACCTTTTGAATGGCACTGTTGGCTTTGTGCGAGGTGTCCGTGCCAGTGCAGGTTTTGTTAGTGCCCTTTTACTAATCGCCTGCTTATCCATGCGCACGAGAGCACTATCAACATCGAAACCGACCATCAGCTATAGTACAGCTGTGCGAAAATGCTTTCGCGATGTTTTCTTCATCCTCATAATTGCCGGGTATGTCACCTTTGGCGCTTGCGCAAGTTCCATTCAAAGTATTTACAGCTGACCGTGCCTAGGGCAACAATATTTCAGATTGGGTATTACTTCCCTATATTTTACCTGCAACTCGACTCTATCAAACATGGAATTGACGTCCATTTCTCGTTCTATTCCGTATGTCTGATATTTTCTTCGTCGCCGTCCACTTCCAACGCGATTTAGCTTGTAATCATGAATGCTGCCTGTGTCATTGGCCGTTGCACGGCAGGAATGATTGCAGTGTATACGGGGGTATTGAACTTCACGATCGTATCCACTGTCGCATGCAGTGCTATCATAATGTCCATGATAGCTCTGAGTGACGTGGTCAGTGTGGTTATGTTAGGACTTGTGTACGGCTACTTTTCTGGTGCTTGTATGTGTTGCACTGCAGCTTGTGTAATTCCTGGCGCTGACTTTCCAAGATGTCGCGCTGATGGTACCGTTGGTGACTATGTTCACGCCTGACTTGTCCGAGCTAGGGTTAGCTTCTTCTACGTGTATAGTCTGGCGATGTTGACCCTCATACGCAGAGCGCGATTTGGGATATGTTTTGCCTTCACCGGTGTGTAGCATCCAGCTCTGTCTCAAAATTCTTGACAGTGCGCGAATGGTCAGCCTTTAGTGGATTACTCGGTGAGTATTTGCTTTCCGGTCTTTGTTTGCCATTGAACCAATATTTCAGGTGGCCCAATATCAGGAGCTTTGCTTTCTTCCCAGTATAGGTGGTGGTTAGCGTCGCTCTTCAGTGGGGTGAGTAGTTTTGCATTTTTCTTGCACTTGCGCAGCCCCATACTGAAACTTGTATCTACCGTAATAAGCTCATCTCATTTGTCGGAAGTTCCATGCTTGTAGTGACGCGCTTGATGATATACCGCAGACGGTAAATGTAAGACACTATAGCCACTCACAGTGCGCGGAAACTAGGCGAAGTTCCCGCGTGTTCTATGTACGCTTTTTTCGGGTCAGTATATATACTTGTCTGTTCTACATACTCATCCTTGTGCTGTTGGTGGCACCAGGATGGCATAATGTATACCTACGCGCAGTTTCAATATATTTATATGTTGCTGTATTTGCTACCAAACTGTTTCACTGACATCATACAACCATGAGGCAAAACACAAGCCAATCACCGCCACAGTTAGGGCAGTCACGTGAAAGTTTTACTGAAGCATTGAACGACGGCAGACTCTGCTCCCCTCCCTTCAAAGTGTTTTGAATTCTTTCTTTGCTGATACAGGTGCAAAATACTGATATGCAATCCATCAGCGAGCACGACGATGAAGTGCGTTTGAACTTTGTACATTCGAAAGTGATGTGCTCCATTGTGCTCACGAGTCATATCATGGTTGATGTCTTCCAACGATACTGGACCATTGCTGGGTGCTGCTACTGTCATATTATGAGGTCGGAGCAGATTTCTTTGTGTTATTCTCTAGAGCAGCGCGGTGCGAGAATGCGCACTTCTGTCGACCTTGATCACGGTGAATGGGACGGCCTACCAGTGCAGTGTTTAGATTTCTGATCTCGTAGCAAGATGCAGCATTGCCTTGCGCTTCCTTTCAGGTGAGTGCCTTCCTTATGAGTATGAATTGCCTACGAACGACTCAAGGGCAGGAAATATCCTAATACTGATATATTGAGGCGATGCTGGTGACTTCACCCCAAGGAAAATCTTATCGAGGGCGTGCTTGCGATTCAATTTCTACATAGATTGCTTATATTGCATGCTCGTATATCTCCTTGCGGTATTCAATGGGTAGATTTCCTCGCTTCAGCATTTACGTTCTCTTCATTATTTTTCTTCAGTAAGTTGTCAGCATTCACTCCTAGTACAACTGATCACCAGGTCACTCTTATGACAGGGCAAACATTGGATCTTATTTTCTCTAGATTTGCCGTCGGCCACACAAGCCGAACAATCGGCAATCTTCAAAATAGCTGTCATAATCCTGTCAGGTATCCATAATCACAGGGATGGACCCTGCAAGACCCTATGGATTCTTCTATGTGTGCATTGAGATCGCCGTCAACGACTTGTTAACGCCTGCCGGTGATGTAATGCAGGTCTTATCAGGTAACCCCTTTAGAATGAGGTTGCACGGCACTCTTGCAGGGTCACAATCAATATTGTCCTTATAATCCTGAATACCTGCATCTGCTAGTGTTCAACGCATTACTCGCCAATATTTCATTCGATGGCGGCTATGGCGGAGGCCTGGATTTCGCAATGAGCTCACGACGAACGAGAAGTTAGACGTTCTGGAAGAGCTGGGACGCAAGCAGTCTTCTGACCCCTCGATATTGTGTTCGGAATCTGACTCTTCAGATGGCGGACGTCTGGCATGGACAGCTGCTTTTGGATCGTAAGATGTTTTCGAATGGTATTCACAAGTTTTGCCTCTCACATTCGCTATGATGTTTAGATTTCTGATACAATTTTGTGGCCTCGGGTCGGTCCAAAATTTGTTCGATCGAGGCATCGGTTAATATTTCTCAAACAGATACGTTGCCTCTTTTGGAGTCTATCAAGGTAAGTACACAGCAGTGGCATGATACGTTGTGTACATGGTTGACAAACGAACTTGGAAGATTTTTACACACGAATTTATCTAGCCAACGAACCACCGTCTACAATATCGTACGTGAATGTACTTCTACTCTGATGTTTGTGATCTCAGTTAGCGCAACAGATGGATCGGTGCATTGAACGCGTTCCTCATACCCAGTTGCACCTTGATATCTGGTCTGCTGTACGACAGAGGGTGGTTGTAAGTTTCAACTTTTCATGACGTTCTTAGTCAGTTGTTTATCACGCTGATTGCCGATAGCTACCATTTGATGATCGTGGGGTCCTTGCTCCAATCACTGTCCTTGTTCGCGTTATCCTTCGCTGAGCCTGGTCAATTCTATATGGTGAGTAGCCCCGCTGATCTCATTGGTGGGCTACCTATATCTGTGACTAGATTTTCGTGGTTCAAGGTGTCCTTTCTGGGATTGGGATGGGCATAACGTATGGTCCCTCCATGGCGGTCATCTCTCGGCACTTCTCCAAAAGACGTACATTGGTGATGTCTCTCGTCGCGTCCGGTACACCAATGGGTGCTATTATTCATCCGATCATGCTGAATCACCTTTTGAATGGCACTGTTGGCTTTGCGAGAGGTGTCCGTACCAGTGCGGGTTTTGTTAGTGCCCTATTATTGGTCGCCTGCTTATCCATGCGCACGAGAGCACTGTCAACACCAACTACCAGCTACAGTGCAGTGGTACGAAAATGCTCTCGCGAGGTTCCCTTCATCCTCATGACTGCTGGGTAAGTTCTCTTTGGCATCCGCATAAACCAAGTCGAAGTCTTTGGAGCTGATTGCACCTAGGATCACGCTGTGCCAGATTGGCTTTTACTTCCCTGTATTCTACTTACAACTGGACTCTATCAAACATGGGATCGACGTCCAATTTTCGTTCTACTCCGTACGTTTTTTCTTTTTCTTTTTCTGCGTCGACTCTCAATCCGATTTAGCTTGTGATCTTGAATGCTGCTTGTGTCGTCGGGCGTTGCACAGCAGGAATAATTCCAGCGTATACAGGGTTGTTGAACTTGATAATCGTAGCCACTGCCGCATGCAGCATCCTCATCATATCCATGATAGCCCTGAGTGACATATCCAGTGTGGTTGTAATAGGCGTTGGATATGGCTACTTTTCTGGAATTTGTATGTTCACACTCCCGCTTGTGTAATTTCTGGCACTAACGATCCAAGATATCGCGGTGTTGGTCCCGCTAGTGACTATGTTGACGCCCGACCTGTCGGAGCTAGGGTTGGTTTTTTTCATTATACACTGTCTGGTCAATCGTGTTGAGCCTCCTATGCAGGGCGCGAATGGGCATATGCTTCGTCTTCACCGGTGCGTATCAGTCAGCTCTGTCGAGACTGCTGACAAACTGCGAATTTCAGCATTTGGTTCAATGCTCAGTGAGCAGTGTTTTGCCGTCTTTATTTCCCATTGAAGCAATGTTTTCAGGTGGTCCAATATCAGGTGCTTTACTTTCATCTCAATATAAGTGGTTGATACCATCGCTCTTCAGTGGGGTGAGTAGTTGCAATCGTTCTCGACCTTCCTTGTGCTGAAATTGTGTCCTGTGATCATAAGATCACCTGTCTCGTTGGCAGTTTGGTGTTTGTGGCGATGCGCTTGATAATATACCGGCCAAGATGACCAGAAAATACCTATAGCTTGGCGCGGAAACGAGGTGAACTGTTTGTTCTTCGAGGGCTTTTATTGGGGCCGGTATATACATGTACTGGAAGACAAGACTGAGGCCGGACAGGAGGCGGCACTATCTTGCGGTATGTGCGTGGTAAATGTATTGAAAGCATGTGTAGACATAGATATATATTTCAGGACTACCAATCTACTAATAAGTGGAGTACATATTGTACAATGTTGAACCGACCCTGGCATCAATCTTATCTTCATCAATCTTGTCTTACCCGCGGTCGGGCTTGGGATTCTAATAATTAACATTAGCCTGGCCGAGAATAACTTGAAATCTCTTTCGACCTCAAAAAATCCTAGGAATTCGGACAACCACACCAATCGGAGCAATTCCATGGTGCAACACTTTGACCATCGTTCGTCCGGCGAGTTACGTCACTAGACTCAGAATTCTCGCTGAGTGCATCGGTGCTATTCCTGTTAAGTACCATCTAAACAGCGGCTCTGAGACGGTCCTTTCAACCACGCTATTCATAGAGTAGCTGGACGAGTTCCGAGGAGTCTTCGTCTTCTGAACCTGTTTTATCAACTTCGGACGGGAAAACTCCCTCGAGTCATTGATGGTTCATCATCGAACGATTCTTATGCTACTGGTGGCTGGCCGGAGCTCCTGACGCGGCGAACGCAAGCGCCTATCTAGTATTGATCAACTTTCGGTAATATTGATGGGGTGGGAGACCTGACCATGGTGCCATGGCACTTTCTCGCGTTGTTCCGCCCTTGGATGCTACATAGACTCGGCGGAGCCACCATTCTACAAGCTTCACTCTTCTTCTCCGCTCATAGCCTTGCCTCGCGCTGTAACAGCCTGAGGGAAGGCTTGATGAGCGGAGGAGATTGATTATCTTTGGAAGCGGCGTTTCGAGTCACCGATCGAGCGCTCACTATATCGCGCGCTCAATTAGAAGGAACAACTCGAAGAGTACTGTCATCCTTTTATTGGTCTACTTCCAAGGAGACATCGAAGCATCCTGCTGTGCCTCCCAGGTTCGTCCTTCGAGCCACATTATCGTTCTTTTCAGCCACTGGCGAGCCTTCTTGCCTCGTGGCTGCTGGTGAGATCCGAGTCGCCGAGATAAATCATTGTGCGTACTGATGCTCCTCCTGCAGAGAGATCGGTGCACTCGACGCTCAAGGTTGGAAATATAAGTGGTACCAAGTACCAGACATATCGATATCCTCACCTCGTCAGCAACCCGAATACCAATATACGTTTACATCACTAGCCCATCAGCAGACACTATCGAATCATAATCAATCGATGTAACTGCCAGTCGGATGCCTCGGATGTGCTTATCAATCAACACATCCGAGTCATCGATACATCCAAATTCCAGGATAGGAACAAATAACAAAAAGACGACCAGGCGAGCCTAGCCTGAGCACTGCCAAGACTATCATAACCTGTAACCTGTGCTCGCACGTCAATCGATCCTTGGAACTCGTGCTCGCCAGGTGGCGCTAGAACTACGCCAGGTGATCATTACCCCCATGTCAGGTGGGTGAGGACGTACGTACGTCCCTGGGCCTGGGATGGGCGTATATAAGGGCTTGGTCGTCGTTGAATTAATCGCTATGTATCAGTATCCACTGTTGGATTCTTTGGTGTATTCTATTCTGTTCCCCACTTCCGTCTCTCATTCTGATCGGTCACTGCATGTTCGACAGCACTCCACATATGCCTCATCTCAATCTCACCCTATACAGCACCTCAACCTCACATCACAGTGTATCTCTCATCTCAGTCTCAAACTCAAACTCGTATGAAACTCCTTTTATTGTTATTGATACGACACAGATAATGCCAGTAGATATGACAATAGGTAGATACTCTGACTGACTTGGCTTTGGATCCGAGGAAAATATTAGTACATTTTGCGGTGGAGGATGGATGGGTAATCATAGGTGCTGTGGTGTGATATGAGCACCGGAGAGGAGGAAGGAAGCGTCTACCAATTGAGGTGGTGGGCGGATGAGTGGAATGGTGGACGGAGGAATGAAATGGTGGATGGATGGAAGTAAAATGGTGGATGGAGGAATTGAAATAGAGGGAGAGCTTCCAGTGGACGATGGACGGACGGAGTGGAATAGTGGGTAGATGCAAAGGCATCGGCTCGATGGGTTTCAACCCCCGGTGTCGCAATGCAGATATCAAAATAGTGTTAAATCACCGGGCCGGGCTGCCGCGATTGCGCGATGTGAGTGGCAGGTAGGTAACGCTAGAAGCACTGTTCGGGATAGAAATTCCGTGAGACCCCGGCGCTCGTATGGGATGAACTTGAAGAGGTGGGGGCGTTGTGATGTAGTCAAGAACGACAAGAAGACCCAATAAGGAGAAATAACACAGAAAACCATGGCAAGGCTATGAATGATACAATGTGCATGGAGGCAGGTGATAAGAGAGGGAAAAATCACATGAAAGAAAATCGTGCATGCATGAAGGGACATCAGTATAATCATGATGGAGCGGATGGGTCTGGATCTGCAGGGGTCTGCGATGTCGCCAGCTGAGACCATTCCCAATCTCGTAGGCACAATGAATCGCTGTCATATCTCCATATCGCGTTCCTCCCCACTAATCACATCGTCCTCGCGGATTTTTGCACCAACTTCCTCTTTCCTAGCACGCACGCGTCCCCGACCACGTTCCTCATCCTCGCCCCGATCCTCAATGTCCATTTCCCACTTTCTCTCGGCATCCCATGAAGATTGTGGCAGGGATGTTTGTGAGGATGCGAGGGAAAGTCTGGATGAATCTACAGAGTTTGAGTTTGAGGCAGAGCGGGAGGAAGGGAGGGGGGTTCCGCGGATCGTTGCTAGTTCGCGCTCGAGGACGCGGTTGCGTTCTTCGAGATCTCGGCCGCGTGAAGCTTGCACGCTGACGAGCTGTTGGAGGTAGCGGATGTATTCCACAGACTGGGGAGTGGAGTCAGTAATTGAACGATTTTCGGGTGAATCAGCACGAGGAAATGCGCATATATGCAGCAAACGAATACCCATATTTGGCAAATGGGCCTACTGCGGTGCAACACAGTGCATATAGTTTGGGAAATGGCGCATATAGGCAATACAAAGCACCGTACAGCCGCCAAGAATAAACAGATATACAAAACAGGATACCCACCTTCCTCAAAATCATCCCCTTGTTCGCCTTGATCATTTGCGGCTCAGAGCCATTTGCGGTAGTAATCCCGTTCGTAGGGATACCACCATTTACACCGCCATTCGCGTTACCTCGGCCTGCTCAGGAGTGTCAGGATCCGCCTTCCAGAGCACAGAAAAGACGCACCATCATCTCCATCTTCGCTTGGATCCTTTTTCACTGCATTCCCGTTGACAGGAGTGCCGGGTACCCCATTTTCAGGGACGTCAGGAAGACCCTCGTCAGAGTTTGTTGCGTCTGGGAGGAGGGGGAGTGAGAAGAGATCGTTGTTTTCGACTGCAGGTGAAGTTGCGCTGAGGAGGGTGGGGGATGTTGGAGCAATGAGCGGAGCTATGGCGATGAGTTAGATGATTGGAAAAGATCCGAGGGTTAGATTAAAAATCGGGAATAAACAGTTTCCCGAGAATAGTCAAAAAATAGGAAAGGGAGGTCCGAGGACCAAAAAAGAAAGGAAGAAACCTACCATCACATTCAAAGAGCACCCCTGGAATTAGCCCTGCTAGCTCGCCGATTCTTTCGTTGATGTTGTCTCTCCGCCTTCTCTCGACAGCATTGTGACTCTCCCGCCTTCTTCGTCTTTTTTCTGATAGACCATCACCATCAGAATGTTTTCCTTTGACAGGCGCAGGGGCAGCAGATGTAGTGGTGCCCCCAAGTATACCCAAAGTAGAAACTTCACTCGGACTGATTCCCATGCTAGGAGTTCCGGTACGGCCATTAAAACTACCATAATTTATAGCCACATTGTTTTGCGAAGCAAAGGAAGGCTGCTGGGCAGGGTATGAAGTGGTTGCCGCATTATATCCCTGGAACCCGCCAAAGGAATGAGAGAGACTGTCGGGTGTGGGAAGCGAGTATTCGCCTTGACCGGGAACGAAGAAGCCGCCCATTGTTGGACCACCACCCCGACCGGGGATAACTATGGCGTGAGGACGGGCGGGAGGGGGCGGGGAAGTGCCGGATACATGTGAACTAATGCTATTGGCGCGGCGATCGCGGCGGGATGTTCGGGTGGGGCCGAGACTTGGGGGGCGTGAACGGCTACGACTGCGTGAGTTGGGGTTGTGCGGGGATGGGGTGTGGCGGTAAGTGAAATGTGATGGCGGATCTGGGTGTGGTTCATAGCGCATAGTACTATTTAAGGCAGGAAGGGTACTGTTGAAATGGGCATGGGGGAGATCATTGGTGTGTTGTTGTTGACTGTTTGGGTAAATATCTGTTGATGATGGAGGTCGGTAGTGGGCTGCAGGAGCGCTGATGTCAAAAATATTGTGACGGTATGGGTCTGCATCGTATGTACTACGTTCGTGTGATGCATGGTGCGGGTGCGTGTGCGAGTCTATGAGCGTTGCGAGATCGTCGGCGAAGTCGATAGTGCCTGGTGTTGTAGCTGGTTGATGATGAGAGTGAGCTTGAGCAGCACTTGGAAATTTGCGAAATGAGTCGGGAAGAAAAGATAGATTTGGTGGCATGAAAAGATCAGTTGGGGACGTTGGAGGAGGTGAGGTGGGCGTCTCTGACGATGACGAAGCAGTGTGTGCAGGTGAAGGAAGCTGGAAACCTTCTTGTCTTACTGTAGTACTATAGCTGGACATGAGAGTGGATACAAAGTGAAGATATGTGATCTCGTTAATACTTCACTTTATTATCACTTCCTCCCCCAATTCGGGGTCTCGGTCCGAGTATGGGAACAGGCACAAAATATTAAAACAAATATTCCAAAACAATTCTTATTACATCATTCACCTCCATTCTATCCTTAGTTTTTCTCTCTCAGGCCGTCCAACTTCCGTCCTATCCTACTACCCCCGATCCCTCGTAGCCTCGGCACCGTGATACTCTCTCCTCCCCACTCTGCAACAACAATCTCAGAAAATTATCATATCTTCTCCCGCGACTCTTCACGATTGTCCCGACACACGACCCTACCACAACGCTTTAAGTTTACTACATCCTCCGACTCGTCAATCTCCGTGATGGCGCCCGCTATTTCACTTGACAGAACACAAAGCCAAATTTCACAACACCATCCGACTTTTGACAGTTCAACGTGAACCAGACCACACTCCTCGGACAAATTTGATCCAATGCAAACTGCGGAACCGCAAACGATGTGAATACCGACCTGAGGCCTTTTTCGCTCAACATACCCCCTCGACCTACTTGATCACTCTAGAACCAACCTACTTATGTATACTCTCTACATCAAATTTCGCCTATTGGCTCCAAGACTGGTGCTAAATCAGTCTTACGTGCGAGCGCAATACTACAATTTCCTCACCCTCAATCTGATCGAAAAGTCGGATGGAACCACTACTTTCCAGATCAGGAAACAACAGCTATTCAGACCCGCATGCTTATACCTTTGATCTTTGATAGCGCGAACATGATAGAGGGAACAAGGCACATCTTCGGAATTCTCTTCTCTACCCCGTCAAATCCAGATCGCCCCGGGACGCCGTTGCCAGCTTTTTATCCATAAGCCTATTTCACTGGTCGATTATAATCGCCAGCCGACACCAGTGCAATTTTTAATCATTAATCGACCCATGCTTTCTGCTCCCAGGCGAGCCGCCACACAAGTCTAACTTTCTTTTGTTTGGTATTGAATTGGTTCTGAACTCTACTATAGTTACAGAAGTACTTCTGTCGTTTATAAGTGGGATATATCGTAATATTTTATCACACATACCAGACTCCATCGTAATTTATGACGACTTTGTAGACAGGGGTGAGATCTTGAGTGATGCATAGGTACCTCCTAGGTGTGTTGCAATCGCGTCGGTGGTGGTGTGCCCTTTCTATCTCGGCACACTGTTGAAAGCGATTAATTCATTAAACATAATAACTCCAGGAAGCTAGTACAGGTTGCCAACCAACTTGTAACAGGTACATCGCACGCTGACAAATCTGAAAGCCGTCACCTCTTATATTGACCGGGATACGTTACAAACGGGAAGCCGCTGGGAGGTGCCCTGCAGGCTATGCTAGAATTATTGTGCCGAGTATAGGTGATGTAAAGCTACTAGGGGATTACATACATAATCCGATTACTGCGCACAGCACAAGGAGATAGATAAAATGAATGTGGTGGTTGCAATCATCGATGATAAACCAGAAGCAGTGCGAGCAACCAGAGTCATATAACGGAGGCGCAGCAGCATGTGGAGCGCGCATTGTATCACGTATGGTGCAATCTGAAACGTCAGCCCCTGCAATAGGCAGCGAACCAACACAGCCCACTCATCAGCATTCCAATCATATTGACGAAACAGTAATGGTAGGCGGGGAGCAGCAGGAATCACGATCAGAATGAATGTGCAAGAACAGGGGCGGGAATTTCCGTATGCAGGGAACGCGCCTACACTGGAAAAAAATAAAGATGGAGATAGATATGACAGGGTGGGGCAGTGATGTTCCTCCACCAGTGCGGTACCCGTTAGTATCAGCATCAATAACGATTAGCATTAGTAACAATTGCCTACACAGGCGGGCCAACCGGACCGGCAATATATAAACTCATTGTATCGAGGCAGGAGAAGGTATGGCAGATGTGAGATACGTTGCGTAGAGGTATCGACGGGACTGGGAAAATCGAATGATAATTATTGATTTTGATATCGCTGTTCGCTGAGTGGCCTAGGTTTGTCGCACCTCTCCGGGATTTACAATGACGATGGACTGGGCGGTGGGTGCCCCCGCGGGCGTAAGTTATCCCAAGATTAGATATGATGAGATCGCAGAAGCGTAGGTTATGAGATTGGACGCGCCTAGGTATGTTTGCCTTATCTTGTTCCAAATCAGCGTACAATGTAATGAGGGTGGACGATTGTTTCATGTCATCATCGCTGAAATAATTAGTAGACGCTCGCGGACTAGTGTTGAGCCATCCGACACGTTTTTGGTAATGATCGGTAAGAAAGAAGACCCTTCGACTGACAGATCATGGAATAATGAACGAAAGAACAGGCACCAAGAAGACAAGGCATTGATGAAAAGTATCAGTCCTTAGGGGTCTGTGGCCCAATTCCCACATGCGGCAAAATATAACATAACCCACGTATCTCAGGCGTTCAGTCTCCTTTGCGACGTAGGTTAAGAAATTGTCACATCGCCAATGCACAACAATGAAACGGCATCAAGCTTGATTGAGGCACGATCTTCCTCAACAGTGGTCACTGCTGGTTACTGGCGGAGCCTGACAGTGATACGAGGGTAAGCGAGCCGACTCGGACTCGGATAGCCTGCAAGACTTACCAAGAACAATATTCGCCAAAGTATACGACCCTGAAAACGTGCTGTGGGGTCTTGAAGGGGCAAATGGAAATAGGAGCAGCCAAGCCGGGGGATCACTGGAGGCACTACCGCGATCACGGAGGATGGTATCCGATTAAAGCCGACGAACGATATAATGTACTTAGGCATGGTTGATATCTTCAGGGAAGCATGTAATGTAATAGAGCATAATTGTGCCATTGACATGGGGCCATGCGGGTCGGGACGATTGGACGGGAACCTAGAGCGACGGCAGTAAATCGGAGATACTGGAATTAAATTTTGCAAGTACGGCGAGGGAATTTATCAACTGGAACACCACCGCGGACCATAGGAGCTTTTCACCGGCAGAATGGCGGAGCAGTCGCACTGATGCTCAGGGGTTCGGCCGGCGTTAGTAAAATAGGTCCGGCAAGGTAAAGAAGTTGTTGGGGGTTGACAGAACAGCATGGTACACGACATTGTGGGAACCTCACTGACGACTGCATGCTGTCGACCAAGTACTGATGTTCGGAAGATCTGGAGCTCGGCCAGTACGGATTCGCACGACGAGAAGCAAGAGAAGCAGGATGACCGGCCCGAAGTCGCGCCGTCCCCTGCAGATTCGAAGACAAGCTTCATGAACATATGCCACCCTCAAGTGCCAATCTGAAAACGACAACACTAACCAATCCGAGCGAGTTAAGAGTAGATTTCCAGGAATAGGGTCGATTATTCGGACCTCAGTGCCGGTCAATAGGAATACCATGGGTATGTGGTGTACTGCTAACAACTGCAAATAGAACGGATCCCAGACGAGGAGACGACAAAAATAACCCCAGCCGTCATTAGATGAAATACAACGAGTTAATTGACCAAACAATCGATGCGGAGAGATACGTGGCGGATTGACGTGGGGCGTTCGGGGGCACAGGTAGCGCATCCCTGGAGGAGCATGCTCAGCGGCCTTGTCAGGGCAAGCGACTGCGAGCCTGGAACCAAACGTTCGTTTAGAAACGTTGGCGCAAGAATGACAAATGCCCCTGACGAGAAGTTGTAGCTCACCTAGGATTCTCCGAGGAAATACCGCAGGCTGGTAAATGCATAAAAGTTGCTTTTGAGGCACTTGCACCGCTCACATACACATATCGTCCTCCCCTCCGAACTTGGATAATCGCGAGCGACTCAGAGTATCCGCTATAGAAGATAACTCCAAGTCAAGATGTTCTTAAGGAACGCTGGCTTCAAATCCGTTTCACAGCGCCGTTCAGTTGGTGTTTGAAAATCCAAACACGTAAATCCAACAAGGGGCGCAATGTATGGCCCGGCGCAGCTATGTGCTCCGCTTTCCGGAAGTATCCTGTCGAACTGGATCAGTCCAATTGAGATCTCTTGACAACAGCCATAACGCCATATGAACTTCTAGTCCTGTGTTGACGGTCCGAACTAGGTGGCGGCGAGTAAAGGGAGCTGAAGTGCAAAATTTCAACTTGTGGCCGACTACGAAGGGATAGGTCAATGCCGCATTTCACGCAAGATTGCTCATACATACCGAAGGTAATGTATCCTTTCCTCATGATTAAGCTCCTCCCTTTTCTCCCGGTGTTTTATCATATTGACGAGATTATTACTGGTTCGGTGAGTTTGTCTTGAGCCGACTAGTATCCAAGTCGAACAGTAGGATTATTGATTGCAAAGATGTCAGAAGCGACGCTGGACGCGAGATATGATGGCGGCCAGGTTGCGGCCAAGGTGCCCCAAAGGAGAAAGAGATGATAAAGCCAAAAATGGAGTTGTCCCACTTGTTTGACACGATGACAAGCCAAGGGTACAAAGTACAAAACTCCGTAAAATAAACGGACCTAGCTTGAAGAGAGGATTCTGGGGCAGACATGCCAATCGGAGACATCGTTTTAGAGTCCGATGAGAGGCGCTGAGAATGCGGACATCCCATAGAACTGTCCATTCGAAAGAGTAGATCCATATGGAGGCATGGATGCGGGGTAATACTTATTTGTGGGTCTGACGGCGGTGAACGGACCGTTTAGTGACATGTATAACCTTGGTCGTCGTATGTGCGATCAAACACGACCCCGGAGACTCTGGGGAATTGGAAATCAACTAAAACCTCCAGCAAACTCACTGGCTGACACATATCCGTCATCCAAGAACCACGGACTCGACGCAAGCCTGTAGAGTATACCGTCACACGCGATAGGATTGGTCCAGTGAACTCCAGGCTCCGTGGATCTAGCTGTCTTTCGGAATCGGTGAAGCGTGTTTGTAATTGTGACGTTGGATCTCGTTCTCGGGTGTCTGAACAGTTGCGACTTTGGCCTGCTGAGCACACAGACTAGCGCAGGCAGCTGGACGCCGCGGTGGAGACAAAGGAAGTATGGAGAGATAGTAGTGTCGGAAGTCCAGTCAACTACTTATAGCTTGTTTACTAGGCAACGACTCCTTGAGCCCACTAAGGCTATCTCGACCACCTGACATGACCATCGATCGTTGTGGCAAATCAGCTGGCTCGCTTCTAGCCTCAATGATTACTGTTCTGTGTATCTGGTGATAGTACTCTGTCATATTGGCGTGCTTGATCGCTGATATGAGCCCATTCGGGAAAAATGTTTCGGACAAGAAGCCATGATCAACGTCAGAATGTGGTCATCTGCCGAGAATATGTCCAGAAACAGGTCAGCTGCTTCGACTACCTTGTAAAATAGTACTCATCTGACTCTGCTAGGCGATTGTCGCATTGACGAGGAAGGAGTACGACTGCCATGGAGTCTGCATCATACGGGCGTAGGTAACCTGTTTCGCGCTCATCTATGTCATCACTTCACATATGATTGATGATCATTCTAGGTACTTTTCGGCGTCATCTGATCTGTATGGCTCCATGTTTCACGAACAAACTAAACGCAATGAAGACAACTCACCCTGATCGGGAGAGCATTGGATAACTGCACGAGGCACGGCAAATTCTAAATATATGCTTGAAGCTGTCGCGCAGTCCATTCAACACCAGTGACGATGTAACGCGCCGAAGATTACTTACTGTGATTCCGTGGCTGGCGGCAAGGTGAGCTGCGGAAAGACGTGAGTTCCCCTTGTCCATGGTTCACTGGGTTTGATCGGATCTGAGATATTGTGAAGGAACATGGTGTCATAAGTGCCTTTTCTGTGTTTCTTCGACGGGATATACTGCGAATAATGTCACGTCTGGCAGCCGGGCGTTCCAGACCACCTTCGCTTGTGACGATATCGTCATCTGGGGTGAGTGTGCAGTGTGCTTCCATAGTCTGGTCGCGAGCTTGCGAGGGCAGCCACTCTTATCCTTCTATTGATAATCCTTAATCAAGCAGTTCCCCATGATGCCAAATGTGTTGCCGGGAGGCCTGGCCCCTCTCCGTCATGTTTAATCCCTCCTGCTGCGTGATTTCTGCAATCCTTAGGTCACCTTCAAAGGCGAGTAGGTAAAAGACGGTTCCGAATCTAATGATCCACTATATGACTCCTCCGATGTCCGAAGCGTAATACAGCGTGATGCCAAAGGCGATAGCTAGAACAATAATAACGCTTCTCATGATGGCCTTCTCCAAGTGTGCCAGCCGAAGCTTTATAATGTCAGGATGATCCCAGCACGAGAGAGAGCATGAAGCCCAAACTGGTGATGCAACAACCAACAACCAACAGTGGTTTGAGGAATGAAGCACCAACGTCTGATGTGAACGCGACATTTCCATCTTGAGAGACGTATTTGGGACGTCCACATATGACCTGAGGCCCATAGCGGCCCGGGTGACTAAAATGCGTTCAGTCCTGATCCATCTAAAAACGCCCTCGCGGATGGTCATGAAGATACAAGTAAAGACTCGCTATGTAATAGACAGTCTCTTTTGTCAGGTAATGCTGGGTGTAGAAACATGGAGAAGGCGGTTAACAATCTATCTTCCGAGGCAGTATCTTGGTAGACACCAAAGTAACATTTAGCCAAGCATATTCTAACAACGTCATGGACTCATCCTTCTTTACCGTCCAAATTTACGACTCGAAGTTGATTGCGCCAGCTGCCCGGGGACAACCGTCTGGACATTTATGCGAGTGCGAGAGAGGGTCGGGGCCCTTCCACTAGTGTCCGAGCGCTTCTTATACTCTTGACAATGAGGTTCTCGGTAGGCACATCGCACTGCGGAACGCAGACACTACATATGTCTTTCTCTGAAAGGAGGAGCAAGGACTGGGAATACACACGTGTGCTCATCAATTCTACACGACTCTCCCTATGGTTGTGACGGGAGTCTATTCTCGGAGATGGCTGACTGCAGCCTACAGTGGGTGTAAATCGTGTGGTCTACTATTCAGCGACGCGCGCTTGGACGTTGCAGCTGTTCGCAGTTGCTGACAATACTACTAGCTGTGACCCTGCAAGAATGCCGTGCAACCTCATACTAAAGGGGCTGCCCGGCATTGCCATGACGTCGCTAACAGGCGTCAGCAAGTCATCTCGATGGATGCATTACATATACTTATCAAAATTCTGAGCTGCAGGGTCCCATAGCATCAGGAAATCATGAGTTTACTTAATCCTTACTTATTTCGAACTTTTCCCACTTATTTCAAATGGATCTACTTATTATGCTTAAATCACCACCTGGTCCCAACTGAACTATCAGGATCTGTTAGCAATCATCATAAATGTGTGCTATAAAATTATTGGACTCTCAATTTGCAAGATGGTGCCTCAAGAGAACATTTAAGAAAGAAAATCATCAACATTAATATGTCACTCAAGCTTCATACTAGTCACTAATTGTTAGTCTTATGCAATGAAAGATGTCTCTCAGGCCCAACAAACATATTGTAATACTCAATTTTAAAGCAGTTGTCAAATTTCAGAAAAAAAGTAGATCCATTGTAAATAAGCGGGAAAAGGTCGAAATAAGTAAGGATTAAGTAAACTCACGATTTCCTGATGTAGGGTTCGTGCCCTTGCGATTGGAGGATAGACGCCTGATGGCACGATAACAGGAAATCTAAATAGTCAACTGTTCGGCCTGCGTGGCTGAAAGTAGGCTTGAAGGAAAGAAGATCCAATGTCCGCCCTGCTACATCTGTTCCACTGTTATTACGCATACGGAATGAGAGGCCGCACTAGGAGTGAACGCCGATAACTTACTTAAGGAAGCGAAAGTTAAGTTATTGATCCGAATGTGACGTTGCTGCTCATTGTGCCTCTCGGCCAGTCTGACCCACAATGTCATATTATTTTGTTTTCTGTCTGAGTGGGAAAAATTGTTCGAGATCAGAATTTGCAAGTAGCGCTTGATGCTCGTTGACATGAGTGATCAGTGGTCATGGACACTGGAGTAGATTTAAATGACGATTTAAATCTAGTTTCCTGATTTTGGCATGAAAGCAGAGCACGTCGATTGTTGACGATTTCATCACCATGGAGGCATCTACGAAACAGAGACTCAACATTGTCTGCTGTTCGTTCAATTTGAAGCCGGGGTTGATGCCCGCACGCTCCTACAGCATAGATTAGTCCGAGAATATTTGTACTTCTGCACACGCGTTCGACACAAGAATAATTCATACACATATTTCCAATAAGTCACATGTAATCCAGCACGAGTGAATATTGGCCTCGACAGAATTTAACGAAACAAGTGGTTCACGTGTCCCCGCCAGCTACGGATAGTTTCCGTTCATTCCTCGGCGATATATCATCAGGCGCATCACCACGAACATCGAACTTCCGACGAGGGAGACGAGCTAGATGTAAATGTTAGCACAAGGCTTGTGCAAGTGCAGGAACAATGTGAAATACTCACCCCACTGAAGAGCGACGGTATCCACCACCTATATTGAGAACCAAGCAAAGCGCCTGATATTGGTCCGCCTAAAAATATTGGTTCAATGGCGGATAAAGGCCGGAAAGCAACTACTCACCGAGTAATCCGCTAAAAGCTGACCGTTTGCGCATTATCAAAAGTTCCGAGACAGAGCCAGATGATACATACAAGTGAAGGCAAAACATATGCCCATTCGCGCTCTGCATATGAGGGTCAACATCACCGGAATGCAAATGTGGGGGGAGCCAACCCTAGCTCGGACAAATTGGGCGTGAACTCAGTCACCAATGGGACTATTAGCGCGATGTCTTGGAAAGTCAGTGCCAGGAATTACACGAGCTGCAGTGACATACAAACACCAGAAAAGTAGCCATAAGCAAGTGCTAACACAACCACACTGGCCACGTCACTCAGAGCTGTCATGGACATTATGATGGCACTGCATGCAACAGTGGATGCGATCGTGAAGTTCAACACCCCCGTGTACGTTGCAATCATTCCTGCCGTGCAGCGGCCGACGACACAGGTAGCATTCATGATCACAAGCTGAATCAGGTTAAGAGTCGACAACGGACGATAAAATATTGAACGTACGGAGTAGAACGAGAAATGTACGTCGATCCCATGTTTGATAGAGTCCAGTTGTAAGTAGAATACGGGGAAGAAATAGCCGGTCTGACACAGTAGGATCCTAGGCACGATCAGTTCCAAGGACTTCGAGTTGGTTCATGTGGATGCCAAAGAGAACCTACCCAACGGTCATGAAGATGAAGAGAACCTCGCGAAAACATTTTCGCGCCATTGCGGTATAACTGACAGTCGGTACAGGCAGTTCTCTTGTACGCATGAACAAACAGGCGATCAATAACAGAGCACTGACAAAGCCCGCACTGACGCAAACGCCTCTTGCAAAGCCAACAGTACCATTCAAAAGGTGATTGAGCATGATCGGATGAATCATGGAACCAAGTGGTGTACCGGATGTGACGAGAGACATAACCAGCGTGCGTCTTCTGGAGAAGTGGCGAGAGGCGACTGCCAAAGAGGGACCATACGTTAGGCCTATCCCAATCCCAGAAAGGACACCTTGAACCATGAAGATCTAGTCACCTCGTATAGGTAGCCCGTCCACAGAATTACCAGGGCTGCTCACCATGTAGAACTGACCAGGCTTAGCAAAGGACAACGCGAACAAGGACAGCGATTGGAGCGACGACCCCACGATCACCAAATGATAGCTATTGACAACCAGCGTGATAAAAAATCGACTATGAATGTTATGGAAAGTTGAAACTTACAACCACCCTCTGTCGTACAGCGGACCTGAGATCAATGTGACATTGACTGCGAGGAACGAGGTCAATGCGCCAATCCATCTGACACTGACTGAGACCAAAATTTGCAGAGCAAAAGCATATTGACTCACGATATTGCAGATGGTGGATAGTTGGTCAGATAAATTCGTGTGTAATAATCTTCCGAGGTCGTTTATCAACTTTGGATATATATAATCGCGCGACTGCTGCGTACCTTGATAAATTCCAAAAGATGCTATGTATCTGTTCAACTGCTATTGACTGACATGCCCCGAACGAACAGAGAGAACCAACCCAAAACCACAAAATTGCATGAGGAAACTAGGCATCATCGTGATTGTTGAACACACAACATACGGGTATCATTTGAGACGTGGCTTACCACCCAAAAACAGTCCCCCAGGCCCGAAACCCGCCATCCGGAGGGCCTGATTGTGAACAAGCTGTTTGGGAATTAGATAACGGTATAGGTCCTAGCTCTTCCGGATCATCTAATTTCTTGTTTGTTGTGAACATATTATGGGTTGCGGATTTCATTGACATGGAAGCAAATGGGAACAAAACGCTATGGGCCAGCAAATGCTGGGCTTACGGATTATAAGACCAATGTTTGTCTTAACCCTGCAAGAGCGCTTCGTGCTAAAGGGGTTACGCAGTAGGAGGTGCATTACATCACTGACAGGGCCCGTCAGCAAAATCTTGACAGCAATCAAATGCGCGATGAAAGAACCCGTATGGGTCTCTCATGCCCCATCCCTGTGATAGTTGACACCTGATGACATGATAACAGCTGTTTTGTTTGTCAGGGATACGCAGGACTATCGATCGCGATTGTTCGGATTGTGTGGTTGACAGCGGGCTAGGAGACAATTATGTATTCACTTTGTCACATGTGGACAGTGGTTACGCATACCAATGACTACTTGGTCACGCTGCATCAGTAAATTCACACATTAGTGGTATTCAAAGTAAAACTAGGGGTCGGCGTTGCCAACTTGTGACCGTGCGGAGCGATTCGCACTTTGTTGTTTCCTGTTGGGCTGTTGCTCCCACAATCACCTTTTTTTTTCATCAGTCTTTGACATGGCACACAGCAAGGTCATATTGTGCAATATAAATACAGATCATTTGTAGGAACAGTGAAATTTTTATTAAGCTTTGGACAACTTGGATGAACTCGCTTCTTCGTTATGATGTACTCTTTTTGATACAGGTTGTCCTGATAAATCTGTGTCTCCACTTGGATGTGCGCATTTGTAGTTTGAAGGGACATAAATTGGACCAAGTTTGAGTATTGTTACCTTTTCCACTGTGGCTTGGAAGCTATCGAATTCTTTAATGTGCCAGTGTTGGATGTGGAATTGAACTTCAACAATAGCTCTGTTCAGAATCTTGTTGGCATGTTCAGGTTGTACTAGGTGGTCATCATGGTAGAGGGGAAGTGGATGTGCTGCAAACTTCTATTTAATGGTGTTGAAATCTTTAGCAAAATTGTCTGAAATTGGCCAGTTTTTAGTTTCTTCATCCATCTCTGGTGCATTCTCTGCTCTTTGTCTGTGGGGAGAGTCAGGCAGCAATTCATCCTGTAGATTACTTTCAACACAAATGTGCATGGTTAGAGCATGATGGTCGTACCCGAGTTACAAATACATTTGTAGCAAGATGCAACATCTTGCCTGTCACATCCTCAATAATCATGTTTTTGTGCTCTTTCATCTTACCCACTTCATTTTGTAATGTCTCCAAGTGCTGCACTGCCATTGTGAAATCAGCGGACAGTTCAGGGTTAGACAGGTGAGAAATGTGGAATTGATATTTGGCTTTCTCTAGTGGACTTGAGCCTTTGGCAAAGTGGTTTCCCTCTGGTCCGCATCTGAGCCAATATGGAGAGACTCATCCAACTATGGTAGTCACTAAGGGTTCTTGATCAGAGTCAACAACTTCTAGGCCTGTCTCAGTGTGTTGCCAAGCTGTAGAGTTCACGAAGTTAGGAGAGGCAGCATAGCTTCTTTTAGTAGCATTGTTGATGTGATAGGCATGAGGGTCAAAAGTTGGGGACATGGCGGTTGTGGTTGAAAGGGGGATGACACAATTTTTGTTGGTACTTGTATGACTAGAGTGTATTTGTCAGTGGTCATTGTTTATGTCAGCATTTTATATCTTCCTCACTGCCAGTCATGATGTCCACAGAGCTTGATGTGATGGAACAGGTGAAATCTCTGATGATGAAGGATATCATTACAGAGGCTGGCTCGCTATTGAGTTATTCTGAGAAACACTGTCATGATAATCTTGTTGCTGCCATTTCTCAATCAGCTCAATTACAGCAAGCTGTTAGACGAGCTTACTATCAGAAAAAGGAACACCAGGAGGAGGAAAGAGAAGGCCAATTAAAACAAGCACATTTTCAAGATGTGTCTTCTGAAGAAGATGAGGATGCTAATTTTTGAGGAATCCTGCTGAAGATATTAAACAACTAGCACTTGTGAGTTTCATTGATCATACTGGTAACACCATGACTATGGTTGCTGTATGCTTGTCCTGTGCTCGTGAGCTTTCTGTTCAAGATTTGCAGAAAGTGTATGTCGATGAACTTCCCAATCATTATCTTCTTACACCCATCATTCGGCACCATGCTCAAGTTTTAATCCATGGAGCTTTATTGCACTCCAATTCACTTTCAGAAGATGAAGGCCAATCACAAGGACCCATTTGTGATGAATGCCTAGATGATCTTAAAGTGGGAAACGTCCCTGTTCATTCCTTGGTTAATGGGCTTTGGGTGGGAGATGTACCTGATGTTCTTTCCATCCTTAATCTTCCAGAGTGACTTCTTATCACACTGTATTTTCCTGCTGTCTACATTGTCAAACTATATCCTCAGTGGAAGGGTGCAACACAATGGGATTCTATGTCCCTGAATAGTGGTGTTCAGGGAAATGTATTGACTTATCAGTTGAATACACCTGACATTGCTTGGATGGTTGAAGGCAATCTGTTGCCACATAAACCCACACTACTTGCTATGACTATCACTGTCACCATTATCAGACCCAGTAAACTCCCAGTCAAATCTCTTCCACTCTTTCTTACTGTTAGTCAACATTGTATCCAAGCTGCATTGAAGTTTCTGAAGAGTGAGAATCATCTGTATCATGATATCATCATCTTGGAAGCGAATTTATCACTTTTGCCCAAGAACAGAGTTCCAGAGGATCTTCTCTCTGTTGTAAAATACTCCACCGAGCAACATCTTTTGGAGCAAGAATGAGCTGGTTATGTGGTGGGAAATGTCGATGATAATGGTTAGTTTTTTTTGTAACATCTATTTATATTTGCTAAGCTATGTAGATTTGCATTCTACATTTGAGACCTTGGACTCCACAAACAATTCAAGAGAAGAAGACACTGAAGTCAGTGGAGATGTTGGTCAGTGGATGAAGCTTGGTTATAGTATTTGTTGACAAATTTTTGTTAGATCCTTGTGTTGTCCCTATTCAAGCTCATGGTGTTATTGATGTGGAAGTGACCTTGCTTTCTAATCAGGATGTCCTAGCCAATGCTTTCACAAACACATCTCATTCTTTTGGGGAGTCTTACATGGTTCAACATGGATCAAGTTTTGTTAATGAATATGCTTGACGTGATGTCAGTGGAGTGCAGTACACTGGGACAACTGATGATCTGAACCACCTTTTGGGTGCTTTTCCCTGCTTGTTTCCTTATGGCCATGGTGGTTTTGAAGTATTCCGACCATGAGCAGTGTCTTATGAAGCACATGCCAAGTGGGCTATGCAATATGCTGATAAGTGATTTAGGAAAGATTTCCATTTCATGTTTCAAGTGTTTGGGGTCATCCAGAAGCATTGTAGGGAATGGGATTCCTCCAGGCATATATTGCCCATATTATGAATCACAATGATTGGTATAGTGTGCAACTCACTATCTATGACTTTCCAGTAAAATGCACCAGAGGTGCAACACTTTCCCACATTATGCGATGCATTCCTGCACACGTGCTTAGTGCGCTCTTCCCGTGCTTGGTCGCCCTTTGTCGCGCAGCATCCTGGAGCATCCATCCATTGTCCAACCAGTTCCCTAGTGAGTCCTTCCTTGTCTATTCTCATTATCAGACCATATTTAGTATTTGTATGGCATTATTTCATCATGGACCCTTATTTACATCATTTACATACTCAGAGCACTCCCTGTTCGCTTCCGAGCCCTGGGAGCACACCTAGGCACAGCTTACCTGTTGCTGAGGAAGTTTTCATACAAAAACCACCACAGAGAGATACACCTACCACCATCATGTCTAGTAGCGTCTAGCAGTCAGAATTATCATGAGTTAGTTTCCATCAGAGTCGTCGCCCTAGTCATCAGCCCAGTCTACTATCATCAGTCTCCACTCAGCAGTCTTAGTTCATGCCTTCACACCTTCTACCAGTCATTTATACATTCGCGCACTGTGTGCGCCTTATTCCCACACTTCGCGCTCTTATGCACTTGACATTCCTGCATGCACGCTTCCAGTGCACTTCACCAGAGTTGACCTGGTGTCACTTTGTGGATCTTGCTTTCCTTGCTTCCCTGAAGGGTCGAACATATCGCCTGGTGCACTTCAACCAACACTTAGAGAGTCAGTAGGCTTTCCTCTCACTCCAGAGTGAGAGCCCCCTCTTTCTGTCTTTCTTTTGCTCTGCAAGCCAGCAGAGCTGTTGAACCTTCAGCATCAAGTATGCCGCTATGCAGTCCTCCAAGTACGGGAGAAAGCTTTTCAGGACAATGAAGTATCATTTGCACGTTTAACTTCTGAAGATTTTGCTTCTGCTGCTCATCAAGAGGCTAAAAAGGAAACCATTTCCAATCCTATTATTCGCGCTTTGAAAAAACATCTCAATGCAGTTTGAGTTAATGTTGTTGGCACAGATGAATCCAGGATCAGTATTTGTGCTTACATTTGGGGCATGACTGCTCTTTGCAATCTGCCATCATTATGGGTTACAATCAATCCTACCAATACACACAATCCAATTGTTCAAGTGTTTGCTGGAGAAGAAATTGACCTTGATTTATTCAATTGTACTGCTGGTCCTGATTCCACTCAGCATGCCAAGATTGTCACAGATGATCCTTATGCTGCTGCCAAATTTTTTCACTTTATAGTTCAAGCCATTTTTGAGGAGTTGATGGGCATCACCATTCATCAACATGGATGGTCTGGCAATATAGTTCAGAGAGAAGGAATATTTGGCACAGTGGAGGGTTATATTGGTACTGTGGAGGCTCAAGGCCAAGGAACATTGCACCTTCATACACTTATATGGTTACGAGGTGCACCAACAGCTACTCGAATGAAGACTTTATTGGAATCAACCAACTTTTGATCCCATGTTGCTTCATATATTGTGTCTAATATTTGTGCACATCATGATCAAGTCACAGAGGAGTCCTTGGCCACAAAACCTAGAGAGAAGGCAGTATCTTATTTGTGTCCTCTTGACCTGTGTTTATCCTCTTTTACTAGCTCTCATCATGATGTGGAAGGACAACTGGTTCATGGTGTTCAAGTACACAGGTGTGGACCTGGTTGTCTCAAAGTTAGTGGTGGACATTTATTGTGTAAGCGTCAAGCACCCTTTCCACTAGCTTCTGAGGCATGGATCAATTCCTATGGAGGATGGGGACCACAGCAAACATACCACTTCCTTAACAACTGGAACACCACCATTTTGTTGGCCACACATTCTAATCACAATTGCAAGCTGATTACCAATGGTGAAGGAACGAAGCACATTGCCTGGTATATATCCTCATATGCTGCGAAATGACAATAGCATTCTTGCAATGCCTCAGCCCTTTTAGCCAAAACAGTGGCATACCACCAATGAGATGAAGCTCATAATAGTGATATTCAAACTCTAAACAAGTGCTTGCTACAACGGTGTGCCAATGCTCTTAGCTGAGAGCAGGAATTTAGCACACCTGAGGTTGTCTCATATTTGATGGGGTGGGGAGATCACTATATTTCACATCACTTTCAAATGATTCACTGGGGTTCAGTCACTGGGCTGTTGAAGAGATGTTTTCCTTCTTTGCAAGATTTACAGTGCGCAATTTCACTAATGTTTAAATTGCATTAACAGAGCTTAAACTACTAGTCACAAGTCGCATATGTCTGCTGAGGGTTTAACTGTCAATGTTGATTCATCTGGTTCCGAAGTAAGTCACTTTGTTCTTTATAGTGATCTTTTTATTTATTTAAAGTTGGAGTATGTTTCTGTTGAGATCTACAACAGGACTCTTTGCATACATGATCAAGTTTCTGAATATGTTGATTGTGGACAGGAATTTGAACAATTCAGCTATTTGGAGTTCTTTCTCAACACATACAACATCAGGGTTGCTACTGATGTGCCCGTCATGCATAAGAATGCTAACACTGGTGTTCATGTTCCTTACCTTGCAGAAAGCTCACATGCAGGTCATGCTCAAGTATTACATGCTCCAGGGCATGAAACCATGCCTCACATTCCTGGACCATGGTTTCCATCTGCTGACAACTCTGATTCATGTCCCTTTTATTGTGCATCAATGCTTGCCTTATTAAAACCTTGGCAAGATGTTTGGACATTGAAGAAGACTGAAGAGACATTTGAATCTGCCTTTGCTTCTTTCATCTCAGATGCCCCACAGATGGTGCAAACTATTGTGGCTAATATTCAGTACTTTCATGAATGTGCTGATCAAGCCAAGCGTGAGGAAGAAAAGAATCGAGTAACATGATATTCAGGCTATGCTGCAATACACCCTGGGGAGCACCTTGATGATGAAGAGGAGGAAGGACCTCGACTTAGTGATAACACCAACACCCTGGATGATCCAGTAATCAGTGACAATGACATCTTGCAGACCTGCAAAGGATCTCTCACTACTCATGAGATGGTTTATGCAGATGTGGCTATGAATATCACTGATGAACATGACTTTTTTGGGGTTGGACGATGTCCAGCTCCTCATCAGCCTCTTGCCACAGTTGTTACAGAAGATAATTTACAGCAGTGTCTAGAGTGGCAACATCTTATTGCGGAAGTGGACTCTATTGTCGAAGAACCTCATGATATGGAAGCTATAGCAGCTGGAGTCAAAACAGCACCTTTATCTTTATCCATTCCTCCTTCTACAGAATTGCAAGCTGTCACTGAACCAAACTCTGTGGAAGAGATTACAATGACACCCTTTGACCCTCCAAGTTATTTGAATGAAGAACAGGCTATGGCATTCACAATAATCGCAGACCATCTTTGTCAACTTCTTATTGGCAATGATCCACCCCAACTCCTCATGGTCATACATGGTGAAGGTGGTACAGGGAAAACACAGTTATTACAAGCTATAACCCAGTTGTTCTCTGATGTTGGGAGTGCTAATCGCCTTGCTAAAACTGCATTGTCTGGTGTTGCTGCCTGTCAAATTGGAGGCAAAACTTTACACTCTTGGGGCACACTTCCAGCAGGTAAAGGATTGCCTCGCACTGATTCATGGATTTTTCAACCAAGTGCACAAACTGCTAGATGACGTCATGCAAACATGCATGATACATTTCTTCTGGCAGTGGATGAAATGAGTTTTTTTGATGTTGGACACCCTCTACTTATTGTCTCAAGTTGTGTCTGCATATCACTTAGCCAATGCGGTTCCTTGAAGTTTGGTCAACACACCATTTGCAGGTCTTAGTGTCCTTTTATCAGGGGATTTTCATCAATTTCCTCCAGTCGCTGGTCATAATCATGCTTTATACTGTCAACGTCCAACCACTAGCAAATGCCAGTTGGGAAGAAACATTTTCATGCAATTTAATACTGTTGTCAATCTCCATCAGCAAATTTGAATCACTGACTCAGTATGGCTTGACCTTCTTGGACATGCATGAATAGGAGCTTGTACTTCTGACAACCTTGCAGAAATTTGACAACTGGTATTGACCATGAAGGATTGTCAAGTTCCAGATTTTTCTGTTGATCCTTGGATGCACACAGTCCTTATCACTCCTCGCAATAGTGTACAGATCCAATGGAACAATCATGCCATTGAGAAACATTGTTCCCTATCGGGTGAAACAATGTTTATTTGTCCTGCGGAGGATTTGGCACATGGACAATCTCTCAAATCACAACAATGATTGATGGTCACTCAAATGTCTTTGAAAGACATGGAACAACTTCCTACAATGCTTAGATTGGTGAAGGGTATGCAGGTTATGGTAACCCGTAATCTAGCTACAGCCACCAATCTTTCTAATGGATCTTGAGGAAGAGTGGTGGAAGTAAAGCTGGATGTTAGAGAAGATCGAATAGCTGAGGAAGCAATTATTGCAGGGAAAGTTTTTCTCCACTATCTTCCTGCATTGGTAATATTGGAGCTCAATTTCTGCGATTTACCCCTGTTACCTGGTCTCACAAAACATCAGGTGCCATTGATTCCAGAGAATTTTAAATTCTCAATAGGATCAAACCCATCAACAATGGTAACTCGATGGCAGCTAGCATTGAGTCCTGTGTATGCATTCACAGATTTCAAGTCACAGGGACAGACTATTGAGCATGTTTTGGTCGATATTGGTTGAACCACATGTTTTGCATTGTCCCCTTTCAATGCATATGTGGCTTTATCCAGAAGCCATGGTTGAGACATGATTAGATTGTTAAGAGACTTTGATAATGACTTATTTCTGCGACATCCCTCAGAGGATCTTTGTGTTGAAGATTCTCGGATCAATGCACTCGTAGAGGAGACAGCAAAACATTTCAAGGATAAACAACAGTAAGTGCATATATCTAGATTGTAAAGGGAACATTCTGACTTGTTTTTCAGTCTTTTATAAGTCCTAACAGGTCAACAATCAATTCTTCATCTCGCAAGTAGTACACATTCATTTCAGTTGTTTGTAGTATGGTGTGGTGTAAAGATATAGTTGATTAAATATCAGCTATCATGTATAAGACTTTGCATTTGCTGTCGTGAAGCGCTGTTAGTAGTGGTGATGAGAATGAAAGGAAATTTTTGCTTTATTGAAGCAGATAGTTTTTCGGGTGGAAGCCCCAATGGTGGCCCCAACCTGTGCAAAAGAATTGATGTGAGCTGTGATCCCCAACCCTGGATCCCAAATTTTAGGAGCCTCAGAGCAATGCTTTGACATGAGGGAAGCAGCATTGGACAAAAGAGGTAGTGGCTTGGAGGCATCTGTGGGCATCTGCATGAGCAGTGTTGTGGGCATCCTGCACAAGAAAGAGTGCAGGCATCTGTATATGCAAATAGTTCCCTGGTAGCAGAAAGGAACCTGATGAGAGCTTGCAATGGCAAACTTCCTGCATGAGTAAACTTGAGAGGCCAGCGCATAAGCATGCACTGTGTGGTGCAGAGACAAGAGAGGCCGTATGCTACACTGCCACTGCCACAAAGTCCTAATTCTAACCCTACACTCATACCTCGCTTTGGGGTAGAATATCCAGATAAGGAGTCTGTATCCACACAACCTCTATAGTAGACATCAGATGACTGGGTTTGTTGTTTACTCCTTAGCTATCCATGAGAATGCTATATTCTGGATTTCATTATGACATTTGTTTTCTCTGTGTCTCAGGTTTTCCTTCTTGCTATAATAGGTGTTTATTTGTCACTATTTTGAATCCACATATCATGCTACATTGTAGTTGACCGTGCTCCACACAGTAATTTTCAACATTCTGAAATGATTCTGAAATGTTATGAAACACTTCAGAATCGTTCTGAAAGATGTTCAGAAAATCCACTTGAAAAACTTAATTTAAAACTCCATTCAAAACACTTAGCCACTTCAAATGCTTCAAACTCTCCAAGTCCCCACATTAAGGTTAGGGTTAGATGCATGCACAGACAAAAAAAAGCGCCATGTTCATATATTTTGTAGCTAGCAAAGACAAACTATTCTAAACCAAGCTAACACAACTACAAAGTGTCAAGCATCAAACTATGTGCACAGCACATGGCAAACCTTGAGTATGAGATGACACTTCAAGCATCAAACCATGTGCATGATGCACCATGAACCTTGAACACATTCATCAGTGTGGAAATAAGAGTACCGTCAACAAACAAACCTCAAAGCTGCATGAGTGCAGCAGTGGATGGTCTGGCACTAGGTAGGCATGTGAGGTGCACAATATGGTGCTGGGGATATATGCAAGACAATGCGATGTAGCTCTGGTGGGGATGCAAAAAGAAGACAGCATGTGCTGGTGAGTCCCTCTGATGGGAAGTAATGGTGTTGCACAGTAGGGAGGAGCCGGTTGTGATATCAGAAATTGATTCAGGCTCAGCTGTCCATCCTGTAGGTATGGGACTTGTGTTGAAATGATGGTGGAGATGAGGGAAAGTAGGTATCTGGAGGCGCCATAAGAAATCATCTGGGTCTGTCTCTGAGTGGAACACAATAACATGAGGTTTGAGCAGGAAGAGGTGCTTGTTGTAGGCATGATGGTCAGCGTCAGCATGTCATAGGTAGGGTGCTCGTTGCATGGCACAGTGCAGGTGGCAGAAATGCATGCTGCCTAAAATTGAAACTCCACTTAAAAATTGCTTAGATCAGATCAGTACTACATATGATAACAAGATAACAGCCCACCCACCATGCCTTACCAGTCTCACCATCAAGAATTACTCAATAAAATAGATACTGCTACCTTAGATGTTGCAAAGGCCTGGGTTGGGCATGCTATAGCAGAAGCAGGTCTTAACTCCTCTGGCTCCTCTGGCTCCTCTATCTCAGAGGATTCTGTTATCAAGACCCCATCACCACTCTCACCTATGTCACAGACATCTGATGGTTCCAGCACATCAGATGGCTCCATTTTGATTCATCAAGAATATGCTTGTATTATCAGATCTCTTACTGCTCTTTGGGATGAGGTGCAGATGGCATGTGTCCTTCACATTCCTGATGAACCCCCTATGTGGGCACCACAGATCCAGCTTCTCGACCACTTTGCTATCCATTGCCCTGATCTATTCCGGGCAAAGCTATGTGTCAACCCTGATATATTTGATGATATCCTTGATCAAATCAGTGATGACCCTGTCTTCTATAATCAGTCCAATAATCCCCAACTCCCTGTTGCTATACAACTTGCCATCTTTCTTAATTGTGCTGGCTACTATGACAATGTAGCTTCAAATCAGGACATCTGCCAGTGGGCAGGCATTAGCATTAGGTCTGTCACAAACTGCACTAATTGTGTTATGACTGCCCTGCTCAGACAGCATGATAATTTTATCTGCTTCCCTGCTCTTGATTCTGATGAGGCTACATGTGCCTGTCACTATGTTCAGTCCAAGTCCTGCCCAGAGTGGAGGAATGGAATTCTGGCAGTTGATGGATCCCTATTCAATCTCCTTCAAAAGCCAGGCCACTATGGAAAATCATTTTATACCAGGAAGTCTCAATACTCTCTCAACTGCCAGGTGTGTTTTATTTCTTATTTGACACCAATTTTTCTGATTTAAAAAATATTTTAGGCAGTCATCCTACCTCACAATCTCACTATAGTGGATTATTCCATTGGTCACACTGGTAGTGCACATGATGCATTTGCATTCCAATCCACTTGTGTCTTTCAACAGTATGCAACACTTCTTGAGGATGATCATTGGATTTGGGCAGATAGTACTTATCCCCTGGAGACATGGTGCATTCCCCCTTTCAAGAAGCCTCCTAATGGGGCCTTGACCAGTGACCAGAAGGCTTTTAACACTGCCCTATCCAAGGTATATCTATTATTTTTATTTATTCAATTTCCTGATGTCCATTAAATATTTTTAGATTTGTGTTCAGGTGGAACACATTTGCTGCTCTCAAAGGCCGCTTCCAGTCTCTCCGGGAGCTGAGGCACCCATTGCAGAATGATGACCAGCTTCAGTTCCATTCCTACTGGGTGATGTGTTGCATCATCCTTCATAACATGATTATTCACTTTGAAGAAAATCATAACATCTTTAATGGTGAAGGTAGTACTTCTAATTGGGCTCTTGGGGTTGAGGGAAGAGACCTTATCCCTCCCCCAGAGCTACCAGACCCTGATGTAGGCCTTGTGGGTAACACCTCATATCTTGGCACCCCTGGCCATGCAGCTTGTGCAAGGTTGATGCAGAATTTGTTGGGGTAGTATCTCACACAGGAATCCTACAAGACACAAGACAAGACAACAGATAGCTCATGTATTACCATAGAAACATAGGAGGCATGTAAGACATATAACTTAATATAAGAATGACATGTACACAAATGTAAGACCTGAAATACAACAAAGAAACAAGAACAGAAAGAGCACATACAACAGGGTGATGACAATGAACAAACAATGATAAAACAATGATGCTGCAACACGATGACGACGGTAACATAATGACAGCAGCACCCTTACTCATGCTGAGGCTGCACCCCCCTTCAACTTGAGGAGCTCAATCTCAAGCTGCAGGGCAGCCTGTTTCTCCATCTGAACTTTGGCCTGGGCCTCAAGCAGTTGAAGCTCCAAGGCCTTTGCCTCTTGTGAATGCTGGTAGATGGCAGCAGCCTCATCACGTTCTATCTTGGCCTGCTCATGTTGAAATTTGATGTTGCGTTAATGTCGGTCAGCATTGACTTTTGCAATCTTGTACTCCAAAGTGGCTGCCTTCACAGTGTATATGTAGTTCATACTGTCAGTGAGTGACTGGACCTGACCCTGGACATCCTGCATATTGGAATCAACACACTTCAAGAGGGAGGAAGACTTTTGGGAGGCAGCAGGTCTGTGAGTGGACGATGATGGTGATGTTGATGTGCATGAGTGCGAGTGTGAGTGTGACAATGACTGGAGAGAGGATGGTGGCTTGGGTGTGTGGATGGTACTGCGATTAAGAGCATGATCTGTGTGCATCTGAAATTTTCCATGGGAAAGAAACTTAGGGGTGCAGGGAGTGTATGTAGGGGGCAGTGAGGGGGATGGGTAAGGGTGCTTGTTGGATATATGTATTTGGATGGCATGATCATCCCCCTGTTCAGCCAGCTCAAAATTGTCATCCCTGACATCATCCCATTGCTGGACATCCATGTTGTCATTGGCATCATTGGAGAGGGTATGGGGGAGGGGAGGGTTGACTTGGGGGATGTGGGAGGAATGGTCGATATTGTTGGGGGAGGGAGTCTCATCCATGAATTCATCAGGGGAGGGAAGGGGGAGAGCTTTCTCCTTACCCTTTCCTTGGGTGAGCGGAGGCAAGTCCGTGACATCGTTGATAAGGTCACCCTCAGTGTCCCCAACAGCATCATAGGGATCAGGGGGAGGGGGCACTATTTCTTTGCCCTTGCCCTTCCCTTGGGTAAGGGTGGCCATGCCACTGGTGTGATCCACACTGGGCGCAGACAAAATTGTCTTCGGTGCAAACACCAGATTGCCCTTCCAAAGGGCATTGAGTGCATCGAACCAAGGGAAGTCAGCTAGTACTTGTTCTATAATTTTTTGTAGCGTAATTTAATAAATTTTAAAAAATAAACCCTACCTCAAGGATTTTGTGCACCAGTGGCATCAAGTGGGTTGATGCCAGCACCGGTCTGCAGAAAGCAAGCACAATGTTTCTTATATTTGTTTCTGAGACTAGGAATTGTCAGTTAATTAATACATAAGAAAGGGGGGAAATACATACTAGTTAAGATGGTTGCTCACTGCAAGTGCAAACTTGTGATTGTCTTGTGCATATATGTTTTTATACTCTTCATCCTCTGCAAAAATAGTTTGAGTGATTGTCACCCAGATATGACTCTTCTGGCTCCCCAAAGTTTCAGGTTCAGTTATTGTGGGATTGCAAGATTTTTTCAACTCATTGAAGAGCACATGGCAGGCGCCAGGATGAGTCTTGAGGAACTGTATGAGGGTATTGGTGTGATCAAAGTCGCAGGTCTCCCATCTGACAGTAACCCTGCCAGCAGTGGTGGTGGGAGTAGCAGTGGCAGGAGTGGCAGTGGCAGGAGTGGCAGTGGCAGGAGTGGCAGTGGCAGGAGTAGCAGCAGGGGTAGCCATATAGTTAGTAGTAACAGCAGTGGATGGTTGCTGGATGGTGTTGGACACTATTGCACCCCCACCACCTCATCCCCTCATACCATGAGTTATACCTCCCCCCCTACTACCATGTGGGGGCCTTTGTGGAGCCATCTTTGTAGTTTTGATGTGCGCTTTGATTCATTCTGAACATCGTACTTGTGGACATTGGGCAGGCATCCTGCATGCATAGCATAGAGATTGGATTTTGGACCCCACTTGGGTCTGCCGAATGTCCTGTAGATTCTGAAAGAAATTTGTCAAACTTACCCACATTTTCAGAGCCTCCCAAATTCTACTTTGAATACCACTATTCCTTAATGTCCTTAATCAGCTTAACACACTTATCTCAAAACTCATTTGCTCTCTCTCACATCATTCACCTAGCACATCTTATATTTTTTGAGTGTGAAACACAATAAAACATATATATTAATACACTTTAACATTTTTTTTCTGAATACATTCAAGTTGAAATTTCAGACAAGTAGATCCATTTTCAACAAGGCAGTTAAGTGCAAATAAGTCTGTTTAAGGGCAAAATAAGGAATTTGTGAATTTCCTGATGTGGGAGTGAACAATAATGGTACTCAGAATAAAATCTTGAATGTCTCTTGAAGGTCAGCTACTCTAACATTGTCAAAGCACAGCACATCAGCAAAACCCTAAGTTAAGGTCCCCCCATTTACAGTGCTACATAGTACCATACAGCATCACACAGTGCCACACAGCACCATACAGCACTGTAAAAGGGGGGACCTTAACTTAGGGTTTTGCTGATGCATGCAGTATACTGCAATTCAAGGTCAGTCCAGCATTGTACTTCGGAGTTCAGAAACACATGCCTGCTGCTCATCAACATGCTTGCCAGTCTGCACAACTTTGAGCTAATGCTCATCTGCTCTTGAGGGGAATGGACCCCCCTCCATCTACCTTGAATATTTATTCCATCCCTCCCAGTAGTACTGGACCCAGGGTAATGGTTCAGTGGGGGAAAGAAGATGCTCTCACTGATATCCTTGTTGACCATCTCACATCTAACTCTGCTGATTGTCAGATTCTTTTCTATTCTGACAGCAAAAAAATGCCTATTACTGATGATGAAAAGGCCTTGGGCAAGGACAAGAGTGATATCTACGCTGTCATCGCCAAACTCATATTTGCAAATCACACCAAATATGGCCCTGCATATCATCAGAATCTGAAGAAATTTTGCAATTCAGTCACAAACCACATTGTGGGGTACATAGTCTCCTATTAATACTTATGTACGCTGATAAAACTCTTAAGAATATTACAGTCTCAAAACCAAGTATATGAAGCTCAAGGCCAGATTCACTGCTGGTGCTGGTGTACTGCCCAGTAGTGGGTATGCAAATTTATTTGGTGAGTCATCTGTTGGACTCCAAGAGATCTGAGACAACCAAGACTGAAGGATCTGAGATAGGGAAGGGAAGTGAGTGAGAGGTACGAGCACAAGCCAAAATGGACAGAGGTGAGCAACATATTGACATTGGCTCATGTCCTATATTATTTTCTATGTTTTATTCTTATATCTGAGTTATAACAGTACTTACCTTAAAAGTGTCAGTAGAAACGCCCAAACATCTCAGTTCTTTCAATATACTGAGATGTAAGCTTTAAATATTGTCACCTGCATACTACAAACTCTAACAATAATGTAGTATACTTGTTGTATAGATTCCTTGCCCCTCTCACTCATCTCATAACAAGAGGTTATGAGCCCTGCCTCAACCATGGAATCTATGCTCCCTGGAACCAACTCCAGCCTGTTCAATATCCTGAAGCTCACAGAAGACAACTTGAACTGGATAACCTATAAGGAAAAAACATTAACAGCAATAGGAGCCCAAGGTTTGATGTGATATACCAATGGACAAGCCTGTGCACCAGTTCCATTCACCATTGACGAGACCACTAAGGTTCTCAAAAAGGCCAATGGATCGACACCTACACAGACTGAAATAGATGAGCTTGATAAGAAGACAGATGAGTACCAACAGAAGAATACACTAGTTAAGCAGCAAATCTTCAGCATGATCATGGATTGGCTATTGCTGCACATGCAGAACCTTCAGGAGGCATTGGATATCTGGGCAGAAATCTGTCAGATACATGAGGGTAAAATGAAGCTCATACAGAGCAATATGTGTCACTGGATGCAGGAGACATGATGTGAGGAGGGAGGAGATGTCAGAATGCACTTCTCTAAATTGCTGAGACTCCAGGAGTCACTAGCTAGAATGGGTGTTAGTATCGTTGATGCAGACTTCCATGTCATTATCCTAGACTCACTTCCAGAGTCATATTGTCCCCTATTGTCCTCCATCAGTGCTGCTGCAAAAATCACAAAGACCCCACTCACCTTGAATGAACTAATTACCATTATAACTGAGGAATACAAGCATAGGCAGCTCACTGACCATAGACCTGCCAAAAAGGGCACCAGCTCTGCTCTATCCGCAAGGGAGAGCAAGGGAAAGGGATGTGGACCCAATACCAGCAGTAGCAAGGCCAATGTGAATGTCACTTGCTTTAATTGTGACTGCAAAGGCCACTACAAGACTGATTGCTGGAGACTGGGAGGTGGGAAGGAGGGACAAGGCCCAAATCAGCAAAGGTGAAAAGGGCAGAAAGGGCAGAAACAAATGGCCAACTCAGCTGCAGAGTCTGAACCCCAAGACCAGTACATGTTCATAATGTCAGACTTGGACAGTATAGTGAAGGACTTAAATGTACCCATTGAGAGATGTGGAGCAATTGTAGACTCCAGCACTACCTCTCATTTTTTCCCCAACCAAGCCAAATTCTCCAATTTTGTAACCATCCCTCCCCAAGACATCCATATGGCTGATGGTTCTACTTTAAGTGCCATAGGTCAAGGAGACATCAAAGTTGATCTGCCTCTAGGTCAGAAGAGGACCATGGTAACACTGAAGAATGCACTATACACACCTAAAATGGCCTTCATACTGATCTTGATGAATCAGATCACTGCAGCTGGCCTAGCGGTCCTCTTCAAGGGACATATATGCTGTATCCTCTCCAAGGGTCTGAAGAGGGATATCATTGCCAAAATTCCCCAGGTCCAAGGCCTGTATAGCATAGTGACAAGTCATCAGACACAGCATGCCAATATAGCCAGACAAAAACTCACCATTGGGGAACTGCACAGAGTCCTGGGCCATGCCTCCCAAGAGGCACTCCTAAATGTGGCCAAAAAGGGCCTCATCACCAGCATTGATATTGATGTTATGAGCAAACTGGAATTCTGTGAAGTGTGTGTTAAAGCCAAGTCAGTGAGGAAGCTGTTTCCTGAGCAAAGTGACAGCCAGGCACTCACCTACAGTGAACTAGTGCATACAGACCTCTGGGGCCCAGCACAGATGACAAGTCTTGGAGGATGCCTGTACTATGTCAGTTTCACAGATGACTTCAGCCATCAAATGAGGATTCAGTTCCTAAAACTGAAGAGCAAGGCACTCACTACCTTTAAGGCCATGAAGCCTGGCTGGCATGCTAATTCCCAGGAGTCCATTTGACCAAGCTGTGCTTGGATCAAGGGAGAGAATACCTGAGTGGAGAGTTTAACAAGTACCTTCATCAGCAAGGGATTGAGCATCAGTTAATGGTACATGACTCACCTTAGCAGAACAGTGTGACTAAACATCTGAACTGAATGCTAGTAGAGCATGCTAGGGCAATGCTGCTGGCCAAGGATTATATATGATTTTTGTAAGTAGGTTTGCTTCAGGTACAGGTATTCTAGCCATTTTCAAAACATCAAGTCTCATGTACACCCCATTCTAGATGTGCAAGTGATATTATATGTGTATGTCACAACTTGTGCATCTAGAACCTGTCCCAGATGCACAAGGGATGTTGTTATTTATGTCATGACTTGCATATCTAGAACAGGTTCTAGATGTGCAAGCCATGACATACCATTGATATATATAAATATATATTTGATTTTAAGGGTGCTATCTTTAACAACCAATGGGATTAAGTGCTAATAAATGTATATACATTATATTAACAAATAGAAGTAATGGTTAAAACATGAGGCACTTTATGGCAGGAGGAAGACAAGTCTAGAAGTGAGTTAGATGCACATATTTAATCAATCAGATGAGAGATTGTGCAACATACAGTGATTTATGTACCACCAACATTGACTCATCAACATGCCCCACAAATCCAAAAACACAGCTGATGGTGGTGTAAGTGCCATGTGATTGCAATGCCAATACAGGAACTGACATACCCTAAATGGACATCATTGTAGAGAAATACATTTAAGTTGGACACACATCCCGTGCAAGCAGCATCACTAAACAATGATCTTACATGTAAGAACCAAGAGTTGGATATCACAGTGGCAAAGGTGAACATTGGAATTGGCAAGATCAATATTCTGGAGATCATGAATAAATTGCAATTTGGTACATACAACAACAGGGCACAAAATTTGAGTGAGGTGAACAAGATGATTACATCATTTGAGAAGCACGGATGACAATGGTACAAGGAAAGCAATGCTCTTATGATTGTTATTGCACCAAGCCATCTCCATGCTGGCCAGGAGTTGAGTGAAAACTGGAATGATTGGGAGAGTTTGAATGAGGTGAAGTTTGTTGACAGGAAGCTGCTGATACTAGCATTGGGCCAGCACTGGGTGGCCATGCTGAAAAAGATGGTGCAGGCATTCATCAATGAAGAAGCCATGCTCAAGAAGAGGATCACATGTATTGAGGGGGTGAAAGAACCCAGTGATGATTCAGTGACAAAGCAGTTGAGCTATGGAATCATCTTGCTGTAGTGAAAGGCAAACTTCAAGACCTTGGAAACTGGGCCATTATCCTGTATAACAAAGGCACATCATTTACAATATACCAGTGGTCTAGTTGCACATCTAGATACAACTCTAGATGCAGGGACTTAGTGTGATATATGAGACTGACAACTCACAAGATACCATCAACACTGGAAAGGGTAACCTTGGCCTGCACCTAAGTCAAAATCAAACCTTGCACATATATGCCAAGACACAAGAGGAGGAATTGGTGTCAAAATTGCATGATTTTTATGATGTCTACTAAGAGGAGGGCAAAGACACTGCCTTGGAGCTGATCCGACAAGAATATGAGAAAGGCAAAGATGACAAGAATTTGAAACTAATGAAGATACATATGGAAGAACAAATGGCTTGTTATTACATTGATGCATGACATCCTCCCAATGGGGGCACATTATTGACACTGGAGTGAGCTATTGGTCCACTGGCTGTTGGCCAATATCTCAGTGATCATAAGGGTATGTAAATATTATTTCTGATTTGCATGAAGTAATAAATGACATATTTACAGATCTATATGATATACATGAGGCACAGTGTGAGCATGCTTCAACAGCTTGCATCAATAGATGAATTCCCATCTTATTGTGAGGTACACACACTTGTTAAGAAATCTCAGGGGAGTTAGGATGCAGGTGAGTGGGTGCAAGAGTTGCATCAGAAGATACTCTCCAGCACAGTGTGGGAAACACAACAAGAAGAGAACTGGAAAGTAGCCTTCTAAAGTTGGGTCAAACATGCTATGCCTAGCTGCTATTCAACCCTAAAGGGTTTCCAGACTAAGCTCAGTGCTCAGAGAGGATAGGAAATCATGCTAATAACTCTCAGTCTCAGACTGGTACTGGTAGGTGGTGAAAACTATGATGATTACATAAGCACCAAAAGTGCGAACATAACACTAAGTAATATCTGCCTATACAAGCCCACAGTAAATGAAATCCCTATAACAGCTGGCAAGTCCAAGACATTCATTCCCTATATCAAGGAGATCAATGAGTGAGCTGTGACATGTTTTGACATGTACACTGGTAAACTTGGCACAGACACCAAAATCTACATTGCTGCCCTTGAAAAATATTCCTGTGATATCTTGAGGCTCCTTAAGCATGGGCTGGGCCAGAAATCAGAATTGGAAGCTGAGAAAATATGATCAGACTGCATGCTTGCACACACCTACATATACTTGTCATCATTGGACATGATCCTGTTGCCATTGATGATGGGCATGATGATGGACCACTGTCTTCTTAGATAGATGATCTATAGATAAACACCTATAAAACCAAATATCTCCATGGTCAGTGATTCAGACAAATACCAATGACTGATAACATGGTTGTTCATGGGTGGCTGTTCAGTGGTACCTAAGCTACATTCAGAAGAAGGTTTTCTGTGAGATCAGCAGTAAGCAGTCAGTCCACTAGTGTATGGACTACAGAGATGACAAGGAAAAAGAAAAAGGAAAAGCTATGTTGTGCAACAATAACACCACCAGCAGGTTGTGTGAAGCAATAGATGTCACTCCCCAAAGCACAAGCAGGTAGGATCAAAGGTCAGGACTAGTCAAAGCTTCAGAGAACTTTATATACTATTGAGCCTCTGCCAAGGAACTCATGATGAGTATTAAACAGAGTCAGGAACAGACATCCTTGGTGGTCTGCACCAAGTCCCCTTTCAATAGCTAAAGCCTGTTGGCAATGAGAACCCTAGCTCAGTATCACTACTTGGATGTGTGTGGTCAAGCACACAAGTATCAACTCCTAAAGTCTCCCCACTAAGCTGCTCTGAGCCTCAGATAGACAAAAGAGACAACACAAATCTCTGGAATATGTCTGCTACAGAAACACAGGAACTTGGAAAATAAAAGAAGAATGTAGAAAGACCGACAAATGAAACAGAACCAGGTTTGCTGGTTGTGGAGCATGGTGTTCTTACACTATTACTGCAGTCTCACAGAAGGGTACCTACCAATCTTCAACAGCTTCTCACTGTTATTGATCTTGATCACACCTTACTGATAAAAACTGGGGGGTAAAATTGCTTCTTTTATTTTGTCAAACAAAAAGTCCTTATATACATAAACTCAGTGGCTGTGCTCCTAGTTTCCCATGTACTAGGAAAACTACTTTAGTCAGATAGAGTGACAAGGTATGGGTATGAGTCAAACACAATGAGCCAATTGACATCATCATGAGTAATAGGGGTATATGGGTGAGTCATCATGACACTAAGTAGGTCATCTGACTTTCTGGGAACAAAGCAGTATGTGAGGAAACTACTTACATAATGTTCTAGTTCATGTGATGTGTATTTGTGTTTGGCTATTATTATTATTTGTCTTGTAAGGAGATGTAGTGCTTCATTTTTAGGCTTTTATGAATGTTCCCACAGGGTAACTTATGTGGGAAATATTTTTAGAAGTCACCTGACAGGTGTAAGATTTTGTCTGAGTCATTTCTAAACCAAACAAGGCAAAACTGAACACATGAATAATTGTCCAAAAATAATCATCCTCAAGTGCCAGGCTATTTTGAAAAGTAAAAAAATCTCCTGGGCTGAGCAGTTGGTTCAGAGTAAAGGAAAAATTATTTTGCCATAGTTCTTATGGTAGTAGGCTTTGTGAGAATGTTAGTCAGCCATGCACCAGACCAGTTTGGTGCAGGTCAATGCCACAAAACCAGTGAAATCTCAAGTGATGTTGTGGACACTGTGAATGCTCTGATACATGTTAGTAGCACAATATGTGTGCATCTAGAGCTGTATCTGGATGCACACATAATGGAATCATATATTGAAGAGAATGATTACTGACACTTCACTGAGCAGACACTGGTTCTCAATACATCTCAATTGCACCTTCATGATTTGAGCAATAATGGTATGGCTGGCTTTGATCCATGTGAACATTACAGTGGCTCAAAAAACTGTCCACATGTTTTGACATTTTTCACTATCTATGATATTGTGTGAGAACGAACAAATGCCTCAAGGACATGCTTATATCACATTGTAGTATGGCTTCAGGGCTTTCATTTGAGCCCTACACCGTTGGAATCTATGGAGATATGGTGGAGATACAAGGCTTGACTCATGCGGACAGTTTTTTGAGCACATATTAAAACTATATAAATCATCATTTATGACACCATAACAATCATGCCACCATTAAATAAATTATAAAGTGGTGTCATTATGTCATTTTAAAACCATATCTAACTATACAAACCAAAAATTTCCATGTCATGGTTATATTCACCATGAAAGCCACCCCCCCTGCTCAAAGGGATAATATCCTCTCTCTTTCCTATTCTGGCCTCTCTGCTTGTCAAATTTCCTCTAGAACTGGAGAATCCAAGTCTACTGTGGCCAAGTTCATCAAAGAAAGTCACACAGACAAGGAAAACTTCTGTGAAGGGCGTTCATCCAAGCTCACCTCTACTGATAGGAGGGCTATTATTCAACATATCACTACAGGAAAGGCTGATAATGCTGTCCAGGTCACCTATTACATCAATTCCACCATCACATTCCCTGTCTCTTCACACACTGTGAGAAACATTCTCAAGACAGCTCATCTCAGGTCAGTAACAAGAAAGAAAAGGCTCTCCTCTCTATCACACATATGCAGAGAGGACTAGCACCCTTCTTTTTTCACATATATACCTTGCCATCTGACCCAATCCTATTTATTGTGGTCTTATATGATCATATAACATGCTTCCAGTCCATGTAATCCAATTCTGATGGGCTAAGGCAAAGGTTAGTCATCTCTGTTTATGTGTGATAGAAAGGAGAGCCTTTTCTTCCTTGTTACTGACCTGAGATGAGCTGTCTTGAGAATGTTTCTCACAGTGTGTGAAGAGACAGGGAATGTGATGGTGGAATTGATGTAATAGGTGACCTGGACAGCATTATCAGCCTTTCCTGTAGTGATATGTTGAATAATAGCCCTCCTATCAGTAGAGGTGAGCTTGGATGAACGCCCTTCACAGAAGTTTTCCTTGTCTGTGTGACTTTCTTTGATGAACTTGGCCACAGTAGACTTGGATTCTCCAGTTCTAGATGAAATTTGACAAGCAGAGAGGCCAGAATAGGAAAGAGAGAGGATATTATCCCTTTGAGCAGGGGGGGTGGCTTTCATGGTGAATATAACCATGACATATGGAAATTTTTGGTTTGTATAGTTAGATATGGTTTTAAAATGACATAATGACACCACTTTATAATTTATTTAATGGTGGCATGATTGTTATGGTGTCATAAATGATGATTTATATAGTTTTAATATGTGCTCAAAAAACTGTCCGCATGAGTCAAGCCTTGTATCTCCACCATATCTCCATAGATTCCAACGGTGTAGGGCTCAAATGAAAGCCCTGAAGCCATACTACAATGTGATATAAACATGTCCTTGAGGCATTTGTTCGTTCTCACACAATATCATAGATAGTGAAAAATGTCAAAACATGCGGACAGTTTTTTGAGCCACTGTATATTGATCTAGGTATACCTCATGTCACTGGTGACAAAGATTTATATACAATCCATGATGTGCATTTATTACATCTACAAGATGAACTAACTGAATGCTCACATGATCCCACCTAATAGCTAACCCTAAGTCCTGTGAATGATGAAGATGGGGCTAAAGATGTCACTGATGACAGGATGGATGATGCTGAAGATGGTGCACCCACTGCTGACAAGAGCAAGGGTCCTGTTCAGGTGACCCTAATGTCCTTGCAGAAAGGCAAGAAAAAAAGCCACTCCTGTTCTACAAGACACAATGGAAGTTGAGCAAGTTGGAGGTAAAGTATTCAATGAATCAATATGACAATGGCTCACTTTCATAAGAAGACAGACCCTCTAACCCTGATGATGATGTTCACATAGACCAACCAAATCCCATCATCGATGCATCAGCTAAGTCTAACCCTCACATATCATCAAGCATTGATTTGCCT